TTTTGTACACTTCTCTATTTATGAATCATCGAATTGTTATTGAATACTCATTTATTATCTAAAAATGGGATATTAATATCTTTAATTCACCAGCATTTGTTTATTAGTTTTGCTATCAGTTTAACCTCATTTATCATTGAGCTATTTTTCTCAATTTTATTTTAACAGAATTTACTAAGGATTGTTTAGGTTTTAGAAACATTTGAGTAAATGAAGGAGAATACAGAATTTTTTTTGAATATAATGGTAACAAATTAATTTGAAAAAAAAAGATTTTTTGGCAAATAAAAAATTGAAAGTACTTATTAAGCTGGTTAGAGATGTTTAAAATAAGTTAAACGAAAAGCAAGACTGAATTAGAGGTTGATGAAGCTATAACTGAATTTATAAATAATTATCAATATTATAAGTTAGGAAAATATATTAAATTAACTTAAATTTATCTTTGATTCAATTTTCTTTAGAAGCTCTCAGCTAATAATTTTTATTGATTAGGGTAATTTTAAACTATTTCGAATGTGAAATAATTATTATTAAATACTTACATTATATAATTTTAAAATGTAAAAAGTACATATTGCTGCTTTTACAGACGACAAAGTTTTTATTAATTTACTAGATGTATTTATGAATTATTTATAATTTTCAGAAAGAAATCGAAAGACACGTAAAGGAGTATTATGAAAAAGATCAAACTAATAATGAAAATAAAAATTTGACAAATTATAAGAAGAATAATAAGCAATTTTACTCCTTCTCAATTTTATAGAAAAATAACATTGTTGTTAAGGATCATAAAAAAATAATTCTAAAAACATTTCGCAACAACACCAAATTATTTGATATTAATTAAGACTAATTTAATGACATTCCTCTATCAGAAAGGTTGGCTAAAAGATGCAATATTGCTTAGCGGAATTGTTATTTTGGACTAAAAACCCAAACTCAATAAACTCAAAGATCAGAATTTAAATCAATAAACGAAGAAATAATTTCATCTGGACTAAGTAGAACTTAAAGAAATAATAAAATGGATATAATTTAAGAAAGAATAGATACGTAATTATATATTAAATAAAAAAGATGTAAGGAATACTTATGTAAAGAATAATAAAGATTGAAATTAGTTGAAGAATAGATTGAAAAAAATCAGTTTATACTAGATGAGCTAGATTAAGAGCTTGAAATAGTGAATAGTAATAAAGCAATTTTTAGCTCTATAAAAAATTTAGATTAACAAATGTATAAAAATGAGCTTAATTTTATAAACTACAAAAAAGTAACTTAAGAGTTATACGAATTTATACAATAAACTTAAATAAAGTATTTTAAGAAATAATAAGAATTTATTTATCCATTTATTGAGAATTTTAAAAATGAATTAAATTTTATGCTTCTTGAATATGAATCATAAATTTAATAAACTTAAATAAAATGAATGTTAACTATTTGTGCTTGTAAATTAAAATAAAATTAAATATTAACTTTTTCTTGATAATTCTTAAAGATAGGAATAGATTAAGGAATTTTTTTTAATTTTATTTGTTTAATACTTGCGTCTTTACAAATAATAAATTTCTTTTGATTATTTAAAGAATTAATTAAAACCTTTATTTAAATTTAAGGTGGCTTATTTTAAAAATAAGATCAATTGTAAGTTCAAAATCATTATTAAATTATATATTCATTTAAATCAATCAAACAACCTTATTAAATTGACTTATATAACCATTCAGCATGAATTATTTTAATATTAGGATTTGAATTGAGTATAGTTTATGCAGTTGTCTTAAACATAATCTTCATTACTATCATTATATCGCAAAATTCTTTCTAAGTAATCTATTTTTAATTGATATTATTACTTTTCCACCAAAATGTTATATCAATTATTCTAGCCCTGATCTAAGATTTTGATTAATTGTTTTTTGTTAAGTAGATTTTGGTTTTGAAAAATAGATATAAAAGTTATAAGGGAATAATATTTCTATTTTAATTATTTACTAAATACTTTTTTGCATGTTATAGGTTAAAATATAATGATTAAAAGATATATCTTTTTTGGGATTAAGTTATTATTGAATAATCCATTTTTAGGAAATAACTTTTGTCTATTTATTTAAACAACAACAACAGAAAATCAAATCATAAATAAGTTTTTCTTCATTAACAACAAGAAGATCACACTTAATTTTAGTATCCTCTTCTGTTACCAATTGATACTAATCTCTTTATTATTAATTAAATTTACTTCAAGTTAATTGATTCAAATAAATTCAAGATGTCACCATCACAAGATTTATGTAAAACCAGAGTAAATTTTTAGTCAATTTTTTGAGGTTTTTATAATAAAGCTTTGGAACTCTTTTTAGTAATTAATTAAGAATTGATCTTTTGTGATCCTACTTCTAATTATTCAGTTTCTAGTTCTTCATGTATGATATCTTATTTTGAAAGACCTCGAATACTTTTAGATGTTTATTTAAAATTTGAAATTGGTACATAAGTTTTATTAATGCTTTTATGTATTAATAAAAGTTAACTTTTAAATTAACTAAATATGTGTCTGGTTTTAAATTAATTAGTGTCTTCATCTTCATCATCTAACATTTATTGATTGGATTATTTTCCTTTCTTTTAATGAGCTTTCTATTTAAGTATAAAATAATACATCTTTTTTGAGTAGTTCTTACGTCTCTTAAGGTGTTAATGTGATTATTGGAAAATTTAAAGCATCAACTTCCCTCTTTTTTGTAAGACATCTAAAATAGTAAATATAGATTATATATTTACTCATTGACCCACATAGGATTTACTATTTTGATATTCCATTCTTTAGCTTTTTCTAATGTGCTCAAAAAACCATCTAAAATTTAATTGAAATTTACATTGCCAAATTAGATAGTGAGTATGTTTACTTAATTTTTTAACAATGGTGGCCCCTAAGGCATAAAGAATTTCATCTTCACAATCTGATTGATTAAGATCATTTTATTAAGGACCTGAGAATATTTCAACATAAATTTTCTAAAATTTTGATTTGAAAAATGTACTTTTTTAGCTAGACATTAAGTGATATTATTGATCATAGTGATTTAAATTTAATTATCACCCAATGTAATTGCACTATGTGAGATTTTTCTTCCAGATTAAACAGCTGATACAGATCTTCTATAGGATCTTCTATTCTATTGTTCAGTATGAACAGATTATTAACGTTACTTTCCTTAATTCATAACATTTTTGTTACCTTCATCTTTTATCAAAAATTCTATAGTTCAAAATTATTATTAATATATATTCACTTATTATTAAAATGTTTAATTAATTGCAAAAAGCTCAGGATGCAAATACTAGCTTAATGAGAATTTAATTTTTATCCTAATTATGGGTTAAATAATCAGGAGTACAAGATAATTATAATATCTATGAATTTGATGTATTATTGAACTGATTGTCACTTAAAATTTATTCTTACTAATTTAATTTAAGGATTAAGGTTTATAATTATTTAAATTCTCACCTTAACTTGATTTAGTTGTTGAAATTAATTTACGGAGCTCTTATCTGATACTATTAATTTTATATTGATAGATTTTTTTTATTTTTATAAAGAATTTCTAAATATAAGATTTAGAAAATATATAAAATGATAATTCATAGATCTCCTTAGTAAATTGGTATAACTGTCTAAAACTGCTAAATTTACGAAGATAACTAGTTAGGCAAAACAAAACCACTTTATTTTGTTGCAGGTTTAGGTGATTCAAGAGTCCCAATAGATTCCCTAATTATTAAACTAATTAAAATCAATACCATAATGATTCAGTATTTGAATATTTATTAACTGGAAAAGTTGATTCAACTATTTCTAATTTTTATTTTGGGGGAAATAATACATCTATTGTTAATTTAAATGCATCATCTATTTTAATAAAATATAATTACCTAACATTCTTGGTAGTAACATTTTTAAAATTCCACTAGATTCTTCAATGCAAGGATTGGTATTGATTTCTATTAACCAAGTTTTAAAATCTTGATCAATAATGAAGTCATATCCAAAAATTTCCATACAATACTTTCTTTAATGAAGATTAAGTTTTCTCTTAACAGATTGCATAGACATCCAAACAAGTTATTTCATTTTTGATACATTATTTTATTAAAAATCAATATTGAAGCCTTATTAAGTGAGATAATTTTGGAAATCATCAAAGGACAATTAATTGCCATCTTCAAATTCTCCATATTTTTCTGAATATTTTTAAATAGCATTGTTAGTTAAATGAATAAATTAATTACTAACATCATCAGTAGTATAATTTTCACAAGATGTACGTATATAACCTTCTTTAAAAAAATAGCAATGTAGATCTTAAGTAACTAATACCCAAACTCTTATATCAAACTTTCTTTAATTAATGAGGAATGGCTATTCAATATATTTTTATATAACAAAAGAATTGGCTTTAATATTATTATTTTTTTTATTATTTTTAGCATCTTCATCTTCAATCGTTTGATGTCCTTCCTAATATTCAGATATAAGTGATATGATAGTATCTAAATCATTAACAACATGTATTCCTTATCCTCTATTTAAAAATGTAGGTTTCAATAGCCATAAGTATTAATTTCCATTTTATGTTTTTGGTATTTTATTAGGGATAGGTTAAATTTTTTTATCATTCATTGGTTAGACTGGAATCTGTTATATTATGTAATATTACTTTTAATTTTTTTTTGTATTCTACTAATTTTTTTGCCATTTGATCAATTTTCTTTGGAGCATATTTATCAAAGAACTTAACAAATTATGTAAATTATTAATCTACAGTGTCATCTTTAAAATCTAATACAAATGTAATAGGAACTGAATCATATACACTTAATTTGTTTTGCTAATAATGGATTAATAATAATGATACTTCGCAATATGAACAAAGATTTCTAAACAAATATTATTTATTGCTTAATTCTGGATGATTTTCAAAATGATTAACCATTTATTTGTATTAATTATTCAGAATCAATCTATCATATTTGTAACCTCTATTCCATTATTACCATCTAAAATTAACAAACATAGATGAATTATCTTTAGTTTATTGCCAATCAACTCGAGTATCCATAATTCTTTATACTAGTTCATGATTATTTCCTAAACCCAAATTGTATTTATATTCATTAGACTACTCAATTATTTTTATTGATTTCTCTTTCTGTCTATGAGTATGTTGATCAGAAGAGAACTTCATTTGTTTTGCAATCAAAATCATTGAACATTAAACAGCTGCAGGATTTCTATAAACTCCTGCTTAAGATTGAACTTTATTATTCAGGTACTTAAGAAACCTATCAGGAGATATCGGTTTCTCTTCAGGACTGTTTAATTATCTATATTTAGGCATGCTGTAAGCCTGTACTTTATGACCTTGTAATTTTGGGAGTCTAACTTCTTAACGATAATTCATATGAAATCCAGAACCACTCACTGATAAAAACATTTAATTTTGTATAATTAAATCAATTTTATGTATCAACATAATGATAGAGAGAAAACTCAGTTTTATATCTCAACTCATTAATTTGCTAATAAGGATGTCATCTCTGAAACTTATCCAAAATGCTAAAGTTTCTAAAGAGATTTTTATTGAATTCAAAAATAGGTTGGATAAACATAAATGCTTAAAATAATCTCAATTCTGATTGGAAAGTATTTAAATATTATATTATTCAACCTTTTCAAATGGATTTCTTATTTTAAATTAAATAAGAACTTAAATTTGAAGTTTTGGATCATGATAATGAAAGTTTTGATATAGATGATTAATTGCTATTATTAATGTATCTTACCTAATATAGGTTAATTATTTTATAGACTATTTTTGGAGAAATTATGGGATCTAGAATTTAGGTTTACAACTGGATAATTAAAATTGAAAAATAAACTATCCAAAACTCTATTGATGAACGGTGATAAATTGAAAAATTACTATAGATTTATTCTTCAAGTAATGGGTAGGAACAAAAATAAAGAATGTTGATTGATGGTTTCGAAATTCTGATTCATTTTTGAGATTTTATAAACAATAAGGCAATAAGGAAATGATTGTATATTTTTACATGATACTGAATTTTGCAAAAATAATGAAATAACCTCAATGAAAACCATTGAAATCTCTATGGCTAAATTTAATTCTGTAAATATTTAATAATAAATAAAGGTAGAATATTGGGATAACCAAACAGACGGTAAAGAATAATTTATTGATGAAACCTTATTTTCAATTTATTAAATTGGCCATAAAAACAAAAGAAAATTTATATCTCTTTCTTAGAAAGGAGTAAAATATTAATAATTAATAATATATAGATAATCATGGAACTTTATAATTAACTTAATATAATCTATTTTTTAAATCATCATTCATTTACTATATAAAAAGAGGAGAAGAAATTAATTTAATGATACCCATTGATTATATAGGTTCTTATGGAGATCCTAAATCTCCAAATTCTTTGCTTTACAATAATCCACATTAAATGGATTAATATCAATCTGCACTTTATTAAGTATCAGAAATAATATTAAATTAGGATTTTGAAAAGAAACATGGATTTAGAGGAGTTCCTCATTTTTTAAACTAAATTAAGTAGGAAGCAAATCAATAGTATTAATTTTAAATTAAATTGAAAGTTTTCTTTGGACAATTAATTTCTTATAACCAGAAGTCTTGGATTAAAAGGATTTATGAATTAATATAGTGATGCTTTTTTTCTAATATGTTACTTTATCAGGACCAACATTTTTGGCTTTCATAATTAAATATTATTGTTAAACAGCTTAATGAAATATGAACAATAATATTTATTCAGTTCTTATGATGTTAACAGTAGAGAAATTTATGATATGAATTAAACTATTTAATTAATTAAAGGAGTATCTAGGATTCCTTTATTAATGATTATAATCGTTGTTGGAGATGAAAAAGTTTAAACAGATGAGAATACTTGATGAAGATAGTAAGTAGTCCATTAAAAGGTTAATCTGCAAGAGAGTTGGTATAATTTGTAGCATTTTAAGATTTTTAAATAATAATAAGAATTGAATAAAAAAGTTTTATAGATTAATTTATTTGATTGTTATTATTGCTGAATTACCAAATTAATTAGTTACCTATAAATAATTAAGTTACAGATATCCAGACTAGTCAAATGATGTGAAATTTATATGAATTATTAGTATTATTATAAATAAATAATACTAAATATGAAATTCTTCAATTTTACATTTGGTGATTCTTTAATCAAATATTTAAATCTAATGATAATAGTTAAAGCATATCAATTTATTATTATTTTTATTAATTATGTAGTAATAATTAAAAATAAAAGATAGAGAAAAAGTAGAATTATATTTCTCAGGTAGAGGTTTGGCTGACAAGGATTTATTATCTAAAAGTGATCCTTAATGTTATATTTATTTAAAGCAAGGTTAAGATGGAGAAGAAAAATTAATTGGTAAAACTGAAGTTAGAGATAATAACCTAAATCCTGATTGGAAAGTATGTCTTTTTAAATGATTATAGACTTCAGTAGTATTAGACTTTATATTTGAAATACATTAGTTTCTAAAAATAGTTGTGATGGATCATGATGGAAAGAAAATTGAAGATGATGATATAATTGGTACTTTGAATGTAAGATTTATATTTCAAAATAAATTAGACCACTGTTGGTTCTGTAATGGGATCCAAAAATTAAATTTATATAGGATAATTAACTCATAATAATAAAAAAACAGGCAGACTAATAATCAAGGCTGATAAAAGGAAAGAGATTGGAGACACAAATGAAATGATTTTCTGGTAATGGCATGCTACTAAAGTAAAAAATATGGATGGATGGTTTGGTGTATCTGATCCATTTCTAAGATTTCTTAAGTGGCATTAAAATAGTGATTGGTTATTAGTACATGAAACAGAATTCATCAAAAATAATGAAAATCCTATTTGGAAACCATTTGAAATACCTCATGATAAATTACATGACGAGAATCCATAATAGCCATTTAAAATTGAACTTTGGGACAACCAAACAAATGGAAAACATCAATTCATTGGAGCTATTGAAGTTACAATCGAATAAATTGTTTTTAAAGAAATACATTAATTTATAGTGAAAACACCAAAAGGAGTAACTTTTTTGTATTATTTTTATTCTCTAGGAATTTGGTGGGAATTTAGGAGTTAAATTTATTGAGAAACCTACTTTTATTGATTATTTAAAAGGAGGAGATTAAATTAATCTTCTTATAGCAATTGATTTCACAGGTTCTAATGGAGATCCTTCATCTTCATTATCATTACATTATAATGATCCTAACAATTTAAATTAATATTAAAATGCATTAAAATAAGTAGCAGAAATTTTATTAAATTATGATTATGATAAAAAAGTACCAGTTTTTGGATTTGGTGGAATACCATCTTTACCAAAATTTAAAAAGAGTTCAGTTGATAATTGGTAAAAACTATCTATTTTATCAATAGCTTTCCTTTAAATGGAAACTAATCTGACCCAGAAGTATTTGGCTTGGATGGAATTATGAATACTTATCAAACAGCCCTTAATCATATAGATTTAAGTGGTCCAACTATTTTTGGGCCAGTGATTGAAAATGCTCTTTCAATTGCTAAGGCAAATATCAAAAAAGATATTTATTCAGTTTTATTAATTATGACTGATGGATAGATTGATGATATGAATCATTGTTTATAACTTATAAAAAAAGCTTATCAATTACCCTTATCTATTATTATTGTAGGTGTTGGACATGCTAATTTTAAAATGATGGAATAATTAGATGGAGATAATGAATAACATGAAAGAGATCTTGTGTAATTTGTCCCTTTTGTTCAACATTCTTAAATCCCAGGAGATTTAGCTAAAGAACTATTAGCAGAATTACCTGATTAATTTTTGAGATATAAATAGTTGATTGGTAAGTATCCTAATCCACCTAAAGATATTGATCTCAGCAAAATTTAATGATTTATTTTGATCATGTAAAAATTTATTATTTTAAAATTAATTAACTATATCAAATTATTATTTAAGTCATTATAAATATTATTTATTATTTCTATATTGTATATTGATAAATAATATTAATATTTGTATCCAAAAATATGTTGAAAATCTTTTATATCAATAATAATAAAAAAACTATTATTTAGTAAATTAAAAAATTAAATCATATAATAATAATAATCAAATAAAATCTTAGTTTTAAGTTAAAAGTTGAGATTACATAATTTAAGCTAATTTATAACTCTCCTATTAAAATATATTGTTTGAAGAATTATGTAATGAATTATTAATTAAATTCATCTATCTAGGAAGTACAAAACTTATTGAAGATCCTACTTACTTATTTTCAAAATGAACTGTCTTAAAAGATAATTAAGGATTCTTAGAAATACATGGTAATAACTTTTAAACTATAAATATTCCCAATTTCCCTTCACGCACTCCTCCTCATATATAAGAACAATTACTTTTGAAATCTATTGACTGAGAAAATCCACTAGCTTTATCATTTATTTCAAATTTAATTTCCTCATTAAGTGTTTAAATAACACGTAGATAAATTGTATTTGATATATCTGGCTTACGATGTGCTTTAATACTATTGACTAATAGATTAACAATAATTTATCGAAGATATCTGATATCAGTAGTAATAAATTAATTATTTAAATCATTTTAAATGATTAATTCTATACTTTTTTCAAGCACAGTAGTATCTTGCATAAATTTTGCTTTAATTGATTATAAAAATGTAATTATATTAACTTAATCTTGTTTTGGAAAAGGAAGTCCATCAGACAAAAAATAAATGAAATTATAAATCTCGATTTCTAAAACATATAGCTATAATTATGCTTAACATAACAGTTTATTCTCTCTATTTTGATTATTAAGCATTTTATTAAACTTCTATTATACATCATTCAACATTTAAGATAATTTTTAAATCTCTTTTTAGGTGACTTCTTATTTGTAACCATTTTGAATATTATTCATTTAAATTTTTATATTTTCTATAGAATCATCCTCAATTTCAATAATTAAACCTTAATTATAACTACTAACTTATATTTTCTTATAGATTAATTTATCATGTTAAATTAATCCATATAATTATTATTTCTTGTTAACCATTTAACTGGTGTTTTCTTAAGGTTTTACAAAGAGCAAATCAAACTTTTATATTGCAGATGCAGATAAAAACTCTCTATCCATGAACTTTATAATAAACATATTATTTTTACTTAAAAAGAACTATTATTTAAATTTAAGGTATTACCCATTTCATTTCTCTACACTGATTATAATCTTTATCTCTATTCATATTAAGGAGAAATCAATTTTTACTGTTGTAATTCCTCGTTGATATTACTCTAAGACTTTCTCCTCTACATTACAGCACTTTACTTTTCTTCAATTATTTAATCTCTAATAAATGAATAAAGGTTTGCATTCTTTATTTCAAACATATTATTAGTTAAAATGTGTTCACTTTCATAAGAAATTTAGAATAATTGAATCTTTTTCATATAATCTTCAATTGATAAACATTTCTCTTTTAGAAATTAAATTAAAAATTGACTCATCTTTTCTACAACTATTTCATTATTGCGGTAGGAAATAAAAAAATATTATTAATCATTAAATCTATCCCATATACCTTAAAAATTTTAAAATGGAATCTATATTTAATTTAAAACACTTTATCTTCTTGCCACAATTACTTTAGATTATTCTATTTATTAAACTTAATGTTTATAATGGCTTAAGACGAATTCATATGAACAAACTATAATAATCAGACTTGAAACAATAATAATATATTCCAAGTTATTAGATATATTTTTAAATAAAACAATAATTACAAAAATGGTTAAAAGGGATAAAGCTTGTACCATTATTTTTATATTAAGAAACTGTTTTTTTTCATTTTTTTCATTTTTTTCATTCGATTTTAATTTTTAAAGTGATAGCATATTTCCAAATAATAAACAAAGAAGATTTTCCGATATATTTTCGCTACTCAAATACAATAAACTTGCAAATTAAATAAGCAGTAAGATTGTAAAAAAGATTGGTGAGTGATCAATTTCTATAATTGTTTATTTTGAAACATACATACATTAGACATTTTAGGCTCTTTTTCTAATTGCAGCGAGACTAAATGCCAATCCAAAAGCTAAAAATATTAGTTACGGAATTAGGAAATTTAATATTTAACCTTTAAGTTATAAGTAAGCTATGCATAAGATAGAAAATCCAGTGTTCAATATCTATGGAAGTATTAATTTGAACATTTACATAATTAATTTAAATATAAATTATTAAAATGTTTGAAACTCTTCATATTATAAAATAAATTGAGAATTTTTTAAGAGAAACTATCCAGATTGTTTATATGTTTTTAAAAATTAATATAATATTTGTCAAATATTTGAATTCTACAAGAATACTACAATTACAGTAATATCATCAACTCCTTCACTAAACTTTTTCCATTAAATCTTAGATTCTTGAATCAATTTTTGACAAGCACCTTATGGATCATTATTTAAAAAATAATGATAGGTCATTTCTGCTATCTTAATGATATTTTTAATACTTAATTATTATCTAAAAATTCCCATAATCCATCAGATCCAATAATTATAAATAAATCATCTTTAGTAATTTGATGCTATTTGATATCTCAAATAACAGAATAAAGTACCTGGAATATGAGAGACTCCAACTTATTCAGCTATTTAATCTCCAATGCTTCTTGACATAGCCAATCCTGGAAATGAAGCTCCTTTAATATATACTCTAGATGGTCCTATTGATTATCCATTCTATAATTTATATGTATTAACAAATCCCCCTTAACTTTCAATTCTTTTTTTTTCTTTTAATAAATGTGGTTTATGATCAATAGATAATTCACTTGTAATTAATTTATCTTATTATTTTGTACATAACATAGCTCTAGAATCACCAACCCAAGCACAATTAATTATTTAATCTCTAATAACAATCAAAGTTGCAGTTGTACCAGACATAAGTGAATCAAAATGAGAATGAGATGAAACATTGGAATGAGCATTTGCAAAAAGTTTAATAAAATCGATCGTTTTGAAATCCTTCATTACATATTCTAATTAATAAAATATTATGATTTGTACATAAAAAATAGTCTCTAACAAAAGTACTTATTTTATCACCATCAGTTCCATGTCCATCCATGACTGCAAAAACTCCTTATTCATCATCAATAATTTCAGCAAATTCTCTATCTTAATTGGTTTTTTCACAAAATCCATCAAATCCAGCCTTAGATAATGAGCCATAATATAGTTAAATTTCTAATTTAGAGATTTTAGAGTTCAAAATTTTTTTAGATTTAGATTATAATGGAGGCTTTTTAAATATTTTTTGAGATATTTGTTTATCCATCAATTAGGGCAATTTATATTTTTAGTCAGTGTTTGTTTATTCTCTACTGGTTTATCTTCTATTATCTGATTATGATCGAATTGACTAATGAATATTAACTAATTTCATTATTAAAATATGTTGGAAAATCAAATGTTGTAATTTTTGAATTCAGACTTTTAACAATTTACACAATAAGATAAGTAAGACAAGTAAGATGAGAATACAGAGACTGAAGTTCCAAACAACTCTCAAAGACAATTAAGAGTTAAGAGTTTTGAAGAAAAACCTGCAAACAAACCATTAAATCTAATATTTTAAATGCTTCTGCAAAAGAAAACATAAAAAAGATAATAAATTAAGGTTGACCCAAAATCAATACCTTTATCAATTAATCTCTCTGTTTAGGTTTAAGAATTACCAATTATACGTAAAATCATGGATAAAAATGAATGGAAAAAAGCTCATAATTTTGATGGAGATATTTTATGGTGTGGTCCTGATAATGTTCAATAAGCTAAATAATTTACATATGATTTTGCTATGGTCTTTATGAATTTATGCATTAGTAGAATTCCAGGAGCTAAACTTATCTCTACAAAAAAAGAAACTACGTCAATCATGGCTAAAATGAGATAGTATAATATGTGTCATATTAAATTAGATATTTTCCGTCAATATATAATTTTTATCCAAAAACATACACTATGCCTGAAGATTTACATGAATTTGTTGAGGATTTCGATAAAAAGGATGGAATCTCTTATATTGCTAAACCTGATAAAGGAACTTAAGGTTAGGGAATCTTTATTGTTAGCTAAATAGAAGATTTATTCAATAATGGAGTTAAGGATATCTCTTATATTAAAAAGTATATTCATTTCAATATTTAGAAATTATATTATTCAAGAGTATATAAGTAATCCTTTATTATTGGATGATAAGAAATTCGATTTTAGATTATATGTGTTAATAACTTCGCTAAAACCCTTAATTGCCTATATAAATGAAGAAGGTTTAGCAAGATTATGTACAGAAAATTATTAAGACATCACATCAAGTAATCTCTCAAATGTTTATATGCATCTAACAAATTATTCTTTAAATAAAAGTAAAGACAAAAATACTATATCCATAGATAGTTAAAATTTTATTATTCATCCTCCAGATTTCCAGAAAATTAATCTAGGAACAAAAAGAACTTATACATCAGCTAAAAAAACCTTGATGAAGATGGGCATTGATGTTCCTAAATTAAAATTGAGAATTGAATAAACTATAGTAAGATTCTTGTATGGAATTGCACCTTTTTTAGTAAATATATAAATTAATTAATCAAGTTAAATTCAACTAGAGAAGTCTATCAAGATAAATGGGAAAAAGCTAATTGTTTTCATGTCATAGGCTTTGATATTTTAATTGATAGAGATTTAAAACCTTGGATTATTGAGATTAATGCTAATCCAAGTTTAGAAATAACTTAAGTAGTATAAAATCCAAATGGAAGTAAAAGAGTAGAGACTAGTTCATTAGATGCTTATGTTAAAACAAAAGTCATTGAAGATGCATTTATTATTGCCGTAAAAACACCTTAAGAATAAATTGAATAAATTGGTAAGGGTAAGTATTGTAATAGTTATAAAATGATAATTGATGGACAACCACCTATTGAAAATTTAGATTTGGTAATTTAATTTAATATATTAATTATTTAGTTCTATAAATTAGTTGATCTTTTTAGTAATCTTTGTGGTTTGAGATATGGTAATTTGAATTAAATGAGATTTTGTAGATTGGCTAACAATTCTTAATTGATTAATGATTTACTAATAAAATCGGATTACGATTTAATATACAAAAAAATCTAGTTAAAATCATTATAACCAGATTTGAATTTCTTTGGCTTTCTAGAGGCAATTGAATAGATCTCAGAAAAGGTATGTTTTTAAATTAAATATTATATAAGCTTTTAAAAAGAAAGGCTTCTAATTATACAATATAAAAGGCAGTTACATATGTTGTAAATATGGCTTTGAAATCACCTTCTTAATAATAGAGACCTTAGACTGCAAAAAGATGATTTGTTTGTTTTAAATAAAAATATACTAAATTTTTTGTTAATTATCGAATATTATTAATAATAAAAATGTTTTATGTGATATAAGGACTAAAAACTAAATTGTCAATAGAGCCAAACTATTTAGATCAATTAAAAGATTAGAAGTTCATTTTAGAATAAATTGTATAGAAATTGGAAGGCAAGTACTTTGAAGATGTAGGTTATATCATTTGTATAAATAAATGCATGAATTACAATAAATTTTAGGATGAATAAATAGATGCATTAATTGAAGAGGATGGAACTGTTAGAGTAGTGGTATCAATTTATATTATTTAAGATCAAATTTGAAGCCATAGTATTTCAAATTAAGGATAAAGATATAGTTGATGTTGAAGTGGCAAAATGCGAAGCTTAAGCAGTATTTGCTAAATTAGGACCAATAGATTTTATAATTCCAAGAAATAAATTGCCCTCAAATTATATTTATTCTAATGTATGCTTTATTATATGAATCCAGGAATCCTATAAAGAAGAGGATGAAGAAGTGATTAAATAAGGTACTAAATTAAGAGTCTAAGTTTAAAAAACTAATTATAAACAGGGAAAATTAAGAGCTTTTGCTCATTTAACAGGTGATAATTTAGATAACATTTGTGGCATACTAAGTGATGATCTGAAGTTATGATATATATATATATATATAATTTAATGTAAGAGTAAATAAACAAATTATTCATGATTATAAATTTACTAATTAGTGTTCTTAGTTATGTGATGATGAACAATATAAATATTATTATATCAGAACCTTTAATACTTATGATTAGTTGAAACAAATCACTGATATTGTTATCTAAAAAATAACAGGAATTTTTTAAACTAGAAAATCAGTTATAATTATATCAATCAGAAGTTCTACTCGTATTTATTATTTTGAAATCATAAGGATTAATACTTCATTCAATAATAGTATGATCATTTACAATTTAAAATTGAGAAATTACAGAACAGTAGAATTGAGATATTAAATAATACAAAGAATATCATTATTGTAACATTCTAAAGTTAGAAGTTTAAAAAGGAAAATAAAGAATTATATTAGAAATGTCATTCCTTAACTCCCTAATTGATAATTATGGATATAATATTACTATTAAATAAAGTCAATTTATAAATATTCAACAATCAATAATACAGTGATGACTAATCCGACTAATATAATTGATTCAAATAACCAAATAAAACTACTAATATAACTCCTTAGAAATTCAAAACTGAATTTATACATCAGATGGGCAATCTAGTTAACTACTTATCAAGCCAAATTATTTTTAAAGGAAATAATCTACGCAAATTTTTAAATTAAATAAAAAAAGATTATGTGATAAATTTTAGAACTATTTAATTTTGATTACAACTATATGAATAGTTTATTCATTATTAATTTTATTTTTGATTAACTTTTGAATTCTAAACAACTTTTGAAATACGAGCATTATAATTTTTTTAAGATTATTTCAAAAATGCATTATTCTTTTCTTCTATATCTTCTTTTTATTTTATATTTTGCTAATTGAGTTTACTTTTTTCAATTTCTTAAGTGTTCTACTCTTAATCATCATTTTTTTTAATATTTGAGGGATCATTATCTTGAATAATTTATCTATTGATCTATTTCTTCACTTATTTTATATTTTAAAATTAGCCCCCTAATAGTTCTAAACCTTTTAATTTCTAATTAATAAAATAATCTCTTGAGAAGGATGAAATCTCACCATCATCCATTCGTTTTTTGATTGATGATAGTTATTAAATTAGGTTATTCACTTCTTCAACAGATTTAATTTCTCCTGTTCCAATTAAGTAACCAACGAGAAACTATTCAATCATTAAATCTTAACCTTTTGATTGGGATTTATTAATTTCATTTACAATTTGTAAAATTATTTCCATAAAAAATTATTATTATTATTATTCTTTTTTTGATTATGATTGATAAATAAATTAATATAGCTCATGCAAACCTGAGTTTTATTAAGGTAATAATAAGAAATGACTTTGTTTTAATATTACCCTAATGAAGACCAAGTTTTTAAATTATTTTATGAAAAAAAATGACCAAGGATTTTCTCTAGAAAGACCAGGACTCAAGCATAATTGAAGCTTTGATGTTCACTGCTTATTTCATGCATCGAGCTGTAAGTATATGTGACCAAATTGTCATTTAGATGAACGGAGAAATATATTGTTTAAGAAATCTTAAAGAACTTATAGATAGATATATGTAGAAGAATATCATATTGATATTAGATCCAAATATAATGATTGCATCAAATACTTTACTATATAATATAAAAATCTTTAAAGTTTTCTTAACTTTAGTAATAATAATATATAATTTAATTTTGAATATTATCCCATATTATAAATTAATCATATTTAGTAATTAATTAATTAATCGATTTCCCTATTATTAATGATGAGCATAAGAGTAGTGAAACTACTTCAAAAATGAGTACATTCATCTAGGCTATCTGATTATATTTTTAATCTATATTTTAAAACAATTATCTAACACATTCATTTTTTTTAGATATTTGATTTCATCTTCTTTGTTGGGACAAAAATAATTTTAGATATCTGAATGAATTCTTTATGATAAGATGATGTAATACAAATGACATATTTCGTAATAATTAATTTTTTATTTATAAAATATGAGTTAACAGGAATAGCAAAATGAAAACAAAGAACCAGAAGTTAAAGATAATGTAGAAGAATTTGGAATAAAGGTGCTGTCTGCTGGTTAATTATTATATAATTGAATTAGAGGAGTAGAAATTGATTATGCTACAAATAAGCGAAGAAGAATCATTCAATTTAAAAAATTTATAATAAAGGGAAGATGATGCTGTTTTTATAGAGGATGAACCAGAAAAAGCTCTAGGTAAACTTTTAACATTGAATTAATTAAGTTTGCAAGAAAGGTAATATATTATTTTTCTATCATATTAATAGATAAGCTTATACTAAACATTTAGCTGAATTGATAATTTTGATTGGTATTGAAGCATAAAAATAATTAACATTAATAATAAATTAAGTGATAAATGATGGTGATGAAATAAAGAAAATCTTAATAAATCAACTTAATTTATTGATTGATGAAATAGATGTATCTTTAATTAAATAGCATATATTACCATCATTGATGTAATTAATAAAATATCATAATTTTGATATTTAATCTGAAGTTCAAAAACAAATATCCAAAATAGCTTAGAAACTCAGTAGTAATGAAATGAATGAGCTTATATTAAATGATTTAATTCTTATGGCACATGATGAGTCGAATGAAGAAAATAAAATGGTGGCCTTACAATTTTTTGGTTCATATGCTCATATAGCAAATTAATAATTCTTAGAATCATTCATATCAATTGAATTTATAAATGCAGGTGAGGATATAAGTATGAGAGTAAGAAAGGAATCTATTTAATAATTACCATAAATAGCAAAATAAGTTAGACCTGAGTTTTTTATATCAAGATTACTTCCTCATTATCTTTAGTATATCTTAAATTAAACTATTTTAATAGAAAATCTGAAGATAAGTCTTCTTGGCAAATACGTAGAGCTTGTGTTGAAATTATTGTTAAATTAGCTTAGATTGCACCAAAACACATTCGATAAAATGAATTGTCGAATAAAATGATTGATTTTCTCAAGTATAATAAAAATATTTTAAAAGGGATTCAAATAAATGGGTAAAAGCATCAGCATTCTTTCTTCTCGGATAATTTATATATACATTACATGATTGTAATTAAAAAAATGAATAATTGTTAAATGAATATTGTAGATCAACAAATAAAGATGTCTGTGAATATTTTTCATCAGATTAAGAAATCTTTGATTCTTGTGCTGCATCTTTTCATTTAGTTGTTGAAATATTTGGAAAAGATAAATGGCCAAATTTATTAAAATTATTATAGAGTTTAGTGAAAAATAAAGGAGTTAGAAAAGTATTGGCAGAAAATCTTTATATTATTGCCAATTCTTGTGGTCCAAGAAATGCTGAAAAAGATTTGGTGATCATTTTAGATTCATTTTTAAAAGATTTAAATGATGAAGTCAAATATGCAGCTGCTAAAAATTTATGGGAGTTCATTAAAATATTTGATGAAGAAAAAAGAGATAATTTGTTAGATGTTGTTTTAATTATATAAGTAAAATATTAAATAATATCTTCAAAGAGAGATTAAAAAAAATGGAGAATACGCCATCTAATAGCCAAATAAATCAAACATTTGGTTCCATTATATAGTGTAGATAATATATTTCAAATTATTGTCCCTATTACATTGAAATTATGTAATGATATAGTGGCAACTGTAAGAAAATAAGCAGCTAAAGAAATGCATTCTATTTTGTAATCTTTGAATACTTAAGACGAAACAAGTTAAATTTATTATCAATGTTTAATTGAAAATATTAAGGCTTACGGTATAAGTCATCGTTTTAATCAGAGACAAGCGTATTAATTAATTCATATTAAGATTTGCTTATATGTGTTCTAAATTAATTACCCTCAAAGAATTTGAAACTACTTTCTTAGAATAATTTGTATCTCTCAGTTTAGATCCTGTTAAAAATGTGAGAATAACCGTAGCTCTTATAGTTTAAAAACGATTTAAACAAGGTAAATTTAAGATTTAATTCTCATTAGGACATCTCAAAGATAATAAGCAAATATTATAAATGATACATAATTTGAAAAGTCACAAAGATAGAGAAGTGTTAAAAATTCTGGACTGAGTAAATTAAATTAAATTTACATGTTTATTAATCATTTCACATTCAATCTTAATTAACAAATTAAAATATAATTGTTTAATTAAATAAATGATTTAAAAAATAATCCTAATGCTTCATATTTTTAAGTATTTATTTACCAAATTAACAGGATAATTAATACCTAATGTACTTATGATACTTAGACGTATTGGGAAAATGCTTAATTTTCAAATGATGTTTTTTTGGTTTAAGAAAATCAATTTATAAATATTGATCAAAGTTTTGAGTTTAATAAAGGTCTTTGGATTAATTATCGTCCAATGGATGATTATATTATTGAAAGTATGACTTAATATTTAATTAGATATCAATAACAATGCATAATCTGTAAATTATCTAATTTACTCTCTTTAAAAAGATTGGTAATAAGATGAGGTTTTTTTAACATTTTTTGAGTTCAATATGGAAGATGAGACGATTTTATATCATATATATATTAGAGAAAAAACCAAATAATCAGATGAGCTATTATGGTAAGATTATTAATTTTAGATTAACAAATATTTGTTGGATCAAGATTGGATATTATTTTATTATTATATTTAGAATGGTATTTTGAAAATTTATTTATATTCATTTTCTGAAAATAATTATCAATTCCAGTAAATTACATGGAATGGTGACTTTAGTGATTTAATGTATGATTATTAAGGTGGTTAAAAGGACATCATAATAAATGGTTATACTTTAAATTTGAATTTATTTCCTGGAAAGTTTACTTAACTATTTTAAACAAATGTAAATGTATTTGATAACTTAAATTATTTTTTATAAAGTTGCAAACCAGAAGTTATTTGTTCATCTGAAATGTAAACAATAATAGGTAATAATTAATATTTTAATGGAAATTATAAAGTAAGTGGTGTTAGTTAATATGAAATATCAAAAAATCAATTTAAAATTTCAGGTTGGGTTAAGCAAGATAAGTTTGGTTTTTCTTAGGTTAAAAATCAACTTCTTTTAAGATTATCTATAAACTAAGACTATAGTAATGATGGTATAATTGGAAATAAATTACTCTATGTTATTTATCATCATAATAAAGATGAAAATCTAATTGGATTGGAAATACACACTTATAGTTATTAGATACCGTATAAATCATAATCTTATGTAACTCCCGCAGAATTAATTTTAACAGTTTTCGATAAAAATTATGCTGAATTATTAAGTGAATGGCATTTCTGTTAATTTGAAGTTGGATCTAATTTAAATTAAGGCTAACCTATTTATAGAATTTATTTCCCAAATGAAGTGAACTTCTATCAATTTCATTGGAATGATGAAATACACTATTTTAAGAATACAAAGCTTTACTTTCATATTGGAGGAGATGATATTTATAAAAACAAATTTGAAGGATAATTAAATAATTGGAAATTATAAACATTTTGTTCTGAGTTTGAAGAAACTCTTGATTTTTAATGCCATTATTCATGCTTAACATGTAAAGGGACTTCTAATTATGATTGTCTAAGTTGTTCTACAAATAATAATAGAGTTTATGTTGAGTAAGCAAATTCTTGTCTATGCAAAAATGGATTCTTGGAGATATCTGAGAATCCAGTTTGTAAAAGTATATTTGTAATGATTATTAGATTATATTGAATAATTTAAGACCATATAATTAATTAATTAAGAGATCAATTGTGATATTAAAGGTTATTATTCTTGCTAATAATAAAATATTTAATGTGAATATGGATACTTTTAATACAATAAATAATGTCTGAAATGGTATAATTTTTTATTGATTTTAAGTCCATTAAATGACAATCCAAATCTACTATTAGATTGTGTTAGTTGTTTACTTTATCCTGATTAATTCGCTTCTTCTCTATTATGTGCTGAAAAATACTTCTCATATGCATATGATGAAATATTTAATCATGATTAGAAATATTTATAGGAAAGATAATTGTATATTTAATATATAATAAATAAAGGTACTAAATAAAAACAACAACTGATAATAATTATTATTTGTAAATTGTTTTTGCTACTACAAATTACAGTTGTAAAAGAGGCCTATATTTAGATAAAAATAATAATTGTTAACTTTGTTCTGATAATTGTGAATTTTGCTTTGGTCCATCAATATATTAATGTAGTTAGTGTTATAAGGAATATAGAAAATCTGAAAATGGTCCATGTATAAAATGCTAAAATTGTGATTATTGTTAATCAATCTCAAATAACAATGAAGAAGAATGTAGATCTGCTTATTTTTGTAAATCCTTATAGTATTTTCACGATAACAAATGCATTGATTGTGGACTTTATTGTTAAAATTGCAATAAAGATGGATGTTTAACATGTTTCAATTCTTTATAATATTATATACGTTTAGATAGATAAAGTTGTGGAATTTGTTCAATTCAAAATTGTAAGTATTGCTTTGAATATTTATATTTGGATCCTTTTTTTTATTCATCTTTTGATTAAATCAATTATTTCGGTGTTTATGAATAACATAAAATTATGATAGGTTGTGCTGAATGCTATCCAGGCTATGCTTTTTCATTAAATACAAATACTTGTTAAATATAAGATGTAAAAGAATGTGATTCAGGAATTTATGATCAAGAAGAAAACTTTATTTGTTTAAAAAGTTCTATATTAACTACATCACTCTAAAATATAGATTGTTCAGAATTAGAAAACTGTTATCAATGTATTAAGTAATATACATATGCAATAATCAATTTTTGTATCATCTGTTAAGATGGATATTATTCAGAATGGCAAACTGGTATTTGTAAATAATGTCCAGAATATTGTAAGATTTGTGTGTAATAGCATGCTGATTAAAATGATTTTTGGAAATCTGATCTTAAAGCTTTTTATTTGTATTTTTTAAATCCTAATAAGGACAACGATTTTGAATATTACGGAATTATCTCAGATTCATTATAAATCCTATGTTTAGAATGTTTAAATAATTTCTTATTATATAAAAATGCTTGTTATATAGGATGCACAGATGAATGTTTAGATTGTAGAATTATTGAATAATTATAATCGCCTCCTATAATTTCAAAATGCTTTAAATGTAAACCTAATTAATATGGACTTGTTAGAACCTTAGTAAATTATTAATGTTAAAAATGTGCTCCTTATTGCATTCTTTGCTAAACTAGATCTAACTAAGAAATCTAATAAATTAATTCTTTTTTTGATATCACTTCTATTTACTATTATTACTCTATGAAATGCTTATTAAAATCTGACACTCAAAATGAAAATATTAATATTATTCCAAATACTCTTAATGTTATTAACTGTGGTGAAATGAAAAAATGCAACAAGTAGATTTTGAGTTTTTATAACATATACTGTAATAAAATATTAACCAATGATCCCAATGATTCATAAAAAAGATAATCTTTAACTTTTTATGATACACTCATATTAGGTGGAATCTAAAGATGGGAAGATTCAAGTTTAATGAATCTACTTAATGAATTAAGTATTCAAGATTTTACATATGATTTATAAATGAAATGTCAGGAACAATGTTATTAAAGTGCAGGATTCTATTCATCGATATAAACAAATCTAAAAACTTATACCTTTTATTTACGTAAGGTTAATTTAAATATTTACTCTAAGTCTAATTTATGTTCAATTCTCATAAGCCTTCCTTTCTATATAAATAATTTTAACTCTATACTTTTAAAAAATCTTGTATTTATTTCAAGCTATTATGAATAATTATCATAGTAAAAAGTAGTTAATGTTTTGTTCTAAATAAATAATCCACATGAAACTTTAATGATAACAATTGATAATTGTCATTTTACTTAAAATAAATTTGATATACCTCATTTTCTATCCCTAACAAGCAATAAACCATAAAACATACAATTGTTAAACTTAAGTCTTTACAATTTAAAGGTTTAAAAAAGTAAAGTGTTTGATTTTTAACCTAATCTTGATACAACAATTTCAACAATGGTTGTTCATAATTTTAAATTATAAGATTCTGAATTTGTGAATACATCAATTTACTATTTTAATGCTTTAGACAAGAATCTAAATTATGAATTATTTTTTGAAAATGTGACTATACTTAATACAAATTTTACCATAAATTCCTTTTTTATCAATTTAGAATTTGAAAATAATTTTTAGATTGAGAAAGTTGAAATAAAAAATATTTATCTCGAAAATGTTAATATAAATAAAAATTCTAGTTTTATCAAATTATTATCTTGTAAGAATCTTATTCTTAAAAATTTAACTATGAAAAATCTTTTTATATAAGGTAACTCTGCAGTAATATTAGCAAGGAATATTTTAATTAATTCAATTACTTTTGAGAATTCTTTTGTAAACTAAAGTTGTTTTATATCTAATACATAATCTAATGCTTAATTACTTTATTAAAATGATGAAATAAAAAAATTTGAAATTTATGATATAAGATTTATCAATAATAAATATTCTCATGAAAAAACCTTTTTCAAAATAGTCAGATTGGAAAGTGAAAATATTTTTGTTAATATTTAAAATCTCATCTTTTAAAATAACAATTACTTTAAGTTAGATTATGGTACTTAATAACTCAATTTTATTTCCTATAGATAGGCTTTAATATATATTGAATGTTCATTTTGTTATTTTCAAAATATAGAAATAACAAGAGGTGTTGGTTATCCTGAAATGGCAATAATGAAATCTAATGATTTATAAATTTAAAATTTAACTGTTGAATAAGAAATTGAAATACATAGAAAAACTAGATTTCTGCATTCCTCATTTGATTGCATAAGCAAATATCACTATTTGGATCTCTATTTTGTAATATATATATAACAATTTCATCAAGTATAATTAAAGCAAATATTCTTGTAAAATCTTGTTGGTAAAGATTATCCATTTATTGTTTTTGAAGGATAAAGTTTAACTGAAGAAGTTCGTTAAGGGATAATCATTATATAGGATTGTATTTTTCAGAATAATATATAAATAACAACTAAATTAAATATCTATTCAACCATTATTTCTATAAAAACTTAACAAAAAACAAATATTTAATTTGAAAATGTTATTTTTTAAAATAATTGGTTAAACAAGTATGAAGACGAAATTTAAATACATTCATCAACTACCTTAATAATAGAGACTTTTTAGGGGGAAATACTTTTGAAAAATACAAATTTTTCGTCGAATATCATCACTAATTCTTCTGATTCAGTCATATATATTAAAACTTAAAATCTAACCATTCTAAATTGTCACTTTAATAATTAGAATAATTTAAATCTGAATTTAATTAAAAGAAATATCCTTTGGGATATTAACTAAAATAATTTAGAATTATCATTAAAATATTTTTTTCAAACAATTTCATAAGGTGGAAATGGATAATTATTTGTAAATTCCATAAAAATTATTGATAGTAGAATTAATAATTCAATTGCACTTTAAGGAGGAGGATTTTATATATCTACTACTTCAGAAGGAAAAATTTAGATATTAAATTCATAATTTTTAAATACTTAAACTAACCTTAATGGATATTCAATCTCATAAGGCGGTTTATTTTATATAGATGCTCAAAATAGTAGACTTAATTTTTAAATGGAAAATAGTTTGATTTTTAGGTCTTATTCAAGATAAGAAGGTGGAGCTATATTAATTATTCCTTCAAGAATTGAAAATTATATCTATTTCAATAACGTTTCTTTTGAATCGTCATTTTCATTTAAATCCTCCATCTTATTTTATAATTCTAATTAACTACCAACCTTATCATCTTAAATTATTATCAACAATTCAAGATTTTAAAATAATGAATCAGAGTTTTATGAATATATCAAATTAATAGAAGATTTATCATTATAAGATGTTTAAACATATCAAATTTATAACCCTTCAATTAGTATATAATATAGTAATTTTAAATTATCTAATTCAATTTTTTACTAAATCCACTTAGCTAATTTAATTAAAGTAACAAATGTAAGAGAAATTCTATTAGAAAATATAATTATTTCTAATTCCAATATATTCAATTCTCCATTAATTACATTATCATTGTTAAAAAGTAATATTTTATTTGATATTTAGATTTTTAAGGGAATTTGTTAATTAATGGGTTATAGATAAAAAAGATAATCCAATATAATTATCCTTCTGTCCAATCATGTAAATCCAGTAAAAAAGAGTAGCTTAATAAATTAATATGTCCAATAACTAGCCTATAAATTGTTTTTGAACCTGAAATATATCTAAAATAAACTGACCTAACTAATTAATTAAATTGCAATCTAAATATTTTATACTCAAAACTCACCAATAATTTTGCTTTACTATAACTCACTGACTTTACATCATTACATTAAATAAATATAAATAATCTTGAAATTTTAGATAGTATCTGTAAAAATTGTTATTATGGACTTATAACAATATAATAATTAGAGTTTCAAAATATAAATTTAAAAATAGATTCCTTAAATATAAAAGATAATATATGTGGATAAATGGGATGCTTATCAATTATGAATAATTTTGATTCAAATGTTCTTGATTTTTCAGAATCTTCAAGAATTTTAATGCAAAATAATTTAAGTCTTTTGGAGAATTTTGTAGATTTTAATATTTCGACAAAACTCACAAATTGTTTATTTTTTAATAATTCTGCTTCATTTGGTGGCGGATGCTTTTTTGCTAATTTAAATATTTATTTAGATTAATGCATTTTCTTAAAAAACACAGCTTATAAAAGTGGAGGAGGAATTTTCTTTTTTTCTAAGAATAATAAAATCTTATTGACAAACACAAAAATATTAAATAATACAGCTTAAATTGCTGGTGGCATATATATAAGCCAGGACTAATTAAATTAAAATTAAAATTTTAATTTACTTATAAAAGACAATAAGGCTAAATAATTTGCAGATAATATTTATGAATAGCCATATAAATTATATTTTTCACAAAAATATAATATAACATAATAAAATAAAATTATACATAAGAATGAATCAACAATTANTCAAATTAATAGAAGATTTATCATTATAAGATGTTTAAACATATCAAATTTATAACCCTTCAATTAGTATATAATATAGTAATTTTAAATTATCTAATTCAATTTTTTACTAAATCCACTTAGCTAATTTAATTAAAGTAACAAATGTAAGAGAAATTCTATTAGAAAATATAATTATTTCTAATTCCAATATATTCAATTCTCCATTAATTACATTATCATTGTTAAAAAGTAATATTTTATTTGATATTTAGATTTTTAAGGGAATTTGTTAATTAATGGGTTATAGATAAAAAAGATAATCCAATATAATTATCCTTCTGTCCAATCATGTAAATCCAGTAAAAAAGAGTAGCTTAATAAATTAATATGTCCAATAACTAGCCTATAAATTGTTTTTGAACCTGAAATATATCTAAAATAAACTGACCTAACTAATTAATTAAATTGCAATCTAAATATTTTATACTCAAAACTCACCAATAATTTTGCTTTACTATAACTCACTGACTTTACATCATTACATTAAATAAATATAAATAATCTTGAAATTTTAGATAGTATCTGTAAAAATTGTTATTATGGACTTATAACAATATAATAATTAGAGTTTCAAAATATAAATTTAAAAATAGATTCCTTAAATATAAAAGATAATATATGTGGATAAATGGGATGCTTATCAATTATGAATAATTTTGATTCAAATGTTCTTGATTTTTCAGAATCTTCAAGAATTTTAATGCAAAATAATTTAAGTCTTTTGGAGAATTTTGTAGATTTTAATATTTCGACAAAACTCACAAATTGTTTATTTTTTAATAATTCTGCTTCATTTGGTGGCGGATGCTTTTTTGCTAATTTAAATATTTATTTAGATTAATGCATTTTCTTAAAAAACACAGCTTATAAAAGTGGAGGAGGAATTTTCTTTTTTTCTAAGAATAATAAAATCTTATTGACAAACACAAAAATATTAAATAATACAGCTTAAATTGCTGGTGGCATATATATAAGCCAGGACTAATTAAATTAAAATTAAAATTTTAATTTACTTATAAAAGACAATAAGGCTAAATAATTTGCAGATAATATTTATGAATAGCCATATAAATTATATTTTTCACAAAAATATAATATAACATAATAAAATAAAATTATACATAAGAATGAATCAACAATTATTGATTAGGTTATAATTTAACCATATACTTATTATGGGTCACAAATAAAATCAAAATAATTATTATTTCCTTCAGGAATTCCAATCGCAAATTATAAATATTTTGACTCAAATAAAAATTCTTATATTTCAAATGATTTAATTTTTAGAATAAGTGCTACAAATTCTATTAATGAGAAATTGTAAAATCTAAGTGGGACAAGTTGTTAAATATATGCTTAAAAAGTTAATAGTAAATTAGAGTAAGATTATAATAACTTAAATTTTGATGATAAAATTACATCAGAATATTTATCTACAAATAAAAAAGAATTTAATATGAATACTAGAGATTATAATTTTGATGACTTAATTATATATTTTAATCCTTTTTAAGAAGAATCAAATTATCTTTAATTAGCAATATAATGTAAAATACTTCAAATACCATAATATAGTGGAGAATTTCCATTTGGTATAATTTCAATAATTAAGAATTATTTATTATTGTTATAAATTAGAACTTTTCATTGTTAATTAGGAGAATACTTAAATTTATAGTCTGGAGGATGTGTAGAATGTGATATTTCATAGAATTAATATTCTGTTTCATTTAATGCTTCTAAATGTGAAACTAAAGATGAAATTAAGATTAAAAATATATAGCCAGCCATGATTGAATTAAGAGAAGGATATTGGAGACCATTTTATTTCAGTAAAATTATTGAAGAATGCTATCATCTAAATTTAAATTGTTTAGGTGGTTGGTTTGCAGGAAATCCTTCTTGTGCTTTTGGCCATATAGGAGCATTATGTGAATAATGTGATTTATATAATATAGCAGGAAATGGTTAATTTTCTCAAAGCAAAAAGTATTCATGCTCTAGTTGTGAAGATGTAGCTGGAAATATCGTTAATATATTATTGGTTATATTATGGACTTTATTTTCTGTCTTTTTGTCTGTTAACAGCACAATTAAAATGATAGAAGAGTTTATTCAATATACTAAACTTAAAACAATAGGAAAATTTATAGTATTTAAATCAGCATCAACTTCAGTTTTGATAAAAGTCTTTACAAATTATTTATAAATTATCAGTTCTTTAGCAACTTTTTAATTAACAATTCCTAGTGGAATAACTTTAACATTTACATCAGTAGGAAATCCAATAGAATCAATGGCATTCTCATTAGATTGTTATTTAGTTTAAGTGAGCTCTATACCAATTCATTATCTTCGATTAATATGGGGGCTCTTAATGGTTGGATTTTATATCTTTGCTTATATGTTTATTCATTTAGTCTCCTAAGTTGTTATCAATAAATTATAACCTAGCATAACATTTATAGTTACTACTTTAATATACATCTACATATATTTATCTCCAAATATTTTCGGAGGTTTGATTTCTTTATTATCATACAGAAATATTTCTAATATTGATTGGATTTCTGCTAATGTATCTTACGAATATAATACCTCATTACATTATGATTGGTTGGTCTTTTTTGTAACCCCAATATTTATTATAATTGGAATTATTTTGCCTCTTTTCTTTTGGTTTGTAGTTTATTATAATCGAAGTAAATTAGATACAACAAAAGTAAGAAAGATTTGGGGATATCTCTATAACGAATATAAAGTAAGTACCTATTATTGGGAAACAATAAAAATTATTTAAAAAGAATTCATTATTTTAGTATTAATTTATTATGAAGATTATATAGCAATAAAAGCAATTTTAATCTTTTTTATTTTGTATATATATGGTAATCTAACATATTAATATAAACCATACTAAACAGGAGATTTAAATCATATTGATTCTTTACAGACATCTATATGTAAAATATCCATACTGTTAGCATCACTTATCTTTACAGCCTAAAGTTTACAGATAAGAGAAATAATTTTGCCTTCTTACGTAATTCTAGCAGTAATTAATTTTGCATTTACCTTAAATATTCTTTCTAAAATTTTATTTGCTTACTTTGATAAATTGTAAGTGTAAATTGATTCTGTCAAGGCTTATTTTAGTTATAGATTTCCATATATTATTAAAAGCAATAAAATTTGTGTGAAGGTATTTAAAAACACAGTTGAAAGAAAATAAATAATTAGATAAAGATTTTTAATGATTAAAGCTTATTTACTTGCTGAAGCTAAATAAATAATCCAATACAAAGAGTATATATATATTATAGAGATTTTTTAGGTTCTAAAAGTAAATAAGTAAAACAAACAGAAAAATGTATGATGGTGGATTGTACGATAACTTTTCCTCCTCTCCATAGAATATCAATAAAATAATTAGACTAAATACAAATTACAATTCATCAAGATTTAATATTCATATCAAATAATCCTCTTCAGAAAATTGAAATTAATATCTAGAATATCAAAACATAAAAAAAAATAAATTTTAATATAATTATATATTTATTAATGAAAATTCAAGATTAAATTGATGAAAACAATTGTTAAAATATGTAATGATTGCAGGAGATTTAAAAGTTNATAATATAGTGGAGAATTTCCATTTGGTATAATTTCAATAATTAAGAATTATTTATTATTGTTATAAATTAGAACTTTTCATTGTTAATTAGGAGAATACTTAAATTTATAGTCTGGAGGATGTGTAGAATGTGATATTTCATAGAATTAATATTCTGTTTCATTTAATGCTTCTAAATGTGAAACTAAAGATGAAATTAAGATTAAAAATATATAGCCAGCCATGATTGAATTAAGAGAAGGATATTGGAGACCATTTTATTTCAGTAAAATTATTGAAGAATGCTATCATCTAAATTTAAATTGTTTAGGTGGTTGGTTTGCAGGAAATCCTTCTTGTGCTTTTGGCCATATAGGAGCATTATGTGAATAATGTGATTTATATAATATAGCAGGAAATGGTTAATTTTCTCAAAGCAAAAAGTATTCATGCTCTAGTTGTGAAGATGTAGCTGGAAATATCGTTAATATATTATTGGTTATATTATGGACTTTATTTTCTGTCTTTTTGTCTGTTAACAGCACAATTAAAATGATAGAAGAGTTTATTCAATATACTAAACTTAAAACAATAGGAAAATTTATAGTATTTAAATCAGCATCAACTTCAGTTTTGATAAAAGTCTTTACAAATTATTTATAAATTATCAGTTCTTTAGCAACTTTTTAATTAACAATTCCTAGTGGAATAACTTTAACATTTACATCAGTAGGAAATCCAATAGAATCAATGGCATTCTCATTAGATTGTTATTTAGTTTAAGTGAGCTCTATACCAATTCATTATCTTCGATTAATATGGGGGCTCTTAATGGTTGGATTTTATATCTTTGCTTATATGTTTATTCATTTAGTCTCCTAAGTTGTTATCAATAAATTATAACCTAGCATAACATTTATAGTTACTACTTTAATATACATCTACATATATTTATCTCCAAATATTTTCGGAGGTTTGATTTCTTTATTATCATACAGAAATATTTCTAATATTGATTGGATTTCTGCTAATGTATCTTACGAATATAATACCTCATTACATTATGATTGGTTGGTCTTTTTTGTAACCCCAATATTTATTATAATTGGAATTATTTTGCCTCTTTTCTTTTGGTTTGTAGTTTATTATAATCGAAGTAAATTAGATACAACAAAAGTAAGAAAGATTTGGGGATATCTCTATAACGAATATAAAGTAAGTACCTATTATTGGGAAACAATAAAAATTATTTAAAAAGAATTCATTATTTTAGTATTAATTTATTATGAAGATTATATAGCAATAAAAGCAATTTTAATCTTTTTTATTTTGTATATATATGGTAATCTAACATATTAATATAAACCATACTAAACAGGAGATTTAAATCATATTGATTCTTTACAGACATCTATATGTAAAATATCCATACTGTTAGCATCACTTATCTTTACAGCCTAAAGTTTACAGATAAGAGAAATAATTTTGCCTTCTTACGTAATTCTAGCAGTAATTAATTTTGCATTTACCTTAAATATTCTTTCTAAAATTTTATTTGCTTACTTTGATAAATTGTAAGTGTAAATTGATTCTGTCAAGGCTTATTTTAGTTATAGATTTCCATATATTATTAAAAGCAATAAAATTTGTGTGAAGGTATTTAAAAACACAGTTGAAAGAAAATAAATAATTAGATAAAGATTTTTAATGATTAAAGCTTATTTACTTGCTGAAGCTAAATAAATAATCCAATACAAAGAGTATATATATATTATAGAGATTTTTTAGGTTCTAAAAGTAAATAAGTAAAACAAACAGAAAAATGTATGATGGTGGATTGTACGATAACTTTTCCTCCTCTCCATAGAATATCAATAAAATAATTAGACTAAATACAAATTACAATTCATCAAGATTTAATATTCATATCAAATAATCCTCTTCAGAAAATTGAAATTAATATCTAGAATATCAAAACATAAAAAAAAATAAATTTTAATATAATTATATATTTATTAATGAAAATTCAAGATTAAATTGATGAAAACAATTGTTAAAATATGTAATGATTGCAGGAGATTTAAAAGTTAAATTTAGAGTTTTCAAAAAAAATTTATAATTCAAATTCTCCTTTCTCATTAATTTAATTTTAATAAGAAATTATTGTATATCTATTTGTATTAATATTTGATAAGTTTACTTAATGTATTTAAAATTATCATAATATTCTATAGGGGATTTTAGAAATTCTTATTAAGTATTCAGTCTACAATTTTTAGATCATTATTTATGGAAAAGTTGAAGATAAATTTAATTAATAACTTTTTAATAAAAAAATAATGAAATTAAATGCTTTGATTCAATTAAAGAGGTCTATTCATAAGCAAAAACAAATAAGTTCCATAAAAACTTCAGTTTATCTAAAAAAAAAATAAATTCTCAATAATACCAGATAATGCTTCTGAAATACCATTAAATTTTTCTCTGTCTAAATGATATAGATTCATATATTTCATTTAATATGAATGATAAAATAATTACTACTAATATCAAATATGTGAAATTTAATCAAGCTTATATTTATTTAAAAGTAGATGATGATAAGCTATTAATTCTAATATTATTGTGGGTTTGACTTAGAATTAAAATAGGATATTCTTTTTTCTCATTCCATTATTTATATTAGAACTAATTTAAACTTTATAGATTTTATTTTTAATACTTTACTTCTATCCAAAGTCAGAAACGGTTAGAGTTACCAAAATTAGTACTTATTATTGAAAAACTGCAACTAATTCTCCAAACTAATTCATAATTTTTCTTAAAAATTTATTATGAAGACTATTTTGAAAAAAAATATCAATCTTGTATTTTCCATACTTATAATTAATCTAGCAATTATACATAAAACTCATCCAAAATGTAGGCTTAAATCATTGTTAGTTCTTTTATAAAATAATTGTGTAAACTCGTATTTGCTAACTTTGCTGATTCGTAACCAAAAGATTAAAGAGAAATGATATAATTTCATCTCTTAAACAATCCTACATTTGATATAAATTAGAACTAAATTTAAAAATATTCTGAATTAATGATAGTAAAAGGATTTGTTTAATAGCATTTTAGAATATTGAAAAATATATTGGATGATGAATTTTAGGATCAAAGTTAATTGATTAGTTTTAGCTAATTTCAAGAGTATATATTATATTAATAATAAATTTTATTAAGTATAAAATAGATGTAAATAGGAAACATATGAAGTTGGGATGGACAAAATTTTTTCTTCTAATTCTCTTAATAAAAAGAAAATCATTAGACTAAATACATAATTTAATTAGTCTAGGCTTCACCTTTATATCAAATAATTTGTTATAAAATTGGTTTAAATTTTATTATTTGAGGTCAATTCAAACTTTTTTCTATATTAGACGAATTTCGATAAATATTATATATTTTAATAATTTTTTTTTTAAATCTTGAAAGTGATGAATAAGATAAAAGAGTTTTGTAGTGGGTACATTAAAACTATACTATTTGCGATTGAGTTTAAACCTCGATTTTAAGTATTTAAATCATTATTACAAAGTTTCCTCAAGAGTTTTTTATCATTCCTCATCTTTTACATCATGTTTAATTATTNTACCAGATAATGCTTCTGAAATACCATTAAATTTTTCTCTGTCTAAATGATATAGATTCATATATTTCATTTAATATGAATGATAAAATAATTACTACTAATATCAAATATGTGAAATTTAATCAAGCTTATATTTATTTAAAAGTAGATGATGATAAGCTATTAATTCTAATATTATTGTGGGTTTGACTTAGAATTAAAATAGGATATTCTTTTTTCTCATTCCATTATTTATATTAGAACTAATTTAAACTTTATAGATTTTATTTTTAATACTTTACTTCTATCCAAAGTCAGAAACGGTTAGAGTTACCAAAATTAGTACTTATTATTGAAAAACTGCAACTAATTCTCCAAACTAATTCATAATTTTTCTTAAAAATTTATTATGAAGACTATTTTGAAAAAAAATATCAATCTTGTATTTTCCATACTTATAATTAATCTAGCAATTATACATAAAACTCATCCAAAATGTAGGCTTAAATCATTGTTAGTTCTTTTATAAAATAATTGTGTAAACTCGTATTTGCTAACTTTGCTGATTCGTAACCAAAAGATTAAAGAGAAATGATATAATTTCATCTCTTAAACAATCCTACATTTGATATAAATTAGAACTAAATTTAAAAATATTCTGAATTAATGATAGTAAAAGGATTTGTTTAATAGCATTTTAGAATATTGAAAAATATATTGGATGATGAATTTTAGGATCAAAGTTAATTGATTAGTTTTAGCTAATTTCAAGAGTATATATTATATTAATAATAAATTTTATTAAGTATAAAATAGATGTAAATAGGAAACATATGAAGTTGGGATGGACAAAATTTTTTCTTCTAATTCTCTTAATAAAAAGAAAATCATTAGACTAAATACATAATTTAATTAGTCTAGGCTTCACCTTTATATCAAATAATTTGTTATAAAATTGGTTTAAATTTTATTATTTGAGGTCAATTCAAACTTTTTTCTATATTAGACGAATTTCGATAAATATTATATATTTTAATAATTTTTTTTTTAAATCTTGAAAGTGATGAATAAGATAAAAGAGTTTTGTAGTGGGTACATTAAAACTATACTATTTGCGATTGAGTTTAAACCTCGATTTTAAGTATTTAAATCATTATTACAAAGTTTCCTCAAGAGTTTTTTATCATTCCTCATCTTTTACATCATGTTTAATTATTAGCCTTATTTTTGGATAGATCTTCTGATTAATAATTTGATTATGTTGTTTTACTATCCCATTTCTCTTTGTTTGAACCTATGTTAACGGAAAGCTTAAGCAAAATATTTCTATTTGTAATTTTTGCATTTTAAATAATTTTACTATTTTATCTACTTATTGCAACATTTGAAACTTAAAGAGTAGCTTTAAACTTTAAATTAAGATTAATTTTAGAGAAGAAGATAGAATCAGTTAATTCTATTTTGCACTGGTACTTTACATTTTATAGTGTCTTCACAATACCAATAATTGTAATTAGTGTTAAATTTATGTTAACTGATTATTATTTTTTTGGTTACTTTAACGCAATTATCTAATTCTATTAAGGAATAATACTTATATATTTGTTAAGAAATCATAGATTTGCTGAAAATAATTCTTTTAAAAGAAGATTTGCCTATGTTTAATTGTTCAATTATACGATTAGTTTCTTATTAATTTTTTTTAGATTTTATTCAGAAATTACATTTGTTAAATATATAATTGGATTTTCTTATGCAATTTTGCAAATAATTGATCAATTTTATAGTTGCCCATATAGAGATCCTTTTCGAGAGCCATCTTTAAAAGTAGCAATGATATTATTGAGCAGTATGTTCATATGCTTACTGTTTTCATTGGAAACTATAATAGATGGATAATTATTTTGGACTTTATTTGTGGCTGGATTAATGAGTGGTGTATCAACTTCAATAAGTTCATTATTTCATGAATTTGCTATGACAAATTATAATTCTCGTTTCAATTTATAAGAAAAATATATAATTATTGGAGTAGATTAATTTTATAGTCACTTTAATCATTTTTAAACAAGTGAATATAATAAATTAACTTACTTTTAATAATTGATAAAACATAATGAGAATTGTTTAAGGCCTAAATGTCCTTCTTAAAGATCTAAATTATCTAAAATTAATTTTAATGATAAAATATAATTACAAAAACTAACAATTGATGTAGTAAATTGTATTTTTAAGACTTGTCATAGTAGAACTGTAGTAAAAAATGGTGAAATTCATAAACCTAAATTTGAGCAATTACAATTATAATACATTAGTTTTTTATCTTTAACAGCCTAAAGACCATTAATTGGCTATGTAGAGTTAAGAAGATATTAATAAGATTAAAATAGTGATAATTCGTTATATTTTAGAGAATTGACATCAAAAATTTCTGCTGAGTTGGAATTTTCAATTTTATATCTTCAAGAAAGAATGATTTAATAGTAATTTAGAAAGGAAAGATATATTGGAAGAGAAGAAAAATTAACAATTGCATAATTGTGGAGAAGTGTAAATTTTTACTAAGAAATAACTCCTAAAATAATAGATGTGATAGAAAAGAAATAAAAGTTTTGGGATAATTTAATTGAAGGTTATGATGATTTAGAACCATTTCATAAAGAATAGCTTTAATTATGTAAATCTATAGATGAATTGTATAAGAAAATTAAATGTATAAATTATGATAAATATTTAAGCCACAATTGTGATTCCAGAGGTGTTTTTTGATAGATCAAAGGATATCAGTTTATAAACAGTTCTCAAAACATTGGATCCAGAAGATAGAAATATTAATATTCTAAATTTGAAATTATATTCTATTCTATATTCAGTTATATTGAATGATTTTGATAGAGTAATATATGATTATATTATTTTAGGCATTTTAAGCAGAAAAATAAATAGAAGATTTAATAAAGGAAGATAGATAGAAATCTATTGAAGTAATTGATGATTGTGCTTTATTAAAAGATGAAGCTGTTATTATCTTAGTGAGTCTTGTAAAAAAGAAGGGACATATTGTGAATAAGAATTTGTTAACATTAGCTAATTTTTTTGAGTTTTAAAATGTTTAAGATATAGCAGGAGTATATATTTAATATATATTGAAGTAAACATAAATATCATCTTTCCTACCACCTGATTTAAGGACATTACATGATGCATCCTTGAATGATTTTGTTTCAAAGGGATTTACAAAATACTCAGTTTAAAGCATTCATTCCTTTTATTTATAAAAATAGGGTTATTTGAGAGAATGTTACATTAAAATGGGAAATTTATTTTAAGATCCATCTGATTTTATATTAACTGGCTCAGTTCTTAGATTATAAACTTCTTATGATGTAATTATGTTTGATAGCTATGGTAAAATTATTGGATGTACTTAAGATTTTTTTGAAAAAAGAATTTTACCTAATAATCCTAATTTTACTATGGAAAGATTTGTAGAATAAGGACATATTTTTATGTTGATGCCATTTATTTTAATAAATTTAAGAAAACTGGCTAATGAAATTGAAACAGAATTTGTAGATTATACTTATTTTCCAGAATGTTTATAAGATATCGGTTTATAATTTGGATAAATTTTTAATGATAGATAAAAATATGATCAAAAATTATCATCCTATAATTTAACTACAATAAAATCATAATTAGCTTCTCATGCTTCAGCAATCTCAGCCAGAAGTTATAATAATTAAGATGAATAGGTGAAAATTAAAGGGTTAAATATTCCTATGTTATAAGTAGATAAAGTGAATTTAATACTTGATTTTTTATAGAAATATCATGATGAAAAATCTATTAAATGTGATATTCTTAAAATCAAATATAATATAGAATTTTAAATAATGGAAACAAAAAAAGAGAGATATCCTTATTTTATTCTAAAATCAGAACCTCTAAGTGAATTTGAAAGATCTGATTCAAGTTCAATCATACCTTATAAAAAATCTATTAGAAGAACTTTAATAGCACTTAAATATGGAGAATCTTAAACTGGAGTAGATTCATCAAATTCCAAAAATTTTATAACAAGAAATTTTTAATAATACTAAGATTAATTAAATGAAACTACAGATATAAAAGGACCTTCAGATCAACATTTATTAGAATAGATTATGGAAATAAATGACATATCAAATACTAAAAAATAATAGGATGAATCAAAAGTAGTTTTTGAAAATCCACAGATTTCAAGGATTGAAGATCAAGATTTCTAGTAATTAGTTAATGAAATTGAAGAAAGTAAAATAATTGTTTAACAACCTGAATAAGAGTAATTTGAAGATCCTAAATATGATTCTGAATTGATAGAAAAAAAGTCTGATAGTTCAAAAGATTTAAAATAAAAAAAAAAAAATAATATATTGGATATTTTAAGAAAAAATATTGCTAATTAAGAAGTTTTAGATCATGAAAATAAATAATCTTCTAAACCAAGTACAACAAAAACTTCTTCATCAAAGTCTCCTTATCTATTAATTAGATCTCTATATTAACTTGGAGAAATTAATACATAAATTTGGCTTATTATCATTGTAAATATTGTAGTTTGTTTGACAGCTTTAATTTTGGTTTTCATTAAAAATTACATTATTTAAGGTAATTATTTCAGTTATAATTTAAGATTAATTTGGAATTCTTTAAACTAATTTAAATTATGTTCAATATCCAGAAAAAATCAATAACTACTTTTTAAAAACTTTAATGTTTTCTTCTAACATTCTTCATTAAAATTTAGGACTTGTAAATTATAGTTAATTAGTGAACAATGCTATTAAAACTGAATTTAGTAATTTAGCATTAAATATCGAATACGATTTAAAAAGTATTTATGAAGATATTATTGCCTTTGAAAATTAAGTAATACCATTAAATGATGATCTCAAAATAATCAATAATTTATAAGAGTTCGCCATTATATTTGATTTAACAATATTATTAGAATAAATTTCATCGAATTCAATTAATTTAAATTAGTAAATCGAAAATGAATTAGATGAAAAATTCTTATCATTAAATTTATTTTTTAAGTTAAATATGGTCTAAGTAATTACAGTAAGTAAAAGTTATATCAATTATTTAAATGAAAATTTAATTTTTTATGAGTAATAAATTGTTAATGCTTTAATTTATATTGTTGTGGCAGAGCTTTGTGTAATAACAGCTTTTATGTTTTTGATAATCAAAGTATTATAAGATGTAAATGATTTAATTAGAAAAATATTAATTCTTATAACAAAATTAAGTGAAGATGATGTAAATTAAATTAATAAGATATATAATGAACTAAAAATTATTTTAAAAGATCCAAAATAAGTTTTATGGAAATCAACTAATTTTGTTAAATACATTTTTGAATCAAACTTTGTAAAGGTAAAATAGGATATAAATTTTCTCTAATCTTCTATTGGATCAAACCCTTCAAATAATAGCAAATAGAAATAAAAAAGGAGATATTAGAATAGTTCCTTAACTTCAAGAGTGTATAATTTAAGATTGCCTTAGATTTGGAATTATGCATTCTTATTTTTATCGTGGTTATTTTTAGCTGGATATTTATTGGGTGCATTAGGATTATCTATATCAATGGTTTAATCGATTAAACCAGCAATAACATTAAATTTATAATTAATAGAATTTAAATTAAAATTCGATTCTTTAATAGTTTATGGAGAAATATTGAAAACAGATCATTTGGTGAATGAAAAATTAAATAAAATTTTTCAATTGTCTTAAATTTAATTTAATTTAAGTGGGGTTTTAACAGAATTTTTTTCTTTACAAGAAGGTTTTTAAGATTAATTATCTGTAATTTATGATTAATTAGCATCAAGCGCATCCCTTTTAGAAGAATAAAAAAACTCCTTATTGATTCCTTTTAGAAGTTCACTTTGTGAAAGTGATCCTACTTTAGTTTCATCTTGTACATCTTCTTTAGAATCATCCTCTTCAGACAATAGTTTGGATTATATATCTGGAGGAATAGTTGATATGGTACATGAATTTTCTAAAACTTTGAAAACATTCTGGTAGTCAAATGATTATGCTATAACTGATTATAATCAATTAGAATCTTTTTTATCTGGGTAAGTTCACACAACACAATTTATCCATCATTTTCTATTTCAAGGAAAAATTATGGAATAAATTGCAAGTACTATGCTAAGTTTAAATAAAAGCACTTTAGACTCAGTTACTTAAAAGTTCCAGATTTATATGTATACTATGGGATTGACATTGATTATCATATATATTATATGCTTTTACAAATGGATTTTAAGGTTAGATAATACAATGTATTTAACAAAATTAGCTTTAACTTTAATTCCTGCAGATTCGTTGAATGAATAAAAGACAATGACTGACTTAAAAAATATTTAAAATGATTGAGAATCATTATTATCTATATTCCACAAATAAAAATATGCTTTTAAAATTATTTATAATAAAACATTAATTTTTACAAATGGCATTCAAAATAGTTTTCAATAGAAAAATCCATAAATTGCCTCTTCATATAACTACTATATAGGCAATAAAATCTGCAATCGAAAAACTCTATCCTCAAATTGATCCTAATTATCATCTCGTTTTTTTCCATAACTAAGAACCTCTTGAAGTAAGAATTAAAATAATCTTTTAAGTTAATACATGAAGATGCATTACTAATACTTTTAAAGATTTTGTAATTGTCTTCTTATAAATTATTTGTATTTGAAAACAACATTGGATAATTAACAGAGGAAGGTATTTTTAGCATTTAAATAATTAGATCTCAAATTTATGGAATAATCTAGTATATATTCTGCTAGTATAATTTAGATTGATTAAAATCTAAAATAATAATAAACCAGACCAGATCATTAATAATAACAGCAACTTTATAAAATAAATAAATAAAAACCAAATAATGAAATTGAGCAGTAATCAATTTAAAAATAGATGACTTAACTATAACAATAATAGCCTTAATGGTAATACCAAGAAAAACCCTAATAATAATATTAATAATATTAGAAACTTTCAGAATAAAATAATAATTATCAAGGTTTAATAAAAGGATATTAGTAAATTTAACCTTAAGTTCCTTTGAGTTCATAGTTTTAATATCCATAATTTGTATAAGAAATAAATCAAGAGGCTTTTTAGATTGAAGTGATTTAAAATTAATAGGTTTAAAGTTATCCAGATAGAGAATTTATATGGAGATTAGTATTAAAGAATTCAGGAACAAGAATTTGGCCTTAAACTTTAAAAATAAGATGTATTGATAATCCTTTCAAAACTTAATAATTACTCTTGCCTGAAGCTATACCTGGATAGACTGTTGAAGTTTCGATATAATTAAAGGCTCCTTTAAAAATAGATTCATTATTTATAAATTGGGGCATTTATTACTTGGAAAATACTTTGGAGTTAGCATTAAAATAAACAATTTGTCTTTTTTTAGAAGTCATAAAANTAAAAAATATTTAAAATGATTGAGAATCATTATTATCTATATTCCACAAATAAAAATATGCTTTTAAAATTATTTATAATAAAACATTAATTTTTACAAATGGCATTCAAAATAGTTTTCAATAGAAAAATCCATAAATTGCCTCTTCATATAACTACTATATAGGCAATAAAATCTGCAATCGAAAAACTCTATCCTCAAATTGATCCTAATTATCATCTCGTTTTTTTCCATAACTAAGAACCTCTTGAAGTAAGAATTAAAATAATCTTTTAAGTTAATACATGAAGATGCATTACTAATACTTTTAAAGATTTTGTAATTGTCTTCTTATAAATTATTTGTATTTGAAAACAACATTGGATAATTAACAGAGGAAGGTATTTTTAGCATTTAAATAATTAGATCTCAAATTTATGGAATAATCTAGTATATATTCTGCTAGTATAATTTAGATTGATTAAAATCTAAAATAATAATAAACCAGACCAGATCATTAATAATAACAGCAACTTTATAAAATAAATAAATAAAAACCAAATAATGAAATTGAGCAGTAATCAATTTAAAAATAGATGACTTAACTATAACAATAATAGCCTTAATGGTAATACCAAGAAAAACCCTAATAATAATATTAATAATATTAGAAACTTTCAGAATAAAATAATAATTATCAAGGTTTAATAAAAGGATATTAGTAAATTTAACCTTAAGTTCCTTTGAGTTCATAGTTTTAATATCCATAATTTGTATAAGAAATAAATCAAGAGGCTTTTTAGATTGAAGTGATTTAAAATTAATAGGTTTAAAGTTATCCAGATAGAGAATTTATATGGAGATTAGTATTAAAGAATTCAGGAACAAGAATTTGGCCTTAAACTTTAAAAATAAGATGTATTGATAATCCTTTCAAAACTTAATAATTACTCTTGCCTGAAGCTATACCTGGATAGACTGTTGAAGTTTCGATATAATTAAAGGCTCCTTTAAAAATAGATTCATTATTTATAAATTGGGGCATTTATTACTTGGAAAATACTTTGGAGTTAGCATTAAAATAAACAATTTGTCTTTTTTTAGAAGTCATAAAAGAATGTATAAATAATAAATTTATAATTAAGAGCCTGAATAAAGATTTATAGGAACGTTGTTATTAGTTAAAGCAGAATAAGTAAAGGCTATAATGACCGATTTGAGTATAAATTACATATGCAAGTTCATAGAACAACATAGAATTTTACAATGGAGAGTAGATGAGATTATCAATAAGATCTATGATGAATAATCTTAAAAATGATATTTTTAAAATGAATTATAAATTAACCGAGTGTCTATAAGATTAGGATCAGCTACCAGAAATTATTGGTGAATTTATAACTCCAACAGGTAAACGAAGAGTTTTACATGGATTTTGTAATTAAATTATAGTTGCCAACAAGAATAAATTCATTTCATTGTCATTTGAAACCAAATTTCAGTTATTAAGAGAATAAGTGGAAGAAAAGTTTAAAGTTGGAAAACCATTAGGATTGTTGATTGAAAGAGAGAATATTTAGCATAAAATAAAGTTATTTTCAGATGATACTTAACTTTTGAAGAAATGGAGAGATTATTTAGCAAAATATATAAATTAAAGAGGATTTCATGAAAGTTTTAAAGCACATCGTAAAATAGGGAAAGGTAATTTTGCATCAGTGTATTTGGTTGATCGTTTAGAAGATGAAAGAAGTTTTGCAATAAAAGCATTTTCAAAAGAAATAGCTTATGGTTAAGATAAAGGAAAGGTAAAAATTATAAATTCATTATAGATGTCTATATTGAATGAGATTTAAGTGATGAGATAACTTGATAGTCATGCTCTTATAAAATTGCATGAAGTTTATGAAACTGATAATTCATTATATATGGTACTAGATTTATTGGAAGGAGGTTCGTTGTATGATAAAGTAAAAAATAGACCATAATTTAATTCATTTGAAATAGAAATACTTATATTTACACTATTAGAAGGTTTATAATAGATGCATTCAAAACATATAATGCATAGAGATTTAAAACCAGAAAATATATTATTTAGAAAGCCAAAGTAATTAATAATTATATAAGTAATTAGTAATATATAGTCAGTTTGTATAGCTGATTTTGGGTTGGCATAAAATGCTGATGAATATCCATATTTATTCAATAGATGTGGAACACCAGGATTTGTAGCACCAGAAGTTTTAAATTGTAAAGATGGAGGAAGATATGATCCAATATGTGATGTATATAGCTTAGGATTAATATTTTATATTTTGTAAATAATATTATATTTAATATTTATAGATTAACTGGTAAGCCTGCATTTCCAGGTAAAAGTTATAATGATGTATTGGCAAAGAATAGAAAATCTGAGATATCATTTGAGGGAGCCTTATTTGAGAATGTTCCATAATAAGCATATGATTTATTAAGAAAGATGCTAGAAATAGAACCGAATAAAAGGATTACTGCTTAATAAGCTCTTGAACATTCATATTTTAGTAGAAGATTGAAATAAGTAGAAGAAAATGAAGAAACAACATTTAATGTATAGGAGGGACATTTGAAATTTGATAAATAGAGATTAAAATAATTAAACAATTCACCATTACATTCACCTTTGATTACTGCATCATCAAGATTAAGAAAGGATTGTTCAAATGATAGTTTATATTAAAACAGTCCCTTATTAAATGGTCATACTGATTAAATCGGTATTATTATATTTTATTTAAATAAGATTCTCCTTCTAATAATGGATTTAATAGTCCATCAGCTTAAAGTAGATCATTAAATAGAGTCGAATAATAATAATAATAATCGAAACCATCGCGATTTAGAGATGTCGATGGAACTAATACTAATTGTTAAGGAAGTAATTCAAATTAGAGTTCTAAACCTTTTATTTTAAATTAAAATCCTTTACATAAATATGCAATCAGAAATGAAATGGCTAGATAGTAAAATAATCAAGAATAAAAGTAATGAGATAAATAATCTGAATATATATTTTATCATTCTAAAATATCCTATTATATTTATATGATTGTCAGATTGTTACAATAAATAAATATTTATTGTTAAGATAATTTGAATGCACGGTAATAAAAAAATAGAATAGAATTTTAATGAACTCTTGTTCCTTCCACATATTAATAGCAAATCTATAGCAATTAATGAATCAATGAGAAGATAATTGAGTTTGTAATGCAAAGATAACTTTTTGTAATTTCTTGTAGTTTAAAAGGCAGGAAAGGTAAATTTAGTTTGAAATAGGCCTGGTGATGTAGTATTTTTAGAGAAATTAAAATAGTAATATCGATCAGAATTCAAGACTAAACCTCTATAGATTTCAAAATCACATATTTCTTATTTAAAGTAAAAAGATGAAAATGAGAAATAACTGAAAAAATAAGCATATCTTGTCTTGAGTGGACGTCAAATGAGATAACAAACACCTTTGGATGAATTTATAAAGAAAAGACATGAAAAAAGTGTAAATTAGACAGCTTCTCTTGGAGATGGATTAAATACAAAATCAAAACTTGATATATTTAACATATGAATTATTAATTAAAATGAGTGACAGTATTGATATAAATGATATTATTAATCTGAATAGGTATTGTATCTAAATATGAAGAAACATCTATGGAACTTAATAGTAGAATAAGGAAAGTAAAATGCTTTAAAAACCAGCAGATGATTCAAGTGTGACAATTAATAACATTTTAATTGGAAATCAGTATAATGATATATCTAAATATTAGAGCATTCTATGCACCAGTTGCAATGAAAACAGAATAAGTAATTGAAAATATTGTAGAGGAATCAGCTGAAGAAAAAACAGATTTCTTTCAAGAAGTCTAACTATTAAGTAAAATCCCTGAAATAACATCTCTCAATTTAATATATAATTATAAGACAATATTTAAGAATGATGGTATTCCTTATGATGAAGCAAAAAATTTAGATAAAAGTACTTAATTAATCAATAGAAATAGCGAGAATAAAAAGAAAAGAAAGAGAATAAAAAGGTAGTGATACATCTATTGCTAAGGAACCTGTTGTTGTTAAGAAATAATATGTTAAATTGTATAAGAATTAGATATCAAAATTATGCTTTATAACTCCAAAAAGTTTATTTATAATGAGCAAATATTTAATAAATAATACAATGTGGGAGAAGCACTTAAATCTTTAAGATTTTGGAGGTTAGAGACCATCTTTGTCAATAGTTTAAGAGAAAACAACAGGTCGTTTTTACATTTATGATAATAAATAAGGAAAGGTTCATATATATAGTTCAGATATACTGATTAATGATAATAAGAATAAACCACTTGTATCTTTGAATTTAAATGAAGATAAGCCAAGATAAGATCCACTTTTATATTTAATTGAATGTGAACATGAATATTAATGGAAAAGTGTTTTATTTGTAATAGGTGGACATCAACTTTAAAGAGGAGAAAAGAAACCTTTAAAAACAATTAAAGTTTTTGAGATTAAACGTAGAGAAGTTACACTTTCTCCTGTTCTTACTATAACAATGACTAAATCAAGAATGAATCCTATTGTATTTGATTTAATCAAAGATAAAGGAATTATTTGGTAAGATAAAGATAATAGAGATAAAGAAAAGTTTGATCCTTAACATAGATCAGTAGATTCAAAATATATCTTTTTTATGGGAGGTAACCCTTTATTGGAATATGAAAAAGAAATAAGTTAAGAATTAATTGAAGCTAATTAAACTTGTGAATATGTAAGTTTGAAATTAGTTTTAGAACATATCGCTAGAGCAAAATTAGTAATTATTATTTATAACATAGTTTTTTTAAACTGATTAAGCTAATTTAGGTTTGAATTTTGGTAAATTTTCAATTGTTGATACTCTTACAATAAAATATTAAAACATAGTAGCTACTTAAAAGGTTTATAATCATTTTTATAATGCATCAGTAACTAAAATGAGTGATGAAGTATTTTAATAAAAGGCATTGATAGTTGTTGGAGGAAATACTTGCTAAACATTTTAAATATAAACTATATCATTTAAACAAAATGAAATAACTTTGATTGGTTATAATAAATAAATCTCAAATCCTTCTCTCATTCATTCAGCTAGTAATTTAAGGTATATTGTATTATAATTAGATATTTTGATAAAAAGGTTTGGTATTTTGATGATACAAATAAAAAAGATCCTCTAGTTTTAAAGAATATGGATTTCAGAAGAGATATAAAAACATCATGTACTTGTTTAATTATGTGATAGTTAATAAAATAAAAATTTTCTTATTTATTATTATTATTATAAAATGTTAAATTTTAAGAATGTTTTCAAATTATTTATTTAAGCTAAAACTACACCGAACCCAAATTTTTTGAAATTTATTCCAGGAGGTAAGTAAGTTATGATAAATGGAACTTATGATTTTTCAAGACCTAGAGAAGCTAAATGTTCTCCTTTGGCTTAAAAACTATTTATGATTGATGGAGTGACAAGAGTTTTTTATGGAAAAGATTATATTTCTATATCAAAGAAGGAAGAAAGCAGATGGGAAGAACTAAAACCATAAATATTTGAACATATAATGGAACATTATTAATTAGATTAAGATGGATAGGAAAAATAATTAATTATTGATGGTTATAAAGAAAGCCAAGACACTTAAATAAATGAAGATGATTCAGAAGTATTATATTTATATAAAAATAGGCTGTTTAATTAATTAAAGAGATTATTGACACTCGTATTAGACCTACAGTTTAAGAGGATGGTGGAGATATAGTATTTAGAGAATTTGATGAATAGAAAGGAATTGTACATTTATATATGAAAGGATCATGTGCAGGATGTCCATCATCTTCTGTAACATTGAAAAATGGAATTGAAAGAATGTTGTGTCATTATGTTGCTGAAGTCAAAGAAGTTCTCGCTGAAGATTATATTGGTTCTGATTGAGTAAAATTAAGATTTTTGGACTTTAAATTAATCAATCATCATCTGATTTATATTCTTCTTCTTCTTCATTCATTTCATCAATTTGATCATCATTTATTTAATTACTATACAAGTTTTTTATTTATTCACCTTCTTCTTATTCATCAAATAATAATTAAAATCTATTGTTTTCTAATATATTATCATAAAAAAGTAAATGTTTTTTATTAGGAGGCCATTATGATTATTCTGGTGGTGGTACTAAAGTATCTATAGATAATCTTAATATATATAAATAAAATATTACCTAAATGCATTTTCTATCATTGCTGGTATTATTCTACCTAATAATGGAGAACTTAATTCTAAACAAGGATTTGTATTTATTTCTATTAAATAAGGTTTAAATTTTTCATCAATCATAAAATCTAATCCAAATATTTCAAAATTATAATTCTTTTTATATGGCTCTATCTTATTATAAACTGATTTTATAGCATTTAAAGTTATCATTTTTAATTTTGGATACAAATCTCTATAAAAATCCAAGTGATCATTACTGTACCATTTATCTAAATATCTTTAAAACTCAGCAAAAGATAATTTATTTCCATTTTCATATTTTCCATAACCTTCACTATTTTTCTATATTGCATCATTCGTCAAATGAACATACTAATTACTCACATCATTAATATTAAATTCTTCACTAGATGTTCTTAAATAACCTTCTTCATACCAATATGCTCTTATTACATTATTTAATTAAGTTATCAAAAAATAGCATCTAATATCAAACTTCCTTTTATTATATAAAAAAGGTTTTTCTATATATTTTTAAATTAAATAAGTAAAAGGTTTTCCATTTGGATGGATTTGTCTTTTACTTACAATCCTATGAATCTCATTCAAGTTTTAACAAACTATTATTCCATTACCTCTATTAGTGAATTCTCCTGGCTTTACAATCCATATACTATTTCCCTTTCTTATATATAATTAAATATACTTTTCTTTATAATATTCCAAAAACTATAAGTATGACTTATCTTTTATACTAGATACATGAAATGTAATCGGTAAATGCAAAAATAAATCTTGCTTTATTAATTCATAATATTTTTTCATATTATGAAACATAGCCTTCTTATTACCGAGATGGTGATTACTTTCAATATGATTGTGAATCTAAACTATTAAAATGATATACTTTATGAATATTTTCTATAGTTTTAAGTCCTTTTTTTTCAACGTATTTTTAAAAGCTTTACACTGATTTATCAATGGTTTTTAATTCATTTACGTCCTAGTCACTCACTAGTTTTTGTAAAGGATCATCAAATTTTCCAAATTTTATAGATTTTTTTTATGATTTAGGTGATTATTATTTTTTTGATTATTTTAAATCTGTTTATGTATAAGATACAGATTTTTTGCGAATTAAAATGGATTCCTTACTCCATTCTTATAGATTCATGTATGAAGGTGCTTTAATTTATGTCCAAACAAAATTACATTCTTTATTTTCTGCTTCCTAAGTTAATGTCCACCACCATCTTTATTTAAATGTCTCCTTAATTAATAAACTGTTATTTCCTTTTCCAACTTTAAATTATAATTCAATTTAATTGTCGGATGGGACTACATAAAAATTGCTTTATGTTGATACAATAAATAAAAAGTAATGATAATTCAACAATTTTGTCTAGAACAGCTAATCTCTGCTCAAACTTGAATATTCATTTAATGAAAATCTAAAATTTTAATTATTTCTCATGCTTTATTATGAGATATTTTTTATTTAACTCTAAGGAGATTCTCTCTTTCTTTATACGGATCGACTTATACTTTCTCTTATATCTATTGATTATTTTGGATATTCTCTCTCCTTTTCTTAAGAATAAGCTTTTGTTCTTAGAAACTATTATTCTTATTATTTGGATGACTTGATACGCAATCCTAAAATAGAAAAAAAATTTTTATTTTCTTTTTCATTTTCTTATTAATATAACAATCCTAAAATGTTGTTTAATAAGGTTTTGGTTTTATTGCTACCATTTTACTTAGATAAAGTTTTTTTTAAATCATTTATGTTTAATGTTTTTTCTTCAACCGGATCTATTTAAGTACCTTATTAGTTATTTTATAAATTTTAAATTTTATCTTTTTTTTAAACAATCGAATCTTAATGTTTTGAATTAGAATATGCTAAACATATTGTTACTTCTTTTTATAAAGACCCTTTTCTCTACTCTAAAATATTAAATTTAATTATACATTCAATTTATTATTACTAAACTATTTATAAGGCCCTAGCTAAAGATAAATGTCTTTAATCGTGCTATCTTTTATAATTTTAATGTTCAACATTTCTTTTTAATTTGTTTCGTTATAATTGATTATTTCTGTTAGATTACCTAGAAACAAATGCACTCATTGGATGTACTAGAGTTGGATTGTAAATTGTCTAAAATTATGGAGTATATGGGTAAATTGCTAAATCCTCTCTATTCATGCTTAATAGGAGTATTAATTTATATATATAATATTATTATAATTTCCTATCAAATCGTTAAAACTTTTTGATTTTCACTAATAAATCATAGAATTTAAGTAACTTTTCTCTATTGACACATGTAACTATTCAAAGAATAGTTTTTTAGTAATTAGAAAAGAATAGATTCTAAAATAAGATTTTTCTTTGGAGAAGAAATAACAACAATTATAGTAGGTAGCATGAAAATAAGAAATAATGTTAAAAGATTAAACAAATTTCCTAATAAATATTGAATGTTATTAAGCAGTTCTAGAAATTTTTTTTTTTTTTAATTAATTAATTTATAGAATTACTGAAAATTCTAACGAGTGAAATCATGTCCAAAAAAAAAATTAGAAGTGACTTTATTATAAAAAAATAATTGGACAAATAAATAAAAATATTTATAAAAACTGATTATTAATAAATAGAATTGAAAAATGAACCCTCAATGTTTACTATTCCTCAAAAAGAAGTTTGAACCCTTGTATCATAGTTAATTTGATATCTAATTTTTATTTTTTTATTTTACAGAATATTGATAAATTTTAAAGAGAAATGTATTAAACAAAAACACTTGAAATTTCAGAAATACAATTAACAAAACTCAAAACTCAATAAATCATATAATACAAAATATTCTAATTTTCCATAGAATGGAAGAATTAAATTTGAAAACATTTTTCTGAAACTAAGAGAAAATTGTGTCTTAATATTAGAAGAATTATCATTTAAACAAAATAGAAAATAACATTCATATTTTTAATTAAATTTAGATAAAATTTTCTAATAAAAACTATTTTATCAGAGCTCAAAAATTAGATCCTCTTAATCTTCTACTTTTCCTATTTATTGAAATTGAATCTATCTTAATTATATATAATACATAATTTGAATGCGTTTTAAGTTCATCTTTAACTTATTCTAAAAATTCATTGTGATGAAAATATTAATTATTCATTTTTTTATTTAATTCCTCCTTTAAAAATGGATAAGCTGGTTATAATTAATCTTAATTCATAAGAGTATTTAATTATCTAGATAAAACTAAAAATTAATTCTGCTATTACTAATTATATTTAATAAATTCAACAAGAGAAGTAATTTGATTGCGTGTAGTAATATAATTTTCATGCATTTTTTTTCTTATTGCTTCTAACTCTTGGTTTCTCTTTTTTATATCCTCTTTTTATTTCTATTCTTAAAATTCTAATTGATTTTAATCAATTTAATCCTAGATTTTACTTGGACTTATTTTTTATTCTTCTAAAGGATTTAAAATAGGAATAAGAGTATTTTTAATTTAAGAATATTCACTGTTCAAAACAAAAGATTTGGATAATGTGTTAGGAACATTTAAAATTTAAGTATACCCATTTTTATTTGATTAAGGCTCTTAAGAAAAAGCTTATATTTTTGGTAATCTTAATGGAGCAATAGAATTATCAATTTGTTAGGATTTACTTAATTCTTATTTAATTCGCTTTTTTTCTTCAGCCATCATCTTATTATAATTATAAATATCTTATTCTAACTTTTATTGCTAAAGTTTTTATCTTTTTTCTAAATCTTAATTATCAAAGATTGAATGAATTTAAAATTTAGGTTTTGGTTATCTAAAATAGCCAATAAAAAGCATACTAAAAAAGTAATTGATCTTTGACATTTTCTATAATTCTATCTTNAAATGTATTAAACAAAAACACTTGAAATTTCAGAAATACAATTAACAAAACTCAAAACTCAATAAATCATATAATACAAAATATTCTAATTTTCCATAGAATGGAAGAATTAAATTTGAAAACATTTTTCTGAAACTAAGAGAAAATTGTGTCTTAATATTAGAAGAATTATCATTTAAACAAAATAGAAAATAACATTCATATTTTTAATTAAATTTAGATAAAATTTTCTAATAAAAACTATTTTATCAGAGCTCAAAAATTAGATCCTCTTAATCTTCTACTTTTCCTATTTATTGAAATTGAATCTATCTTAATTATATATAATACATAATTTGAATGCGTTTTAAGTTCATCTTTAACTTATTCTAAAAATTCATTGTGATGAAAATATTAATTATTCATTTTTTTATTTAATTCCTCCTTTAAAAATGGATAAGCTGGTTATAATTAATCTTAATTCATAAGAGTATTTAATTATCTAGATAAAACTAAAAATTAATTCTGCTATTACTAATTATATTTAATAAATTCAACAAGAGAAGTAATTTGATTGCGTGTAGTAATATAATTTTCATGCATTTTTTTTCTTATTGCTTCTAACTCTTGGTTTCTCTTTTTTATATCCTCTTTTTATTTCTATTCTTAAAATTCTAATTGATTTTAATCAATTTAATCCTAGATTTTACTTGGACTTATTTTTTATTCTTCTAAAGGATTTAAAATAGGAATAAGAGTATTTTTAATTTAAGAATATTCACTGTTCAAAACAAAAGATTTGGATAATGTGTTAGGAACATTTAAAATTTAAGTATACCCATTTTTATTTGATTAAGGCTCTTAAGAAAAAGCTTATATTTTTGGTAATCTTAATGGAGCAATAGAATTATCAATTTGTTAGGATTTACTTAATTCTTATTTAATTCGCTTTTTTTCTTCAGCCATCATCTTATTATAATTATAAATATCTTATTCTAACTTTTATTGCTAAAGTTTTTATCTTTTTTCTAAATCTTAATTATCAAAGATTGAATGAATTTAAAATTTAGGTTTTGGTTATCTAAAATAGCCAATAAAAAGCATACTAAAAAAGTAATTGATCTTTGACATTTTCTATAATTCTATCTTCATAGGTTTTTTTTTCTTTAAATTTAATTTGATTTTCTAAAAACTAAGCATATTCTCTTTTATCTATTTGATTTCTTTATTAATAACCACTTTCAAACCTCCTTCTCATTTTTTAATAATAATTTACAATAAAAATTAATAACACATAGAGAAAGAGTAGCAATATTAAATTATAAATTATTTTTAAAATTATGATCTAAATATATAATAATAATTAATGTATCATATGATTGATTCCTTTATGTTTTTATCTCCATATTTCTATTTCTAATTCCTTGACTAATTAATAATTAATATAAATTAATTACATTCTCTCAAAATAGGTAATGGCTAATTATTATTTATCCTGGATTAACAAGATTTAAAAGAGTTGATAGTATAAATTAACATAAAATTATAATATTATTGATAATTTAAATACTCTGTTGTTGAAATAGTTTTTAAAAGAATTTTCCACTATTATTTCCAATCCTTTAACTTATATACTTCTAAAGGAACTTAAACTACACAATTCAAACCTTTAGGAATGTATCTTTCTTTTAACCATTACTTCAACTATGCATTAGATACATTATAATAGTTTTGAGATCAATTTCCTGTATTGGATGCAATCCAATTTTATAAATCTTTCTTGAATATCCGATAAATTCATATAAATATGCTTAGATTCTTTTATTTCTGGTTAGTTTTCGTAAATATAACATTGTGAATTGATTAATTCAACTGAATCTAAAAATTTACCACATTAATCACATTAATTCTTTCTTGCATCTATAAATTTACAATGTGAACATTCTCTGCTTACATATCTATCAGCTAAAAACATCTTACAACAAAAACAATATGTCTATGGTGTGCTTTTTTAAGTTTTATATTTTGGATTTATATTATCTTAGGTAATTTCAGTATGTATTGGTGTCGATTTTCTATCAAAATAATCAAAATCTATATCAAACCATTCATAAAGTTATTTGTGAATATCATAAGATTTTGTGCAAATCTCCTAAGGTGTCATTTTTTCTTATATCGCTTTTAACTTCAACAACTGTTCCATATTCATTTATAAAACAAATATATCTAATGAGGAACATTATTCACATAAGGTACAGCACTTATAATTAGAACATTTCTTTAATCTTTCTAAAGAAAAATCTATTACACAAAAAAAATAAACTAATATTTTTATTTTATATTTATTAGACAATTATTTAATTAGTCAAAATATCTTCATTTTATTATAATTAATATTATTATTTTGGTTATCCTTCTTTTTATAGTTATTTAACTTTTCCTTCTTTCTTCGCATTTTAATGTTATCCTTTTTTCCTCATGAAATGTGGCAATTTAAGGGAAAAATTTCTAATAAATTTATAATATTTTGAAATTTATTTTGAATTAAAGTCGATATAGAATGTATTTAATTTGATCTAAATAATATATCTACCTCTGATAATTCTTCTGCTTCTAAATACTTTTATCATTCCACAATTTTATTTAAAGACTTAATATTATCTATTTAGATCTATTTCTTCCTTTCAAAAACTTCCTACAAATGTTAAATAAATAATTTACATCATTTTTTCTTATTTAAATTACATCCTAAAGTTAGTGAGCCCACCCAACATAATTTTTCATTTTAATAAGGATTTATTTTAAATTTAATCAAATAATTAATAATTGAAAAGTTTTCATATTCAAAATCATTTTCATTAATTTTTAATGTATCACAAATATTACCTTTTTTAATTAAGATAATTCTTACTAAAATCTAATTTTATTTAAATGTTATTTTTCTGTATGTAAAATTTAAAGAATGTTTAACACAGATAAATTTTTAATACTTAATTTCTTAAAAATCATGAATATAAAATATGAATTGTATTTTAAAACAATTTTTTTCAGAAATTAAAATAGATTTATAATAGAATTTCTAATTAATTTTAAATTAATTAATAATAATTCACCAAAATATACAAAACAATGCCATGATAGCTCTAAGTCGATCTCCTAAGTCAAACTGATTATTGGCATTATCATTTAAGAAATTTTAATTTAGGCCCATAATTTACTAGGAAGCAAAGAAGGCAAAGATTTATTCTAAACTTGGTTAATAAATTGAAAATTCAGTAATCAAGAGTTATTTTTATTTAAGTTCTACTTATAAGTATTAAAATAATAAAGATAATTTGAAATGGCCAGCTGGAATCTAGTATGATAAATAACTAATAAATAGTTGAAATATTATACTTATCTCTATATTCAAAGATGGGCTATAATTAAAATTGCTGAGAGAGTTATAACCATATAGTTTGATGAACTTATTCTTTTCTACCTATATTGCATTTAACACTAAATCTAGCTTATTCACCTAATTAAGTTCTTAATTCATTTAAGGTTCCTGAAGTGATTAAGAATCCATTAACCATGATACCAATTCTATTACATATACTTTAAGCTTCTTATAATGAATGTGTAGTTAAAAGAATAGATGCATCATTGTTAATCGTAGATTATAATAACATCTATTGAATAATTCTTCTAGATTTAGGATCTAATCCAGTTGTAGGTTCATCCATAAATAATCGATTAGATCCTCCAATCAAGGCAATACCTAATTAGACTTTTCTTCTTTCACCTCCACTTAAGAATTTGACTTATCTATCTTTGATCTCATACATATCAAGAGCCTTTAGATATATTTCAATTGAATTTTTTAAATTTTATTAACCTTTTAATATTCCATAAATATTGAGATGTTGATATATAGTTAATGTAGAATTGAATGGACAAAACTATGGAACTAAACCAAGATTTGTTTCAATATCTCTTATTCTTACTTATCCTGTTGTTGGCTACTCAAATTTACTTATCATATTAAAAGTAGTTGATTTTCCAGCACCATTTGGACCTAATAATCCATATATTTCTTTAGAATTTATTTAGAATGATAATTTATGAACTGTTTCTATTTCACCATATTTTTTTGTTAAATTTTACACATCTACTATAGCATCTGTATCATCCATATTGACTTATATTTATTTTAATCTATTTTTATCTGATGAATATAAGATTAAAAAGTAAATAGTACCTCCTAATATTAAAAAGAGAATGCATGAAAAATAACTAAATATAGCTATATTTAATAAGATTGGACTCATAGCTAAACCCATATAACAAGCTGTAAAAGGTGAAATAATCATTAACAACATTGCTATCATATTTAATCCTGTTGGATTTTCTGGTTAAACTAAGAAAATCATCAGTATGAAAAATAATATGAAAAATACAAAAAATTATATTAATGGGACTCCAACATAAACGGCTTATGATTTTTTATATAAAATTGATAGACAATTTGTAAAACAACTTAAAGAAACTCCAAAAATAGTAATTATAAAGAAAACTCCAAAAAAGTGATATCCAAAATGTCCAACATTATATATATATAATAATATAGCTGTAAATAGTCCTTCTATAAATGATGGAATTAAATCAGTTATAATAGCACTAAGCCAATAAGTAAGTATTTATACTCCACTTGCAAACATATATTATTTAATTTTAGTATCTTTATCTTCTAATTGAATAATTATATATAATGTAGATGTGAGTCCTTTTATACCCAAATACATAAACACAAATAAAAATGAGGAATGCATTCCAATTATCACAGCTAAATATATTAATGGGAATGGCAATAAATATCTAATTTATTTATCTGTAGAACTTATTAAAATTAATAGTTTTCGCTATGATAATCCTATAAATTGATCTTTGAAATTGATCTAAGGTCTTTATTAAAATACTCTTTAAGCATTTAAATCTATATTTTAAGTGCCATATTAATAATCTATTGCAAGATATGAATCTTCCAAAGAGTTTAATTGTAGTGAAAATTTACATTATGAATTCTATTCTAAATAATTTAAAAGTTCATGGAATTAATGTATTTTACTTACTGGTAAAACACTTTTAAGAGAAGTAGGTGCACACTATATAATTGGAGTATAACTATCTATTTTTTAGAGCTAAGCTTATATTCTAGATTTCTCTTATAATAATTAATTTTAATCTTAAAAGTCCATTTGTAAATGATAACCAACTCCAAAATTAAGTTTAATAAAATCAGGAGTACCTTAAGTTACAATTTATCCATTTATTAATATACCAACTCTTGAAGCTAATTCATCTGCCTCTTCCATATGATGAGTTGTCATTATTATTGATCTATTCAATCTCATTTATTTTATAACTTCCCAAATTTATTATCTTGTTAAAGCATCCATTCCTGATGATGGTTCATCTAAAAATATTATTTTTGAATTCCCAATTAAAGATATTGCTAAACATAATTTTCTTTTATTTCCACCGCTTAATTAAAATGATTTTAAATTAGATTCATTTGTTAATTGACATATCTATAAAATATAATTTATTTATTATTATAATTCTTAATCCATTATATCTCTTAATTTACCATAAAATTTTAAATGTTCATAAACATTTAATTCTGGATATAAAATATCTTTTTATAAACAAATTCCTATTTAATTCTTAAAATGTCTATTTTCAATACTCTATCCTAATATATTGATTTTTCCTTTTGTCTTTTCAATCATACCAGATAATATATTCATTAATGTTGATTTTCCTGCTCCATTTGGACCTAATAAACAATAAATCTCGTTTTAATATATTTCTATATTCAAAGATTTTAAAATATATTGATTATCCAACTTCTTCCACATATTTTCTACTTATATAAATGGTTATCCTTAATTCTCTATTTATTATTCTTAAATATTTAACATAGGCTTATATAATTAATATGGTTCAATATCTTAATTATTTGGATTTGTATTTTATTCATCATCTAAATCACTATATGTTTTAGTATTCTTTTTACAATAATTACATAAAAAAAACAATTTCTTTGATCCACTTAATACTTAATCAAAATACATAAAACCTAAAGTATAACCTATTATTTAAAATATTAAACAGGTTATATATATTCCAGGACTTAAAAATAATTATCTATCATCAAATATCCAATGTGAACTTAAAAGTAACATTTAAAATGCAGTTTATGGTACAAAAAGTGTAGGTAATTAACCAAGAAATGTTAATTTTGGTTCTGGAGCAAAATTAGCAATCACAACAAATGTTAAAATTACATTTAAAAGACCAATTAATTCACTTGCCTTATTTGAATTCTTTGAGAATGAACTTAAAAACAATACAAAAGATGCTATTGCAAAATTATATAATATTTCTCCTAAAATAAATATTCCTATTCCTAAATGTCCGTCTCCCACTTCATTTAATCTAAATCCTATAAATGGTATCAAATAAATGAGAGAAACAACAAATGTCAAAACAAAAAATGTTATTATCCATGATGCATAATAAGCATTTGAACTTAATCCCATTAATTGTTACAATTCCTTGAATTTATCACTCTTTTCTCTCACTAATAATACTAATGATTATCTTAAAATTCCATTATTATTCAAGCAAACAAACAATAATAAAAACATGTATGTTACATTATTTTTGTAAGAAACAATTATTGATAAAATTACACTTAGAATTGGAACGTATAGATTTATCCAAAATTATTTCGATCTGAAATGTAAAGTGAAATTCTTTTCTAATAATGTGAATAGTTAATTCATCCGATATATTTAATGATTATTATATTATTATTTTTATATTCTAACTCTTAACACTATATAGAATCAATTTGTATATGGATGTAATTTTATAATATCAATTATTACAATACTTATTCAATTTTTCATAGTATTCAAAATAGCAATTAAACAATTTTGTTTGAATTCAAAAAGAATTGGGGTTTTTATTCTCTATTTCTTAATAAAAAATCTTATTTTCCATTATTGCTATATTATTATCATCTGAACTGAAACTTTAAGATTCAAAAACGATATGTTTAATTTTTAAGAACCAAATATTTTTCATCTATAATATATAAAAAAAATTGCATTAAAGAGAATATATAATATAAAATAATCTTAATATTCATTAGGTTTCTATTTAGATAATCAAATTAATAGTAATTGTTCTATTTTTAAAATATTCAATATTAAATTCTCAATAAGAGTTAAGTTTTTTGAAATTTTTTATAGATAAAATAATTATATTTAATAGAATGATATCCATTTTATAAAATGTTATAAAATGCATCATTAAATATAGTAGAGTGAGGATTAAAATAATCTAATCATTATCAAAAATTAAACTATATAAAATTATTTTAATTATTATTCTATTAGATTTATATCTTTATCATATCAAGAACAAAATTTCTGAAAAACTTTGTTAATTAATTTAAGACGTTGTTGTTAAAATTAGATGTCATAATTATTTGATATTGATTAGTAGAATATAATTAGAAATAGATTTAGAATATAATTTAAATATAAAAATTTCTATGCACTCCGATTAATAAGCCTTTAATACTATGCAATTGATGAAGAAAATATCTGATTATAGATCAAGATATTAGCCTTTAGAATTGTAATTACAAAAGAATGGCGGATTATTAAAATAAAGTTATGATAGAGATGATAAGGGAAGAATAATTAGTTCAAAACTTGAGTAAATCAGTATTCCTGGATTAGGAGCTCAAAAGAATATTATTGTAAATTAGAGCATGAAAAAAACAAAAATAAATGATACAAGATTATAATCATAAGTAAATTATATTGATCATGATGGATTAATTAGTGAGATTGTATTTTTATAGAATGAAGCTAGAAGAAATGAAGCATTAGCTAATTTATAATAAGAATAGAGAATGTAATTAGAAGATTTTTGTCGTGATAATACAATAAAAGTAATGATTTGTATCACCATGTATTCTGAACCTTTATAAGAACTAAAAAAATCTTTAGAAGGAATATAAGATAGTTTGAATGAATTTTCAGAGAATGAGATTATGCCTAATTAGATTTTAGTAGTCGTAATATTTGATGGAATTGAAAATATTAGAAATTAAGGAGATGAAAATGGTAATAATAATGAAGGTGACATTATACGTATATATATATATATATTTAATTTAGCTTATTTTTGCTAATATTTGGATAAATAAAATAATATTGAATAGTTTTTATCTCTAGAATATTAATATGGAACATATAAAATAAATAAAGAGCGTATCTAAAAGTATTCTTTAGAATAAAGAAAGTTATTTTAATAGAAAACAGATTAATAGAAGAAATAATATTTAATTAATGATAAGTACTTGAAAAAAAGAATAAAGTATAAATAAGGAAATGAGTTTAACTATGAGGATGTAGTAAGGACAATGGAATAAAAGCATTTATAAGCTAAATAATATATAGAATCTAGATAAAATAATGCATGGATTTATTAAAGTGTTTAAACAGTAAAGATAAAAGATAAGACAGATTAAATAGAATCATAATTGCCTATATTTCATGTTTTTAAATTTACTAATGGAACCAAATTATCGTCTCATTTATGGTTTTTTAAAGGATTTTGTCATGAATTTTAACCAGAATATTGTGTTTTAATGGATTGTGGAGCTAAACCTCAGAAGGGTTCAATTAATAATTTAATATAAGAACTAAGAGAAAATGAACAAGTTGGAGGAGTTTGTGGAACTATGTCTATAGAATTATCAAAATCAGATGATGAAAAGGGAGAATATATGGATATTATTAGTAAATTCTTGAATATTGGAATATTTAATATTGAAAGATGTTAAAAATGTGAATATGATATTGGAAATTTATTAGATAAATAATTTGAATCTGCATTAAATTTTATATAAGTCTTACCAGGAGCTTATTCAGCCTATAGATATAAAGCATTTTCAACTAAATATTCAGCTATTAATAATAATAATAATAATAATAATAATAATAATAATAATAATAATAATAATAATAATAATAATAATAATAATAATAATAATAATAATAATAATAATAATAATAATCAATAAACAGACAACATACTTGATTATTATTTAAAATCTAAATTAGATCCTACTTATGAACATGCTACTTTAGAAGAAGCAAATATGTTTTTAGCAGAAGATCGAGTATTGTGTTTATTATTGTTTTGTAATGGATATTACTTAAAATATGTCAGAAATGCTTTAGTTGATGTAGATCCATTACAAAATATAATATCACTTTTATTATAACGTAGAAGATGGATAAATGGATCATGGTTTGCTTTGAATTATGTTATGAAGGAGTATGGTAAATAATTACCTATGAGTGGTCATTCTACTTTTGATAAAAATCTATTTATATTATGCTTAGTTTTTGCTAGAATTTCTTAATGTAATACTTAGAATATTTTTAGTGCTTTAATATTTTATGATCACATTCTAAATTGTTTGGTTATACATGATTTTGAGAACGGTAACAGGAGATTCTGATCCTGCTATTGCTTCAGCAATTAAATAAATAGTTATTGGAGCTTACGTTTTTTTAGAATTTAGCTTGATCTATCTTTCATTAAATTATAACTCAAGTAGTATAAATTTGCTTTAGAAGAAGGAAGAAAAAGAAAAAGAAAGAAAATAAATCAATCAATATTATTATTCCAAATTTTATGGTGTTTCAACTATTTTAGGTTTAGTAAGCTTAGTAAATGCTGGTTATACTTTATATTTATTAATAATAGAATTGTTAGTAAAATAATCTCCTTTTAAATTATTCTCAATTCCTTAAGATCTACCTTCCTATATTTATTTTATAGTATTGATATCTTTTATTTTAACAGTTTTACCTTTTATATTATAATTGGTTATAGATTGGAAATTAGTATTGGATATAGCAATAAATTCAATTCATTATATATACTATATGCCTACTTATACTCATTTATTTATAACATATTCTTTTTGCAGAATAGATGATTTGACATGGGGAACCAAAGGGTTAACATCTGATGTCGAAAATAAAGATTAATGTAACAAGGAATCAGATAAAAAGTATCAGAAATATAAATTCTTAATTTAATGGATAGGGAGTAACGTTATTTCGACAGTAATTTTTTATATACTATTTTATTTGGAAATTGAGAATATTTTAGTAATAATAATATTATCATTTGGAGTGATGTTTTGTATAATATAACTTGCAAAGTTTATTGGCTTTTTTAAGTATTGGATTTCATTCCTATGTTCTAGAAGAACTGACAATAGAATACATGATGAAAATAACAATAATAAAAACAATAACAATAATAATAATAATAATAATAATAGTAATAATAATGGATAACCATTTTAACGTAAGAGTAAGAAATCAAGAAGTTAAAAATACAAAGATAGGACAAATTTACTATATAGACCTGAGGCTTAATAAGAAGGTTTAGTATCTGTTGCTATAATTTAATGATTTATATGGATAAATTAATAGATTGATATTATTCATCTCCTTTCATTTTTGGTTCAGCTGAAATTTCAGCATTATCATATGGAAAATAGATTTTTTAAATTTTATCTCTAAAAGTTCCTGAATTATATTCAGGCACTATATAACACCTAGATTTTTATAATGTATTTTTAACGTTCCTATTTTTTAAAATAGATGAGATTTGACCTCTAACAGCTGTTTTTGAATCTTTAGTTGAATTTTTATCATTTTGAAAATTAGACATAAATGGAAGATTTTCAGGTATGATTCTTTCATTAACAATAGCAACTTTATTTTGATTAGAAGATGTACAACAGCACTTATAACAAAATCATACATAAATCCCATTTCTTTAAATATCCTTCAATATTATATAATGTTTTTAAGTTCTATACGAAAGAACATCAATTCTATTTCCCTTTTTATTCTAAACTTTTTGGAAATTATCTATTTAAGAGCATCCTTTACCATTCCATTTTTTATATCAAAATAACATCCAATTTTCGAACAATAAAATAAATCATTTGATATTCCTTCTTTCTGGTAATTCTATTTCCAAATCATATGAACATAATCTAATAATCTTACTTTCCATTTTATATCATAAATAACTTTAATTCAGGCTTTGGTTTCATAAAAATATATATATGTGATTAATAATTGAGTATTATTATAATCCAATATTTATGCTATCTAAATTATTGCTTTCTTCTATTCTTATGTTAGATCACTCTGTAACTTGCAGCTACTCTTTCTACTCCTAAATAGAAATATATGAATTAATTTCAATATTCTTTTCCTTATATAAAATTTAATAAAATTGTTTTATACATTCCTTTTATTTTTTAATTTATTTGTTTAAATTAATTTTCTAACTTTATCTCTTTACAAAAATTTTCATACTCAATTAATTTATCCTTCTCCTACTAATTAAATTAAATGCTAATATAGTCCCTCTTACTATTAAACTATTTTGCTATTAATAATTAAATTCATTTTAGGCATTCAAATTTAGTAAATTAATTTAATTTATGTATAAGCGTAATTAATGCACAAATTTATTAAATTAAGAATATTCGGAACTTATCACTAAATAACTCAAATAGGTTCCCTTTTCTAATATTCTACATCAAGTACTATATTTTATGCTTTTACTAAAATTTAATACTTATTCTGATTTTAATAATTCCTAAATAATAATTTGAATTTTTAAAAATAATGATATACTTCATTCATTTGATTAATTTCAAGAATCTCATCACTCAACTTATTTCCTTTGTAGAAATAAGAAATTCTTAATATTATATTAATGAATATTTAAATATACAAAAAAACTTATTTCGTCATGATATTAGAAGCTGTATGGGTTTTTATTTTACCTCATATATATATGTTAATTAATAAAAAATATATTAAAATCAATGATATAAGATTCATTATTTGCTGAATCCTTTTGGAATCCAATTTCACTCTATTCATTTTAAAATGATGATGATTATGATGTATAAATTTAGATTTCCTTTAATTTAGGTATTTTAACTATACTATGGAAACACCTCAGTATTAATAAGAGTCATCTAAGGGTAATTATTAGCCAGTAGTAAATAAATCGATTTATTGCAAACATACATTACGTTAGATGAGAAAGGAGTAACACTTTAAAATCTCTTCGGATAAATTACATACACAGGAACATAATTATAGTAGTTTTATGAACTCATTAATAAATATTGTATGCATTTAGATATTCACAATTATTATGTCTTTGAGAAATAAACTCATAACTTACATAATTTTGAGGTATAATTAAAGGTATATAATTAGATTTTTCAATCCAGAGATAAAATGACAGCCATTTAAAAGTCAATTAAAAAGTATTCAAAAAAATTAGGAAAATTGTATTTGAAGAATATTGTCAACAATTCAAATTATGAATATTTATTTGAAGATGACGAATATTTGTATTTGGTCATACCATATTTAAATGGACAAAAAATTAACAATTTATTTTTTGAACAGTCCCTGTTTGGATTACTTAAATTATTATATAAGTATCACAACCAAGGATTCATTTTGACTAGTTTTTCTGTAAGTATATATATTTATTTTAGGAATCAAACACTATATTGTTGGATGAAAATTATAATATGGAAATACTGGATAATTCTTTAGTCAAGAGAATTACTTAAGATTATCAAAAAGATATATCACAAGATGTTTTAATCATCAAAAATTATTTAATATAAAAGTAATATAACTAATATACTTCAGATTTCCCAATAAAGTTGATACCATCTAAGAAATTTTAAATATAAAGATAAACTCAGTCCAAGAATTACTATTTAACTCTATTTTTATTAGCTACTTTGGTGAGAGTAACTTTTATGTGTTCTTAAATGCTTAACCATATCAAAAGTTAAATTTTCTCTCTTCTAATACATAATTAAACTTACTTGAAACTTTTAATACTATTAGATCAAGTGTAATGGACTCATCTGATGAATCAGAAGATAACTAATAAATTAATCAGTTTAATTTTTTCCAATCCTAATTTCAAGATTCCCCCATGCTTTCCCCTAAACTCAAACCTAAACATTAATCAAGATTATCAAGTAGATAAGTTGTACTAGAAACGCTATTAAATGAACATATAATCACACCTGAATAATTCTAACAATTTTATAAAGAAGAAGATTTTCAAAATGAACAAGAAATTAATGAATTTAGTGAAATGCTCTCTAAAGAAATTGAAAATTCTTAATTAACAACTCCTATTTAGAGTGATGTAAAACTACTTTATTTATTATTAGTCCACTGCTACATGTCCTAATACCGTTATTATTCATTCTAAAAAAAATGTTGTTAATCGTATTTGTGATATTATACATGAAGCACAATAGGAATTTTTCTAAGCTACAAAAAAACCTTATAATGTTAATTAAGTCTAAAACGTAAGGAAGAATCTATTCAAAATGCATTGACATTCTTTATATACCTTATACATAATTTTTTCGTGTATATTGATTTATCTATATATGAATTTATATTAAAATTTTAGCCGTTTCGAATTAACTCTAATTATAATTACTCTTAAAATATTTATGGTAGGTAATTAAAGTGCCTACTAATATTTATTATACTATAAGAATGAGTTAAAAAATTATAACTTATTCTCCAAGCCCCAGAGGTTAAAACTTTATAATAAAACTATCAATTACTTTCGATGTTATTAATTTAGTATATAATTATTTTAATTAACAATTTATTTTAGATTATTTAATTATAATGTTGATTAAATTATTCATTATTTCTTTTTCCCCTTTTGATATCTTATGTGTGTTTGGATTATTTTTTAGCAAATCAAGACACAAACTCCAATTGTTTTCTGTCTTATTTTAAAATTCTTGGATTAAAAAATTGGAATTGTGAATTTAACATATTTTGCAACTAATATTAATATATAATATATATATTTAAATTTATTTAAAGCCACGAAAATCATATTTTTTAGAGTAAATATTATGGAGTATTTAAACATCATTTTCACTTTTTATTTTAAGGAAGTTTGATTTTCTTATAGATAAATTTATAGTTTACTTAATTACTTCACATAACTCATCAAATTTCATTATAAATCACATATTTATTTATCAGAAATTTATAATAATTTCTTAATCTCCTTATTAAATAATCTAGCCAATATAATTTCTCTATAGAGGTATCAATCTATTTGAGAAATAAATTTTTTTAAAACAAAAAAAAAAGTTTTTGTAAACATGACATTTAATATTTAAAAGATCTAAATTTTTGAATCTCTGCAATTAATGATTTATACATCCCAGATTTTTTTAATTTTACCCATTTTATTCAACTTTTAAGTTCAAGCTAATTGTTTTTCAAAGCCAATTTTGAATAAGAAATTATTGTTATGATTTTTTTCTAAAAAATATATATAAAAAATTTCTTTGTTTTTATTCTTTTTTTTTTCTAGAAAGAATTAATTTGTTCTCTTCATTTTATAGATATTATCAGATTAAATTAAATCGAGATTCATATTCAATTATTCCTAGGTCTAGGGGAGAAAAAATTATGAATAAGTAATTCAAATAATATTATTTTTTATTATGTTTTTCAATTTGAAATCCTAAATATTTTAGATACTTTGCATTTTACTATCTAAATCATTTTCATTATTATTGCTTTCATCATCAATATTTCCACTTGAATCTTATAAATTAAATTTAAATTCTGCATTTCCTTTCATATTTTGTAATACGTCATTCTAAATTACAGAATTTTTAGAACTAATTTAAGCATAGATGATGCTATTATTATGATGATCAGGATAATCATTAATATCTGTTTAAGTTTTAAAAGGATTATGAACACTATTATTAATATTATTATTATTATTATTATTGTTATTATTAATGATACACATATATGAGCCTCTATTGTTTTTAGTTTACAATTTTTAACTTTTTCTGAGCATAAATGATTTACTTTATTTGCTAGCAATACTATAAAGATCTGCTTAACTTTCTTCACACATTAAAATAGATCCTTAAGATATAATTTATTATTTTTCTTTAAAAGCTTTAACAACTTAACTTAATTCTATTGATTTCTTTTAATTAATATTTTTCTCCATTTTCATAATCTTATTTAATAAATACTAATTACACGATGCTTTGCTTTAAGAGTTTTCATTTTAGTTTCAATATGTAAATCAATTTATTCAGTTAGTGCAGAATAGAGACTCATTAAATCTTAAGTAACTTCATCAAATAAAGCTTAAGATTATTCTACAAATTCCATAACTTTTTAATTATTGTCTAATAACTATTCTAATCTTTATTCCATAAACTTCAATTCTTTAAAGTTTAATGTTTATTAATCTTATAAATTTTGATAAGAATCTTCAACTGCAAATTATTCTTTAATTTTTTTAATTTCATTATTTTCTTGTTAATTTTTTAAAGTTTATGATAGATTCATACTCATAATAGCAACAGGTCTTGAATTTAATAAAAATAAATAAATTACAATGAAATAGATGTGATTCCAAAGAATGCAGCAGTACAAGCAATAAATTTACCTGTGAGACTGATTGGTAATTTATCTCCATATCCAACAGTAGTCATAGTAGCAATACACCACCAAATAGCTTCTGATATAGAATGTATTTTTTTATCATCATTTACTTCTATGTTTTCATCATATTCAAGATAATAGACAATAATTGAAAAAAATAACACAAGAAAAAAAAACATGGTTATTAATATTAATATGTCTTTAAGTGAATTCTTTACAGTATCTACCTTTTTTAAGTGATAAAATAATTACAATAATTAACATGTCTTTAATATAACGGGATAATTTAAATAATCGAAATACTCTCATGAATCTGATTATTCTTATAACTCTTAATCCAGAGAGATTTGCACCTTCAAATATCAAATTAAATAGAAATGGAGTGATTGCAAATAAATCAATTATATTTAATGGAGACAATAAGAATTGAGACAAAGTAGAATCAAATGCTGTACAACTAAACATTCTTAATAAGTATTCTGAACCAAAGAATATAAATAAGTAATACTCTAAATATAATGAGATATTATCGTATTCTTAATTATTCTCTATTAGAAATAGATATATTTATATACCGTTTTCCATTAATGAATCAACAATAATTGCTATGCATGAAAGTAAAATACTAGTCAATAATAAGATTTATATTGCATAAGCTATAATTGAAGAATTAGGATCTTCCATTAAAACATAGATGTATTACTGTATTCCTTTACATATTACCTTAAATTTTCCAAAAAAGGTTTAATTTTGTAATTTTCTTTTAAGAGAAAAATCTTCAGTTTTGAATTTTCTAATTCTATCTTTTTATTCAGTTGGCCTAAGTTTCTAATTAGAATCTACATTATCTTGTCTTGGAGAGAATAATTAAGTAATCTTCAATTCTGAATTCATAATAATATAATTAGCTATTTAATATAATATCAATATTCTTTTTCGCAAAATGAAAAGTATTCTGAAATCACAAAATAAGACCAAACACAATTGAACATTTATTATTTAAGTAAATAAGCCAATTAAAATTTCTTGCTCATTAATAATTATTTAGGGTCTTCTTTAAAATTTTTACCTAAATGTTCTATTTAAGGTAACCACAAATCAAATGTTATACTGATTAAACTTATGTAAAATCTGAACTTAATTAATTTACTTAGAGAATTTTAAAAATTCTCTTTCGATTCATTTTTTGGTCTCTAATTGTATTGATATTAACATAAGGAGAATAAACTTAAACCAATAAATCCTTAATATAAAAAATGAATGAAGAAAGCATCAAATAATATAGTTGGTTTGCTTACAAAATACATTAATGAAAAATATCTAATCTAATGTTAATTAAATTCAGGAAATAACTTTTATCTGAATGAAGTTAATAACTTATTATAAAAATAAGCACTTGGCAATTAGATAAATCCAATAAATCCAAAATTGAGTGCTAAATCTTTAATATTTATTTTCTCTTTCTATGTTAAATACAAAGGTATATTTAATAATGATCCTTAATAAATAGTATTCACAAATAAGTTCAACATTTGATTAAAAATATTTATGAATTAAAAAATAAATTATTATAAGAAGAATTTGAATTTAATTAGAAGAAGAGATTTATTAAGTCTATTTTAAGTTGTAATAAGACAAATAGAATAGCTAGAACACTATTGATGAATAGATAATAGATGATAAAGTAGATTATTATAAATCATTATTGGATTGATAATAATAATTCAATATAATAATAAGAAATGAGACATAGCAATAAGAATAAATTATATTAGTATATCAAAATCAAACATTATAATAATAATTTAATATTCAATAACCACTTTTTCTCTATTATTAATCAATTTCTAGCATTTGATATTGGGCATAATAATTGTAATTAATGTATGACTGATGATATTATTATTAATATTCTTATTCGTCATTATAATAAATTTAATTAAAATAATATGCTTAATTTATTTGAGAATCTTAAAATGTTGGATCTGGAGTTTGTAATATGGATGCAAAGGTTTTACGACGACTAAATATTAGAATAAGTATATGATACTTGTTAGGAATATAATCTTTGCCAATTCCATAGATGATATTTACATTCTTTTCAAAATCACTTTATAAATCTGGGAAGCAAAACTTCATTTGATAATAACTGATGGAAAATAGAGTTTCATCAATTAATAGAATTCATCTTCTGTATCTGGTATACCAAAATGATGAAATAATTGTAATAAGTATCCAAAATCAAATAAACCATGAAATACTACATATTTAATTTCAACATTTAAAATTAATCCTAATAAATAAGTAATATTAATACCACTGCCTGTAACTACTTCACGAAATTCTGAATAATCTATTCCTTTAAATGCCAAATCATCAAATCTTATACCAGTAACATATTTTTTACAGAACTCATAATTTAATCACATCTATTAGTATTTAGTATGAAAAGACAATTTAAAATATGAAATAATAATTAAAAATAATTGAATAGAATAATAAAAGAAATGATACTGGGCATTAAATTTAAAATGGAATTACTATTTATTTTAAGCTAATGGTACTTCTCCTACCTCATTTACTAAACTAATTATATTTTTGGACATTTCTTACTATTTATTAATATTCATAATCCTTTAAAAATGAATTGAGAATAACTTTATCGTCATTTTCTATTCTGTTCCTGGAAATTCTGTATCCTATAATTAATAGATTGATTATTAAAGAGATGTACTTAAATTCTTCAATTTCTGGAATTTCAATTAAAAAGTTATATGCCAAATATCAACAATATTAATTTTATTTAATTTAGATGTGTTAATTTAAGTCTTGGAGTAGATTCCTTTATCATAGTTAATAAATAGCAAATACTTTTATATTCTATATATTATATGTATATTATTATTGTTGTATATTTGATATCTCAATATGATCTTCCCCATAGAACGTATTTCTTGGCTTATTATCCACAATGGAAACATAATTGACCTTCTTAGATTTAATCTTATTTTAATGGCATGCATAATGTTTTGGCACTACCAGTAAGTTAAACTTATCCATCAATTTCTGAATCTTTTTCTTTAGATTCAATTCCTGATTTAGTTTTAACTTATTTTTCACATTCTTCTCTTTAACACCTATATAATATAAATATAATAATAGTTACCATCTGGTTAGAATAGTATTTCTTTGATTTAATTGTGACATAAAATCTTTCCAATTATCAGCTTATTTAATTCTTGAATTTAAATCTGACCTAGCTTTATCTAACATAGCATTATGTATATTATCTAGAATCTAATTTAATTAATTTAATTCTTCTAATTTAATTTAATATTTTTTATTGTCGAATCTTTAAACAACTCTAACTTCATTATTTTTGAATTCTCCAGGTCCAATTTCTAATCTAATAGGTACTCCTTTTTATTCCCATTTATTAAATTTCCATCCTGGTGAATAATTATCTCTACTATCAAGATGAACTCTTAATTTTAATTTAATCAATCTAAATATATATAAATAATAATAACATTTATCTAATCTATTCACATCTTTCATTTAATTATTATTCATTAAGATCTTTATGAATGATAGGTATAATAACAATTTAATATTTAGCAATTCTAGGGGGTAATACTAAACCTTTATCATCACCATGAAACATAATCATAGCACCAATAGATCTAGTTGTTAAACCCCAACTTGTTTACCAAGCAAAAGATTTCTATTTTTTATCATCTTCAAAGTTAATTTCAAACATTTTGCTAAAATTCTATCCTAAATGATGAGATGTAGCTCCTTATAATCCTCTACCATTTTATGGTATAATAGTTTCAACTGTAGTAGTAAAATCTCCACCTGCAAATTTCTCTGATTCTGTTTTAATCTATTTTATATTATATTAATTTATACTCCTTTTATTACTGGAACTGCTAATAATTCTCCATAAACTTATTCATAAAAATCTAATATTGTATAAACTTATTTAACTGCTTCTTCTCTTGTTGAATGAGCTGTATGTCCTTCTTACCATAAGAATTCTCTTGTTCTTATAAATGGAGTAGGAAACTTAAATTCCCATCTTACTATATTTGTCCATTAATTCACTTTCAATGGTAAATCTCTATGACTTTATACCCATTTTGCAAATGCTGGATACATTATTGTCTCTGATGTTGGTCTTATTGCTAATGGTTCATTTAAATCACTCTCTCCATATTTTGTTACCCATGCTACTTCTGCTTTAAACCCTTCTACATGTTCTTTCTCTTTATTTAAATGCTTTGCTGATAAAAACATTGGAAAATATGTATTCTCAACTTCTTCTGTTCTTATTAAATCATCAAAAAATCTTTATATCTATTCCCATATAAAATATGCCCATGGTCTCAATATATAACATCCACTAACATCATAATATTCAATTAATTCTGCTTTCCTTATCACTTATTAATACCATTCTGAAAAATCTGATTTCTTTACTGTTATAGCTAATGTCTATAAATTTTATTAATCTTTCTATTATTCTTTCTATTATTATTCTTATTTTTATTATTATTCTAATTTCTATTCTGCTGCTACATCTGTTAATTATAATACTGTAAACTATCTATTTAATATTTTTAAGAACTTATTTTATAAATCATCAAGTGATATCTCAACTGTTGATGTATTTTCTATTGGATGTAAAGCTAATTTCTAATATTTTGTTAACTCCTCATCTATTATTATATTTTTCACCTATTTCATATCACATATACTAATACCAAATTATTTGTATCATTAGCAACAGCAAAAGGATTTACATTACCTTTACTTGATTTCAAAGCTTCACCTATTTACTCTTCTTTACTCAATCTCATATTTCCAGATGCTAATCCAAGTGTTTTCCAAAACAATTTACCCACTTATGTTGTATGATTAGCCAATATCAAATAATAATTTGACTAATTTATAATTCTATATTCTATACCTTCTTATCTACATATAATAGATTCTTCACATATGCTGTACCATCACCAACCTTTACTTTTACTACATCTTCCATTGTTGGAACAGGATCATGATTATGTACTATGTATTCTATCCCTAATTTTGTTAATTGATCTAAACAAGCTTATTTGTTTGGCAATTCGAAATTATTGTCCATTAAAATATTTAAAATAATTTTTGTGAATTTTCATATCATTATTTAATATATCCAAGTTTTCTTTTTATATTTCATATATATATATATATTTATATATTATTCATACTATTTTGCTCTATCTTTTCTAATAACATATAAATCCTATGTAAACCATATCAATCAATATTGTGATGAAAAAGAGATAAAATTGAGCACTATTCATTTGAGATACTCCAACCAATAAAGAATCTTTCATTTATTCTATTTAATTCATAAGATAATTATCTGAGCAATTCAAATTTATGATTCGCTCAAAAAAATCTAACTCTTTTTGAATCTAACTGAATTCTAGTGAAATTAAAGTGGCATATGGTACATAAAGTACAAATTTGACTCCCAATTCAATATAAAATATTCGTTATGATGTCTCATTTGAGTCATTTGTAGATATAAAGGGTATTTACTTACCCAAAATATTCATAAACGCAATAGAACTTAATGAAACAGAGATAATTATAAAGAAAAAGACAGATAGAATTAGTTGAGATGTCAATCCATCAAAAATTTCATTTAAATAAATTTATTGTAATAAGAATTAATTAAATTCTTATCCTCTACATTTCATTTTCCAGGGTATATATGATCTCTGATATAATCCTAAATAAAAAATTTGTATTATTTACCCCATTTAGCTTATTTTGATATTTGATAACCTGTTAAGGTCTCAGTTAAATTAGATAAACCATTAATATTATAAAAAACATCTTCTGTCGTAAAAGTTACTTCTTCAAACCTTGTATCATATTAACATTCTTTTCTTTTTATGATCATAAGTGGATAATCATCTCTTCCATCAGAAATACCATATTCATTATTTCTTAAACATACACCTCCTTAACCTATTCTAAATTCAACAATTGGTAAATATCCACTTGAATTTCTGGAATATATTAATGTGTCTAAACCCAAAGAATTTGCTTCTTCTTCATTCTCCAAATTTATTTTACCTTTTAATCCAATCCTTCTAATTGGACACTATTTTTCTGCTGTGCAATAAAATTCATCTTCATTTTCTCCACATTTTAATAATCCATCTTTACAATCTTTACCCTTAGGAATCCATGAATAAAAGTTATTATCAATTTCTCTTTTTGCACATAGTTAGAATCCTGTTTTATTATTTGGACTTGGAAATAAATTAAATCGTTTTATGTCCTAACTGTTAATTGTTTTACATCCTTTATTCAATTAAGTTTAATTGCATTTCTAACCTACTATAATATTACTTTATTCTTTTTATTGATTCTTTATCTCTTATAATGCTCTTTTTTATTCATAACACTCACATCCATCGATTGTTCCTGGCCATACATATTCAACTAAAGCTTCTTCCTATTTCCTTAACAGAGATAAACTACTTCTTAAGAACAACCTTCATTCGTTATTTTTATATCAACTATTGGTTACTAATTCCAATTTAGTATGACATATTTGTAATTTTCAATTGTATATTAAAAGGATGAATAAGATGATATTGATAATGCCAGTAATATTATCCCTAAATTTATAAACCAACACTGATAGGCAATTCTTACTCTTTTATTCTTAATCGAACCTCTATATTTACTTTAATCTCTTGTTTCAGAATACTCTTTCATTTTATTTTAATTCCTAAAATTTCTTATAAGAAATAAATTTATAAAATGTTATTTTCAATTTTTATNCTTACCCAAAATATTCATAAACGCAATAGAACTTAATGAAACAGAGATAATTATAAAGAAAAAGACAGATAGAATTAGTTGAGATGTCAATCCATCAAAAATTTCATTTAAATAAATTTATTGTAATAAGAATTAATTAAATTCTTATCCTCTACATTTCATTTTCCAGGGTATATATGATCTCTGATATAATCCTAAATAAAAAATTTGTATTATTTACCCCATTTAGCTTATTTTGATATTTGATAACCTGTTAAGGTCTCAGTTAAATTAGATAAACCATTAATATTATAAAAAACATCTTCTGTCGTAAAAGTTACTTCTTCAAACCTTGTATCATATTAACATTCTTTTCTTTTTATGATCATAAGTGGATAATCATCTCTTCCATCAGAAATACCATATTCATTATTTCTTAAACATACACCTCCTTAACCTATTCTAAATTCAACAATTGGTAAATATCCACTTGAATTTCTGGAATATATTAATGTGTCTAAACCCAAAGAATTTGCTTCTTCTTCATTCTCCAAATTTATTTTACCTTTTAATCCAATCCTTCTAATTGGACACTATTTTTCTGCTGTGCAATAAAATTCATCTTCATTTTCTCCACATTTTAATAATCCATCTTTACAATCTTTACCCTTAGGAATCCATGAATAAAAGTTATTATCAATTTCTCTTTTTGCACATAGTTAGAATCCTGTTTTATTATTTGGACTTGGAAATAAATTAAATCGTTTTATGTCCTAACTGTTAATTGTTTTACATCCTTTATTCAATTAAGTTTAATTGCATTTCTAACCTACTATAATATTACTTTATTCTTTTTATTGATTCTTTATCTCTTATAATGCTCTTTTTTATTCATAACACTCACATCCATCGATTGTTCCTGGCCATACATATTCAACTAAAGCTTCTTCCTATTTCCTTAACAGAGATAAACTACTTCTTAAGAACAACCTTCATTCGTTATTTTTATATCAACTATTGGTTACTAATTCCAATTTAGTATGACATATTTGTAATTTTCAATTGTATATTAAAAGGATGAATAAGATGATATTGATAATGCCAGTAATATTATCCCTAAATTTATAAACCAACACTGATAGGCAATTCTTACTCTTTTATTCTTAATCGAACCTCTATATTTACTTTAATCTCTTGTTTCAGAATACTCTTTCATTTTATTTTAATTCCTAAAATTTCTTATAAGAAATAAATTTATAAAATGTTATTTTCAATTTTTATTAATTAATTTTAATGAACCCTCTTAAATAAATATATTATCATTAATTTTCATCCTCAATTCCTTTTTAAGATATATTTACTTTCACTTCATTTTCCCTTTTCTAAATTTTCTTTTATTTTTCTTATTCTTCTTAATCTCTATCCAAGTTATTATCTTATTCTTAATTTATATTTTTATTATTCTCAATCTTTTTTTCAAATTAATTATCTTAAAATTACCTTAAATCATCCTCTTATTATTATTCATTTATTTAATTGTTGAAAAAGATTTTATTGACTTATTAATATTTATGATTGTAATCAAATAAATTACTAATAATAAATTTATTCATTAATTACTTTCTATTCTAATTCTTGTATATCTGTTTATATTTCTTTTTCTTTTAATTCTTATATTCAAACCAATAATCAACATTTATTTTCAAAAACCAAAAATAAATTAAAAAATAAATATTACTTATCACCTTTTGCCTTATTTATATGAAATAAATTTCAATTTCAATTTCATCTCTCAAAATCTTTCAATTTATTTTTTAAATATTATCTAATGTATTTTAATTTGTTTGAATCTAGATGTTTAAATAACTTTTTTAAGTTATACTGGAGTGTATTTATTAAATATATACTTTTATAAATTTGGATTATTGCCATCATCTAAATTATTTCATTTTTATTATATTTATAACTACTTTGCTTTATTTACTCTTTGTACTCTTTCTTAATTTTCCAACTTTAATTAAATGCTTTTTTAAATTAATTAGAAGTCGTATACAATCATAAAATTTATTTATGCTTTTTCGTTTGAAAATAGCATCTTAAAATAGTTTTAATCTAATTAATACTTAACTTTTATTAGTAAATAATTAGTTATGAGATATATTATATTGGAGTGTTTAAAGAAATAATTGGAAGTTGTATTTTTTAAAATCATAATTTGCAATGTTTTGATTTATGACAGAATTATTTTAAGAATCTTAATCGTTTTAATGCTGTCTTTATATCATTTGCCTTTGAAAAAAATTTTTCCAAGAAAACTTGGAATAAAATATCCTGGCCACTTAATAATAATAAATCTCCTAAAGATGTGAATTCTTTATATTGATAAATAAAGTTATTTTTGCATATATCTTCTATAGACTTTAAAGAATCCAATTTATCCTTTCCCTTAATAATATAGTATGTGTAATCATGTAAATCAAAAGTAATGATTTCAATTTAAATATCTTGTGATTCTTTGATTTCTTATTTATGATTTTATTCTTTCTCATCTAAATTGATTATTGACATTTTAATAATTAATATATAATAATAGGGATGAGATAAATTTCTTATGATTTTTTTACATGCCTTACAGATATTGATAGTAAGCCACACAACAAAAACAGTAGTTAATCCTTATCAGTCTCTAATATACATACAGCTGACACAAACAGGAAATTATAATAAATTGCATTTGAATCAAAAGAATATTTAGTATAGGAAGAAGAAGAAGAAAAAGAATATATCATACTTTAAAATAATATTCGAAAACAATTATCTGAACAACTGAATATTGAAATATTAGGTAGGCATCTAGTAAATTTATAGCAAAGTTTGATTTTTCAAATTTGGATAATTAAATAAAATTGATATTTCAATGGATTATGGTAGTGTTTTACAGAACAAGTAGTGAAATGTATGAATGGAAAATATTTAAGGTAACGTATAACTTATAATTTAAGGAAATTTGCATCAGAGAAGATAAAGGAAGGGATTTAAAATATAGGATTGGTTTGAAAAATGTTGTAAGAATGACAAAATTGGAATTTGAACTCACCAAATAATTAATTTTACAAAAATAGTTTATAGAATTAAAAAATCAAAATAACAAAGATATTAGTAAATTTATCTGTTAAATTTATGATATAATATAAATCATAATAAGAACGTTTGAAGCTGGTTAAAAAGTTATTAAAATTGAAGAAGAACTCATTAAAGTAAAATTGGTGATATTTTTAGAGATAAATTTCAGAAGAATAATAGAAACAGTCCGAAAAATGATTAAGATTAAAGATTTTATCATAATTATAGATTTATAACAAGAAGCAATATAAATTATTATAAATAATCCTAATATAATTATTTTATTTATAATATTACTATCAACATTAGTTATTAATTTAACTATTAGTATACATCTAATTGAGATAATACAAAAAATAATCTTCTAAAGAGCTTCTTTAAGAAAAAGAAATAGCTTCAATTATTATACTAATAGATAATAAGGAACATTACATATTTATGGAAATTAAGTCGGAAAACATTTTTATAATTACTAATTTGACTATAAATTGGATTTATTTTTATAAATCTAATTAATTTATCTAGGTTATTTATAAAATCAATCTTTGTTAGAAACTAATCAAAGAATGTTTAATAAAATAACCAATAGGGTGATAACAAAATTCGATAAATTTTAGAAATTTTAATGTTAAAGAAATAATATCTTGAACATTATTTTTAGTTTAAGAATTCTAAATATATCTAAATATGATGATACCAAAGACATCTTTAAGTTATTAGTAATGATTTAAATAAATTCATTAAGTTGTTTATTCTCGCATTTATTTAATATTCTTCTTTAGTTTTGTTAAGGACTTAAGACTTCGAAATTTCATTTCCTATACTTATTACTTATAAGACTTTCTTTCTTCAATCTATTTAATGATATTATCTTCTTATTTTGTTATCTCCTATTCTTGAGAATTACTTTTATTATCAAAATAAGAATTTATCTGATCTATTGCTTTTTTCCTTTACAATTCTTCCTCTATTATTATATTAAGTTTTTTTTATTCAATTAGGTTTTCGATCATTTAGGTTAATTGTGTAAAAAAGTAATCAGTATCTAATTTCTTTGGATCTTCACAAAAACCCTCGCAAAGCTCATAAAATTACTAAGAAACTTTAGAATACAATTCTTTTAAATTTTATTAATTTTTGTCTCCAAAATTATCTACTTTGAGAATGTCTAAATATTTCATAATTAATTTATCATCTTATTCTAATTTTTCAATTTACTTTTAAATATTAACAATAGAAATTTTTGATAATTGTTTTAATTTTTACACATTATATTCTTCTTCTAAAATTAATTCCCCCTCCTATTTTTCTGCCATTTTAATGATTAGATTTAGAAAATTGATTTTGGAAGAATTATTAGACTTCAAAGGAACTATTTTAGAGAATTCTGATAATTTAAATCCATAAGAATCTTTATTTGAAGAACTATTGAGATAATTTATACCTGCTAAAATGTAACATAAAAGTTTCTAAAATTTAACATTTTATTAAATCGATTAGACTTATTCTTGAATTAATTCTAGTTATTTTAAGATTTCATTTTAATTTGGATTTAATAAAATTGAAAAAACTAAAATTTTTTCTTAATAATTTTCAATTCGAATTAAATTAAATAAAAAGAGTTCAGGTCTGTTTAATGCAGTTGTATCTTAAATTTTTTTTAATTCTTCAATTTCTTGGATTGTTGGAAAAGTTTAAATTATACTTTCGATATCATCAGATGTGAATTTTTTATAGTTCATTTCTTTAATGTAATTTATGATATCAACCATAGAAATTTTAATTTTAACTAGGATTAATTCTATATTTCTAGATCTATCTAATGTTAAAACAGACGATTTTTTTTAAATAATTTATGAAGTTGTTGGTATATTAGTTTTATTTAAGTTTTTTTAAAAATGTTTATCCAGTTCTTCAAATTACAATTGAATTTTAGAATCGTCTAAAATTGAGAAAATTTTACTTTTCATCTACTTAATCTCTGTTATACCAATTTACTATAGTAGTTAAGTAGGTTATCTTCTTTTCCTAATATCAATTTTATTTGAATTATTAAATGTTTTTTAGGGAGGTGGAGGTGGTGGTGGTGGTGGAGGAGGAGTTGTAATTTAAGGAATTTATGGAATTATTTTTTAAATAGGTAGAGAACAACTCGTTTAGACAGGTAATAATTTGTTTTCATCAGTAAGCTAAATTTATAATGAACAATTCATCTATATATTGCTAGCTTTATCTAATTATAAAACCTAAGATTCTTATTGAATACAAGATAATTATTCCGTGTTTTTATCATACATTAGCAATCCCTCTTTTAAACTACGCAATATATTTGAAGTTTGTTTCACTAAATTATTATTAAAGTTTATACATTATTTTTAAAACTAAATTTTTTATTCTTAAAATTCATGTAATTGTCTTCTTAGATCTTCAATCTACGCTTATTTACTATTATATTCTATAACACAATTCTAAACTAATTTTTATAAAATAGTTGTGACAAAATTTTTTCCTAACACTTCTGCTTCTGATAAAAAATTTTACATATTTTTTATTAACTAATTAAAACTTTACGATTCGTGTATTTCTGCTGAAAAGCTCTATAAATTTAACAAGAATTATTCTGGAAAGACTACTTAGGCTAATTATACCTTTCCAATTGAAACTCTATTAAGAAGAGGTAAAGATTTTGGATTACATGAAATTCTAAATTAATTTATTGACTCTCTAACATTAGATTCATACGACTCCAATAAAGTCTCAAAAGCTGTTATGTTTTTCAATATGGCGCTGTCAAATTCATTCGAATACTCATTAGCCCCAACTAATTTTGAATAACTATCATAAAAAATTAATGTTTTATCATTAATTTTTTTTTTTATTTCTTGGAATATTAATTCTACACCATGAACTAATAACAATTATTTTAACTGAATTTTATCATTAGATAGTTCCACAAAATTATTAATAAAAGATAATATGATGGCTATCTAAAAAAATACATAAATTATTTACAAGTTTCTTATCAGTAGATGTTTCTAATAGAGAAATTGTAGATAATAAGCAAAAATCTTAATTTTGTTTTTTTAATAGTTATTCGACCAATTAATATCCATTTATTTATCTCCAAGATATTTTTTCATATTGTTAATAAATTAATGCTTAAATTTAACTATTGGATAATTTGAAAATTAATTATAAATTATTTGTTAAAGTTATTAATTACAATTCATCTAATATAAATTCTAAAAATAACAAATTGCATTGCTATAACACATACAATTTATCAAAAATATTCAAAATATTTTTATTTAAACTTAAAAATTCAATTTATTTTTATGCAATAGGCAGTGCAAAAGCAATCAAGAACTTGTTCAAAATCTCATCATTTAAACTTTTAAGTGTTTTTATTTCTTGATAAAATTAAATGTAGATTAATAAATCTGATTCTGAATTTAGATGTTAAATCATAGGATTTTCATAAATTAGGGCTTGATAATGCAAGATTAATAATAATTATTTTTATTTGAGATTTAAGTTTAAAAACTTCTTTTTTTCTAAATTTGTATAAGATAGTATTTAATCAAATATTTCTTCTAAATTATCTACATTAATTTAAAACTTTGGAGGTTATCCCAAGTTTTTTATGTTTAATTATTTTCCTTGAAACATGTAAGAATATTAGGTTTCATTTGTAGATAGTTTGAATTCATTTCCCATTTATTTTTTTTATATTTTATAAATTAATTAAATAAATAATTTTTTTTCTTGGTATGGTTTTATTTTCAAATAACAATTCGCCATACATAGAGTTTCACTAATTAAAGAAATTAAAATCTTTAATAAGCTAAAGGCAGATTAGTTTAAATAAAAATTAAGTCACATTATACTTTTTTAAATATTACTCTTAGGATCAATATAATATGAAAGGAAATTAAGTCAGAAAATAAAATTAAAAATGAAAAATAAATTACTATTATAATTATACATTTTATTAATTAATAATTTACAAAATTAATTACTCTCAATATATTTACAAAGAATCACCCTCTTATTAGATTATATTTTTTATTCATTATTATTTGTCAAAATATCAAGAAATAAATTGAAATACTAAATGTTATAATTAATTTTGGTTGTACAAGATAAAATGCATATTACTGGAAGTAAAGTTAATTAAACGAATTTTTAAAGATATCTGCTTCAAAATTTAAGTACATTTCTTCAAGATTAAAAAAAAATTATTTGATGGAGAATTATATAATTTACGATGAAATCTATTTTTGCAAAGTTTTTTAATATAATTGCTTTAAAATTTTATATTTAGTCTTAGGGATGTTTGTGTCGATATTAATAATCTATTAAGTTCTGTAGCTTAAAATAAATCACAAATGATATCTATAAGATTCAATATTAATTAATATATTATGTTGAAAAAAAAATAATAAAAATATGTGAATAGAAATATTTCAATTAATCTAATAGAGTCTTTCATAGTTAATTTATAATAGGGAATATATTTTTAATGAAATATAGGAATTAATATTTAAAAATATATAAAATAATATGGGATGTGTTAATTCTCGAAGCGTTGAGGTTTATTAAAGGAAATTCAAATTAGTTATTGTAGGATTAGAAGGAAGTGGTAAGACAGCTATATTTGAATACATAAGATAGGGAAAATTTGTGCAGACTAAACCAACAGTTGGTTAAGAATAATAATATAAATAGGTGTTAATGTAGATTTTAGTCATCCTGAATTCATGATATTTGATGTAGGAGGAAAAGTACCTAGTTTATGGAGCAATTACTATGAAAACACAGATGGATTAATTTTTATAATAGATTCTTCAAATAAAGAATAGTTATATTAAGTTAAAGAATAATTTGTAAAGTTGAATAAAGATTTAGAATACTTGAATGTATATGAAATTGATTGAAATAGGTAGTAATTCTGATAATGTTTACAAAACAAGACAAAATACATCTTGATAATTAAGTCTTGATCTAAGAATGTGGAGTATTTGGATATTTAGAATAGGATACTATATTTTAAATGTGCAGTGCAAAAACTGGTCTAGGTGTTCAAGAAGGAATATAAAAATTAATAAACTTAATAAAAAAATAATAAAAGCCAAATATTCCATTCAACCCTATATAATAACATTAAAAAAAGATAGCAGTATGATAGTTAATTCAAAAATATAAATCTAAATCTATTTTACACAATTTTTCATATGGTAAAGATTAAATTTACTGTAATTGTTATTTCTTTTATATTATNGATAAAATGCATATTACTGGAAGTAAAGTTAATTAAACGAATTTTTAAAGATATCTGCTTCAAAATTTAAGTACATTTCTTCAAGATTAAAAAAAAATTATTTGATGGAGAATTATATAATTTACGATGAAATCTATTTTTGCAAAGTTTTTTAATATAATTGCTTTAAAATTTTATATTTAGTCTTAGGGATGTTTGTGTCGATATTAATAATCTATTAAGTTCTGTAGCTTAAAATAAATCACAAATGATATCTATAAGATTCAATATTAATTAATATATTATGTTGAAAAAAAAATAATAAAAATATGTGAATAGAAATATTTCAATTAATCTAATAGAGTCTTTCATAGTTAATTTATAATAGGGAATATATTTTTAATGAAATATAGGAATTAATATTTAAAAATATATAAAATAATATGGGATGTGTTAATTCTCGAAGCGTTGAGGTTTATTAAAGGAAATTCAAATTAGTTATTGTAGGATTAGAAGGAAGTGGTAAGACAGCTATATTTGAATACATAAGATAGGGAAAATTTGTGCAGACTAAACCAACAGTTGGTTAAGAATAATAATATAAATAGGTGTTAATGTAGATTTTAGTCATCCTGAATTCATGATATTTGATGTAGGAGGAAAAGTACCTAGTTTATGGAGCAATTACTATGAAAACACAGATGGATTAATTTTTATAATAGATTCTTCAAATAAAGAATAGTTATATTAAGTTAAAGAATAATTTGTAAAGTTGAATAAAGATTTAGAATACTTGAATGTATATGAAATTGATTGAAATAGGTAGTAATTCTGATAATGTTTACAAAACAAGACAAAATACATCTTGATAATTAAGTCTTGATCTAAGAATGTGGAGTATTTGGATATTTAGAATAGGATACTATATTTTAAATGTGCAGTGCAAAAACTGGTCTAGGTGTTCAAGAAGGAATATAAAAATTAATAAACTTAATAAAAAAATAATAAAAGCCAAATATTCCATTCAACCCTATATAATAACATTAAAAAAAGATAGCAGTATGATAGTTAATTCAAAAATATAAATCTAAATCTATTTTACACAATTTTTCATATGGTAAAGATTAAATTTACTGTAATTGTTATTTCTTTTATATTATTTTCTAATGATTGATTTAATTTCCATTAGAAATAATTTTACTAGTTTTAGTTTGATGTTTCTCACACATATAATTACTCAAACTTTCAACATAGGGTGGGTCAATTGTCCAAACTCCACTTTATACCCAGTTTGTTGTTAATTGTTTAATAACTTAAAAGCCTTTCCCTAAATTATTATCAAATAGTCCACGTATACATGCATAAGTGCAAAATATAATTGATATATTATTTGAATAAGAACTGAGCACTCTAACAATTTAATATTCTTTTCTATTAAGATAATTGCATTTTTAAATAAATGGTTTGAAATGGCACTACATAATAATTGTGCCATTTGTACCACACCAATATAATTATTTGTTTATCACACAAGAACATTTCATTCCAGCCATAACTTAATCTCCATTAATTTATAATTATTTAGGTTTATTAAGATTCTGAAAATCACCAGTACCCAATTAACCAAATTAATTACACCCCCAAACAAATACTTTTTTTAAAGAACTTAAAGCAATAACATGTTTAAATCCACATTCTATTTAAATAATCTTTTCATTTAATGGCAATCTTTCGACATGATCTCTTGCTTTATTATCTCCTAATCCTAATTAACCTTTTTCATTTTAACCATAACAATATAATGCTCCATTTTCACTTAATAACATTGTAAATACACTTCCACAAGATAATGAATTTATTTTCACAGCCATTTAAATTTATTTTAATTAATCATAAACTTTACCTTCTGATATATATAAAATTCTATTTCTATAAGCTTTTATAAATTCAACATTCTCATGTAATAACTTTGGGTGTTAAATATATTTATGTTGAACGCTTCCCCATATAAATAACTTTTTATCATTCTATTATAATAAACAATGATTTTATCCCATAGATATACTTTTTATCTTTCCCGTAAAATTTAATTAAGTTGGAATATGTTTTTCATTATCCTAAGTAAAACCTAATTAACTCATATCATTTAAACCCCAACCATATAATTTATTGCAGCAAGCACCTAATGTTGTATTTTCTCCTACTTAAATATATTGTAAAGGATTTTCTTTTTCAAAACTTTAAATAAATAAATCTTTATAACTTGATGCAAATGATCCATTATAGCTATCAGAAGTATCTGAAATTATTTCTAAATCGATAATAAAAGCAAATAAATATATTTTAGGAGATATTAATGATTCCATACCTAATATTAATGCTGAATCGTAATCTGTTTTTTAACCCATTTTTAATCCAAATAAATCAGTCTCCTCTTATAATTTCTATTATTATAACTATTGTTCTAATGGTAAAATATATTAATCATATTATTATTTTAATTATCTTCTTCTAGGTAATATCATTCTAAATCTTCTTTATATTATTACTGCTGCCTATCTCATTCTCTAAAATACACAACTTAAATGTTTCATTCTAAAATATCCTTAAATTAAATAGGCTGCTTCATGCATTTTGCTTAATCTTGCTCTTATAATATATCCTCTAGCCCATCTTTATATGGTTTTTATTCTTTTTTCCATTCTTATTTTTCTTCCAACTTCTTTGATCTATTCTATTTCCTTTTTATGTAATTTTCTTGTATGATAGCCTCTATAATATTTTTATATTATTATTGCAGCTTTATGTCTTATTTATTCCCAAGATTTTTCAATAACAACATTTAATATTCTTCTAATGTGTACCAATTTCATTATTCTCTTTTAAATTCTACTGATTCTGAAGTTCTTCTATATTTTCCTTATATAATCCAATATTTTCTAAAACCGATTTTAAATCACTTTGTTTAAAATTGCTTTTTGTAAATAATCAATTTATTTTTTAAATAACTTTTATTTTTTTCTCACTAAATACTAAAAAAAGAATTTTTATATAAGGGCAGCTGCTTTCATTTTTTTTCTAAATTATATTTTTCTTAACTTTCTCTTAATTTATTTTGCAACTCTTTTTATCATTTTCATAAATTTCTTAAATTTATCTCTTAATTAACATTTTCGAAAGGCCTATTAAATAAATCTAGCCTTTTCATTTTTCTCCTTCATTAATGAAGTGTATATTTTATCAATTTAAGCCATTCCTATTTCTTAAATAAAGATTTATGTATTTCCAAATAAATATAATTTTTTTGACAAATCACTGAATTATTCTTAAAACATTTTAAAATCTAATGTTTTATAATCTTTATTAAGTGGATCTTAGAATCCGCCTTCTTGAATGAATCTATATTTTAAATAAAATCTCCAAAAATCTACTCTTATAGGGAATGATTCTTTTCTTNATCATTTAAACCCCAACCATATAATTTATTGCAGCAAGCACCTAATGTTGTATTTTCTCCTACTTAAATATATTGTAAAGGATTTTCTTTTTCAAAACTTTAAATAAATAAATCTTTATAACTTGATGCAAATGATCCATTATAGCTATCAGAAGTATCTGAAATTATTTCTAAATCGATAATAAAAGCAAATAAATATATTTTAGGAGATATTAATGATTCCATACCTAATATTAATGCTGAATCGTAATCTGTTTTTTAACCCATTTTTAATCCAAATAAATCAGTCTCCTCTTATAATTTCTATTATTATAACTATTGTTCTAATGGTAAAATATATTAATCATATTATTATTTTAATTATCTTCTTCTAGGTAATATCATTCTAAATCTTCTTTATATTATTACTGCTGCCTATCTCATTCTCTAAAATACACAACTTAAATGTTTCATTCTAAAATATCCTTAAATTAAATAGGCTGCTTCATGCATTTTGCTTAATCTTGCTCTTATAATATATCCTCTAGCCCATCTTTATATGGTTTTTATTCTTTTTTCCATTCTTATTTTTCTTCCAACTTCTTTGATCTATTCTATTTCCTTTTTATGTAATTTTCTTGTATGATAGCCTCTATAATATTTTTATATTATTATTGCAGCTTTATGTCTTATTTATTCCCAAGATTTTTCAATAACAACATTTAATATTCTTCTAATGTGTACCAATTTCATTATTCTCTTTTAAATTCTACTGATTCTGAAGTTCTTCTATATTTTCCTTATATAATCCAATATTTTCTAAAACCGATTTTAAATCACTTTGTTTAAAATTGCTTTTTGTAAATAATCAATTTATTTTTTAAATAACTTTTATTTTTTTCTCACTAAATACTAAAAAAAGAATTTTTATATAAGGGCAGCTGCTTTCATTTTTTTTCTAAATTATATTTTTCTTAACTTTCTCTTAATTTATTTTGCAACTCTTTTTATCATTTTCATAAATTTCTTAAATTTATCTCTTAATTAACATTTTCGAAAGGCCTATTAAATAAATCTAGCCTTTTCATTTTTCTCCTTCATTAATGAAGTGTATATTTTATCAATTTAAGCCATTCCTATTTCTTAAATAAAGATTTATGTATTTCCAAATAAATATAATTTTTTTGACAAATCACTGAATTATTCTTAAAACATTTTAAAATCTAATGTTTTATAATCTTTATTAAGTGGATCTTAGAATCCGCCTTCTTGAATGAATCTATATTTTAAATAAAATCTCCAAAAATCTACTCTTATAGGGAATGATTCTTTTCTTACTTTTAATGAATCTAAAACACCCAAATATCTAATTTATTTCATGGCATATTTATAATCTAATTTATTAGGAACCAATTCATCATTTGGTTTGATACATCTAATGAAATGAACTCCACATGATTACAATTCTGTCATTAAACTTTTCATTTCATTTTTAATTTTAACAACAATAGATTTAGGTTTTGGTTATAATTAAACAATTTAACTATTACATTTTGCTTCTAATAGTAATTAAGGAATTTCATCTTAATTTTTTTCAACAAAATCTTTACATGTATATTCTACATCTTTAGCAGTATGCTTAATTGTAAAGTTAGGTTTTTAAGAATTAGGGAATTTGAGTTCTTTTCGAAAAGATTATAATAATTATTAATCAGTTTAATTTAATCTACAAGCTTAATCAATAAGATTAAATAAACAAATAGGAGGTTTATCAAATAAATCTATTAATTAAGTATTGTCTTCAAATTTAATACTATCAACATATTTTTCTAGACCTTCTCTAATAAATATTTTTTTTTCTTCTTTGAAAACATATTCAATATATAATTAATGAAGTCTTTCATTTGAATAATTAATCATCATTTATTCAAATCCATTAAAATTATCAAAAACTTCAAAACCATAAATATCTAATAATCCTATATATGTTGTTTTATCTTGTTTAGTAGTTAAAGTTTCATTTAATTTTTCTATAATCCAATTAAATAATCTTTCATAAATTTCTTTAGCCCAAGAATCTCTAATTCTTAAACAATCAAGTAATTTAATTGGTGATAATATCTTTTCTTTTCCATAAATAGCTTATTTATAAGTTAAGGCTTTAATAATATCATCTGGATCATAATCTAATAATTAACATATTTATTTTAAAAGATTTAAATTTAAAATAGTACAAGGAGTAGTGTTTCCATAATTAGAATCATCAAATTATAATTCTCCAATCAATAAAACAGAATAAACAATTTAAAATATATTATCAGCATTAATATTAACAGTTTAGAATGCTTAGATTAATTCATCATAAAACTTTTAACTGAAATAATTATCATTACCTAAATAATTAAAGTTTTATCGTTAATATTTTGTATTTCCAAATAATAAATAAAAAATGTGAAAATTTCTATCTGTTTTAGAGTGTGAGACAACTCTACTTTTTTCTAATAGATAATTAACAATATCTCCACCAATAATCTATTATTTTTAATTAACAAAAAGTCTTGTATATTTACCAAATCTACTTGAATTCTTATTTCTAATAGTTTTAGCATTACCAAATGCTTCTAGTATAGGATTACATCCCATAATTTTATCAGATAATTCAGTTTCTTCAGAATTAACACTTGTTAATAGATTGAGACAATATCTTGCATTTTCAGTTTTACCTGCTCCACTTTCTCCAGATATAACAATAGCTTATGTTTTTTCATTTAATTTAGTAAATGCATATGCAGCTATAGCATATGTATGAGGTGAAATAGATTTATAGTTATGACGTTTTCTAATAATATATTCTACATATTCTTGAAGATCAACATTAAGACTTTTAAATGGATTAATAACAATCAAAGTTGGTCCAACATATGTAAAAATCTAATCTTTTTAATATCTCTCACTTAAATTATATAAAAGTTATGGATCATTAATTATTGCCAGATTAACCATGTCTGCTTAAACATCTTCACATCTTTCCCATACTTGTCCATTCAATTTACGACCATTTTCTTCACTTATATAATTGTTTCCATCTGTAATTATGCCTTTTATAAAATTATCACTCTCTAAAACCCAAACTTTATTACTAAACATTCTAGAATATTAATGATGTGTTAATTATTTTAATGAACAAAGTTATCTGTCTTCTTTCACTATTGTTAGCTACTTCTTATGCTCTTTATGATTCACGTTCTAAAGTTCAGCTCCTTACTCCTTAAACTTTTAGAGAGAAGGTTTTAAACTCTAAATCTCTTTGGATAGTTGAATTCTTTGCTCCATGGTGTGGTCATTGCAAAGCACTTGCACCTGAATATGAAAAAGCAGCTAAAACATTAGAAGGAATTGTTAACATTGCTGCTGTTGATGCTGATGCTCACAAAGACCTTGGGGGATAGTATGGTATTTAAGGATTTCCTACTATCAAATTTTTTGGAGATAATAAAAGTACACCATAGGATTACCAAGGAGAAAGATCAGCCCAAGCTATTATTAATTTTGCATTAGAATAAGTCAGATCGGTAATTAACTTTATTAATAACTATAGACTGTCAATGGTAGATAGAAAGGTGGCTCATCTAATAAAAATTAATAAAAACAATCATCAGGTAATGGTTCTGGATCTGGATCAGCTGATGATGTAATAGTTCTTACAGATTAAACATTTGATGAAAATGTTCTAAAATCTAAAGATTCTTGGTTTGTTGAATTTTATGCACCTTGGTGTGGTCATTGTAAAAAATTAGAACCAGAATGGAATAAAGTAGGATCAGAACTTAAAGGAAAAGTAAAAGTAGCAAAAATAGATGCAACTGCTAATACATAATTGGCTACTCGTTTTGGAGTATCAGGATATCCTACTTTGAAATTCTTCCCTGCTGGTTTTTCTAATGATTCAGAAGCACTTCCTTATGATGGTGCTAGAGATTCTTCTGCTATGATATAATTTGCTTTAGAATAATCAAACAAATCCAAAAAAGTTGAAATTGTTGAACTACTATCAAAAGATATTTTAAAAGAATCTTGTATTGATTTCAATGGTATTTTTATAATCTTAAATAGGTGTTTGCATTATTGCTTTTCTTCCTCATATTTATGATAGCAATAAATAAGAAAGAAATCAATATATTAATTAATTATTAGAAGTTGCTAAATCACTCAAAAGCAAACCAGTTAATTTCTTATGGACTTAAGGAGGAGATAATTATGAATTTGAAGAAGCATTTTAATGTGCTGCTGCTCATCCTTCTGTTATGGCTTTAAGTGGCAAAAAATCTGTCTATGCTAAACTTAAAGGAGCATTTAGCAAATAAAATATTGAATAGTACAATCTTAATATATTTATAATTTAGATTTGTGAATAATGTGTTGAATGGAAGAGAACATTTCAATCAATATTCTCAACTTCCTAGTTTTAAAAAAGTTGAAAAATGGGATGGATAAGATCATAAACCAGTTTATAATGATGAATTCTGAATATTGTGTAATTGAATAATTTATTACATCTTTATGCATCAAAAAGTTCTTATAAATTAATTAGATTATTTCTTATGTAACTAAAGAACAAAATCAATATTCATGTCTTTAAGAATTCTTAATTTTACAGTTGCAGATTTGAGTAAGAAGTTATTTCATTTTTAGATTTTATGAAGATGAAAATTGTTGCTTTGAAGATAATGATGGATAGATATGAATTAAAACAACTCTAATCGTAATTTTCATTTAAATAAATTATAGATATGGTATCAGAAAATGCTATTCTTTAAATAAATAATCTAATATTCCCAAAAAAATATCAATTAACAGAAATTAATTAATCATCAAATTAATATCGATATTGGATTAAAATGTATAGATGAAGCTGTATCACTTGATAAAACTGAAGTTATAGTCAATCTTTCTATTATTCTAAAAAATAATTAACAAAAAATAAATTATTAACTGAAAAACAATAATAATCTTTTAATGAAGCTCCAAATATAATTGAAAATGATTATGAAGATTAAATTCAATGATTTGTTTATATTTTTATTAAAATGAATGGAATCTTCCTTTAAATTTAACCATTTGTTAATAGATTATTTCTTTTTCTTATTCATATTAGATTTTATTGTTTGATTTTTAAATAATTAAGAATATAATTATATTTCTCTATATAATTATCTTATAGAAATAGAATTAATTATGAGAAGTAATAAATAAATAATTAAGTAATATTGAAAATACAATTGTATGAACTAGATTATGTATAATAATAATATATTGCTTATATTATTGTAATATTTAAAAATAAATAAATATGTATATAATATTTAATTATTAAATAATCTAAATAATTAAGAATGAGCGTTAAAAAACCATCATATGCAGGCAGCACAACAGATTATTCAGATGCAATGTTTTAACCAAATTTTACATAAAGAAACTAATAAATAAATCAAAACTATTAAATAGGGTCTTAAAATCAATAATTTGTTTTTTAATAAGGATTTTAAAACTAAAGAGTTTCATTTGGTTAAGGAGAGGGAGTTTAAGGTCAATAAACAATGGGAAAGTAAAGATCAGATTAAAATTTTTAACCTTAATATGCAGTAACAGATTTGAATAGTACATTTACAATGCTGCCTAAGGTATTTGAAATGGATTAAGACTTTTTACCTTAGGAAATATTGTTTTTGTTATCAGAAGAAAATAATCATTTGGATAAGTTTAAGAAAAAGGTAGAAAGAGAGAAGGAAAAGATAAAGAGAGATATAAATGGAATAAAGAATGAGATTTCAAATATGATTGAAGATCTAAGTGTATAGATGCAATAATTTGTAGATGATCATTACAAAAGATATTTACAAGTTTATGGTGATTTTAAAGAGGGAGTAATTCAATTTAAGAAAACAAAATTGGAAGCTCCTTTAAATTTAGTACCACCTCCACCTAGTAATAATTTTGGAGATTGTTCTAATGCAAATTTAATAAGGGAATTAGAAGAGATGAAATACTAAAATTATGTAAGTAAAGTAAATGCATATATAAGTAATTTGGCAAGATAAAGAGTTGATTAAATTTAAATAATATCTAAAGAATTATTATAACTGACAAGTCAAAATAGTGAATTATATCATTCTGAAGCTACATTAAGATAATTAAATATGATTAAATAAGAGGTAGAGGAAAGATTGATCACAAAGTTTGGTGATATGAGAGATTATATTTTACCTTTAGATTATATGGAATAAAGTTAATAAAAATCAAATAGTTTAGAAACTAAAAGTAAACTCAATTTAGATGTTTAATCACTTCCTTAATCAGCTATTAAATCTAATCCATATTTGAATATATAAGAACCTAAATTAACACTTAATTTTGAAAATCAAATTAATCAATTTAATCAATCTTCATAAACAATATAACCATCTCCTATTCTATAATTATAAAATCATTTCATTAATACTCATACTATTTAAGGAAAGGTTACTGAATTATAAGAAATACAATCATTAGATATCAGACATAATGGAATGATATTATGTTTTACAAATATTAAAGACAATTTAATTGCTACTGGATCTAAAGATACTTTTATTAATATATGGGAAGGATAATCTCTATTATCAAAATTAGATGGACACACTGATGGTGTTTGTACATTAACTGTTATTAAAGCTAATAATGTACCATTCTTTTTAGCATCTGGAAGTGATAATGGAGATAAATCTATAAAAATATGGAATTTATCAACTTTAAAAGTACATAATACTTTAATAGAACATTAAGCAGCTGTAGTTGCCTTATTATCATTAGATGATGGATAAACTTTAGTTAGTGGATCTTATGATAAATCATTACTAATTTGGAATATTGATAAAACTTAATCAATTTAAAAATTAATTGGACATACAAATGCTGTTACATGTCTCACGTTGGCTAAAGGAAGATTTATTTCTGGAGGATTAGATTAAAATCTTATTGTTTGGAAAATCATAAAAAATGCTTAAGGATAATTTTAATCAGCATAATTAGAAAGATCTATCAAGAATTAAACACTTGTTTGTGCATTAAATATTATTTAAATCTAAAATAATGTAATTTATAATAATAATTATTTTAGACTAAAATCATTAGTGGAGGTAAAGATGGAAAAATTAGAGAATTTGATATCAATACTGGAGATCTCTTGTCATCACAATAAGTAGCTAATGGACCTATTGTTGAAATGATTGTTGCATAAGATTATGTTAATTATTCTGTTATTTCCATGTCCAATAAAGTATTTTAATATATAATATTATTTATAGGATAGAAATTTAATTATTACAACATAAGGAATTAATAAAGTATTAGATACAAATGATTAAGTTTTTATTGAATTTGGATGTGGTGTCTATCCAAAAATGGAAGTTATTGATAGAACTGGATAATTGTAGTTAAATATCCTTTCCTAAAAATAAGATGTTCAAAAAATATTTAAATACATCATTTGATTTTATACATATTAGATATTATAATCAATTTAATTACTCCATTAATTATATTATCTAACTATATATTTATTCTATTTATTTTTATTATTCATCTAGCTCTTTAACACATCTTTATTGTTAAATTATTTATTAATCTGGATCTATTAATTCACATTATTTCTCTTATGCCAATCTTAACAATTGAATAAATTAAGTTTTGTATTGGAATGGAATATTCATATAAACTGATCCATCATTTTTTATAAAATCATTTGTATCATTATTATGTTATACACAAATTTTACATTTTAATAAACATTACAAAACTTAATTTATTATTTATTCTAAATTATCCAACTATTCCATTCGTTATTCAAATTTTTTAGGATCAATCATATCTCCAAATTATTAATCTATAATTTAAATTGCTAATCTTTATTTCTTTTCTTATATATTGTTAGCATTTTTTATAATTGAAATGTAATGAAATTAATCTTTATTTTCTGATTGTAATTAATATTTTTTGTTTAGAATATTGTAACTTATTCCATATGTAATTTATTATTATGATTATGCAATAACCTATTATGTCCATGGATTTTTCATTACTTTCTTTAAATTTAAATTTACTATTAATTGTTGTTATTAATATTTAATATTAAATACTTTGAAATATATATAGAAATGAAATAAGCCTTATAAAAATTAAAGGAGAACAAATTATTGGAGGCTCTACCTTACTTAGAAAAGCATAAGCCATTTTAAGAAAGTGCTTAAATACTTATAAAATACTCGCTTACTTAAGAATAGAATGGGAAAGAATTTATTTATAGATGGATTCTTCGTAATACAAATTAGCCTAATATCAAATTAGATGTATTTAACTTATTAGGTAATTGTACTATAACATTAAGGTTGTATTATGACAAACAAAGATGAATAAATAGCAATATTGAATGAAGCTCTAAAATTGACTGTTGCACATGAATTAAATCCATCAACGACTCTTATAAATTTAACTTGCATTTATTCTAAACTTAAATAACATGAAAAAGCATTACAAATAGCATTATAATCAATTGAATGTTCAGTTGATAAATAATTGGTAATTGCATATCATAATGCAGCTATCGAATACAAAGCTTTAATGTAGTATGAATAAAGTAGATAATTTCATGAAAAAGCATATGATTTAAGTCTTCTTCTTTTCGGTTAATCAGATCCTCTTACATAAAAATTGAGTAAATATATTGAGAAATTACCTCCAAAAATTATACCAGTTTAAAATTAATTTAGACTTAGAAGTACTTCAAAACAAGGTGAAGAATCTAAATCTTTTTATTATAGAAGACCTTTATCAAGAGGTGAATCATTCACATAATCAGTTAATTAATCTATGAATCAAACAGATCAGAATAATTATAGATCAAATAGTCAAACAAAAGTAAGAAAAAATAAAACTTTAAATTAATCATTCTTGTCTTAAAGCAATGATTTTAATGAATAAGAAGAAGAACAAAATAAGATTTCTAATTATTTGTAAAATGAAATTGAAGAATAGAGAAATATTAGATTAATCTTTTTGTAGTCAGTTCATTAATAAAATATCAATCTCTTAGAAAAAAGATTGAACAATAAAAATAGTAATCATATCAATTTCTCATAAGAATCAATCTAAAATATTGAATAATAGGATTAGAGATCGTAAGAATTTATTCATTTTGAAAATTAACATCCTGATGGATAATTTGATTCTATGATACCATTAAACTAATAAGAAGATCTTACTTAAGATGATTAAGAATTAATTATTAATTAAATAAGAGGATTTGAATCATAAAAGGAAATTACTGTTACATCCTTTGCAAATTAAGAAACATTTGAAAATACTTTTGAATAAAAAAATAAATAAGGAAAAGCAATTACAAAGATTTAAAAATGGTATCGTAAAAAATCAAGAAATCGTTCTATTAAAAATCTAACAATCAATATTCAGGTGTAAAATTTAGCAGCTATTAAAATATAAAGATTTTATAGAAGAATAACTTAATAAAGATTAATTTAATTAATGAAAAAAAAATAAAATTATATAAAGTTTTAATAAATAACAAAATTGTTAATAGAAAATGAATATAAATATTGTTTAATTATTGCTAAGAAATTCAAGAATGAAATTATATATATCATTAATGAAATAACTAATAAAAGATATAAGAAAAGAGCTAAAGTATATCATTAAACCTTTGAATAAAGATTATTAATATCTAAATATCATATTTTTGATGAATTTTGTTAAAAAATTATTATGCCAGCAAGAATGAATCAAATAGCTTATAAATAGGCTAATTAAATTAATTATCAAGAAATAAGTAGTTTATTTTATATATATAATAATGAACTAAACTTATACGGTGTTACAGATACTTTATAAAATGATTAGGATGATTTAGATATTGATGATTAATTATCAAATACTTCTAGAAGATTTCAAATTAAATTAACTAATTTAATGAAATTATAATCTTTATTGAGAGGATATTTGGCAAGAAAACAACAAGAAATTATTAAAAATTAAGTATATAAACATAAAAGATTTATTGAAAGGATTTAAGGAGGATATTTTTTATTGATTTTTAAAGAAGATAATATTATACAATTTTATAATCTTTAAACTAAACATTTATGTGAGAATGAGATTTTGGTTCCTGATTCAATAATAAAATTTTATGGTCCAATCAATAGATAAAATTGTAGTGAGATATTTTAAGCAAATAGAAATAAAATAATTTTTACTGAAGATGCTCAATTTATTATTGATAAGGATATAAAATAAAAGGAGAAGATTGATTATGCCATTGCAGAAAAAGCTGTAAAGAAAATTTAAAGAGTATTTAGATCTAAAATAAAATTTTTTGATTCTTCAATACTTAAATATAAAAAGATAACTTTAAAATCGAAATAATCTTAGTTATTATTTAAAATAAGAAAATCTATATTATTTGAATAAAAATATCATATTATTTTAACTGCATGTGGATAAATATATAAAGAACATTAAGAATTAATAATTGAAGGAGGTATTATTTCTAAAAAACATTAAAATCTTAAAATTTCTTAATGTTGTTAAAGATTGTTTTAAGAAATTTCAATTTCAGATTTTACATAAGTTAGTAAAATTGTTTTAGATGAAATTGATTTTGAATGGAAAAATGAAAAACTTCATTTAAAATGTCATAGTTTAGAAGAAGTTTATGGTTTTATAATGGATAGGTAATTAATATATATTATTTTATATATAGAAATTATTCATCATTTAAAGAAAGTTTGAAAGATACAGCTAATAAAGAGCCAACATTGTTAGGAAGAAATTACTTAAGTAGAAAGATATATTGTTAATAATACTTAAAAAATAGATTTGAAATAGAAGATCCTCCATCAATATTTTGTAGAATAGAAGATCCTTCAATATATTAAATTTAATATATTAAAAATCTATATGTTGAGAGATTAATGAAAAAATATGAATAGAAGAAGAAAGAAAGATAAGTAGGAAATAATATAAATCATTATGTTAATAAATTTCCATCTATTTATAAATATGAATGGATATAAGATCCTGATGAATTATATTAGGAAATGTTAAACAATAAAGCAAAATTAGTATAAAGAGGTAATCATTTTATTAATTAATAGCATTCAGATTATTAAAATTTAGAGCTGCAATTCATTAAAAATGTTTAATAAGATTAAGAAGAAAGTAAGCATTAATTGAAGCTTAAAAAGTTGTAGTAAAAGCATATTATTTTGATGAAATAAGAAAATCTTAACCTTATACTACAATTGAAATAATTAAGAGAAGAGGAGAAACTCCTATTTTATTAAAATCAGTTAATATAGATTCAGTAATATATGAATGGATTCTTGTATTACCTTATTATGATATTATTGTAACTGCTTATTCAAATCCAAGACAATTCTATTAAATAAAATATAAGGATTTTACAAATCATTATTTAGATATTATTTTATCTGAATCAGTAGAAAAAATTTAATAATATTTCAGTGGTCCAATAGAGAAATATCATCCATCAGAAAGAATAGATTTTATTACTGAATTAAGAGAATAATTTAGTAAAAAAGTAATAAGAATTGTTAGATTAAGATTATTCTTAAAAAAAGTTAGAGAAACTCCATTAAGTAAAAAATTCTTAATAAGAAGTTTTATAAATGAGTTTTATGTTTAAATAAATTATTTTTACAATAAATTGGAATAAAAGATTATAATTTTATTATAGAAAGAGAAAAGAAAAAGAAAATATAATTTAGATTTGCATTATTTAGATTGTTTATTTGGTAATTAACATGGAATAAATTATCTTGATAAAGAATTATTTATAAAATTATTAACTTTAAATGAACCAAAAAGTTATCATAAATATAGACGTCTATTAATGCCTATGATTAATATACTCCATCTTTATATAATGATTAATGCAGAATTAGATTTAGAATATTAATATAAAGATTTTGAGATGCCATTATAAGAAGAAATAAATGAAAAATTTTATACTTCTTCTTAAGGATTTCATTTAACAACAAATGAATCTTGTTCAAAATTATTACCAACTATAATAGCATTATAAGCTAGATGGAGATTATGTTTATAATAAAAAAAATATTAATTAATGCTTTTTAAATACACAAGAATGAAAATAAAAATGATGAATAAAAAAGGTAAAGAAGTATAAAAAACATTTGTAAAAAGAAAAGATATTAGTAATGATAAAGATAGTGAGACTATGTATATTTGTACTATTTATGAATCTACAGATAATTAAGGAGTAAGAGTAAGAGTAGAACTATTATCTTATAAAAGTAAATAAGATTAAGAATTATTTAATTATTTCACTTTTGAACCTAATTCAACATTATTAAATGAATAAATAAATTAATATATATTGAGGAATCTATATATTGAAGATAATAATAATTTAGTTTTGAAATAGAATTATGCTCATAAATATGAAATTCCCTAACAATCACAATCAAAACTATTAAAATTGATTACTAAAAAACCATAATCTCCAAGACTTATTTATCATTAAAAAAGATAATATTCTTAAGGTAAATAATTTATTTATGATGCTATTCACACTGGAGAAGTACCTTAATAATAGAAAATCTAATAAGACTAAAAAAATTTGATAAAAATTGATATAGATTTGAAGGAATTCAAATCATAATATCCAGGAGTTAATTATAAATAATCTAATATTTTATCTTAGATATCAGAATAATTAATATCTGGAATGAAGGTTGATAAACAGACTATTCTTTCTAAAACTTTCTAAAAGAGAAATGGAATGAAAATATAAGGAAATTGTGAAAATGATGAAAAAGGTAAAGAATTAAAAATATCTGAAAGTTCTCAATAATAAAGCACTTTATTATTAAGATTTACTCAATTCTACTAAAATCTTAGATATATGGTTGTAATTTCATTACTTGATGTACCTATTGAACACTATGAAAAATTGGATTCTGTTTATGAACCTTATCACTCTTATATTAATATTTCAGCATAGAATTAATTAAATAATCAAAGAATAATTTGGTAAATAAATTTGCAATAAGCTCATAAATTAACAAATTAAGAAAACTCTAAAGAGATTGCTTAGATTATTAAATAAAATATATTAGTTTTAGAAGATAAGTTTGTTTATGTTGCTGATTATGCAATTATAGATTTTGAGAATGTTATCATGATTAAGAGGAATACAATGAATTTGATACAAAAACTGTTAAAGAATAAGAAATTTAACAGATTGAGAAAACAATTTGAAATAGAAGTTCGATAATTAAAAGCGAGTGATAATTAATTTTGGAATAATATGTATATAATTAATGTTATTTAGAATTTATTATGGAATAAATCAATTTTAATCAGAGGACTACTTCATTTGTATAGGAATTGAGAGACGTTAATATTTATTGTTAGCATGGAATATTAAGGATTATTAGAGATATACATTAACTATGTATAAAAAGAAAGGATTTCATGAATAATTGGATTAGATAAGGTTTATAAATCAAAATTTAGAATTGTGATTTAATATGGAATAAAATTATATTAAACTAGTTATAGTAGGTGAAAGTGGAGTTGGTAAAACATAGATTCTGAATTCTTACTGTTTTGGATTGAGTCCTTAAGCATCAACTGGAGATTTTACAATAGGTTGTGACTATGTATTGAAGAGAGTTCTTTTTAATGGTAAATTCTTAAAATTATAAATCTGGGATGTATCAGGAGCTGAAAGAGAATCTCCTTTAATGAAAATATATTTGAAAGGAGCATTGGGAATACTTTTTGTATTTGATGGAACAAATGAAATGAGTAGATAATAATTAGTAAAATGGTAAAATATTGTATATCAATACGTTGATGAATATAATGGAAGGCATATTCCATTTTTAATAGTTTAAAATAAGATGGATTTGGTGCATAATTATGATGAATAGAATTCATAGCAATTTCTATAATAATTTTGTTAAACTTTTGGTTTCTTTGATGGTGTATAATGTTCAGCATATGATAATTAAGGTTTAAAGAATGTATTTGAAACAATAGTTGATGAAATAATTAGAAGAGATTTAGTGGATTTGTAATAGAAAAAGAATGAGAGTAAAATAAGTAAATTGTAGATAGAAGACAAAGGATTAAAACTTAAATAAAAATCCAAATGTTCATGAAATGATAAATATATTTAAAATTTATATAATAAAATAATATAATTTACTTTAAAAAATCAAAGAAAACATTTGATCTAACAGTTTCTACTTTGATTTCCCATCTAACCATATTTTATATCATAATAAATAATGATTGATCTTTATATTTCTACCTCTTCTTATAATTCAAGACAATAATGTTCTATTATTGATATATCTAACATACTATTTATTTGTATAATCATATTTTTTAATATATAATTATTTAATATTAAATATATTTTTAATTTCTATGTGTTCCTTTATGCTTCTACTTTCAGATATATATTTTAATCAAATTCTTAAATCATAATTTCTTACTAAATACTTTATTGATTATCTTAACATTATTTCTAAGACTTCAATTTATTTGTATATAAGGAATATAAACTCTTTTTCCTTATAGAAATATTTTATGCATTATAAAATCATAATAGTTTTCTTTATTAATTAGACAATATCAATAATTAAATAAAACTAAGAAAATATAAATAAATATATATAAAATTCAAGTATAATACGTGTTTTATAAGAATGGAAGAATAATTGTCATAGCAATTCGATTGTATCAAATTTATTGAATCCCATCTACAAGGGACTTCAGATATAGATATGCAATTAACTGATTTAACTTTTTAATTACAATTATTAAAATCAGATTCAGAAGAATAAATCATTTAAGAAACTAAATCAATTTACGAAAATTAAGACTAAATCATTTAAGATACTCAATAATTATTTAAAGAATTAATTGATTACAAAGAACTTCAAGATTAGTATATTAGTTAAACTTTGCCATTTCTAACTTAAGATAATAAATTATATTAAAAAATGGATGAATGTTTGAGATACAAAAAAAATATTAGAGATAGTTTAGATATGTTTGAAATTGTGATGCAATTGGATTAAATATATGATCAATATTCAAAAATAATAGAAGATAACGATATTTAATAATTATTGGACAATATTAAAAATAATATAAGAATTTTTAAAATCTTATTGTAATTACCTAAAATGAGTCCTAGATATGGATAAATAGAAAAAATAGTTAATTTAGTTGAATCATATTGTCATTAAGAATTATTCACTTCTAAATAATCATAATAAAAATTAGAGATTCTTGATTTACTTGATATATCATCTAGAGCAGCTAGTATTTATTTACAATAGAGATTAAAAGTGATAGATTTATCATAATTAAATTTGAATAACCTTTTAAATACTTAGGATGCTTAAGAATTAATTCATCTTATGATTTCAATCACAGATAATGAATTACAATATTTGAGAAATATGAATAATTTCTAATCTTTTTTCTTTGAATTTTTAAAATATTTGATTTCTTATTTTAATAAAAATTTATTCAAACAATATTTCAACTTTGAAAATTAATACAATAGAAATTTAGAAGTATTCAATTTAATTATTATTAGTTTTTATATGGTTATTTAACATATTATAATATTTTGTAATCATATTCTGATAAAGGATATTTGTAACCTAAAAACTTTGATTAAATTTTAAAACTAGCTTTTGAACCTTATAGCACAATTATTAAAGTTATTGTTAAAAATGAATGTCAATTTCTATAAGGAAATATCAATTTTTAAGTTGATTCAAATAAATCTATCAATGAAAAATTGTCAAGTTTTGATTTTAATAAATAAGAAATACTAGAATAATCTTTTAAAAGATGTTATGATTTGAGTTTTTAGATAGCTTTTGAAGATTGGGTTTTTGAATGTATTAAAATTTTAGATAATTTATTAATCGTTTTAAATCATATTATTGATGAAATTCCTTTGGATTAATTTGGATAATACATTTAATCAGTTATCAACTAATCAGATAATTAATAATTTATTAAAGGAACAAATTCAAAATTTTAAATGAAAACTAATATTTCTTTATTTGAATTGTTGATAACTAAACATTATGAATTACATAATTTTAGAACTAATTAATTAATTGAATTAGATATGTTTATTAGAAAAACAATTGAAAAAAACATGGAAGAAGAATTATTAAGATAGATATCTTAAATTATAAGAGAAAGTATTATATATTGATATAATAGAATTATAAATGAATAGAAACAAAGTAATTTTAAATTAATATATGGAAACATTATCATTAACATCAGCACTTCGATAATTAATTGAAGAATGCGAAAACAAACTTTCCATTCATATTCTTAGATTATTATTATAAGATAGTCTAAATTAGGATTAAGATTATATTCATTCATTTACCACTAATTTAGAATTGATTGAAAATATATTTAAATCAATCAAGGCTAATAAAATCAATTTTAAAGCTTGTGTTAATTTGAATTAGAATGTTTCATATGAGGAATTAGAAGAAAAATCTAAAAATAACTATTTTAGTCAACCTACTTGTTTCTGGGCTACAATGCATATTTTAGTAGAAACTAAATTCATTTAAATCAAGGAATTAAAACCATTTTATGAAAAATTTGTAATATATGATAATTTATATAAATGATTCTTAAACAATGCAGTTCAAAAGAAGGTTTCCACTCATCTAGTGATGATGAATATCTTGATTAATTAAGAACAAAATTCAAAACCTTGAATTATTATGAAGAATGTGATAAAAAAGAAGAAAAATAAACATTCAACTCTAAGTCAGTTTAATAATATAGAAATTTAACTTTATTTACCTCTGAGTTATTATTTAACAATTAAACTATATTCTTAGGTTAACCATTTTATAATACATAATAAATACACATATTAATTGAAAATCAAGAACATTCAAATAATTATGAATTTCAATCTTAAACATAAAGACCATTTCTAGGAATGCAAAAAAAAGGAATTTAATTTAATTCCAATTTTGAATCTGGAAATTTAGATAGAGTAGATTAAGTAATATTATATATATAAAATTAGATTTCAAATGAAGAATATAATTTATTTATGAGAATTGATACAAATACTATCGGTCACACTAACTGGTTTTATTTTAAAACTACAAATAATGAATAGATTAAAATTAAATTTAATATTTGCAACTTTACTAAACCTTAAATTTTATATGCAAAAGGTATGAAACCCTATATTTTATCAAAAAAAGGATAAGAAAAGTATTTTACTTAGTAAGGAGAATCTGTTAAATATTAATAATTAGGAGATCTTTATGTTTTATCCTTTTTTTATACATATGAATATGCTGATGATTAAGTTGAATTTGCCACTCTTCCTCCCTACACATATACAGAATTAAGAAGAAAGATTTTTAAATGGCATAAGAAATCTAAACATTATTTAAAAAAACTAAAATTAACAAACACTCTCTCTGGTCTTATATTACCCTTACTTATTATAACTGATACAAACTCAGATATTAATAAAAAAGTTTTTATAGTAACAGCAAGAATTCATCCTTCTGAAACTTGTAGCTCCTATTTAATTTAAGGATTTATATAATTTTTATTAAGTGAATCAGTTATGGCATAATTTCTAAGAAAAAAGTAAAGTATTTAAATTTAGCCTTTAGTTTCATATTTAAAATTATTCCGATGTTGAATCCTGATGGAGTTATTGTTGGTAACTTTAGAAATGGATTAAGTGGAGTAGATTTGAATAGATAATTTTTAGAAACTGATTTAACTCTGTTACCAGAAGTCAAAGCTTTGAAAAATTTAATTTAAGATAATTCTACTAAATTAGTAGGATATCTAGACTTTCATGGTCATTAAGTAAGAAAAAATATATTTCTTTATGGACCTTAATCTAATAATTAAAATTATGATTCTAAAATATTTCCCTTAATACTTTAACAAAGACTTGACTCTTTTAGGTTTAAATCTTGCGAATTTGGAATTCCAAAATTTAAACTAGGAACTGCTAGAGCATTTGCAAATAATTATGTTGATGTTTTATGTTATACTATAGAAGCATCTTTTTGTGGTTATTATAAAGGAAAATCTTTTAAATTTGTTTAAAAAGATTGGATCTAAGCTGGAAAATGTATTGGAGAAACTTTATTTTTATACTTTAATTTTAAATCAATAAACTCAAAGCATTTAAGTAATAATTTCCATAATTAATAGAATAAAACTAACTTTTGAAAACTATTAATGAAATGTCAAGCAAAGTAGAATAAATAGAAGCAAAACGTGAATCCGATGAAGAAAATGATAGTTAATCAGATGCAGAAATATTTGAAGATTATGACAAGGCTAAGTTGACATATTTATAAGATTAAATGAAAGTTGAATTAAACCAATAGAATATGATTGTAATTAATAAAGAAGATTCCCAAAGAAAATGTATGAAAGCTTAATCTGTGTCTAGAAAAATTAAAGTTTAACCTATTTTCATTATAAATAAAAGTATTTAGACTTTATTATTGGTTTAAGATTAAAAAAAATTATATCCAGAATTAAATATTCAAAACTGGGAGTTCACTAATAAAAAAAATTAATCAACAGAAAATAAAACTCCTTTATAACAAAAAGGAAATAAAAATAAAATTTCTTAATCATCTAGATTTGCATCCAGCAATAGAACTGCTTTTCATTAAGGAACATCTCCTATTAATTAAAATAATTAATAAATAAATATATCTTAATAAATTTAATAAACAAATCCTGTATAAATTTCATAAAAATTGACTTCCAATAACTTTCCTTTTCTGGACAATAATATTTAATTATCAACCCCTTAATATTTACCCTTCATTACAAATCTAATAAAAAGGAAAAGAATTATGACAATGATTTGATCAAAAGCTATCTATTTTTTATTTATATCAAATTTTATAAAGGTAAAATATAAAAAATAATTTTTATTTAAATTTATTTTATCAATTCCTAAATAATTATTAAAATATACAATTAATCTAAATAATTCATTTTTTATTAAATCTTTTTATTTAAATTAAATCAAATTAGACAGAAATACAATTTTTTAGGATTTTCGATAAACCAAAGCTATTCTTTTGTCTTATAAATTGATTGTTTGTAAAATTTGAGATAATGTAGACGAAATTCTGANTAAAGGAAAATCTTTTAAATTTGTTTAAAAAGATTGGATCTAAGCTGGAAAATGTATTGGAGAAACTTTATTTTTATACTTTAATTTTAAATCAATAAACTCAAAGCATTTAAGTAATAATTTCCATAATTAATAGAATAAAACTAACTTTTGAAAACTATTAATGAAATGTCAAGCAAAGTAGAATAAATAGAAGCAAAACGTGAATCCGATGAAGAAAATGATAGTTAATCAGATGCAGAAATATTTGAAGATTATGACAAGGCTAAGTTGACATATTTATAAGATTAAATGAAAGTTGAATTAAACCAATAGAATATGATTGTAATTAATAAAGAAGATTCCCAAAGAAAATGTATGAAAGCTTAATCTGTGTCTAGAAAAATTAAAGTTTAACCTATTTTCATTATAAATAAAAGTATTTAGACTTTATTATTGGTTTAAGATTAAAAAAAATTATATCCAGAATTAAATATTCAAAACTGGGAGTTCACTAATAAAAAAAATTAATCAACAGAAAATAAAACTCCTTTATAACAAAAAGGAAATAAAAATAAAATTTCTTAATCATCTAGATTTGCATCCAGCAATAGAACTGCTTTTCATTAAGGAACATCTCCTATTAATTAAAATAATTAATAAATAAATATATCTTAATAAATTTAATAAACAAATCCTGTATAAATTTCATAAAAATTGACTTCCAATAACTTTCCTTTTCTGGACAATAATATTTAATTATCAACCCCTTAATATTTACCCTTCATTACAAATCTAATAAAAAGGAAAAGAATTATGACAATGATTTGATCAAAAGCTATCTATTTTTTATTTATATCAAATTTTATAAAGGTAAAATATAAAAAATAATTTTTATTTAAATTTATTTTATCAATTCCTAAATAATTATTAAAATATACAATTAATCTAAATAATTCATTTTTTATTAAATCTTTTTATTTAAATTAAATCAAATTAGACAGAAATACAATTTTTTAGGATTTTCGATAAACCAAAGCTATTCTTTTGTCTTATAAATTGATTGTTTGTAAAATTTGAGATAATGTAGACGAAATTCTGATTACACCATTAATTCATTTAATTGTTGATTTAAAATGGTTAATAAAGAATAGTTTAATAACTTTAGAACTAATAATATGAATCAAAATTAATTTTTTGTAAATAAAGTTCTCCAATAGATAATAAAATCTTTATTTATTTTGTTAATGTAAGAATATATATTCATTATATTAAAATAAAACGTAATTTAATACATTATTTTTAATAACATATAATATGATAAATGATTTAGAAATAAACTTGTAACCCCTTTCTCCTTTAGAATTTCAAACTAATCAGCATCAGATTATATCTGATCAATAATTAGAATATGAAAATGGTTCTAAAAAATGTAGAATTAGTTCCTAATGTTTAATTATTAAAAAGTACTATTTTTAGAATAATTTTAGAAAAATTCGTCATAGGAAATCCAGACCATCTATTCTTCATATAGAAGAAGTAGTTAGGAATGTGAAGTAATACAATAATTGTTCTAGTCAACACAATTTGGAGAATCTAGAAATTATTTAAAATAAAGCTTTTGTGAAATCAAGTTGAAAAGATTTCGCTAACTTGATCTTTATTTATTACATACTTGTAAGAATTTTCAAAAATAAAGTATTAATTTTCATCAAGAATTTTTTACAAAACAAATTATTAAATTATGAATTAAATTTCTTAATCTCAATAATATATATCTACTATCCATAAGAAATCCATTCCTTTATTACATTCCTATTCATTTTTTATCATACAAAAAATGTAATTTGTTATATTGTGTTTTAATTTTTTGACCAAATGTTTCTATAATCAAGCTTTGTTGTCTTTATCTACATTTTCGATCAATTTAAAAATATTTACAAAGCATTCATTTAATTCCATCATACTAAAACCGTTTAGAAATAATTTTATTGAGATTCAGAAAATATTTATATTATTTCTTATAAATACATAAGATATGCTTATATAATTAACAAATTTCTTCAACTAAAATTAATAAATTTTATTAATATTTTCTTCTTACATAAAATTAGTTAAAAGTTAGACTTTTTAATCAAATATGGACTCTTTAATTTTAATTGATTAATTTATAACTTTTAACTAATTTGATTTAAATAGAAACATATTAATACCATCATCCTTTAAAGAGGTTAATTTATTTAATAGTATAATATAATAATTGATATTATGACAAGTGACAATTTAAAAAAATTTATAAGACTTTTAATTGTCTTAAATTTTAAACATTGTCGATTCAATTTTGAATTTCTTAATTAGATTCAAATTGAACATAAATGATTAGAATTATTTTAAATTTAAGCCATATATCTTGATAATTTTAGATAACGAAACAATTTCAAAGTGATATTAAATAAAAAAAGAGAACTATTTCAATAAAGATACTGTTTATATTATTAAATCTTATTGTATTTTTAATACCATAAGTAAATAGAGATTGTTTATTTAAAATTAATTATTTTTATTTAATTATCAAATCTTTTTTATTTAAAATACAATATTAATAAAAAAGAACTTTAAAGAAATTAAAACTTTTTTAATAGAATTAATTGTGAATTTAAGACACAAAATTAGATGAGCTTTAATAATATTAATATGTCAAAGACAGTAGTATTAATAGGCAAAACTGGTGAAGGTCGAACTACCCTTTTTAATAAAATTACTAATTCCTAATAAAAAACTGCTGCTGGGGGTTAGAATGTTACTACTAATGTCTTCGTTAAATAATCATCTTATGGAGATGGATTTTAATTAATTGATACCCCTGGATTTGATTCATGTTCTCAAACTTTTAATTTAATAGCCGGATTTTTATCTGCAATTGATAAATTTTTAATTAATAGAATAATGGTTGTTATTAGATATGATAGATTAGAATTGATTAAGAAAGAACTAATAAAATATACTGAACTTTTTTAAAGTTATAAAGATAAACTTACATTTGTCATAACTTTTATGGATTACATTAAGAATGATTATCTGAAAAATGTTAATGAGATTTAGTTAATGGCAAAATAATAAAAAATAAATTCTGTTATTTTTGCTTCTCGTGATCATTCAGGACAATAACTTTGTCAACTTTTTGATTAGGAAATTCAAGCTTCTGTTGCATAAAAAATTTCATTAACAGATGATCAACAACTTAGCCTATTGGATCGAATTGATAATGATGAAATTTAATATTACTTAATGTAAAGTGAAAATGTAGAATACCCATTTATATAATATGAAAGATAAATGAGAAAAAGTTGTTAGTAAAATTAAAATATTAATTATTCCTAAATTAAAGAATATTTGAAAAAAATCATTAAGAAATGTTTTTTGGATTGTTTCCGGCTTATGGAACAAAATGAAGAATCGGAAAAATATTAAATTTACTTAAATTTAAAAAATTAAATCAAACCTTCACTCAATAACATTATTCAATTAATTGAAAAGTCGAACAAAAATGGTATATATAGGCATTTATTTATAATTAGATTTTGAATAATTTATAGAATAAGAATTAAAATCTTATGAAGTAGGTCGCAATGAATGTTTAAAACAACTTGAATAAGCAAAAAAGCATATGTCATCATCAATAGTTCAACTTTGATTGATTTAAATTAGTTTATGAATATCAAGATATAGGAAATATATTTATTAAATAAATTAAAAAATTCTAATTAGTGTCTAGATATATTGATAAAGATGAGAATCTTTAAGAAATAGTAGGATAAAAGAAGAAAAGAAATTATTATAATTTCATTAAGGAGACTATGAAATATAAATTGAAGGAAGATTTAATGTGAAACAGTTTATAATAAGTAATTAATAATTTCATTTTAGAATATAAAGTATGTAGAGAATATTTTTATTAAATTGAATTATTTAAATAAATTAGTATAAATGTTAAGAAAACTTATTGAATATATTACAAATTTTGGTGATAAATTATAATTACTATTTAATAATCTAAATTAAATAAAAAAATTGTAAAATTTATTAGTATATTTTGGTAATATAGAATTGTTTATTAATAAACTATTATAAGTTGATATTTTCAAAGAAAATAATCAGGTACTCTTCTTGTTGTATGAGGCTCATTCTCTCTTGGTGCTGGTTCAAATTGTATTCTATATAAATATTTATTATAATACTAATTCATTCTTAGTTATTCATCAACTTCAACAATGCATGCTTAATTACCACATCTATAACAATAATTAGGAGCAGAGAAAATTGTAATAGTTTTTTGATTATGAACTTTTTGTATTCCTTCCATGACTAATTGATGAGCTCTGGCAATTTATTTTAGTTTATTAGAGTGTAAGAATTTTTCAGTAATATCACAACCCCAAGTCCAACCTGCTCCTCTAGGAGAGATACCCCATCCTTAAAATGTTTAATTATTATATAATACCATTTTTTGTTTCTTCAGGATCACTCCATAATAAATCACACATCAATCCTTCATGAGGAATGTCTTATACTCTATTCAGTTATTTTATTTAATCTACAGATTCCATAGCTGGTGATAAACCTCCATGTGCACAAAAAATCTAAAAGTGTAATTAAAATTGCTGTTACTTATTATTCCACAATTGCAGATAGTGGTAAATACCCAAAAACCTCTGTAAATTATTTCCAAACTATTTCATTACCATATTTACGAAAGCATTCATCATAAAATCCATAAATTTTATTAATTTCTCTATTTTCATGATTTCCTTTAAGAATATTATGTGATATACCTCTCAATAAAACAATTCGATCCTTATATCTGACTTTGAGTGATAGCATTAATGAGAATGTTTCAACTGATTAAGATCCTCTATCAACATAATCTCCAAGGAATAAGTAATTAGTGTCCTAAAAATGAATTGCAAAATAAACATACTGGTAGGTTTCCTCCAATTTAAAAGAGTTCTATGAGATCATGAAATTGACCATGTATATCTCCGCAAATAGTAAGAGGAGCTCTTACTTAAATAATGTTGGGTTCATCTGATAATATTTCTTTAGCCTATGTAATTGCTATATATAAAAACTTTGATGCATAAACTCTTGATTTCTTATTCTGTTAATATTTATCCTTGCTTTAATTTAGCAATTTATCTATCAATATTACCAATTTCATTGGTACTTAATTTATTAAGTGATGCCATTTAATATATTTATTTGAACAGATTATTAAAATAAGATATATATATATCCATAAATAATAATAAAATTCATAAGAAATGGGAGGAGCAAAAGTTGATTCTAAAGATCCAGTAAGAGGCATAATATCAGGTAATGATATTTAATATCTATTTTAATTTTAGGTGGTATAACAGGTGGAATAGAAATTTGTATTACTTATCCAACTGAGTATATTAAAACAATGATGCAACTCTATAAAGAATATTCATAAAAGGGAGTTAAATATTGTATTGGTGAAACATATAAGAATTTTGGAATAAAAGGATTTTATAGAGGTTTAACACCTTTAGTCACATTTTCAATTCCTAAAGTAGCATGCAGATTTGGTGCTAATGAATGGCTTAAAAATAATGTATTTACAGATAGAAAAAGCAGACTTCAAACATTCTTTGCAGGTTTAGGAGCTGGTGTGTTTGAAGCATTTGTTGTTGTTACACCTACTGAAACTTTAAAGGTAATTATAATAATTTTTAATTTAGGTTAAATTGATACATGATAAATTATCAACCACTCCTAAATATAGAGGAATGATTCACGGTATTGGATCAATTGTAAATGAAATGGGTTTATCAGGTATTTATAAAGGATTACTTCCAACTATTCTTAAATAAGGTAGTAATTAAGGAATTAGATTTGTTGTTTTTGAAGATACAAAGAAATTTATCTAAGTAATTTTATAGATTATCTTTATTATTAGAGTTCTTTTTCATTTTTACCTGAACCTGTTGTTTTATTATTTTCTGGAGGTATTGCTGGTGCTGCATCTGTCATGGCTAATACTCCAGTTGATGTTATTAAAACATAAATGTAAGGACTTAAATCTCATTAATATAATGGCGTATTAGATTGTTGTAAATAAACATATCAACATGAAGGAATTAGAGGATTTTATAAAGGTAAAATATATATTCTAAGGTTTTTTAGGAACTGTACCAAGATTAGGAAGAGTTGTTATGGATGTTGCCATTACATTTACACTCTATGATTATATTGGAAGAGTTCTTAATTTTGTTTGGCCACCAAAACATTGATAGTTCATATAATTTATTCAAGATAGTAATATAAATCTATATTTTATAAATAAATACTTATACAATAAATTAAAATGACCTAAAAATAAATTGATCATTATTCATTTAATACAAAAGATGTTTTAGGATCAGGTTCATTTGGAACAGTATTCAGAGCAATGGATCATAAAAATTGTAGATAAGTAGCCTTGAAAATGATATCCAAAGATAAATTGTTAAGAGATCAAAATGCCAATAATGGAGTAATGAGTGAGATTAAAATAATGAAAAAGTTAAACAATAAAAATGTTGTATAATTGATAGATGTCTTAGAAACATCTAACAATTATTATATAATTTAAGAAATTTGTGAATCTGGAGATTTAGCCAAGTATTTACTATGAAATAAAAATCATTTAGGTACTTAAAAAAAAATTCATTTGTTCATGAATAATTGGCATTGAAAATTATGACTGAAATACTATAAGGTTTTATAGAATTAATAAAATTTGGAATCATTCATAGAGATTTAAAACCTGCTAATATTTTAATTCATTAAGACACTTATAAAATTGCTGGTCTGATATTTTATATATTCTAGTAGATTTTGGATTTGCAAAAACAGTAGATAATTATGCATAATAATTATTTTACTCATAAGTAGGTACACCATTATATATGAGTCCTTAAATTTTGAAAAATGAAAAATATTCTACAAAATGTGATGTTTGGTCATTTGGTTTTTTATTTTATGAAATTCTTTATGGAAGAAGTATATTTTATTAAATAATTATATTATAGCACCTTGGATTGCATCATCAATTCCATAATTAGTAAAGAATATTAATACACAACCTTTAAAATTTAATGATCAAATCAATTAAGTTTCTGATAATGTTAAGGATTTAATCTCAAAATGTTTAGTTATTTAGGAGAGTAAATATATTTTATTTTTTATATTATAGATGATCGATATAGTTGGCATGATATCTTTGGTCATCCTCTATTTAGTGATTAATTTTCATAAACCCCAAATCTATAATAAATTTGTGAAGTATTTTTTTTACCTGATTATAATTATAAGCAAAAAGAACTTTATATTGCAAATAGTTTACGTGAAATACTTGGAGCAAAATAAATTAGTATTAACTAGATTTTAGAAGAATTATCTTAAAATTAAGATGATATTATTCTTTAAGAGAGTTTGGAAGAATTATTAACTGATATTGATACAGAATTGGAAACTTATGAAATTTAATTCATATTTAATAGCATTGATGAAGATTAAAATGGATAAATTACATGTCAAGAATTCTTTAATTGGATGATAAAACATGATGTTATGAATAAATTGAATTATTCTAGATTATTAATGATTCTCAAGTTAGAAGGGCATCAAATACCATTTATGGTCCATAACAGATCCAAAAATAACAACTTGAAAAAAAGAAAGAATCTAAAACTATTATTTATAATTTGATTTCAGCAATTCAATAATTGAATGAAAATTTAGTAGAATTATTTTACCAATTTGTTAAAGGATCTGAAAACATGAGTTTAAATGATTTTGCAAATTTATTATTGTATAAATGTTAAAAAATAAATAATAATAGGAATTATGATGAAAATTTGTGTGAAGATGAAATACTATCAACATTTTCAATATTTGATTTAGATTAAAAAAATTACATTACTTTATAGCAATTCAAATACATTCTTGAATAAGACATAGAAGATTATTGATTAATATTTCGCACAATCTTTTAACCTATTAAATTATTGAAATCAATATATGTATATATTTAATGAGTATTCATTATTAACTACGAAAATTAAGTATTGTCCTAAAAATTTATTTTTTACTTTTTATTATTGTTTAAAGTTAAAATATAATAATAAAAATAATGGGAAGTGAATAATAGATTTTTAGTTTTAAGCATGTTGGATTAAATATTATATAAGAAATATATATGTGGAATATTAAAATAAAGTCATTTATTATTACTTGAAAGAGGGGAAAGTAAATTAATACCCTTTTAAGATACTTTTTGTGGAGTTTTACCATGTGGATTAGTTGATTGTATAAATTAATTTTATTATAAAGTTTATTATTTTTATGATTGTAATGATGATTATTATTATAATGATTATGTTTCTTATGGTTTGGAACAATAGGCAGATTCAGGTTTAGGTAATGTATTATTAAAGTTTTCTTAATTATTAAAATAAGGTTAAACAAAGTGTTAGAGAGTCTATGAAAAGTCTTATTGATTTTATTTTGAATGAATTTTATCTTAATAGAATGCTTATTAATATGGAGGTAAATAGTGTGAATGTTATTAAGGATTAACGAGTTTTAAAGTTGGATGAAGATTAGAAGTCAATTAAAACGATGTTTTTCTAGATTAATTCTAAATAGGACTTCTACTAATCATTAATACATTTCTAGAATTTTCAGTAACAGTATGAATTTTTCTTCCTCTATCATTTTAATTTGGAGTATGTGTAGAAATTAAAATAGGTTATTTATTTGGTGTTTTATAAAAAGCACTTAATGCAGTTGTATTTCTACTTTGAGCAGGACTTAAATATTTACCAGATTTATCTAGAATTGGAGATACACTTCTTTATAATGGAGTGCGAAAATGAGATTAAATAGATAAATCTCTTATCACTGGGGATTTACTACTCAATCCCATATCAGGAGGAGGAGAATTTGTTCTTTCAGGTTATCTAGGAGGAGAAGTATATCTTCTTATTTTAGATTATGGTATAAAAGTACTACCTTATTATTATAAATTAGTATCAAACAGAATATCTGAAAGTGTTGGCCTTGATTGTTCATCAAAAGTAATTAATCTCTATACCAAATTAATAAGTTATTAAGAATATCTCTTTCTTGCTGATGATAGCAAATCCATTATAGATTTAAAATATATTGTTTTCCTTTGATAATCTATACAATCTTCCAAAACTCATTATAACTATTATACTATACTTGATGTCATAGTCATTAATTCTAATAATGTGAGTCCTAATTAAAATGAATCTGTTTTCAAAGGATCATCTTTTGGACTCACTGATTAATTTATCAGAGCATCCAATTATTATGGTGAAATGTATACATTTTAATCTTGATATGCTAACAATTTTGCATAAGATGTAATTATTTCTGGATATGCATTATGATACTATTTATTAATATAAATAAATACCAATATTTTTATTTATTTCTCATTATCAATAAATATTGTTTATGGATTCAAATCTCCATGAAATAAATCTAACTTTTCCAAAAATGAACATGCAGAAATAATTTATAAAATTATCTAATTATTGCAATTAAATTACTTTCCAAATTTCAGATTCTTCCAAATAACTACAATTCTTTTTGTGAAAATTTATAAGATTATCTAAAGTATTTGGAATATATTCAAAAAAGAATTTTGTTTATTAAATATTACCTTTGAATGTTAAATAATTTGATTAACATCCATAATATTACAATATATTTGGATGGTTTACCTTTTTTCTATCATTATGTTCATTTACATTGATATCATGTCTTTAACCACTATGTGATAGCTTTAGAAACTAAAAATATTGATACTTTTGAGAAGATTGTTGGCTTACTCTTAGAATCTCTTCTCCATAATTATATTTATCCTAAATATTTGTGTTACTTTGATCCAATGCATTCTAAATTATCTTCTAATTTGCCATCCATTGAAATCACTTATTCATTTACATAAGATGTTTAATTACCCATCTGTTTTAATAATAAATTTTGCTGTTATATTTAAATATTAAAAAATAAATGAAACATGACTCAATATCAATTATAACAATATATATATTGTCCAATCTAAATCAATAAAAATGACCAATTATCGATATATTGATCATCTGATTATAGTTTATAATAAGAAAATATTTGTTTATGTTGTTTTTTTACAGAATATAAATATTATATAATTAAATATTTAATAATAAAATAATTACATTATGCTTTAAATACCGAAGAAATCAATAGCTTATGAGAAGATTTTAGCAGATTTCTATTAATAATTTATATCATAGGAAATAGCTAGTTAAAGACCTTAAATTGAATTTCTTCATTTTCTTTGTAGTTCTTTCATGATGGAAAAACTTCTTAAAATTTAGGAGGAAAGTATTAAAAATAAAGAGGAAGAATTTGGTGCTAGGATGGAATTAAATAAATTTATTTAATACATGGTAAATTAGAATGCAGCATATTTAAATGATAGTATTCGTGATGAATTATTAACATTATCTAAGAATCGATATGATGAATAATATTTAATAGGATATAGTCAATATTACAAATATTGTTCAATGATTACTACATCAATTACATTTGAGAAAATAAATTACATTTAGGAATATTTAATTCATTAAAATCAGATGTTTTAAGAATTCAAACATAAACTTAAGTTTAATTAATATTCAAATAGTGATACATTTAGTACTTCAAGATATCTAACATTAAGTGGTTTGAGTTAATTTAATAAAGGTGCAGATGGTAAATTAATTAGTTAGAAAGATGATAAACATAGAGATTTGAAATTGATAGAAGATTATATGTAAACAAAGGAAAAGTATTTTAATACTTTTATTGAAGATGATTGGTTAAGAATAATTGTTTAAATAGAGAAATGTTAAAAATGTCATTTAGATCCTTTGAGTCAATAAGATTTCACTAAAATATAGTAATTAATTGAATAAAAATAATTACCATATTAAATAGCGAATTAAATGAAATAAGAAATGATGAAAAAATTACAATAGAGGAGATAATAATAATAATAATAGTAAGAAAATGATGAGAAGTCTTTTAAATATTCTCAATTAATTTAATATAAGTTATCACATGATACAAAATTAATAGAATGTTTATTAAATCAACAAAAGAATTTGCTTGGACTAAAGTTATAAGATCTTCCAAATGTGATATCATATATTTAAATAAGTAAATTTTGTAATATAGTATGTTGTGGATGTTATGATGGTAATATATTAATATATGATATGAATGAATTGAAATAAAATAGATAAAATAGATTACTTTGTAATCCAAGTTTTGAAATGCATATTCATGAAGGTCCAGTAACAGCAATAAGTATTCTTTATGATGAAAGTTATATCTTATCAGTTTCAGTAGATTTAACTATAAAATTTTCATGCTTAAAATCTAGATAACCTTTAGTTGTATATAAAGGTCATTTATAAACAATTTGGCATTTAGCATTTGCTCCGATGGGTTATTGGTTCGCAAGTGCTTCATCAGATGGAACTGCTTTATTATGGGCTACTGATTAAAATTAATGTATTAGAATATTTGGACCTGTAATGAACTAAGTGAAATTAGTAGAATTTGTTCCTTCAGTTGAATATGTCGTAACTGCAGAAGAAAACAGAATATTAAGAATTTGGTCTATTGATAAAGCTGAATGTATGTATTTATAGATTATGGATGGGAATATTACTTGTATGAATATTTCATTTACTGGATAATTCTTAACCATTGGATGTGATTCTGGATCAGTTGTATTATTCTATTTACCAATCATTAAACTATTAAAAGATAAAATATATTTATAAAGAAGTGATTTTCATAGTCCTAATGGTAGAGATTATATCAGATCAGTTTCTATTAGTCTTGATGAAACTACATTAATGTGTTGTAATTCAAATAGAATTGGATTCTTCAATATATCTGATCTTATGAAGAAAACTAGTGAAGATGTATTTAAAGGTTTAGAATAAAGTATTAAATCTATTGAATATGAGAAAAATAATTGGAGCAGAAATGCTGTCCCTATTGAATTATTGGAATTACCGGATTACATTCATTTAGCATAATATGTTTGCAATGGTTTTGCTTTATACATCTGTAAATGATTATGATTCTTAAGATATAATATATTCAATATATATATATATTTAATTATTATTCAATAATTGTCTTTCTTACAATTCCTTAATTATGAGTTTGGTCAGAACATCAATATTTTATTACTTCATTAAATTAGAGTTATAGCAAAATTATTAATCATGACTTAAACAATTATTTTTAAATTATATTCAAAAGCTTTTACAGATTAGAATGCAAAAACTAAATTAAACACCACTTAATTACTTACAAAGTGACGGAGATATATATCCAGTTCCAGAAACTTTAGAAGCAGATATCGGTAGCTATATATTATCTCCCTAAACAACTATTCCATCACTAAGAAAGGCATCTTTTCAAAGTCCTTATAAATAAAGAAAATCTCAATAAATATTAGAATTTACAGACTAACTCTATATTTGGAATAAGTATCTTACCAGAAAATACTCCAAATCATCCTATAAACTTGATTGAATATATGTTCTATATTACTTTTTAAGTGTGACTTTTATTCTATCCAAATTCAATATTATATACCAAAACATCTTAATATTACTCATGTTTCATTACAATAAATTATATTTTACAAGAACATTCTATTTATCAAAACAACAATCTATTTTTGTCAAGTTAATTATCCTCCTTTTTTATATCGAACTCTTATATATATGATACAATTCAATAAATTACTTATATAAATAACATCTTTAGAAAATTATACAAATGAATCAATTTCACACAAAATCATAAATTATTAATATTAGAAATGTTACCAATTATTTTTTTTAACAATATATTAGTATATTATTAATATATCAAATAAGAATTCCTAATAAGGGATGTTATTAGTCTATTCACAATTTTAAAGAATTTATCTAGTTGAATTCAATTCTCTAATTATATTTAATTAATATAAATCATCCCTTTTAATATTTGTTTATACTGACGAAAATCGACTTTGCAAAAAATTAAAAACGTTAAATCAATAAAAATATTCATAATCATCTAGATAATTACTCAATTTATAAATATCTATTATATAAAAATCATAATGTGAATAAAAATAAAAAACATTATATAGAGCAAAATACTTATCTATTAAGTTTATTTAAAGCTTTTTTGAATAATCCATTTATTTGATTGATTTCTTTTTATATAAAAATTTATTTTTTGAATCATAAAATTAATATGAAAATATAATATATCAAGATTAGTAATAATATATAGGCTATATTTTAATTGTTTTAACATCTAATTTTAATGGTTAAGTATTTTTTTTTGCTTCTTTAGATGTATCATTCATAATAATATCAGTCTAAATCTGCTTATTTTAAACTGCAATTTCAATTTATTGTGATTTATCTAAAAAGATTGTTTCATTTTTTTCTTCCGTCTAAACAATTACTTCTTGATATTCAAGGAAGTTAATATTTTAAGAATGAATTTAGTTTTCTTTTATAATAATCTTTAATTTTTAATTTTCATCAATCAACTCTTTAAGTTAAGTTTCTTAATAATTTTCTTATTATTTCAATTAATTTAAAAGCTATTAAATCTATTGTTCCTATTTAATAATAATTTAATTGTAATTTGAATTTTATGATTCTAATTGATTAATCATTTATTATTATTTTTGTATATTGTGATGTAATTTATCGATCTGAGTATTTTCATCTTAATTTTTCTGATTTAACTTTGATTGTTCTTACTTGTTTTAACCTTCATGATAGAAATAATTATGATCTCCTATACATTCATTCTTACTAATAAATGCTTTGTGAATATAAACAGACATTTTAATTAATGTTTTATTTATTTATTTTACCCATATTTGCAATCGATGATATTTAAATGAGAAGAAGTGTAATCTGTGGATGTAAACATTTAAATCCATCAGATTGTGTTGAAGTAAAATGGTGTGAATTGGCTGTATAATTTGACAAATGTCCCATCAATGCAGATTGTATAACTTACTAAAATTAATTGGAATGTGAACAAGCTGATAAAGACTTATGTGCTTGGATAGATAATTATTGTTTAAATAAATGTGAATTACTAGAATACAATACTTGTTAAAGCAAAGAAATTGATACTAATTGCACATAATTTAACACAAGCACTACCTGTGAAACATATTCATGGTGTGAGTTTAATACTACAACATCATAATGTCAACAAATTTTGTAAGTTTCTTGTAATGATATTTTAAATTCAATTGAATGTGAAGATTATGGTTGTGTTTGGGATGACGTTTCATTTTGTTAAAATAAAAATGCTGATTGCAGTCAATTTGAAAATGAAAAAGAATGCTCTCTATACTTTTAAGATAATAGATAATGCATTTGGATAGAAGGTGTTTAATAAGAAAATAATATTAAATCATCATGTTTTTAATCAAAAGAATGTGAGAAATACACTTATGATAATGATGAACTTGGAATTTGTGAATCTATAGCCAATTGTAATGTAGAAGAAAATTAATGTAAAAGTTGCGTTTTAGACATGTTTACTTTTGAATCAATTTTAAAATTTATAAGTATAATTTATTTGTTTTGATTTTCAATGTTATTCCTCACCATCAAAATTTTGATCAAATGAGATTATACTATTTCTATGCAAATTATTAGTATTTTTGTCCAAATAATCTGATTATTCAGTTACAAGTATCTAAATTCCCTCATATTCTTTTTATAATCTATCAATTTCTTCTTTGAGAATATTCTTTTTCTAATCACCTTCCTGTAATTATAATTAATTAATTAATACTTTTAATGATGCCATTTCTTCCATCTTTCCTTTAATTTCCCTAATAAGATGATCAGCTTTTTTATGTAATTCTGGAACTGAAATGATATCTTCGCTTTATTTTTTAATTTTCATAAAATCAGTTTCTTTGAGCATTTAAAAATCGAGTTTCTAATGTTGATTGTATTACAATGAATTAATTATATCTCTAAAATAAATAAAGGCATTTTAAATTAAAGTATCCTATGTTAAAGATAACAATTATTCAGATGTTCCTTATAGAAATTGATCTATTAATTCTTTGATATTATCTTGCTGACTGATAAGTTAAAATTCTTATTCTGAATTCTTTTTACTAATAATTGATCTAGATACTGAGGAATAATTGTCAACTCTAATTTATTTAATAATTTAATACTATAACATAAGTAATTTCAATTGATTATTTTCCTCCCTTAAATCATCGTTTTATTAAGTTAATTGCTCATATATCTTTTAAAACTTTCTCATTTGTTAATCTTGAATCTCTTATAATTTTTATTAAGAGATATGAGATTATTAAATGGTTTTGACCTCTAAGTTTTTTTCATTTATTTATGTTTTTAATACTTTATTTTATTTTTCAAGTTCCATTATTCTAGTTTCTTGCTTTTATAGTTTTACTTTATAATCATCTAATTATAGATTTAGCTTTAATTGTTGATCAACTAAAATTTACTTTATTTTTTCAATATCCCTTTTTTCACTTGGAATCTTTTCTTCGAACTTAATAAAAATAAATAAAAACTTTAATTGGTCTTAAATTTCTATCAGTAACCTAATGGTTATTATCATAAAATGGTTATGAAGAATCTCTTTTATTTTTTTCTAATTCTATTCTATGTTATTAAATATTTGGACTAATATTACTCGTTTTCTATTAAAACCAACTAGATTCCTGAGTAATAGAATTATCTGATCGTTTAATGAATTAATCCATATATTTACTCGTGTTCGTATTATTCAATTCTTATTGAATTGAAATTTAACTAGATTGATATGTGGGGGGATAATGAGACAATTATTATCTGTTCATAACCTCAGACATGTCATTGTACTAAATTTAGAGAATTAAATATTACACTTTAATTTTAAATTCGAAAAGGCTACTTCATAGCTCTATCTGGAGTGTGATAATTTGGACTTTTATTTAAATATGGTTAAGTAAATGATTGATTTTGATTAGCAAACATTTTTTTGGGTGTAGTTTCTTGATAATTGATTAATCTGGGTCTATAATAAGGATCTGTCATTGAGTAGATATAAATATATTGTCAGTTAATAATTAATATAAATAATGGAAACAGGTTAATATAATGATTTAATGCAATATGTCTATCAATTGGGTGATTTGGCTTTGAATGTTGGTAATTGCTCTATATTTGATAATTTTATAGGTTTTGTATTAGGGCCATTAATTGGATACGTGGCTTAGTATTAATTAATCAAACAACAAAAGAGTGTAGGTTCATTTTCAACAGATGTTTGTGCAATATTATTGTTTGCTAATTTGTTAAGAATAGTATTTTGGTACGAGAAACGTTTTGAAAATGCATTATTGTATCAATCAGTTCTGATGATAATGATGTAAGTAATGATATATAGAATAATTTTGAGGTGGAATTGTTAAGATTGTGTTTGACTTTGAAAAACAAATCAGTTTATAAGACAAAATATATTTCATTTTTCGATAGTCCATTGGGTAAGTTTTGGAGATGGAATTAATTAAATTCTTATATAGCATGTTTGATTACGTTTTTGACAATAGTATTGATAAGTAGTTATTTGAATCTTGATAATCCTTAGTATTGGGAAATAATAGGATTTTTAAGTTGTGCAATAGAGGTATAATATAAAGAATGAATAAAAAAGGCTACTTTGGGATTGCCTTAAGCAATAAAGAATCATACATCAAAAAGTGTGAAAGGATTATCATACACAATGATAGGATCATGGTTTTTAGGTGATGGTTTTAAAACTTTTTATTTTATTGTAAAGAATTAGCCAGCTTAATTTGTAATGTGTGGAGTAATATAATTGAGTGTTGACATATGGATAATGTTATAGATAGCAGTATTTAGTTCTAAGAAGGGAGATATGGCAGAATTATGAGAATTAATATTATTAATAATGATATAAATGATCATTTAGAAACAACAGAGTTATCTCAGACACTGCAAATGTTTCTTCTACCTTAAAGATAATTTTATCCTTCAACTTCCAATTTCGTAAACCATGATTTTTTAACAATGAGAGTTTCTGAAGTGAAACCAACAGCTAAGACAGCATGATTAACTTATCCTGTACATCGCCATTTCTAATTTTATAAAATCCTTCTAATTATCCACATTATCCTTAATCTTTGAAATAGAACCTCTACATCTCCAATCAATTGATGTAACATTAATATTTCTGATATCTACTTTTGGTATTTCTAAATCTTCTGGAATTACTCTAAGTGTTGAAATATGTAGCAGTGAATTCCTCATGTGTAAGATCTGAGAATTATGCAAATATTTATCTTCCTACTCTATCATTTATTTCAACATCATTTTATTCATATACTAATAATTCATACTGATCCTTAGTATTATTTATATTATATCTGACTTAATAATTGAAAATTATGTTGCCAATTACATTTCAGGAACATTTTATACATTATAAAGTATTCCTACTACAGTCTTTAATTTATTCATATTCGATGATAACATCAATAAGCCTATTTGTAAGAATTGTCTTGTCCATTTTTTAATAATATTTGTATCAATATTTTATAATACAAATAATGATGTCATCATTAACCAACTCATTTTTATTTACTTATTGCTTTCCCAGCAATATAATTATTATATGATACAGTCACTCCAACTATTGCCCAAGTCATACTTAACAAATAACCTCCAAAATTTACTAACATATTTTTGTTATCTAAAATTATTCTCAAATTTACATTATTTTGAATGAAAATATGCTAAACTTAAATATATTGTATGAGCTATCACTATACAAACCCAAACTAATTTTGATATCATATCTTAAGTCACTCCAAACACATGTACCATACATATACAGAAATTCAAACATTAGGCACTAGAAGTCCAACCTAATTAAAATGCTATTGCTCCTCTCATTAAATATATTGACCAATCATCATTCTCTATTACTAATGTACTCTTCCATAACATATATATATTCTTAATTATTTTCTAATTATTTATACAATTGTTAATAAAATTAGCACTACTTTACACAAAATTATTGTTATTTTGCTAACTATTGCCCAAAGTAATATCCAAACTGAAATTGTAAAACAGTACAACCAGAAATATAAATGTGTCTCTAAACTCCAACTTACAGAATGAATACTCCATAATAATGCTACCAATGTTGTACCTATTTAAATTCATAATAAATTATTACTAAAAATCACTCCCCATATTGAAAATGCCCAAGGAGGAGGTGTCACCACTAATTTATAACTCTCACTTGTAGATCTTGCTGTCTTTACTCCTATTGTACCATTTATTAATAATGCCAATATGTATGCACAAACAGAAATGCTATGTCTCATCTATTTTCTTACATGCAAACAACATTGTAGTTGTTAAACTTTACTCCTTATCTAAAAGGTATTGTCTATGATTAATGTATCAAATTTAACACAAACTCCATCTCTAAGAAAATTATTATTCTTAAATATAATAATAAGAAATTCTTTATATATTCTTGTTTAAATCATAAAATTGTTTTCCAGAATTTATTTTCTCTCCTATTATTAAATAATCTAAAATATTCATTTTTCCATCTCATCTAATTATTATTATGGATATCTACTCTTCTAGGTATCTCTTATCAAACTTTCTTTAATATTAATGCTTTTTTTAAATAAATTAAATGTTTATCTTAAGAGTCTCTTTTTCAAATTGTTTTTATATAAGAGATCTATCCAATTTGGAATAACTCATTAAAAATAATACTTTAAGATCTATTAAAATGATTTAATATATTTTTACATTATGATATTTAGTAATTGAATATCTAAATGTACATACATTATTAATATTATTAGAAAATCATTATTTTAATCATTTAGTCAGATAATATATTATAATTATCATCATTTTGTAAACTATAAGATTCTTATTATTTTTACATTTATAAAATTCTAAATAAATAGTTTAATTATTACTATCGAGAATTCATTCTGATATATTTAAGATTATGCATTAAATTCATTATTCTTATGCTAATACTCATATATTTTATTGAAAGTTAATAAATAAATTAATTTAATATAAAAATGGCTGATGAAAATCCAGATGACAATAATTTTGAATTCATAAAATTCCTCCCTGAAGGCGATCAAAAGACAAAGTCCTCCAGAGATTACACTGGTAAAGGATAAGCTAAATATGCCAATAATGAAATCTATGAAGGCGAATATGTTGATGGAGTAACTGTTTCAATCTTAAAGTTAGAAAAGAAATGGAAAAGGCAAATATAATTATGCCAATGGAGATCTATACTTTGGAGATTTCATAAACAATGTTAAACATGGAATTGGAAAATTAACATACAAAGAAAAAGGAGAATATTTCGGTTTCACTATCATTTATCATCTTAGGCTAATGGGAGAATGGCAAAAGACATGGAGAAGGCATTTTCACTTATCCTAACAAAGATTAATATAGTGGTTGGTGGGCATTTGGTAAAAAAGAAGGTAATGGAACCTATATTTATAATGATACTGGGATGAGAGTAATTTTTTTATTATCTATATTTCCCATAGTTAGTAGGTTAATGGAAAGAGAATAAATTTGTATCTGGAAAATGGGTATTACCAAATGGCACATTTTATGATGGAGAATTTGATAACAATAAACCTAATAAAGTTGGCACCTGGTACTTCAAAAATGGTAATAAAATATAAGGAACTTATAATCAAAAAATAATTCCAAATGATGATCCTGATGATAAGAAGCTTAATATTGAAATGAAATGGGCATCTAACGGATATTTATATTAAAATGCAGACTTAATAAATGCACATGAAAAATTCTGAATCATCATTTTAATATATAAGAGATTCTTATATTCATTCATTATATAATTTTAATTGTTCCTAAATTAAATAAATTAAATTACATTTTTTCTATTAATTCTAATATTTTCAGTATCTAAAACATGTTTTTCCATATTTTCTTCTTTATCAAATCCAAAATTCAAAATAAAATTATTTGATTTAGAAGGACTCTCTCTACCTTTAAGATTAGGAGATGCTATGCTTTCAGGTATTCTTCTATCAAATAAACACAACTATAAAATTTCTAATATCATTGCAGCAAATGTTAATATTAATTCAGGAATACAAAGTGGCATTNGATTCTTATTATTTTTACATTTATAAAATTCTAAATAAATAGTTTAATTATTACTATCGAGAATTCATTCTGATATATTTAAGATTATGCATTAAATTCATTATTCTTATGCTAATACTCATATATTTTATTGAAAGTTAATAAATAAATTAATTTAATATAAAAATGGCTGATGAAAATCCAGATGACAATAATTTTGAATTCATAAAATTCCTCCCTGAAGGCGATCAAAAGACAAAGTCCTCCAGAGATTACACTGGTAAAGGATAAGCTAAATATGCCAATAATGAAATCTATGAAGGCGAATATGTTGATGGAGTAACTGTTTCAATCTTAAAGTTAGAAAAGAAATGGAAAAGGCAAATATAATTATGCCAATGGAGATCTATACTTTGGAGATTTCATAAACAATGTTAAACATGGAATTGGAAAATTAACATACAAAGAAAAAGGAGAATATTTCGGTTTCACTATCATTTATCATCTTAGGCTAATGGGAGAATGGCAAAAGACATGGAGAAGGCATTTTCACTTATCCTAACAAAGATTAATATAGTGGTTGGTGGGCATTTGGTAAAAAAGAAGGTAATGGAACCTATATTTATAATGATACTGGGATGAGAGTAATTTTTTTATTATCTATATTTCCCATAGTTAGTAGGTTAATGGAAAGAGAATAAATTTGTATCTGGAAAATGGGTATTACCAAATGGCACATTTTATGATGGAGAATTTGATAACAATAAACCTAATAAAGTTGGCACCTGGTACTTCAAAAATGGTAATAAAATATAAGGAACTTATAATCAAAAAATAATTCCAAATGATGATCCTGATGATAAGAAGCTTAATATTGAAATGAAATGGGCATCTAACGGATATTTATATTAAAATGCAGACTTAATAAATGCACATGAAAAATTCTGAATCATCATTTTAATATATAAGAGATTCTTATATTCATTCATTATATAATTTTAATTGTTCCTAAATTAAATAAATTAAATTACATTTTTTCTATTAATTCTAATATTTTCAGTATCTAAAACATGTTTTTCCATATTTTCTTCTTTATCAAATCCAAAATTCAAAATAAAATTATTTGATTTAGAAGGACTCTCTCTACCTTTAAGATTAGGAGATGCTATGCTTTCAGGTATTCTTCTATCAAATAAACACAACTATAAAATTTCTAATATCATTGCAGCAAATGTTAATATTAATTCAGGAATACAAAGTGGCATTAACTCTATGTCAATAATATCTCTCATAAAAGTAAGATCCATAATATTTGACCAATCTGTGCATTTCTTAATAATAATAAAAATGTTTATTAATACATTTTCAATAAATGAATGCATAGAATTTCTAAAATGAGCTAAGAATCCTAATTTAGTACCAACAATAGCTAAATGTGCCATATGTAAAAGTATAAGGAATGTAGTAGGGCAATAGAATTTCCAGGTAACTTTATATATTTTATGTTTGAAAATTCCTTTTCTAGTTAAATTTTATATGATTGCAGAATGAAATATGGCTCCAAATCCCATCAAACAACCTTTAAATGTATAATAATAATTACCTGCCATTATTAGTGCAACTAGAAATACAACTTAAATATAATTGTCTCTTTAATTAGAAACATCAATCTATTTAAGAGTACAATTATATTCCGTGAATTTTTCTCCAAAAAGTCCAAATTTAGGTATTTCTTTATAATACTCTAATCCAGGCAAACTTTCATAAGGATATTCATTTTCTTCAAATAATTGATATTAATCGAATTCATCAATGAAAGCATATTCTGTTGATTGTATATTACAATTGTAGGCTAATTGTAAAAGTGGATGTTGTTTAAGTAATTCTCCATCCTCATAACAAACATCAATTCCATAATTTAAAGTAAAATTAGAATAAGATTGAGTAAGGTTTTCTTTAGAAGTTAGATCTTCATAATTTCCACAAATATTTTATTAATCTTTTGTCTAACAAACCCCATTACATATACCAGTACAATTTCTTTCATAAAATAATTCTCTATATGTATATTCAGATCTTCTGCCACAAATGGAATATCCTTTCCAAAAGTAAAAATTTTAAGAATTGATAGGATTAACTTCTACACAACCTTCATCAAGATCAGATTCTTAACAATGTTCATTTCTGAGTTTTTCTTAATCAATTTCTCCATCTTATCCTTCTTCTCCAAACCCACAATCACATCCTAATTATATAAGTGATGTATAAAATACCACTTGGTGTTTCTGGATAATTATAGGCAAAGAATGTTTCCAAATCAGCTGGACATTATTAACCCTTAAATTTTTGAATTTCAATAATTGGTTTATATTCCCAATCATCATAAAGATTTCTATCCATTTTATAGTGATTGATATATAGAATCAAAGCAAGTGGAAAGATAATACATTCTATAATGAAATTTAGATATTAGACAGAGGCAGCAAAGTGGGTAGATTTCCAATAATTTGGTTTTTTCTTCATTAAATAAAAAATAATAATTATATATCATGTACTTACATTTACTAATTTTTCCATGGCGAATAATATTTTTTTAGATGACTTGTAATGTTTTTAAGGATCAATAAGCAATTCACAAATTCGTTGCAAAGTGAAAGGTGGTCTGATATTTTTAGAGAGAATGATTACTTTTATTCAAAAACACAAAGAAATTAGAGGACAATATCTAATTCATCTTCGAAGCCTTCATTTTGAGCAGTTTTTTCATATGGAAAAAGATTCTGCATATTAATTAACATATCTCTGGTTGTGATGATGATAAGTGATCTTAAATGGAGCCAATTATATTTTTGAATTTCAGCATTCTTGGCAATGGAATCTAATAATGGTTTCAATTGTCCCATTAAATCATTTATTTGAATAGGTATATCCTTTTTGTATTTAATGAAGTGTTTTTACTTTCTTGATTCTAATACCTTGTTGAATTGAACTAACAATCTCTTGGGTTTACTCATAGAAATCCTTGAGTTGAGTCTAATAATCATGTTGAATCATTTCTTTATTTTCATTCATTTTTAATTAATTAAAATAATTTATCTAGCTTTTCTGTGGTATAAAGTATGAGAATTGATTTGAATTAATATTGTATTATATGTTAATTGGTATAACTTCTAATTATTGAAAGGATGAGAAATAAATAATATTAATTAAATTAATATGAATCCAATTTAATAAGCATGGTTAAAGATATTAAACCCAGTATCTGTGGTGATCAATGAGAAATTAGCCAAAAGATCAGGTTTATTGGGTAAGATAGGAAGATTCTTCTTAATTGGTCCAAGAGAATTTGGATATCATCCTACAAACTAAATGTTCATTTATTTTAACAGAAGAGTACTTTTTGCAACAGCCTTTATGGGTCATAAATACTCAGTATTAAAGTAATATATCTAAATATATATTAATATAGAGGACTTACTCATCAAGGTTATCATATGTTAAGACCAATGAGAGCTGCTGTATTTTTGGGTCCAATAGCTGTATTGGCAGGTCTTTTTAGATTAGTCTATTATTCATCTGAAAACAGATCATATTAGTATGCTATATTTACAAGATAATTAGTCCTGATAATTTAGATTATGTGATGAAGAAAGCAACCAATTCTTTACATTTCCCATTGAATACATTAAATCAAAGATTATCAGCACATTATACTGAAATTAGCTCTATTTATACAGCTGAAATGATGAAGAGAGTAATAATACTCATTTATTCAAATCTTAGTATCATAAATAACATGCCAAAATAATCAAAGAAAGATCAACACAATCAGAACATGTTAAAAAAACTAAATATGCTGATCAATCATATACATATGTCCCAATGACTCCAGTTCATATTGAAGATGTAAAACTCGTTTGAGATAAAATATATATATATATATAAATATTATGTTAACAATCTTTGATGACTTTTATAATAATAAAAATATCCCTGACTTCCTTGATGATGATAGCATATTAATCAATAAAGAAAACAATATCCAATTAAAAGAATTGTAAACTTATTTATAAACTACAACAAAATTAGTTTAATCAATAATGAAGATTTAGTAACATAAATGCTCTCCTATTTTCAATATGATGAATTAGAAACTGATCATAAAAGAGTAATCAAGTATCCATTTGTCGTTAGTGAATTATTGGGTTCTATATATGCTTTAAATTCAAATCATCTGAATTTCTTAATTCAATTATTGAATTCTTAAAATCATCTCCCTTCAATTACTCTTGGATACATCACAAAAATCATTATGAATGTTCTCAAAAACAATCCTTCTATTGTAATCATACTATTTATTAATTTTAGTTTTGGTAAAATGTCTAGTTGTCATAATTAAACATAATAATAAATGATATCAATAACTATAATATCGCTGAATTACTCTATTCTATGATTATTTATTAAACTTAACAAAATTAACTAGAATATTTGGAATAAAGAATTCAATTTGTCGACTGTTTAATAAATTAAATAAACACCGATAAAAGTGAAGGGATTTCTAATGTTATATGCATGTTATTAAATCAAATTACTGAAACCCTTCAAGAATAGAAGTCTCTTATCATTAAACATTTATACACTAAATTAAACAACTTTTTCAGAGCATTACCACTTCACCCTCAATCAATATTAAAAATATTTACTAATCTAATTAAATATTAGCAGTATTATGAATCAGAAGTTAATTAAATTTACAATCATTTCCTTTAAATATAAGACATGTTTTCAAATATAATTCAAAATCAAGATAATTTTGGACAAAATAATCTCGCTTATATAGAATTTTATGATGTACTGACCAATTAACCATATATAGTACAAAATATAAATGCCTAATAATTGGCTCAATCATTGTTTGTATAAAATTATATTTTAATTAGAAATTAATATAAAAGTATCAATACAATAATTAATTACACAAATATGCTACAAATATTATACTTAAATTGATTCCTTAAACAGATAATCAACAATTACTAGAGACAGCAATTTAAGAATTCAAGTATAAAGTTTACATAAATTAGAATAAAGCCAATAAAAGAAAATAGAGGATTTGTAACATTGATTATTAACAAAATATGTGAAGTTAATTCAAATTAACTATAAGAGGAATAAGAATTGTAATAAGTAAATTAAATATAAAATAATTATTTTTTTGGATAAATTCCTGATTAGAAACCTATATTTAATTTACAGGAAGAATTTGAAGCAGCAATGAATAAATTATAGATATGAAATCATAAAATTTGTTATTCCTGTTCTTCTTCATCAGAACTACTTGGCATATCGTAATTTCTTTATCCAGTATTTTCTTTATTTTTAGCCATTTCTAAATATTTTTATTCAGCTTCTCTTAATTCTTTATCATTTTGACATTGAGAATAAAGATCAAAGGCATCTTAATTAATTTTAAAGAAATTTTCACCCCAAGTAAATTTACTAAGAATAAAATCTGCTTATTCTCTACGTCCACATAATGCTAATGTAGCAGCAATAGCTTCTACACATGATAATTTAAATTATTTTCCAAAATTGACTGGATTAACAGCAACCATATGAGGTAATAGTCTTTCATTAGGAGATACATATGTAATTTCATCAATTTTAGCCCATGAACAATCTATTACACAGATTCCTTTTTATAATAATTCTTCATCATCTTTAGAAACATATTTTTTTCCATTTGCACTTACAATAATTCCTTAAAATTTAACTTTGGGTTTAATGGCTGTTAACAATTTAAATCTTTCCATTTTTCTACCTGTACATTTCTTAACATCACATTATCCATAATCTATCATAAATAATTTTATATCATTTAATCTTTCCTCTCTCTTATTTAACTATTATTAATCTTCATCTTCACTTTCATCTTAGCTATTACTCTATTAATTATTTAATTATTGTAATTAATGTAATGTTATTTATTATTATTGACTTTATTATTATTTTTAATCTCTTTTATCTGATCTTGCTTTTTTCCAATTTTAATACCTCTATTTATTATTCATTAATTTATTTTTAATATAAAATAATAAACTATAAAATAAATGAAAGCAAATCGATTTATAATCCATAATCCTACTATTGAATCATACTAATTGGAAGAATATTACAATCATTTTAAAAGAATGGAGGAAATTGATAAAGAAAAAATGAATATATACAAAAGTATTGAGTCTAATAAATCAACATCAAATTATAGATTTTTAATGCTTCAACACACTTCTAAATTTAATAAATAACAATAATAAAATGCTCAAGATCGTCTTTAAAAAGTATAATTGACATTATTTTAAATAAGTTATTGGATGATAAAATTGAAAAAATAAAGGTAAGAGAAAATCCATATGTCAACTAAAGTAGATTAAGAGGTATTTCTTAAGTTGATCTAAAAAGTGCAAATATTAGTTTTAATAGTTCTTTAGAGACTCTCAACTTAATGAAAAAACTATAAACTCTTAAACCAAATATCTCAAAGAAGAATTTAGATACTCATTATGAAAAACAAAAAGAATATGGGAGTAGATTAAGAAAGTTACCAAAGCTTCCAGATTCAGATAAAAAATATCAATATTTTTTTTGATTTTTGTATAATTTAAATCAGTCAAACTAATTCTAGAATTCATCTAATGAATCTTACTCTGAGATATTATCATCTTATTGTAATGATTTAATTTAAATATTGTATTTAGAATTCAATATCAAAATCTTTTGATATAATTCTAGATTATCTTATTATACATTAGTTTAAAATTGTTGACTTAATGTAGGATTTTCTTTATTAAAAGCCATCCAAAATTAATCAAAGTTTTAATCATTTACATAATTTTGAGTTACAGCCACACAATCTTCAATATTTAGTACTGCATGCCACCATCCATTAGGAACATATACAGTATCATGTTTATCTTAAATAAAATCATAATACAGAATATTTTATTAATCGCAATACTTTTTTACAAGTGGAACTATGATACTAAAATAATCAATTGGATTATTAATATTTAATAAGGCTTCTTTATTAATTAATGTCTTTCCTTTAAAAAAGAATAAATAAATAAATTTATACCTTTAACTATATTCTTATCTATAGTAGGAGGAAACATGATCCATCTTTTTTTACCTAAAACAACACAATTCCAGGCTGATGTTTCATAAGGATCTACATGAATCATTGATCCAGATTTCTTTGGACTAATTTATCAATTGATTTACCCACATAATATCCATCTATATTGAGGTCTTTTCTATTTTAGATAAGATAAGTAATCTTATGGAAATAAATATGGTATCTTATATTAATTTAACATGTTTTCAGGAATATCTCCATCAAATATATAGAAAGGATTGTAATCATCATTATCTCTCAAATATTAAATGTATTAATCAAATTTCAATTTCAAATAATTACCATCATCATCTATTGCACATCTAAAATAATATTCACTATAATTTTAAATTAGATAATTCCAATTCCAATTATCCCAATCTATATCTAACCCTTTTATAACTATAGGAATCTTTGAATCATATTTTATTTGAAATTCTTGTAGTGATAAACTATTATCAAATTTATTTGGAAATTCCTATAATTTCTCATGTAATAAATCATTGAATATCTATTCATACTAATTTGATTCTCTTTGATTGTATTTTAAGAAAGTCTTTAGTTCATTAACATTCTTGAATTCATATTATTTTTATGATTGATTCATAATTATAAAAAATAATGAATGAGACCTTATTAGATCTGTGAATTTTATTTATATTTAATAAAAAACAATCAAGTTCCGTTAAATGAATTAAGCCTCAAATTCTCATTCCAGAAACTTTTATAATTATAATGGAATCGCCTATTCAACAGACAGCATGAGAGTGTATAGTAAATCTCCTAAAAATACATAATAATACATTAATCGATATTAACCATGTATTTATTCCACAATGAACAATATCTAAAATTTACAATCTCTCAAAAATTAAATATCTCAATTATAATCAGTTTTAACTCAACAACATCGAAAGAGTAGTTTTACTAGATCAAAAGCAGACTCTTCTGCTAATATGTCAAATGATCGATCCTTTTATACTATGATTAAAGAATAATTGAAATAAGTAAGTAACTTATAAACCATTGAAAAAGAAACAACCAATTTAAATATTAACTAAACTACTTAACAATTCAAAAAGGATTATATCAGTAATAATAAATTATTAGAATAAGATATAGAAAAATAATCTAAAATTATGACACCTTAGGGTAGTGCTGCTAAGAATACTAGTATCTTAAAAGAAACTACAAATAATGTAATCAAGAGTGAAAAATAATAAGCATTAAAACATCTACTCTATCCTGTTAGTGAAACCAAAGGAGATAAAATTATTAAATAAAATATTAAATTGGAAGAACAACTTAGAGTAGGACTTTAAGATAAATTGACTTATTTAGAATCTAATAAATAAGAAAAATTAACTAAATTAACATAAGGTTATCAATTTATATTTATTTTCAGAATTTAAAAATGCTAAAAAATTATTAGAAGAAGATTATTAGAATCAAGTTTAAAATGAAATTCAAATATTTGAAAGAAAATTAAGAAAATTAATGATGTCACAAAATAAAGATAAGAAACTTAAAAGACTTAAAAAAAATAGTTTGTTATTGAATTCAAAATTAAATCAAGAATCACCTTGTATGGTATTGTTTGCAATAATTTGAATAGCTTAGAGCTCATCATAATCATCAGAAAAGGAAATTAAGAGTTCTTATAATTTAATGAATACTTTCAAAAAATAATCAGATAGAACTTAATTAGTCAGTAGTTTTAAAAAGGATTGTATTTTATTTTATTAATCATTTTTAGCTTCCATAAATAAGGAAAAAAAGTAAAAGGTTCGTTTCGAAAATGAGTAGGGTATTCGTTTCAAAACAGAAACAGAAAATAATTGAATTGACTTATTTCACAGAATATTATATTTTTATAATTTATTTAAATATCTAATGGGATAGTTATACAGCTTTGTATAAGATAACAAAAAAATTGTTGGTATAACCGCAGTGGCAGCTATAGGGTATGAATTGAATGATTATAAGTGCAACAGCAACAGTCGTATATAACAAAAGAAAATAATATTTAAGTTAAAGTGATATCTTTAAAAGTCCAAAATAACTTGATGACGACTTTTATCCTTCAAAAAGACCAGCTTACTACTATGATGATAGAGAAGATACTTTATATACCAAAATGACAAGAACAGGAAAAATAGATCAAATTATAGATTCTATTAATGTTAATTACATTCCAAATTCAGAATGCTTAGAACCCTAAACTATTGTTGACATACTCTAAAATACTATAGAACTAGCAGGTGATGAATTTATCAGGATGACTATGAGAAATAGAGCATAAAGAAGATAATTTAAGGAAAATTCAAAATTAAATTAATACAGATACCAAATTATCAAGTATAATGAAGATCTAGAAGAATTATTAGAAAAAGCATAAGCAGAACTACTTACTAGATTAGATATTAATAAAAATATATTTGAAGAAAGTATGCTTGTCTTGATGGAAAGAGGATTCTTTTAATAATTATACATGCTATAAGCGAGTGTTAAACAAAAAATAAAAGAAAAAATACCTTCTAAAAAAGATTTATCATTAAAATAAATTAAGGAAGTCATTAAATTCAATATTAGAATATTGAAAGAATAGCCAGATCCTTTTAAAAGCATTATTTCTTATATGATTGTAATTATTATAATTTATATAATAGAATAAATAAGATTAAAAAGATTACATACCTAATGTTATAAGTTTATTAGTTCAAGATTTTATATATTAAAAATATAAGATTGAAGAAGAAGATTAAATAAGAAATATTTCAAAACCAGGTAAAATTATTTTATAAATATATAGAATGCATGGGTGATCCTGAAATTTTATAATTATTGGGTGAAATAGAAATTACAATGTAAGAATTAATGTAAAACTTGGGATTGGGAGGAATTGAAAATATTCCTGATAATTTTGAAAATTTTGCATGAATATTCATATTTTTAATATTAACATCCTAATTATTTTAATTTTACTTATAATCAATAAAAACATATTTTAAAATCAAGAGAGTTATTAATCACTTTTTGAAATCTACATATATATTTATAAATTGTAACAGTTTAAATAAACAGCTTTTCTTAAAGAATTGATAATTATTTTGAAAGTTCTTCAAGATTATATATATGATATAAAAATAAGCAATAGCAAGGTTGATTTGAACTCTTATATGTTTGTAATATTGTATAAAGAAAAAAAAATAACTAAATTTCACAATGTTTAAATTAATCTGAGTACTTCATAAAATCAAAAGATTGTGCAAAAAGGGCAACAGCTTTCTTTTTCTTCTTCTTAATAGTCATTTAAATTATAATCTTTCCAACATTCTACATAATGTATTTGATATAATTAATTGCTAAATGTAATTTAGTGAGCTTTTGATTTTTTAAGTATTGGTTAACCTTTTGAATCAACACGAACTTTTTTCTAAGAATAAGATTTTTGATCTGAAGATGAAAAACCTTTAGATTTAATTTAAGATGATAATTAATCTTTTTATGTTGTCTCAATGCTTTCTGATTGGTATTTATTTTATTGATTTTAATCTTTAATATTGAATGGGATTTCAATAAATTATCGATCTGTTTCATCCTAAGGTTGTGGATAAATTTACATATAAAATATGATGATTAATAATAAAATATATTATGCTAAAAATAAAATATTATTAATCATCACAAGTAACAAATAAATTATAAAATGTTCAGTTTTTAAAGTTGTTAAAATGAAAGAATAATAAAGAAGATGTGATGTAAAATAGAATTCATAATAAAAATGATTTAAAATGTAGTTTTTGATAATTAAATATTTTGAAAATAAATACAAATCTTCAGTTGATTCAATATTATTTAAATGTTAAATAAATGTAAAATAAAATTTATAAAAAACATTAAATAATAAGGATAATGTGATGATTTAATGATAATAAACAATGAGTGTGTTTTAAGAGTAGTAAATAAAAAAGTATTCTTAAATTGATTATAAAACAAATTGTAAATTAGGTAAGTGATAATGGGAATAAGACTTAATTTCGAACATTATTATAAAAAGGAGGTCGGAAAAATTAAAAGTAAAATAAAAAAATAAATTGTAAATATTATGAAGAATAATTTTAAACAGGTTTAAATGATTGAAAATGATATATTATTAAATACATCAACATTCTAGAGTGAATTGAAGCTATATTTATTCAATTTGATAATTTTTAATAATAAATATGATATTTAGCAAAGGTTAAGTGGAAAATTAAGAGTTTTGGAATAAAACTGATATTCCAATATTTGAAAAGGAAGACTTTCAAAATGTATAAGTGTTAATGGGTAATTTCACAAAAGTAGGAAGGACGTTCAAATAGAGATGCCTCAGAACTTACTTTCTGGTTAAATAATTTTTATTATACTCTGATGTAGGAAGTGGAAACAATATTAAAGGATTTGTATAATTGGATACTGTATATTGTTAATTTAATTAATTGGAAACAGGATTTTAAATAGCATTAATAAATAATGGTTATTAGATTCACTTAAATACAGAGGATAAGTAATAATTCTAAATCTGGGTGGATGCATTGTCAAATTGCTGTATCTTAAATGATTTTGATAAAGTATACAAACTAGGGATACAAATAGGTTAAGGAAGTTTTTCGACAGTAAAGAAATATATATATTTTAAGGTTCATTAATGTTTTAATAGGGATGGAGAGATATATGCTGTGAAAATAATAAAAAAACAAACAATAAAATAATTTTATAAAAATAAGAGTTATGAGGAATAATTATTAAATGAAATCTAAACTTTAAGAATGTTTAATCATGCAAATATTTTAAAATTGTATAGAGTATATGAGAATCAATAAAAAATATGTTTATTAACAGATTATATTGATGGTCCAGAGTTAGTATCATAATAATCATCAAAAAAACTTTATTAATCTGATGAGTTACGAATAATGATAATTCGTCTTTTGAGTGCAGTTGAATAGATTCATTAATAAAAAGTAATGCATAGAGATATTAAACCTTAAAACATTTTATTAAATAAAAATGATATATAGAATCCTATTCTTATAGATTTTGGATTAGCAGCATTTACATGGTAAAAGAATGTTCCATTTCCATAATGTGGAAGTCCAGGGTATTATATATATATTAATATTTAATATAGTTATTCAGCACCAGAAGTATTGAAATATGATGAATCTAAAAAATTATATAATCAATAATGTGATATTTTTAGTTTAGGAATTACTTTATTTGTAGTACTTTATGGTTATAATCCATTCAAGTAAAATGATTTAAAATAGACTATTAAAAAAAATACTGATGGATATTTTGAAATACCTTCATCTAAATATCCTAAATCATGTAATCTGCTCTTTATTAATATTCGTTAGTGGAGAATCTTATCTGTTAAATGACAAAAAAGTACCCAAAAGATAGGATTACCATAACTGAAGCATTGAATCACTCCTTTTTTAAGACTCCATTTTTTTGTTAAATTTAATTACCCAAATAAATTGTATCTAAATAATATCATGGTATTATTGCTAAAGGAGATAATAATACACATATGCATGCTAGTATGGAAATGGATTAAGGTGTTAATTATGTCAGTTAAGCTAATACTTAAACTACTCCTTAAAATAATGGATATAAAAATAGAACTATTTCTATATTGAGTGTACCACTCAGTAGAAAAAGTTAAGATTATTAAAAATAATAAGAAATCAGTTCATAATCTAGAACATCAAATGATAAAGATTGTAATCCATAAGATAAAATTCGTATTCCGTCTAAAACATTATAATGTCAAAAAAACAATCAATTTGATTATGAAGACGAATATTAATTGGATAATTTAGAACATGATAATAATTATGTAGATCAAGAACATTTATATAAACTTAACTTCTCTATTAACTAAAAGTTGTTTTAAACCTCTAAGCTTAGTATTGGTAAACAAGATAATTGACTATTATATATTTATATTTATTTATTTTCCTAAATATACTTTATTTCTCATTTGTATTTCTGAAGAATTCCACCAGCAGAAGCAACTAAACAATTATTCTCCTAAATCCATAAAAGTGGTTCAGGGAAATTCTTTTTAGGTCCATTGATAACTTTAATTTCACCATCAACAATAGAGTAAAATTTATGAGTTCCATCCCATGATGAAGTAACAAATAATCTATTAAAATATTTAATAAATAATAATTACTTTTAATCTATTCTACTCAAAAATCTAACTACAGAATCATGAGCTTTTATTGCTTGCTATAATTCTATTGATTAAACAAATGTGTAGATTCTTACTTCTCCAGAGCTGTTTCCAGTAACAAATCTAATACCATCTAAAGCAATCACAGATTTTATTTCACTATCTTCAGGAACTATACCAACCAAATCTCCATTTAAAAAATTAGATGCTACAAGTGTACCATCATCTGAAACAGAAGCAATTATATCTGGAGTGATTAAAGCTATATCATTAACACTTGCTTAATGGACAGCAATTTTTTATATTTATTATTATGTTTAAGCATTAAAAATTTTAGTTGTCTTTAATAATATTTAATATTTACTCCATCTTCTGAACATGAAGCTATTAAATTTTTTGGTAAATTAATTATCTACCAAATATATTTTTCATGAGCATTAATAACTTTCCATTTATCAAAGTTTTCCCAATCCCAAAATTACAATTGAAATGATTATTCATTTTCTTCAACACTTATTATTATTCTTTATAATACCATGCAATAATATATGTTTTCATATCATCTAACTTGACAGAACATAAAGCTGAAATATCATTTTCACAATCTAATTACTATATAAATTAAAAGTTCTTAGTTTTGTCAAAAATAAAAATTCTTGTTCCAGAACTATATGCAATAAGTTTTTAATCAATAGTAATTATAGATTTCACTTAAGGATTTTCTTATCTTTCTTCTTGATTTGGTTCAATAGTCATATCCTTAAATCCTTAAATCTATTATCTAATTTAAATTATTACTGCTTTTATAGATTCAACTAAATAATCTTGTTCTTAATTATTTTTTTCAACTAAGAACTAGAGAGCAGGTTCCTTCAAATCTACTTTTGGTACCTCAACTGCACTCTATTATTAATTATAATATATTATGATACCTATTTACTCATTTATTAAATTCTTTTTTAAATTTCAGACTTATATGAAGTAAATTCATTATAGATTTTTTCTAATTTCTTTTTTACTCCTTATATTTCTTTAAAAGAATCTATGAATTATCTTGCTTCTTCAACTTAACAAATCACTTTAGTTAATAAACTTGCACTTAAATCATTACTTTTTTAAAAAGGAATATTTTAATCTATGATTGAACCAAAATCATCAATAGTTTTTGGATTAACTAACTATAATTGAATAATATAAATATTTATACATCAAATATATCTTCAATAGTAAAAAGATTATTTGGTAGCTTTTTAAATAAACAATTAACAAATAACTCATGAATTCCTTTTAATAATATTTCATAAATTTCATCAGCTTATTATATTAATTTTGTTCTTAATTATTCAGTCTCATTAAATAATGGAGTCATTTTTATTTTGTATTCTCCAACTAAATCACATGCATTCTGAGTTTAAAGCTTACATTATATATCTTTAAATGTAATAAATTATTCTTTTGTCCTTTATTGTTTGCATTAAGGACATGCTTTAAATGTTTAATTTCTGTCTGTATAATTTAAACTTACACAATCAAATGCATTATTGTGAGATTTACATTTATCTTCTAATGATATTGGACCTTATTAGTTTGCCTTCTTACTTTTACCACCACAAGCAAACATACTGAGATTTGATTTTTTAATTTATTTAATTATTTAATATATTATGAATTTATTATATTTTTTATATTATTCATAACAATTATAATTGCATATAAAATATGTTTATAGAATACTTATTAAATCTAAGAATTTACTATTTGTTCTTTATATTTAATAGATTAATCTAAATTTGGTTTATATTTTGCTAATTATATAATACACAAACATTTAAGAATTGTTAATAATTAGCAGATCTAAAAATAAATTTCTATTTTTATAATAAAAAGTATTTTGATTAATAAATATGATCTATATTTCTCTTTCATTTTCAAAAATATATATGCTCAATATATAAATATCATTTATAATAAATATGTTTAACCGAACTTTCAAGATCATTTTTGTAAAATAAATAATTAATTATTCATGTGTTATACATAATTCATGATGTAGAAATTGATGAAGTTCTAGATTTAGTATTATTTTCATTAGCTTTATAATATTATTATTTTTACATAAAATTAGCCATTGTCTCAAAGCTGTTGATGAAAATTCTACTATTCTATCCATTCTAACTTTAGTACCTTTTCGTTTCTTAGAATATATTATTATATATCCGATAGTTATGATTAGCCAAACTGCAAACCAAATCCATAAAATTCGCAAACAATATTTTATATCTTCACATTTGTAATCCTCATCAACCTTCATACAACATTCACAACCTGATGAACATTATCCCTTTATCATTTCTATTAATGATGCGCACAATAAAATTTAGAAGAACATAAATTTTAGAATTTTAGTAAAACTATTGTTTTATCAAATTACGGACATTATTTTATTAGATATTTATATAAATAAGAAGATTCTTTATTCAAAAATGTATATGTAATAAATTAAAATAGAAACTAATATATAGATGTTTTCATTAATGCTTAATTTGTTAATATTTCTAAAAATAAAGATCAAAAATAGAAATTACAGATTCTTAAATTAATTAATATAAATCTTAAAATTATTTTAGATAATTTTTAATAGATATTATCATTTGTTAAAAAATTTACAGAATTCTTGTTCCTCTATTGATCCACTATTATTTTAATCCATAATTCTATAGACTCTATTAATTACTGCTTTATTCCAATCTAATTCAAGCTAAAAGTTTAATTTTTATATATATACTTTTTTCAATAAAAATATGAATTCACTTATTGAAAGATCTTTAGATTTATTAGTATCAAATTCTTTAAAAACATTTATTACAAAAGTTTAACCACCAGCTCTTGCAATAACTCTTTCTTTAATTTAATTTAAACTATTTTATAAATATTCTTAAAATGCAGTGTCTTCTTATTTTTCATCAATATTCCAAGCTTTAGATAAAATAGATGTAAATGTTTCATCAGATGCTATATTTAAGGAAAGCTCTTCATGAAATTCTAAAAATTATTCATATGATAATTCTTCTCCTACACAAATATTATCAATAAATGTTTTCATTCCATCTGTTAAATTATCAATCTTGTATATTTATCCTAAATTTAGTATATTTATATTACTTAAATAATCTGATGTTATTTTTGTATTTTATTAACTTTCATAAACTTTTAATACCATAGCTTTTCTTCTCTCATTCATTTCTTCACGAATAAAAGTTAAAAATTCTTTAAAACTTAAAAACCCATCTTTGTCTTTATCAAAATACTTTAGTAATGCTTATAATTCAACAATTTTTAAGAACATTCCAACACTTTTTAACAGATTATCTAATTCTTCTAGATTTAGTTTTCCGTTACCATTTTTGTCATTTTATTAAAATATTGTTCTATAATTTATAGAATTTCTTATACTTTAATCTTGATAGAGTACAATAAGGATTTGCTTTACAAACATGATTTCTAAATCTAAAAACTAATTCTTAAATCGCAGTTGGTAAACCTACACCGTAATATGCCATATATTTTTATATTATATAATTAAATTTAATGAAAATGAATCAATTTTATTATACTTATTAATTAAACTTATGAACTTAAAAAAATCACAAAGTTTGTCAGCTAATAAGAGTTTATAAATAAATAAAGTCATTTCAGTGAATGAATTGAGAAGAAACTGAATAAGAATTATATTATGGAAATTCAAACTTAGGTTTATTTAGAGATTTTTCACAAGTTTTATCTAATTCTAAATAGTCTTCTAAATTATCAACTTGTAATTTAAGCTATTCATTTTAGGATTATGTACTACTTTAACTTTTTAATAATTTATTAGTTCTATTTTTGATCTACAAATCCTAGACTTATTTTATATACATACCGATCTCCCTTAAAAATTTCTAGCTATTTAAGACCATTTAGATCCTAACTATTTATATAAGTGCAATAATTTTTAATCTTCCTATTAAGACCATGGTTATTTTTTGATATCAATAATATCTGATCTTAATTTGTTTATATATCTCTCCCTTATTTGTTTTCCAGTTTTATTTTTTAAGACTTTCAATATATATTATTTTATATACTAGTAGCTATGACTGCCCAATTATTTTCTTCCTAATTAATATTATTCATTATTATTTAATCTTCTTCAGGAGTCCATTTACTTTTTTATGGTTATTCAGGTTTATGTTTTCTTTACCAATACTATTTGCATTATGCTAAAGTTCTTCCTTACATTTTTTCAACTATTCTGTTCCAATCTCCATTAAATTAATAATACAAATTTGCTAGTAAATCATTCTCTTCTTATGTCCATTTTTTCATTTTTGCATTCTAAATTCTATTCTAACTAATTTATTACATTTTTCTCTATATCTCTACTTCTACTTCTTGATTGTATTGTACAATCATCCACTTTATATTAATTATTGAAAAACTAATTTTTGTTTATCAAACGTGAATCATTTTCTATTACAAAATTATGAGTTGAAGATTATTTCTAATTTCCTTCCAAATTTTCAGAAAATTAATCTATTTATTCCTAATAACTAAAAACTATTTCCTCTATTTTTACTTTATATCTCCTAGTATATCACATTCAAACTATTATTAATTGCTTTATTCTAATATGTCATCCTGAAACTATTCTTCTTAAACGAATGAAAATTAATAATCATTTTAAGGATCCAAAATGAAGTCATCACCACAGCTCATTTTAAATAAATATAAGTAATTATCGAAAAAAAACACATCAAAAATCATATTCTACCAACCTCTAAACTTTAAAATATCATCTTTCTAATTTTAAGACTAAACCAAATCAAGATTGTTTAAAAAATACATATAAATTAACAATTGCTAATCTATCTGGTTAGAATATTATAAATATAATTATATATATTTGCGTTTTTAAAAATACATAATAATTATTAATAAAATTATAAAATAAAGAAATAATTGTTTAACTCTCCTTTTATATCATAAAATAAGAGTTCAAATATGTATTTCTTATTATAATCTTTAAAACTTTTCTTTTTATTTTAATTGTTCTAAAATCTTCATCAATGATGTATTCTTTAATAGAAAAATTTACATCAAAATTTTTAATGTTTATGATTTCAAACCATTTAATCACTTTCCATTATTCTCAGATACTCCATCAATTTTTTTTTAAATTATTTTTTTATTTTATAAATTTTATTCTTTGCTAAAGCTTTCTATTATCTTGTATATTGTTTGAATTGCAAGGAAATTTGAATCCACTTTACTTTATTTTAGATATATTGTAATAGCATAAACATCAGTAATGTTAATTATTTTTATTTTTTACATTGATAAATTTAAATAATAGAATTTATCTTATGTTTTTATGCATATTTTAATAATATAACAATAATTTTTTTTTGATTTCTTTTCATAAACAAATTTCAATTCTATTATAAGAATTATTTATACATTTTAAATAAAAGAGTAATAACTATAAATGATGATAAGAATATGAATATTTTCATTGTTAAAATTTAATTTCTCTTCACGATTTATAAATAAAAAGTATCAATTCCTAAAAAGAAAATAATATAATGTTATAATTTGGAAATTGAATAAAAATATATACCAGAAATAACATTTAATTACATTATTGATTAAAGAAATGATATCAAATTTTCATATTTAAATTATCAAGCATAATATCATATTTCATTTTTAGATATCTAAAACTAAAATTGTAAGTATTGATAAAAAAGGAAAATAAAAAAAATCAGTAAAAAAATAATTCTGTTATAAAATAAGTATTTAATTCGCAACTGATTTGGGAATAAAAAAATATAAATTAAATAAGTCTAATAAAATCAAAATTGATAAGTTTCAGTTATTTAAATTCTTTTTATTTTTCCAAAGATCTATGAGGGATTTAATATTTTTATTTTGCAAATTTTATCGTATTTATTATTCTTAATTTAATTTATCCAAGCTCACTATTAGAAACATACCCATATGAATTGATGTTAAAGTGTTATGAAGTGTTTCACCATTACTATCAGATTATTTGAATATTGGATCGAGAACACCATTTATTAGGATTTCAAAAATATATTTGGATATAATAAACATGTTAGCTATAACTTTATCTTTATCATTTTAAGCTAGTTATAATAAATCATCCTTAAATAATGTTATACAAGATAATGTATAAATTAATTAAAAGATCGTTGTTTGTTTAGCTTCAATTTCTTTTGACTTTTTTTTTGTCAGTTTCTCTAATTAAAACATTTAATAGAGAATTGAATAAAGTAGATTACAATGATTTATATCATTCTCATCGTAATACTTTTTACCTTCTGTTATTATAATTAATTTTTAACTTTAGTAGAATGATTATTTTGTTGTAATTGTGAAACAGCAACATTTAGATGATGTTTTTTTTTTTAAATATGGCTGATTTATATCTTAAATTCTATATTTAACTAAGATTTCACTTAAAGCCTACATCTAACTAAAATTCAAATATATTGTACCAATTGACATAAACATTATCTCCTTTGGTTTTTTTTTAAATTGGAATAGGGGAATCTAAATTTTCTTCATCATAGACACTGTTAAATTCCTCTTACCTATCTTCAATTAAATTTTGTGATTCATTCAATTAGTTTATTTATTTATTTTTTTATTTTGATTGAGAATTCTGTTGTTGAATTATGTATTACTATTATTTATGTTATGTTTATAATAAATCTTATCTCTAATCTTCAGATTCATTTGCATATTCTTAACGAAGATATCGAGTATTTTATTTGTGATTCAAATCAATTTTATTTTTTTATGGAAACAGATTTCCTGAGGTAGAATCGACTCTTTTTTAATATTATTATTAGAATTAAGATTATTAAATAGTTTAATTCATAGTACTTGCTGTTCCTAATCTATCAATTTATTTCTTATCTTCATTAATATTCATTTAAGAAAAAAGTATTTATTAATATTTATTAACATTATTATCATTATTGAAAATCAGTATGAAAAAATTCATTAGATCAATTCTTATTAATTAAAATCATTTGAACATTCCAAATACCCCACTCGATTTCTTTTTATCAATAGCATAACTTAATTTATTAATTAATGCTTCATTAATTTATTATTCAAATTCTACACCACTAAGCTTTAAAAGATTTGATGAATAAAATTAAAATTCTTATTTTTTTCTATATATATATAAAATATAAATACTCTTATTTTAATGCTTCAAAGAATTTCTAAATATTTTTTTTTAAATGTTCCGCCAAAGCTCCATTTTCAGAATTTATAACTTTTTCTGTCATTTTCTATATATCATTTTACATTTATGTTAATTTTTCATTAATAACATAATTCTCCTCTTTCATCAATTTATTTTGTTTCTAAATAAATTAAAATAATATACTATATAAATATCTTCATTTTATTCACTCTCTTTTAATTATTAAGTTAATTTATGAATTTCAACTTTCATATATTCTTATTCTTTTTTATATTTAAGTATAATTTATTTAATATTTTAAGTATAATCATCATCATCAATAGATTGATTAACTTTTAATGCACTATTCGGTTCACTAAATTTTTGAGGTCTTATTGAATTTTCAGATAAACTTGTTATATCAATTATTTATTGACTTAAAATCTTTTTCTCATTCATTAATGATAGAATATCTTATTTCTCTTTATCCAATTATTTTTTAATATTATCTAACTATAATTAAAGTAAAGGCATCTCATAAACTTTAGAACAAACCTATCTAAAAATTGATTCACATTCAGAATTTAGTCCAATTTAATTAATTTAAGATGCCCATTGTTATTCTTGATTTAAAGCTTATGACATAACACTAAATAGTATTAATTATTTTTAATCATTCTATTAATGTATATTTGATGTGGTATCTTACCAAACTTTAACAGCTTTACCTAAAAAATTAACTTATAATTATAAACTCTCATTTTCTTTTTTCAAAGATTCATTTATTTTTTGAGTTTCCAAATTATCAAATTCTATCATTTGAATTTCTAATTCCAGACCTTTACATTTTTCTTCAAGCATATACTTCTTTTCCTCTTCATTTAATTCATTATCATTCTCATCCAAATGTTCTCCTATTAACTTTTTAAGAGGAGCTAAAATAATTCTTTATAATAGTTAATTTTTTAAATCTTAAATTTATTCTTATAAATCTCCTATTATAGATTTATCAATTATATTTTCCTTCTTCTAATTTTCTACTTCTATTTCCAATTATCGATTTTATTCCTATATTTATTATATTATTTGATCTTTTTAAACTCCAATACTCTTTTTAATTACTTGATCATATGTTTAACTTACATTTTCACTAAATGCTTCAAGTATATTCTATTTTTAACTCTCACTTACTTAATCAAATTCTAAATCAAAACATTACGAATTCCTTTCAACTTTTATATTGTTATCACTTTCTGAATCATCAAGAGGATTTAACAAAGATTCATTCATTTACTTCCTTTACATTTCAGATTCACTATTATCTTATTCTCTCTACTCATTATTATTATTAGAAGATTTAATTATTTACCTATTTTATATCTCTAATCTTTCACATTATTCTCTCGGTTTAATTATACTCTAATCCTAATCTAAAATTATTTGCTATAATTAATTTAATTCATTCTCTAAATCTTGTACTTTAACCTTTAATTATTGTGAAATTTCTTATTCCTTCTAAACTTCTTTTTATAATAGAAGATATTCTGATTATTAAATATTATTAGATTATTTCTCTATTTATAATTATTCCATTAATTACAATTATTAAATTTACAAATTATTATTCTATAAATTTAATTCTTTAATTTAATTCTCTTATTATTCATTCTTTTATTCAAGCAAATTTATTTTACTAATAAATTCTTCCATTTTTAATCTTATTTGACATGTTTATGATTCATTTTAATTCTATAATTCTTTATTTAATTCATTAAGTTAGTGTAGTTCCTAAGAAAATGATTCTTATTGATAATTAAATTTTTATAGTTATTAATTCAATTAATTTATTTTATTTTCTTAAATATCATTTTATTCTTATTAAATCTATAAATCATTTTTTAATTAATTTAATTGTTATTCAAGATCAGCATTTATGGTTTTTAAATTTAATATTTATTTATCCTTTATTTCTTTTTCTTAGATTAACTCTTATTGAGAGTTTTGTAACTAATCATTAATCTTTTAAACGCTACTCATCTATTCTTCAAGATCCTTAAAGTTTTATTATGTTGATATATTAGCTTTTTCTAATAAATTAATTTATTACCTAAAATCTATTATTTCCTCTTTCATTTATTAGTTTTCATTTAGAAGCTATAACTATTATTTTTCTTTAAATTATTGTTCTTCTTATAAATTTTGCATCTAACTACATTATTCTAAATGTTAATTTTCTTTTGATTCATGAACAATAATTTATTCTTATAAGTTCTTAATTAACTTTTTTTAATTAACAATCTCAATATTATTTAATTCATCAATAACTTATTAATCTCTTTCTTTCTATAATTTCATATTTTCTGTTAATTATTTTTCATCTTTCAATTAATTTTATAGTTCTTAATTATTTTATAGAAAATTTTATATTTATGTTTGTTATTCAATTAAAATTTACTTTAAGTCGTTTTTTTACTATTTTTATAATTCAATTTCAAAAGTTAATTCTTATAACTGCTCTTAATATTTTTATCTTTCTTCAAATAATGTTGCTAAAGATTGCTTTAACTCCCCAATCTCTTATTAAAGAATAAATTTTTCATTTTAAATTTTGTCTAATTTTAAAGAGCTATTCGATTAATTTCTTTTTAATATTTCATTTTCTTATTCTAAATCGTTAAATTTTTCATCTAGTTACTGTAATTCATATTTAGTTTCATTATATTACTTCTAATAAATTTTTATTTAAAATTCTGAATCATCTAAATTGTATTTTTAGTCTTCAAGTATTAATTTTTATTAATTTAAATTTTCATCTAACATTTGAATCTCTTTTTATTATTTTTCACCCTATATTTTCAATTTTAAATTTTAATTTTTTAGACTTTCAATATCATTATTTTATTCAACAATTTTATTCTGTAAAGATAATAAATTTTCTTGATAAGAATCGATTTTTATGATTTGCTATTAAATTTCATATTTCTATTCTTGAATTATATTTTCAAATTATTATTTACATTTAAATTCTTCTTCTTTTTAACTTTATTCATTTTTTAATTATTTTAATATTATTTCCAATTCTTACTTTAAATCTTCCTCATTTTTTTAAGTTTCTAATAGACTATTTTTTAATTATTGAATTTTAGTTTTTTTTTAGGAAATTTATAATTATTAATTTTTTATTTCATTTTGCAAATCTTATATTAATTACTCTAAATTCTTGATATTTTCACTATTTTGATTTTAATTTTATTGGGAACTAATTAAATAAATCTATAGTTCTTTATTCATTATTTCATTATCTTCCCTTAATTTGCAATTTTGTGCAAAATTTAAATTTGCACTTATTCTTAATTAAGCTATTTCTTCTTTCAACTAATTTATAATAACTTTATTTTAATCAATTTATTCCTTTTAAATCTTTAAATCTCTATTTAATATTGAAATATCTTATATTTTATCATCAATTTCCTCCTCTAACATTTTTTGCTATTCACGAATATCATAATGAGTGTTCTACAATATCTCATAATTTTATTACGAATCATTTAAATTTTGTTACAATTCTTCATTTGTTTTTTAGAGTTACTCTTATATTTCGATTTACTTATAAATTTAATTATTTAATTGAAATATCATTTTTTCTTATTCTTCAATTTATTATTCATATGAATTACATTTTACTTTTAAGTTATCTTATTCAAACTTATTTGCCGATTCCTTCATAATTATTTGATTAATCTCTTCTTACTTAAATTATAATTCGTTAAAGTTATCTTAATATTTCTATTAAATTAGTTCTATTTAATCTTTCAACTTTTAATTTTATTCTTCACATAATTAAATTTATTAAAGAAGATTATTTATTTAAATTACACTATCTTTATATTATTCTAACAATTTGCTTTGATCTATTTCAGCTTATTTAATTTTAGATTTTGTTTGCTCCAAATCTTCAAGTGTATCATTTAACTTTTAATCTTATTCTTTAATAACTTCATTATATTTTAATTCTTATTATTCACATTTCTTCAAAGCTTCTGATTATAAGATAATTTATTACTCTAAAAGTTATAACTATTAAATATTCTATATAGATTATTAATCCAGTTATTCATTTTAATTCCTTATTTATTTATTTAGTTAATTTATCTCATCTTTAAGTTTCTGAATATAAGCTAATTGTTCTTAATTTAAACTTATTTAAGCTTATAATTTTTCATAGAATTCATTCATTTATTATTATTTAAGTTTATAATCATTGTTTTCGTTTATTTATAACATAACTTAATTTTTAAGTTCATTAATCATCAATTCTTATTAGTTTACTTTGTTTTCAGATAAGAGTAAATCCATCTTAAATTACTCAAGTTCTTAAGACTTCTCTTAAAATTATCTTTATTGATCATTTAGTTCAATTTAAAATTATTTATTTAATTGGTTTTGACTATTCTCTTATTCATTTAATTATTAAATAAGATTATGATTCTAATTTATCTTTTTATCTTAATTCTCAATTAGAGATTTTAAACTTTCTAATTTTTAAAGATATTCCTTTTCTTAAATTTTAAGATTTTAAATTTCTGTCTCTTATAATTTATTTGTTTCTAATAATTTTTAAGTTTAGTCTTATAATTTGAGTTTTAAATTTTCTTTTGTTACATTTTATAATTATTCCTATTCTATTTCTAATTATTATTGATATTATTCTAATTATTGAACTTTTTCTTCTAAATCAAAAGTTAACTCCTCTTATACTTTAGTTAAATTTTAATTTATCTATTTTAATTAAGAATATTCATCCTCCAACTTTTTCAATTTTTTTAATTCTTATTTGACCAATTTTATTACATCTTAATTTTATTCTAAATTCATAGTACTATTATTTGTCATTTATTAATGCCATTATTATAACATTTAATAATATTTCTTGTTTTCTTATTCTAAATTAGAAATAGATAAAAGAAATTAGGAATTTTATTTTTGTTATTCTAAATTTAAATTTCTAATTTCATTTTTTTGCTATTCGACCTCAATTAATTTTGTGGTTTATTATGAAATTATTTCATCAAATTTATCTAATTCTAATTAAAATTTAGTCATATATTTATTATTTCCATCAAAAATAAATAATTAATCTCCAAATTTACTACTTTATCTAGATATCGCATTTTTAGGTGATTGTAATATATATAAAAGACTTATGTATTTTTATTTGATTAATTGTATAAGTTATTCAAAAACTGTTTCTTTTTCATTTTATGATATTTAAATTTATTATAATAAAGTTTCATTTTCATTTTTCAATAACTCAAGTTTATTATTGATATCTTACAATTTATTTTATAAAATTTATTATGTATCCTCTGTTTTTTTTAGTTTTTCTTGAAAGATTTTATTTCTCTACTAGAGTTCCTCATTATAATTTTCATATTTAATTAAATCTTATGAACTTTTATTTAACTATCTAATTTATTAATTTATTTAATTTTCAGCCTAATTGATTAGATCATTTTTTAAAATCAATTCATTTGATAATTATTCAACATTTTCTAATAAATGATCTTTTTGATTATTAATTGAAATTAATTAAATTTTTAATTAATTTATTTCTTCCTATTGTTCCTTTTAATTATCTAACTCTTCATATAATTATTTTTCTTTGTATTGATATTATTAAATGATTTTTTCATTTGTGATCATAACTCTATTTTAATCATCAATCTGTTTATGTAATTATTATATTTAAGATTATTACTTAACTATTTATACATTTAATTAATCATTAAGATTTTATAATTCTTGATTGTTTTCTTCTCCAAATTTCTCCTATATAGCAAGTTACTAATATTTTTTCTCTAAATTATTATATTCTAACTTTAATTCATTAATAACTTATTAATATTTTTAAGTATTAGGATCTTTTTTATTTTCAGAAAGCTTTTTAAATTTGATTAAATCATTTTGTAATAAATTAATTTTTTAATCTTTCTCCTTTATATTATTTTTAGATATAACATATTAATTGATCATTTCTCTAATATTTTATTAGAGTTCTTTAATTGTATCTTTTTAGCCATATTGAGATGTTTATAAAGACTAAGATACTTAATAATTTAGTTTTTCTACTTAAAGCATTAAATTTTCATGCAATGTTACTAATTTTTAATATTCATTCTAAATATTATCTATTTATTCATGTTAAGAATTCTATTTTCTTGGAGTTTCATACTTAGATTTTTCTCTTGCAATAAATGCTAATATATTTTTAATTTCATCTATTTTATCTTTACTTTCTTATTTTTTTATTAATTTTGATAATATATCTCTCATTTTTTCTTCTTTCATTAATAAATCATTTAATCTTTTTTGTTTATTTTAAAATCCATTTTAAAGAAACCCTTCTAGCTTTATTATTCGACTATCCGCTTTTTCTAATAAATGATTGCATTCATGTTTAAATTATTCCATTTTTTGTTATTAGATTATAATTTAATTTTCATAATTCTTTCGTAAACATTCAATTTCTTAATCTTTAGTTTTCAAAATACCATATAATTGTTTCATTATAATTTTTCTTTCTTCAGCTTTTTTCTAATAACCTATTGTTAATTTATGTGAAGTCTATATTTCTAATTCTAATTTTTAAATTTATTCATCTTTGTTTGATTTACATTTAGGTATTTCTTCAATAAATTCTTTTATATATTAATATTTAAGTTAATCCTCTAATTATGAAGATTTTCCATCACTATCAATTTTTTCATCATAAAAATGTCTTCTTTTTTTACAAGAACTTGATCTAAATGGTTACAAAGTTGAATTAAATGTTAATTTTCTTGAATCATAATATTCAGAATAATTTGCTCTTGTTCTATTTTTAACTCGATCAGTTGTAAATGATGTTGTATGTGTTAATTATTTTCCTTAATCTATTTATCTCTAATTAAAACTCTTTATACGATCTAATAAAGTTTTACCAGAATTAGTTGGAGGAGAAGATGATAATGGTTTAGTTTATTTGGAAAGTAAAGGTTTTTTATTCATTTTGAATTATTTCTTATTATATAATATTATAATTACCCCATATTTCTATCAATATTTTATTTAAAATAATCCTTATGAATAAATAAGAAATTGATTATATTAACAAATCTCATGAAAAGTTCACTTAATTTATTTAAGTTCACTAAATCTTAGATGATGAAATAAGGAAATTAGAATTAAGATAATTATATAATTAACCTATTCAATTAGATAGTGAAGATTAAAAAAAAGAAATCAAAAAGATGATGGATTAATTTGAAAAGGAAAAATAAGATTTAGAAAAATAAATAAAGGAATTAAATCACAAAAAATCAGGATTAGTTCCTATCTATGAAACTATTCATGATTAAAAATTTCCCTGTGATGTTTTTGGTATTATTGAAATATCTGATGATGAATAATATTGAATTATTAATATCATTAATCCTTTTCACCACAAGATGCATGACAATGAGCATTATTCAAAAAAGATGCATGACAATAGGCATTCAAAAAGGTTCCCAAAACAACAGTCTCTTGATTTTTTCCTTCTTTATTGCATTCCAAATATTTAATTAAAATAATATGTTAAATTCCAAGAAGCTAATTAAATCAAATCAGCTAACTGAATTAAATAATTTTCTACTCTAAGTAAAGCAAGCATTTATTACAGATGTACAACATAAATAGATTAAATAAAGGATTTCTAGTTCACAAATGAACCTGTTAATATAAATGATAACAAATTTCCATTATAAGAAATAATTGAAAATAATGTACCTTAAATAAAGTAGGATTAAATAAAATTACCAATATAAATGCCTTAGGATGATATCTAGAATCTACTCCAAGGTTTAACAACTCTACTAGAAAAAAATCTATAAGAATCCCATAATTTGTATGAAATATTCTAATCGAATAAGTAATTTAATAGTAGGGCTTAAGATTCAAATTCTTCTTTGAAATATTAAAAAGATGAAAATGTAGATGAACTGCAAGAAGATATTAAATAAAATGAAATAAGATTATTGTAAATGCAAAATTCTAGATTATTGAGTAAAATTGAGTCATTAAATGAACAAATTACTTAATTTGAATAAGATTTACATGAAAATTCTTAAGAATATCGCTAATTAATTAGTCTTATTAATTCTACATATTGCATCTAAAAAATTTAATATATAGTTTAATAATTAGATAGAAATCCAATTTTAGGAAAAGCTAATGATGAAGAAATAGAATAAGGAGTTTTTGTTATTGTTGATGATTAAATAATTTTATCTCCTTCATATTTAGATGAAAATAAAATAATATTGAATGTTTCATAGATTATTGATGTCACTTATAAAAATGACTTTTAGATAGTTATTCATTATAAAGAGGGTAAATTAATTTTAATAATGGAAAATTAACAAGATTTTGCTAAAATAGATTTATGTCTATGGTCAATTATGAGAAAAAATGTCTGTTTAAATTAAGAGTATTATAATGTTAATTTAATTAGTAAATTATTCCAAAACAGTTTATTTGAACGACCTTTCAGATAAGAAATTAGTATAGACTATAAGAAATTAAAAGAGTAATTATCCAGTATAATTCCATAGATGGAATAGGATTAGAAATAATAATAATAATAATTATTCACTTTAAATATCAAAAATTCTGATCATTTTACTGAAGCTTAATAAAATAGTAATATATAAATGCAATCTCATTAATCTCCTGAATTAAGAGGAACTTAAACAAAACAAATGGTTTAAATTAATTAATAAACAAAATTATAACATGCTCTACTTTAATTAAAATAAGGCTTTTGCATGATTAAATATTCAGAAGGTTAAAGAAAACCAAATATTAAAATAATTTATTTGACAGAAAATGAATAATATATAAAATGGAAGGATGAATTATAACCATTTGATTAAAAGAATACATCAGAGAAAAAATCAATCTAAATTTCATAAATTAAGGAAATAAAAGATATTGCTAAAGGATCAGGTTTTGATAAGTTTAAGAAATATCGCTAAGGCAAAGAATCATTAGGAATTACTATTATTGCCAAGAGAAATTTAGAGTTGGATGCTCCAAAATAAGAAATTAAGGATTTATTTTTAGAATGTTTAAGAATTTTATTAGAAAACAAATAAAATAATAAATTAGAACAGAAAAACAGAAAATGATTATTCTTAATGTAATTTTCACTTAAAAACTTTAAAAATTTCTTCAATTAAATTTTGAAATATAATTCAGAAATCTCAGAAGTTACTTTTTTATTATAAAGAGATAAAAATTCATTAATATTAAGCTTATTCCAGTTTTAATCTATCATGTTCCATTTTCAACTTTGCATATTTAAAATCCCACATATTATCTAAATCTTTTAATTTGAATTCTAAATCCTCAATTTCCTCTCTCAACTTTTCATTGTCAGCTTTACATTCTTTAACTAATGAAGTTTTTTAAACATCCAAAATAATTAGTTGTTATTTAAAATCCTCACTTATTTTTTTTTTCTCCTATTCAATTGTTACTATTTTATGCTCTAAATCTACTTTTACTTCAGAGATCTTTAATTGAGTTTTTTCTTTATATTTTTATCTAATGATAACAATTAAGAATTGATTTATTAATAAGGATCTCAAAAATAAAATATTTCTTAATCATTTATTAAAAATGAATTCTTTTATGATAAAATTAGAGTAAGAATGTCATCAATAATAGGTAATACTATTAAAAATGTCAAAAAAAATAATGATTTATTTTAATCATATAAAAATTAAAAATCAGATTAAATTAAGTAATAATAAGTAGTTTATAGTAAAAGATCTAAAACCTAAGAGGAATTATAGTAATTGTATTAACAATCAGAAAATGCAATGCAAATATAAAGCCATTTAGTAGAGTCCTAATTTAGATGAAAGTAGAATTAGTACTGCTGAGAATTACATGTAATTAATAAAAAGTTCGAATAGAGTCTATTTTCTTAGAAATATAATCGTTCTTGGATTCACTCAATATTATTGGTCAAACTGTTGCAAAATGCCTCACTTTGTTTAATGGACTATAAAATTTCTGGGTTTGTCCTTTATTTTTAGTCTTTAAAAGAATGAAGGAAAGAAATAGAATCTAAAGTCAATTCATTTTGTCTAGATGAATGGGAATATATTATATCTTGTTTTGAATTTGAAAATTATTGTAATAAAGTTAAATAAGATAATTAATTTGTTTAAAATGATTTAAATTTATTCCTTATTAGAGCAAAAGAAAAGGCTAAAAAATAAGATAAAAATCAAAAAGATAAAGTTTTACGGTTTTTAAATGATTTTATTGATGATGACATTATAGATATATGTTAGACTTATTTTTATGGATAAATATATTAGAATATCAAAGAAGAAAAAGGAGTGCCAAAATCAACTTTAGAATGGTTAAGACTTCAAATATAAGCTTAAGCATCTTTCATTATTTTTGAATTACCTATTTTAATGTGTGATAAAGAAAACTTTACTTATGAAAGTTTACCTCGTTAATGTTCTTTCTTTTTTTTGAACTGTCAATACATAAAAAGTATTTATTTTAGTATTGATTGTTAATTTATTTGATTGTTCTAACTCATATTTTCTTCAAAATTAAATCAGAGTATTTCAATACTGTATTTATTAATCATCTCTATATATATAATTTATAATAATAATTTTTAAGCTGATATCTCTAAAAAAGGTTTTAAATTTTTTTTAGATTTTCTAAATAATTTACTTGATGAACAAAAATTTTCGTTGATCTAGATTTTATTTAAAAATTAATATATTTTGTACATATTATTCAGACAAAATTTGTTGAATAATATATAGAAGTCTTAAATAATTAAAAAAATAAAGATAATAAAATATCCGAAATTACCTTTTACATATATATATATCTTACAACCTTATTTTAAAGTTATTTATAATATCAATTAGTAAAAGTAAAACATGATTTTTTTTTATTAATCGTCCTTTATCGCTTCAATAATAAATTAAAATCGAAACAGAATTAGAACGAAACTATCTTACAGAAGTATANTTTAGTAGAGTCCTAATTTAGATGAAAGTAGAATTAGTACTGCTGAGAATTACATGTAATTAATAAAAAGTTCGAATAGAGTCTATTTTCTTAGAAATATAATCGTTCTTGGATTCACTCAATATTATTGGTCAAACTGTTGCAAAATGCCTCACTTTGTTTAATGGACTATAAAATTTCTGGGTTTGTCCTTTATTTTTAGTCTTTAAAAGAATGAAGGAAAGAAATAGAATCTAAAGTCAATTCATTTTGTCTAGATGAATGGGAATATATTATATCTTGTTTTGAATTTGAAAATTATTGTAATAAAGTTAAATAAGATAATTAATTTGTTTAAAATGATTTAAATTTATTCCTTATTAGAGCAAAAGAAAAGGCTAAAAAATAAGATAAAAATCAAAAAGATAAAGTTTTACGGTTTTTAAATGATTTTATTGATGATGACATTATAGATATATGTTAGACTTATTTTTATGGATAAATATATTAGAATATCAAAGAAGAAAAAGGAGTGCCAAAATCAACTTTAGAATGGTTAAGACTTCAAATATAAGCTTAAGCATCTTTCATTATTTTTGAATTACCTATTTTAATGTGTGATAAAGAAAACTTTACTTATGAAAGTTTACCTCGTTAATGTTCTTTCTTTTTTTTGAACTGTCAATACATAAAAAGTATTTATTTTAGTATTGATTGTTAATTTATTTGATTGTTCTAACTCATATTTTCTTCAAAATTAAATCAGAGTATTTCAATACTGTATTTATTAATCATCTCTATATATATAATTTATAATAATAATTTTTAAGCTGATATCTCTAAAAAAGGTTTTAAATTTTTTTTAGATTTTCTAAATAATTTACTTGATGAACAAAAATTTTCGTTGATCTAGATTTTATTTAAAAATTAATATATTTTGTACATATTATTCAGACAAAATTTGTTGAATAATATATAGAAGTCTTAAATAATTAAAAAAATAAAGATAATAAAATATCCGAAATTACCTTTTACATATATATATATCTTACAACCTTATTTTAAAGTTATTTATAATATCAATTAGTAAAAGTAAAACATGATTTTTTTTTATTAATCGTCCTTTATCGCTTCAATAATAAATTAAAATCGAAACAGAATTAGAACGAAACTATCTTACAGAAGTATAATTCTTATTAATTAGGTTTTAATTAATTAAACCAAAAAAAAATTTTTCGAAGAAATTTCTACATTTTATAAGAATGTCTAAAACAAAAGTGTTTAATAAAATTATAACAATTTAATACTCATAAATTTTTGTTAATTCTAAGATTGGATAATAATCTCTCAATAATAAGAGAAAAGATATTTAAAAATTCTCCGTATATATATAATTTAAAGAAAATAGAAGATTCTTAAGTTCTGTTTTATTATTTTATTCTTTGATTTGGCATGATCTTACCTAGGATTATTAATAAAAATAAATTAAAATAATTCTAATACAAATTGAGTAGATATTCATATTAAAATTCTTCTCAAGTGATTATGCTTTGTTCTTTTTGAAGGAGAAGATAAATTTGATCTAAAATTTGTGCCTTATGCAAAATGTACTTTCTTTTGTTCAGAGAGGGAATAAAAACTTTTATTTAATGGAGATTTGAGAATGCTTCTTTAAGAATGCTCTTCATTATTTTCTAATTAGTAATTTATTCTCTAAATATAAAATGATAAATCTAGATTTTATATATGTATTAGTTTTTGCTAAGGCTTAGTTTTATTTTTAATATTGCGAGTTTCACTTTTTACTGTCATTGGACTTTCATTAGGATGAGAAATTTGAGATTACCAAAATTATTGTTGATGATTTTCTTGAAAATTAAAACATTTCATTCTTCCCTTACTTTTATTGATTTTATTGATTGGATAATCTAACTCTTTTATTTCTGTTTCTGAAGCTTTTTAATAAATGGGGTTGGTATAAGTAATACTCAATTTTAAAGATGAAAATTTAGTACTTTTGCTCATTTCATTTAAAGTTCTCATTTTAGATTCTAAACTTATAAGATCAGAATCTATAGTATCTTAACATACAAATTTAGAACATGTTGATCCCATTTATAAAATATATTTTAATCATAAATAATCATTTTTAAGATGTGCTTTATGTTCATATGTCCATTATGCCATATATTTTGATTTTAAATTGCTTGAATCTTTCTAATCTCTCTACTCTTAAGCTGATTAAATCCTTTATTCAATTGATTAATGATATTATCGTATTCTATTTAATTTATTTTCATATTTTTAATTATTATTAGCCTTTTCATCTTATAAAAATTATTCTCTATTTTTTGAAAATCGTTCCCCTTAAGTCATAAACATAGGTGATGTTTTTGGAGGAACAAAGTTTTCAAAGGTATTTTTGAAAGCAGGAGTTGCTCCAAATCTTGTTGCAGGTCTAACATCAGTATGATTAGTTTATGGTCTAAAGGGCTTTTTAAATTCTTCTGTTAATCTAGATAATTCAGGTAAAAAAGCTTTAGCTGAACTCTAAAATATTTTACCAGGTTAACTATTAATTGAAATTAATTGATTTCCAACATTATCAACAATAGTCATTCCTGCTCTTAGTTTTTCATGAAATTCACTAAATGTTGCATATCCTTTATTTGTTGGGTCAACATAATTAATTAATATTCCAATTTCTTAACCATTAAGTATATTCATTTCTTCTAATTTCTATTTCATATCCTATTATGAAATATAACCATCCTTATCTTTATCAAAATCTTTAAATAATTTATAAGCTCTTTCTGTTTTATTGAATAGAGAATTTTCAACTTTCATTAAAACATCTGATAATTCTTTAGATTAATTAGGTACATACCATGTCATTCCAACATCCTAATTATAAAACTCTATATATATGTCTATTCAATTATTTATACATATTTATTTTTCTATGTCTTATTCCTTATTTTCTATTGCTTAAACAGGTTAATCAACTTTTGATACTTTCTCGGGAGGAGCTGGTCCTTTTTATCTCAATTAAGCTCTATCATAAAATTCTTAATCAGTTTCACTAAATTTATTGATCTAATATCTACTTAAATAATATTCTAATAATTTCATCAGCTTATTATGTTTCATATTTTCCAAATTATAATACACTTAACATACTTTCAAGATCATATTTCTAATATTTTTCATTCACACTTTCTAAAAATTGTATAATCACATGTGAAAAATCTTTTACATTAATTTAAGCTCCTTAAATTTTACTCTTAAGAAATTCTTCAAATTTTGTTTAAGAAGGTAAATATCTTTAAATCTTATTTGTTAACATTTTAGTCTTATTTTTCATTTTTTCTAATGAATAAGCATCAACTCTTGTAATGTCAAATAATGTAATTAGTTAATCCTCTTAATACTTCATACTTTTTAATAATAATTATTTTTTATCAACAGGTTCTTAATTTTTATTTGAATAAGGATCGTCATAAACTTCCTCTTTCAATTAGAATGATTTAAGATGATTTAAAAACTTTTTATAATCAAAAGTATCATCTTAATTTTTGAAATTCTCATATAAAATTTTAAGATCCTATTCAGATAAAATACTTGGATCTATTTCTAATTTTTTAATTACTCTTTCAAATCTACCATAACTAATATAACCTTTTTGTAATTCATCCTACATAGTGAGTTATTGTCCCAATTATTATAACTTAAATTATAGTGAGTTTAAATACTCTATTTTTAAGAATAAGATTAACTTAATTCTAATGTCTTCTATCTCTAGCTTATAAAGCATCTTTTCTAAGGAAATCTATAGTTTCTTAATTTTTAATTAAAGAATCCTTTTCATCTTCAGTTAATGCTGGTAATGCTTTTAAATTTACATTAAGTGCATCTTTATCATTAAATATAAGATCTAGAAATTCATCTAATCCTAAATCATTAGAACCATCCATATCTGCACTTGCTAATAAAACTCTTGCTTCATCTATATTAATATTAATGCCTAATCTCTAAATCATATTATAAAGATTCTTCACACTAACTGCACCATTTGAATCTTCATCCCATAAATTAAATATTTTTTAAAAGTTTTTTCTATTTGCATATCTTCTTCTTATAGCCCTTCGAATATCTCTAACCTTTTCTATGTCTACTTTTCCTTCTAATGTATTCTTATTTTCTAAACCTACCAATTAGGTTTCTTAAATTCCTGTTGTATTTTCTTCTTTCTTCTGCTATGCTAATTTTTCCTTTTATTCTTCTAATAGATTAGTATTATATAATTATACATTTTGTATCAACTGGACTTTCTAAACTCTATCTGTGTTCTTCATCAAAGAAAAGAGTATTAGAATCACCACAAAAAACTCTTTTCATTAATTCCTTCTCCTCTAATTATGAAAATCTAATTTTAAATATTAAATACTATCATACCTAGGATAACCTATTAAATGATGTTGATGAAATTTCTAAGCAGATTTTTTTGTTTCCTCTAATGGATCTTTACATTACATAATCCTTTTAGATTTTTCATCTAAAATTTCAGAAAACTTCTTATTTTTTGGAATAGATAATCTAGTCATTCTATCACCATCTAAAGAACTATTTTGATTATTTGAAGTATTTTTTTATTAATCTAACATCCTTAGACGATATGTAACATAATACTTAAAATCTCGATTTGTTTTACCTTAATGATGTACACGATCTCTTCTGACTATCATCTAGAACAGTTATATATTAATTATTTTATGGATTAAATTCAATTCAAAACATTGGATGAATTCATCAGACTTTTTCACAAAAAAGGTAAGATTTCTTAATAGATGCTTAGTTTCTTCATTCACAAACTCTGAAATGGTAATATAATTATAACATTTGGCTCATATGTTAAGTCAAAAATAAATATAGACAGAAGCTAAGAATGATTGCTTTTTTAAGAGATGGAGTGAAATAAAATTACCTATAAGTTTAATAACAATTGATTTCATATCACAATTATTTGTTATATATACCAAAGTTAATGACATTTTAAAAGAAGATGTATATATTTAATTTAGAATAGATTTTATAAGATTTTATTTGGCCTTTAATAGTTTATGAATTTGAAGAGAAAAAAGTAGTGATTGAATATTTCAATATTATGAAAACCATTTACAATAAAAAGTACAGAGATTTACTGAAATGCTTTGGAATATTTGAAATGGTCAAATTCATGGTAATATTGTCGACAATAATCACAGCTTAAAACAACCGAAATAGATGAGATGATTTGTTGTGAATAACACAATAATAAAGATTAGCCAAAATAAATCATAAGTCAAGAAACTCAAGTAAAAATTGATTAATTTGGTCTACTTATTAATGAAATACTTCATCAAATTGTTAATGATTTATCATAAGCAACAGGCAGTAATCTGAATGAGTTAGAATAATTATTTGCTCTATCAATTCATCAAATGCTTTCATACTGTACAAAAGATCACAATTTGTGTTAAATTTAAAAATTGTTAATCATTCTTATAGTAACTTCAATTATTTTAACATTAGAGTTAATTGCCGAAAGTCAATGAAAAAGTGATTTAGAAAGTATTTCAAAACTTTGAATCAATCAGTTTTATTGTACTATTATACAATTCCACAACTTCTCAAGTTCTCCAAATCTATTGTGTAAAATTGTTTCAAATCATTTCTAATAATAATCCATAGGTACCTTAAATATATATAAAGCAGATTTTACAATAATTAATTTTGAGTATCATTCCATCATCTAAAAATAAAAAGTTTGTTTAAAATTTGGATTTCGAACCGTTAATTTGTTCAATATTGGAATGGCTTTTAAACATCCCTATTTCAATAAAGATAACTGAATATCAAATGTTTGATGAAAAATTAACATTTAGGAATCATGATGTTATGGAATTAGTTCTTAATTATTTATATATTTGCCATGTAATGATGAAACAATAATTGATTACTACATTATATACACTAACTAGAAACAATAAGGAAAATTAATTATTTCTATTATCCAACAAACATTTTTTGTGTACTTTTCCAAAGTTTTTAATGGGACTTTAAGATTAAGAACTACTTGATATAGATGAGGATTAGAATTCATTATCAAAATCAGTATAAATTTTTATTAATGCAAGATATATGATACAAGTTTAAAATTGATATCAACAGTGTTTATGAATTAACTTCAAAATGGCAAAATTGATATGTTATTCTAGTGGCTTAAATTAGTTGAATTAGAGCAAATCAAATAGAAAAATGATGATCTTGATGGTTTCAAAGATGCTAGAACTCCAATTTAATTTATTAGACAAATGATTACTTATATTTTCAATAACCTTCTTAAAAGTTCCATATTAAATACATCTTAATTGACAAATGAATAATTATGGAAAGGATTTCATTTATTTATTGCTGCTTTTTTAGCTATTATCTCCAAAGATCTAATTCAATAAGATTTTAAGATATCTAAATTAGTAGGCAAAAAAGTATTATAAAGTCCGCAAATTTTAATGATTATACGTAAATATGTGCATGAATATAGAAATGTTTTAAAATTCGTAATGGATTGACTACCAATTTTGTTCGAAAATAGTATAAATTGTTAATTTTTTGTACAGTTAGACAATATCTATGAATTTGGATATTATAAAGCCAAGCATAAATTTTAAATGCAGTGAATTTGTAATTTGGTTAAATCAGCTTTTCAAAAAGATTTTGAGTAATGAAAAAGATAATATATTTTTAATGAGAATAATTTAGACACTAATTTGTTATTATCAACATTATATAGTGACATAAAATTTTGGATAATAATAATTAGAAGAGATTCAGTAGTTATTAAAAGCTTATAGACATTTAATGTAAAGTTTGATCTGTGGAAGTTAATAATTTAAGAATCTGAAACATATTCCAATGGATACAGAATAGTAAATAACTTTGAGTCATTATTTTTACATAGAGTCTTAGATGAAATTAATAAATTAGATTAAATAAAAGCTTTAAAAAGATCATCATGCATCTCATGATTCCTTCTTCAATTTATATGCTCTTTAAGAATTGATTGCTTATATCTAACAACAATTACAGGAATATTATCTTAGTTTGTTTAAGTTATGTCAAATATATGGCAAAAAATCATAAATATTTATTTGGAACTTTTGTTATGAGCTTATCAGAATGAAGAAACAAGAAGATGATGTTGGAGAATCATGTTTTTTAACCTTTATCAATTAGCCAGATATTATTCATGATATTGTAGAGAGTGACGAAATGATTGTCTATTATTATGATTGCCCAAACATTGTGAATATGAAACAAAAATCACAATTAAAATTGAATGATTTGATAAGATGGGCAAACCTTTTGATTTAATAATAAGAACATGAATAGATTGTGTAATACTAGGAATAGTATTCTAGATAGAGTCAAATTCTATTAAAAGATGTAACTAAGACTTTAGATAGATATAACTTGATCCAATTATAAAACTATGAAATTTTTGAATAGGAGAAATTAAAATATGATTAATCTAAAACATTATGATTTATACAAATTGATTTTAATTTCATATTCCACCCCAATTTTTGGAGTTTTCATTGAATTCCCATACTATTAAATATTATATAAAATATACATCTTATATAATGTCGGATGGAATGCGAGAAATAGATCATTATCAATAAAACTATTGATTCAATAGTGATTTGTATTATAATCAATCCAGTTTGATTAAGTGATTCACAAACAATATCACTGATCACTTTTTCAGATTCAGGGTAGATGTTAAACTAATTCATTTAATATGCCATATATCCATACACCAAAATTCTTGTGAATAAAACCCACAATAATGTCCAAAAATATCCCTAGTCTTACACATACATTACCTATGAATCTTCTATGAATTCTTTGCATCGATTGAATAAAACCCAAATATTGAACACAAAATCCAAAATATATTACCTATCAATAAAGCTCCAATCATATAGGCATATGATAAGCATTTGTCATAATATTAGAAAAACTAAAATCCATGTTATATACTATCATAACTCAACATCACCTATAATTCAAATTTATTCTTACTGCTATAAAAGTGTTCGCCCCTTATACAAATTATATTCTTTTCTCTACTATTGCATTAAATGAAGATGAATCAGGTGGCACTATATAGTTCTCCTATATGTGTCTTATTATAAATGGTTTTTAAGATGTATTCATATTATTTTATATATATATTTGTAATTTTACTTTAAAATTTTCATAATCACTTTCTAATAGTTTTTATTATTATAAGATCCTATCACAGGAATAGCTCTTATATAAATATCCAGCTGTTATTATATTTTATAATTATGCTATTTCTTTTTTTTTGATTACCTGAAATCTTTAATGGAGAATTTTTTCCCTCTTAAAAATTTACATTGCTATAATATCAATGTGAAATATTCGTTTCAGTAAATTAATATCTGATTTACTTTAAAATTTTTTAAGATTAATCTCCAGTGTGAGTCTTATTTTTTCATTATTTATTCCATACGAAATGCCTCTCTAAATGGATGAATGCATATAAAGCATGATATTATGATAGCACTATCATGAAGTAGTAGATCAGAAATTATATTATTAAATTTGAAACCATACATTGATGAGACAAAACAACAAAAATCTTAAGCTTCTTTATTATACTCTTCAAGATACATTTAAGCCGTAGAATATATTAGTATAAAAGAAAAAGTAAAATAATTAATTAATGAAGGAAAAATTTTACCTTGCATTTAAAAATGAATTGGATTTGATCCAAAAACTATAGTTATACCCATTGCTAAAATAAATTACCATATGGACAGACAACTTATTGGAGAATTAATAGCTTTCAGTACAGGAAAAATTATTAAAAGAACTGTCTAGTAATTAATATAATTTCGAGAGAATTATACAAGATTGTTGTAATAATTTAGGAGAACAAAATAATTTGAATCTTCTTTGTTTATTAACATTAGTTTTTGGTTTAATTGTTCCAATTAAATTGATTGAAGATGAAAACATTGGATACATTATCGAAAGATACTATTGTACAATATTTTATTATTATAAATTTAGGCTAACATTCAAACACCATCAAATTATTGGTTTCTTTGTTCAAAAAATTTAGATTCAATAATTTATTGATTCTTTTACCTACTATTTATGACTAAGAAATCAATTATGTTACATAATCAATCAAGATTAATTTATTTGATAGAACTTATGTGACAATTTAGAATTTAATTCAAGAATATAAATAAAATGTATGATGTATCAATCATTTATTAGAAATAATAAGATTTCTTTGCTTAAATTATTTAGTAATCTTAAGACTTAGAAATATATTCATCAAATTAAATGCATTTATCTTTAATAAAATAAATAAAAAAATTCATTGAATATGAAATATAAGAATTTGCAGATAAATATGTGGATCTAGAACTAAATGATTATTATGATTCAATTTCAGTGTTTAAAAATGTCAAAGTGGTTNCAATGTGAAATATTCGTTTCAGTAAATTAATATCTGATTTACTTTAAAATTTTTTAAGATTAATCTCCAGTGTGAGTCTTATTTTTTCATTATTTATTCCATACGAAATGCCTCTCTAAATGGATGAATGCATATAAAGCATGATATTATGATAGCACTATCATGAAGTAGTAGATCAGAAATTATATTATTAAATTTGAAACCATACATTGATGAGACAAAACAACAAAAATCTTAAGCTTCTTTATTATACTCTTCAAGATACATTTAAGCCGTAGAATATATTAGTATAAAAGAAAAAGTAAAATAATTAATTAATGAAGGAAAAATTTTACCTTGCATTTAAAAATGAATTGGATTTGATCCAAAAACTATAGTTATACCCATTGCTAAAATAAATTACCATATGGACAGACAACTTATTGGAGAATTAATAGCTTTCAGTACAGGAAAAATTATTAAAAGAACTGTCTAGTAATTAATATAATTTCGAGAGAATTATACAAGATTGTTGTAATAATTTAGGAGAACAAAATAATTTGAATCTTCTTTGTTTATTAACATTAGTTTTTGGTTTAATTGTTCCAATTAAATTGATTGAAGATGAAAACATTGGATACATTATCGAAAGATACTATTGTACAATATTTTATTATTATAAATTTAGGCTAACATTCAAACACCATCAAATTATTGGTTTCTTTGTTCAAAAAATTTAGATTCAATAATTTATTGATTCTTTTACCTACTATTTATGACTAAGAAATCAATTATGTTACATAATCAATCAAGATTAATTTATTTGATAGAACTTATGTGACAATTTAGAATTTAATTCAAGAATATAAATAAAATGTATGATGTATCAATCATTTATTAGAAATAATAAGATTTCTTTGCTTAAATTATTTAGTAATCTTAAGACTTAGAAATATATTCATCAAATTAAATGCATTTATCTTTAATAAAATAAATAAAAAAATTCATTGAATATGAAATATAAGAATTTGCAGATAAATATGTGGATCTAGAACTAAATGATTATTATGATTCAATTTCAGTGTTTAAAAATGTCAAAGTGGTTAGAAATAAAGAAGACTTGGTGAATAGAAAATTATTCATATAAAATGAATTGATACATGTTCCTGAAGATGAATCTATAGAATATAAAGAGATGATCAATTTAGAAGTAAAAAATTAGTTTATTGTTAAAAAAACTGTTACTGCATTTATGAACTAGAAAGGAGGAGCTTTATTCATTGGAATTAAAGACTCATTCTTAGTAAGAGGGTTTTATATTGGAAATAATATTTATTATTTTAGGTAACTACTTTGGGAAGAATGCTTAGATATGATTCATCCAAATTTAATAGCCGATAAATAGATACACGTGGAACTAATACCAGTCTATTCATATGAAGGAATTCAACTTGAGGGATATTACATAATTAAAATAGAATTAATTAGAGAATAAAATTCTATATATGTTTATACCTTTGGAGAATTGATTGAACATCATTAATAATGTGAAGCTATATTTTGTTTTAAAAGATATGGAAATAAATCAAAAGCTGTTAGACATAATCATTTAAAATAATTAATTAAAATTCTTAATTACAATCAAAATATGTTAGATTATGATAGGAATGGAAGAAACCTTTTTATTGAAGGTAGAATGAAAAATTAAAGATTTACAAATTAATCTTCAAAAGAAAGATTCAATGAAAATTAAAGTTAATATAAAAAAGATTTATAAATAAATAATCAACTATTATTATAGAGGAAATCAAGTGAAAATCTAGATGAATATTCATAATCTTATCCAAATATTGATTTGGCAAATTTTAATTTTCAAGTTGATTATTCATTGAATTAAATTCAAGAATGGAAAAGTTGGATTGTTTTTCGCAAATTGAAATCAAATTTTTTTAATTAATTGATCAACATATTAAAAACACTTTAGGATATTTATGTTCAAGATATATTGAAATATAAGTTGTATTTAAAAATAAAAAGTTAATAAATTAAATTAAAAAAAATTAGGCTAACTAAAAAATTAATTGTTATTAGATTAATATTAATAATTTAGAAAAATAAATTATTAGATATTGAGACAAACGCTAACAAAAAAAAAGGTTGGCTAATACGTGGTTGTATTAATTATAAAAATAAACCTTATAGATGAATAAAATTAATTTTTTATAATAGATAATTTAACCTGGATCAATTTGATGATTTCCTTCAATATTCACTTCTCCTACTGACTGATATATATATATATATATAAAATATTTTACTTATCAATATCATAGTTGCATCTAAGACAATCCATATACAATTGAAAAATTACGATAAAGAAGAATTTATTGAAAATTTAAAATGTTTATTGAATATAAAAGGAGAAAGAATTTAGTTTACTTATGGACATCCATAAATAATATAAGTTGCTTATAAAGATATTTTTGATTTAGAATAAATTATTTCTGATAACTTAAAATTACACAATTTTGAGATCTAAATCAAAAAAGAATGTAAAATTATCGAAGCTAAGCATGTTGAAGATTTGATTTAAATTTATAAATTCATCAAGGAAAATCTTAAGACTGAAGTTCATTGGAAATTGAGGGAAGCATAAGAATTTGTATCTACAGCTTTGGATGAGTAAACAAATCTAAATATACTAAATTGAAATATATATACAGTAATCATATGATATAACAAATAATTTTTATTTGTCAAATTAAAAAGTCTTAGATAATTAAATGAATCTTGTCAAATTAATAATCATAATAATACAAGAATAAAAACAATTTGATAATTTTAGCTATTCAATTTAAAAAAAAATAAATTAAAAAATATGAACAGACTAATATTATTTTTTATTTAAACCTAAAGTTATATAATAATAATTTATTCTATATAACCAATAGCAAATCCAATTTTATATATATTATTCCAGATTTCACAAATCTCTGACTGGTAATCAAAGAAAAAAAATTTGAAATAAACTTTTAGCTGAAATAAAAGTGAAATAAATCATTTAAAACATATTCTACTAATTCACTAAGCCTCTAATTTTGGAAAATATTTATTATCTATCTAAAAGCTTCAAAAAATATTAATATAAAATTCATCCTACAAAAATATTGAAAAGCCAATTTACTAAATTTTTTATATTATAATTTCTGATTAGGTGGCTTTATAAAGTTAACAATTAATTTGAATCATAGATGATTAAAATTATTCCTTATCATTGAGGACTCTAATATATCTTTATAATAATATAAAAATATCTTCACATAATATTTATGATTGTACGAATAGATAATATTAATTAAGATATTAATTCAAATATTTTTGGTATTCATATTTAAATATTTTTAATAATTACAGAATGCGAAGTATAATAAAATTAAAATTAAAATAAACAAATAATAAATAAAATCAGCCATTTTTATAATTTTTTTCTTTTGTATTTTGCATAAATAAATTAATTCCTCAGTCTTATTTAAGTGATGTCTGATTAGTATTTACTCCTTTTTTCTCTTATGTAGTCGTATATTTTATCTATTTTCTGAATTTAATTAAATAATGGAATAATAATTAAATGAATAGGCTCAATCATTGAATATTTAAGAACCGATATATAAAATGACCACTAAATTGATGAAAACTTGTAATCCCAAGTAAGAGAGTTTAAGAAATCCATGATAGGACTTTAGATAAGAAATTCCTCAAAGACTTCAAAATAAAACCTAGTGAGACACTTGTTACATTGAATAATACTAAATTAGATCCTCATTCTCCAAAAACTAACAAGGCTATACAAGATTTAAATATATTTCCAAACTAATTAGAACTCTTGTAAAATAAATTCTTTTACATTTAGGGATAAATCAGAGTTTTAAAAAAATGGAGAATCTTCTGAATTGACAGAAAAGAGATATTGGTTACACTATTTCTAAGTTGCTTAATAAAAAAAGTCTGTGATTTTATAAAGAAATAAATATAAACGAGAAGAATGGATAGAAAAATAGTAACGTCCCAAATCGATTTAAACTCTTGATTAAAGCATGAATAGTAGTATCAATATAAGTGAATATGTTCCTTATAAAAGTCCAACTGAAATGATTGAAAGTTGGATAGATGGCCAAGTGTAATCAAGTGATCGCCAATTATAAAAATTCAATAAACTATAATAAGTAAATTTTAATAAACAAATTTTATATAGAAAAGAAAAGAATTAGAAGAATAGAATTAAGAATAATAAGATAAATATAAAGAAAAACTTGAATTAATTTTAGAAAAAAAAAAAAAAAATAGATTAAACAATTTAAAGTAGATATCATAAATTGCGAGAAAGGATGTATCTAAAAGCTTAGAAATTTCAACAAAAATGAAAACAGTTATTTAAGAAGAAAAATATAAAAATGCTCAAATGAAGAAATTATAAACTGAATAGAATATTGAAAAAGCGTATTTCTAATAATTAATAAAATTAATAGATAAAAAAGAGTTGATCATATTAAACAAACTTATGTTGATGAGTTGGAAGAAAAATAAAAAATTTATGAAGAAAAATTACTTTAAGTTTTGAAAAAAAAAGGTGAATAAGATTAATAGTTAATGTAACATAGATTAAGAGAGATATAAACAGAGAGAACTCGTAAATAAACAAAAAAAATTAGAAAATCCGATGAATGGTCTACAAAATTGCCTCAATTAATTAGTAGAAGTGAAGCACAATTTTAAAATGTTTATAACTCAAATTTAGCTTCAGTTATTGAAAAATTTTAGAAAGAAGAAAAAAACAAACTTAAATAACATAAATTTTAAGAATTAGACAAAGAACACATAGAAGAAATTAAACAAAAAGAGATATAATTTAAAAAAAGATATTCAGATAAACTTAAAATATTTGAGTAATATATTTTAACTATTAAATAGAGATAAAAGAATGAAAATTGAGGAAAAATTTGCAAAAAAGGATTCATATTTAATTGAACATTAATAAAAAAAAAAGGAAGAATTAGAGGAGAAATTTGATAAAGTTAGAGAATTAAGTGCTGAAAATGAGAGGAGATTCATACATATTAAATAAGAATATAACAATAAATGTGATAAATAAATGGATAAAGAGTAAAAGAAATTTAAATAAAATCTTAATCTAATTAAATAAAGAGAATAAATTATTGAGTAGTTAAGATATAAAAGATTCTTAGAAAAAAATAAACCTATGACTTAATCTTAAGAAACTATATCAAAACATAATGATAGCAAACTTTAAGCATGATATGAAGAAAAAAATATATATATATAAATTAATTTAATGTACTTTTAAATCCATAACATCAATCTGTGTGTTAAGATCCTTTAGTTGCACCGACACCTGGTTTTCCATGTCTGGTTGGTTTATAGGTTAATGAAAATTCACCCAAATATCTAAAGTTTAATCATTAAATCATTAGTACCTGCCAATCATATCAAACTTAATTTCAACATTGCTAAATTGTCTTCCATTATATACTCCAACAATTGAACCTACCATTTCTGGAACAACAATAGTATTTCTTTAATGAGTCTTGACAGGTTTTGGTTTTTCACCAGGCAATGTTTCCTTCTTGCTTTTTCTAATCTAAATATTAAAATCTAAACATTACCTTTTTCATTAAATTTTAGAAAGCATGCACTTTTTCTCCTTGATTTGAAATTCTTCTTCTTTATCTGGCTCTGAATTATTCCACTAATTTATCCATAGGTAGTTTAACCAACTCTTCAAGTTAGAGTCCTCTGTATGTGAACTTCTTAACTCCCTTGAATTGTTTGTCTTATGTTTATTCTGCCATAATTTGAAAAAATGAAAATTAAAGATTTTAATATATTCCAAAACATCATACATTTTATAAAACATGTATTTCCCTCAATTTATTAAAATTGAAGAACCAACCGAATTATTCACACTTATATTATCCTTATAAATTTTATTATTTTAAGAATGTTATTAGATAGAAAAAGAATTGTTAGTTTATATATATTAACTTAAAAAATAAATAAATAAATAGATTATATAAGCAAACTATACATATTTTAAGTATTTAATTTATTCTTACTTTTATGATTAGATTGTTTATACTAAAATTTTTATCATATATATTATTTTATTAAAAAATGAAATAGTTTGTCAGCCCATAGGATATGCTTAATAAATTTAGAAATCCTCACGAAATTTATACACAACAAACTGATTTTTATTATGATCCATAAAGCGATGCAAACATACCAAAAATTTTACAAGTATTACTAATTTTAAGCAAAAGCAATCCATCAATTTTTTTGATGATGAAATAAGTAAAAAAACAAAAGATAAATTAATAGAAGAGTTAAGGTAGAATATTATTCGTTGGTTAAAGCTTTATTAATCAGTTGAATAAGAATTTGCTGGAGAATTGGCAGTATTTGGTTCTTATAGATTTGGAGCAAATGGAAAAGATAGTGATATTGATTTAATTATCTTGGCTCCTCCTTAAATTGATAGAGAACTTCATTTTTTTTAACAATTACCTTCAATTTTGAATTCTAATTCAAAAGTCACAAATTTATATTGTATTCAAGAAGCTATGGTTCCTTTAATTCGATTTAAATTTTCAGGTTTATAAAATTTCATACAATAATTTAGGAATACAATTTGATTTGGTATTTGCATGCGTAAAAAAGATAATGAAACCTCTAAGTTAGAGTGATCCAGTTGATGAAAAATCTAGTAGATCTCTAAATGGATTAAAAGTAAGTGATTACTTTTCAAAATATTGTCACTAAAAATCCTATTTATCATTTTTAAAGTTTATAAAAGCATGGGCAATAAATAGAGGAATTTATGGAAATGTAATGGGTTATTTAGGAGGAATATCATGGTAAATACTGACTCATAAAATATTTTAATTATATCCAAATTATAGTGTTTAAGGATTAATTGAAAGATTCTTTTACATTTTTTCCTAATGGAAATGGAATGAATTACCTGTTGTTATCTAAAAATGTGATGAAATTTGGAGGAATTCTCTCTTTGAATAATAGCAAAAGTAACATAATGTAATGACAATTTTAACTCCTGTTTATCCATATATTAATTCGGCATATAATGTTTCAAATTGTACTTTTACTATTATTGAAGAATAATTAAAATTAGCAAATATTATTATGCAGAAAATTTGCCTATCTGAATTATAATGGGTATAAATACAAACTTAAAATAGTCTGATTTACTAAAAAAAATTTAATTTTTTGATATATATTATACATATTTGTAAATACGAGCATTGTCTAAGAATATAGATGATTTAATTCAATGGAAGAGTCATATTGAGTCTAAATTGAGAAAGTTAAATAAAATGTTAGATGAAGGTGATGTTAATAAAGCAATAGAATTTCATCTTTATCCAAAAAGTTTCTAAACAGATTATGTATAAGGAGATGAAAATGATATTCCTGGATCCCTCTTTAATTTTAGTGAAAGTTTTTTTTATGGGATTAGAATTAAGGATGAAGAATTAGTAAAAGAAAAACTTGATATTGAAAATATCATTCGATAATTTTGTGATTGTCTAGAAGGATAGAAACCATATTTTAGAGTTCCAGAAAACCTCAATTTAGAAATCAAAGTAATTTTATTCTATAAATATAGTCATTACATAAAGATTAAATTCCCAAAAAAATAAAATCTGAATTGTGATGTCCTACTTAATATATATATTTATATGATATTAAATTTGAATAATATATTTTTAGAGAAAAAAAATAAATAATTTATTTGTTTATATCGTCGGTTTCCAAAGTTCTTTAGTTTGAAGTAATCAATATTTAATCAATTCTTATATATTGTTTAAAATTTCTACTTAAATTTCATCAATACTCTTAAGAGCATCAATTTTGTAAAAGTTCTCTTAAAGTGCTAATTAATCAAAAATGCTTTCATTTTATTTTAAAATGAAGAATTTTCATAGATCTCTTTTCCGAAATCTCCTCTTTAGCTTAATTTTTCAATTGGCCCAGTTAAATAAAATGTCATATCTGATTAAATAATAAGCCCTGAATCTGGAACTTTACACCATTCAATAGTTAAATTTTTAGTTGCTGAGAAAGCTACTCCAGAATATGCATAACGATCACTTACTATATTAGTATCATTCTAAAGTTCTTTTTAAATGAATGTGCTAGAATATTAACTTTATTACTATTATTCCCATCTATTAGCTGAAAATAATAAATTTATAATTATATAAAATAGTTTATTTATTTATATCACTTCATCACTCATGTTCCTTTTAAATAATCTGAATTATAAGTCTTAGTTGAGTAGTTCTGTCAGGGAATGAAATTTTTTTACATTCAAATTTTCTGAAAGTAATTTTGCTTAAGTTCATTTGCCTGATTTATCAAGACATTCTAATGCAATAAATAATCCTCTGTTGACTGATTATTGTATAATTATTTTCATTAATTACCAAAAATATTAATAATTACTATGCATATTATAATATTATGATCTCATAACTATAACAATATAAACAATTATTTGATCAATTTTGTGAATTGAAATAATAATGAATAAAATTAGAAATATAAAAAGAGTGGAACTTATAAGCTAAGTATTGACTCATTCTTAAATTATATAATTAGGATTTGGTTTAGGAAAGCTTAAGTTGATAAAACGAAATTGAAAATTGGTAATGTATAAGTACATAATTTTGCATGAAAATAAATAANTTTATATGATATTAAATTTGAATAATATATTTTTAGAGAAAAAAAATAAATAATTTATTTGTTTATATCGTCGGTTTCCAAAGTTCTTTAGTTTGAAGTAATCAATATTTAATCAATTCTTATATATTGTTTAAAATTTCTACTTAAATTTCATCAATACTCTTAAGAGCATCAATTTTGTAAAAGTTCTCTTAAAGTGCTAATTAATCAAAAATGCTTTCATTTTATTTTAAAATGAAGAATTTTCATAGATCTCTTTTCCGAAATCTCCTCTTTAGCTTAATTTTTCAATTGGCCCAGTTAAATAAAATGTCATATCTGATTAAATAATAAGCCCTGAATCTGGAACTTTACACCATTCAATAGTTAAATTTTTAGTTGCTGAGAAAGCTACTCCAGAATATGCATAACGATCACTTACTATATTAGTATCATTCTAAAGTTCTTTTTAAATGAATGTGCTAGAATATTAACTTTATTACTATTATTCCCATCTATTAGCTGAAAATAATAAATTTATAATTATATAAAATAGTTTATTTATTTATATCACTTCATCACTCATGTTCCTTTTAAATAATCTGAATTATAAGTCTTAGTTGAGTAGTTCTGTCAGGGAATGAAATTTTTTTACATTCAAATTTTCTGAAAGTAATTTTGCTTAAGTTCATTTGCCTGATTTATCAAGACATTCTAATGCAATAAATAATCCTCTGTTGACTGATTATTGTATAATTATTTTCATTAATTACCAAAAATATTAATAATTACTATGCATATTATAATATTATGATCTCATAACTATAACAATATAAACAATTATTTGATCAATTTTGTGAATTGAAATAATAATGAATAAAATTAGAAATATAAAAAGAGTGGAACTTATAAGCTAAGTATTGACTCATTCTTAAATTATATAATTAGGATTTGGTTTAGGAAAGCTTAAGTTGATAAAACGAAATTGAAAATTGGTAATGTATAAGTACATAATTTTGCATGAAAATAAATAAGAGAGTGAAAGCAATAAATGAATTTATTCTTAGTAAATTGAATTATAAAATCAATTAGATATTAAAAAATTATTCTCACTTAATTTTTTGTTTTTATATTTATGCTTATACATTTTCTTCATTGAGACTTATTCTTGTTTTTTGAAATGTCTAGAATCTTGATTATAAAGAACCTTTTACTATTTTTTAAACTTAAAAATTTTTAAAATTAGAATTTGATTAAAATAGATATAGGATGGTATAAAGTAAATCTCATCTGAAAAAGATATTGAAATTATTATGCTATTGGAATTGAATTAAAAATGCTTTTATTTTTTCTCTTCTTATTAAAGTGAATAGAGACTTAACTGTTTTTAAATTAAAATATACTATCAAAGCATTAAAAAAATTAATCACTAAATTTTAGATAAAAATATGCAGCTAGAATTGCTTCAGCCAATAATATTATTGTAAATGACTAAGTAATATCATTCTAATAGAAAGTTAGTAAAAGAAAGCCACTTAAAGTTTATATATTTTCTAAATTGAATGAAAGTTTTTTTTAATATTGAAATTATGTAAAGGATTAGCTTTTTTATTTTTAAATTAATTAGCTTATTTTTCTTTAAAAATAGTAATTGCAGAGATGATAGAAATCAATTTATTTTTAAATGACAACATAATAATTGGGCCTGAACTGAAACAAATTATAAGAAAGGTAAATTTTTTGATTCTTGAAATGATGAAATGATATGACCTTAGGGAGAATAATAATCAAATATTAGGTTAATTTAATTTGTTAAAAATTAGTAGCTTAAAATTGGTTCTACTTTTTTGACAAATCAAATAATCTTGAACAGAAAATGGAATTATTTTTATTTTCATAATTAATTATTTTCTGCAAGCAGGCTAGGATTAGAATAAATTAATTTTAAATTGTGATTGATTATTTTAGCCTAGATTTATTAATCATGAGTTGATAAAAATGTTAAAAACAGTTAGTTACACATTTTTGAATGCATTATTATTGAGACATCTTTAGTTATTAGATCACTTGAAATCAAAAATATGATTCTTAAGAAAAAACCTGTTTAATTGCTGGACCTGTTTAGTTTTTTATTTAATTTTTGATTTCAAGAATTTTAAAATTATATTATTGAGAAATCAATATTTTTTAAGGATTTAAGATTTAATATCATTAAAAGAATTTGCAATTTGTATTTAGAAGTTATTTTTAAGAATGCAATTAGAATTTATATTTTTTGAAATAGGATCTATATTTTATAGTTAAAGTAGATTATTAATTTAATTTTAAAAGAAAAATATAACAATATGATCAGAATATTTCAATATGTTCGCTACCGTTAAAATATAGCTTAAGCGACTCTTCAACACTCTTTTCTCCAAACTTATATTTTTAACAAAATTCTTATAGTGGTTTTATAATTTTTTGATTAATTTTCGATATCTGGTGTTAATCTAATTTATTTTACAAAATTTTTGCATAGTATTATCCATTTTAAAATCTATTTTTATAAAAAAAATCGTTTTGATATTGTATTTGATTTTCATCATATTAAAAAAAAACTAAGTTTTCAACTGTTATAAGTTCATTCAAAATATTTAAAACAAAACAAGTTAAATCTTAATCTTCATTGGTAGCCTTAAAAGCACTCATAAAAATTATTTAATTATTATGGGTAATATAGAAATTATTTAGGCTTATTTGATCAAAAGTTTCAGTACCTCCTTCAATATTTTCAATTTAGCCAAATCTTAGGCTATCTTCAAGATATTATTATTAGTACTCCAAAGCTATTTTTTGTAAAACTTAAGTAAATTGATTTTAAAGATTATTATCTTATCGAAATGATCTCTAGATAATTATTTATTCATAAGGAGAAAAATCCTAAAATTACATTACAGAGTTTAATTCAGATGAATTGGAATCTATATCATATGATTCTTCATTTTATTCTTAATTTCTGTTAAATTATTTGTGATTTTCACTTCTTAATTCTTATGTAAATGGTCTACTTGTATTTAATTAGTTTTACATAATAAAATAATTATTTAAAAATATATATCTAAACTATATTAAGTGCATCATCGTCATTATTGAATTTAATCAATGTTTTCTTTAATTATTGATTTGGCCTATGATATTTAAAGTAATGCAAATTTTCTAAATATAATAAATTTAATACCTTTCTTAAGTAATTGCATCCATATCAGATTTGAGTTTATCTAAAGCCTCTTTGGTTATCTTTAAAGTGTTTTATTATTCAGTTATTGAATTAATAATCTCTTCTTATTGAATAAGTGTTTCAGGTATTAAACTTATATAAATAATGAATAGTACTTTCCAATGGAACCTCTAATATCTGTATGTAATTTGACATTCAATTCATTATTTAATTCATCCATTTCAATTCCTTCTTTCAAAGCATCTTTTAATTCTTTAAATAATGTTTATATCTTATCAGCTTATTCTAAATCTAAATGTGCAGTCACTTATGCTAATATACTAATATGTTAATCTTCACTTATCTATCTTAACTTCTCCATTATATCACTATCATCTTTTATTGTCTATTTTTCTTAAATTTATGATATTAATTCATCTATAGCTTCAATCAAAGTATATTGCTCTCCTATTTTTTATATATATGCTTCATGATTAGCACTAAATAAAACATCAATTTCACGAGCTTCTTCATTTAATGTTTCCTATTTTTATATTAAATATTTATTTTATTCATCTAATTATTTTAATTCATCTTCTAATTATGTAATCATTCCTTCTAATCTAGCTTCTTCAACTGAATATAATTATTGTTATGAAAATTCATCTTTTTCTAAATGCCCAACCAATTCTGCAAAATGATCATCAAGATCTTGAACTGTTGCCCCATTAAGAACCTTAGACTTTAATTGTGTAAATAATGATCTATTAAATTAGTTTGATTAATTCTCAATATTATATTTTATCATACATAATGTTCAAATATCTTTGCAAATTTACTTAAATCAACAGCTTTCTATATTTTCTCTTCTGATGCTTCTATTGTTAATAATAAACCCAATAATATGAAAATCATGTAGAAATTCGTTTTATAATAATAAAATAATACATATAATTATTTCATTTTTACTTCAAAATTATTTATCTTCCAATACTTTTGATGGAGAAAGAAATGGTTCTTCTAATTATATTTAGTAGATAGTCTTAACTCATTTTAAACTGATAAAATAGATGCTTTTAAAATATAAATTGATTGATATCTCATTAAACTTTGTAAATTACTCTTACAAACTTTCCTTTCTTCTAAATCTTTGATATGTTAACTTTAATCAATTCTTTTACATGATTCACATGAGTTCCTCCACATGGACATCCATCGTCATATTTACATAATTTTACAAATCTTATATTTTCAACCCCTTTAAAATAAGGTGGTACTTCTCCTATTCTCTAACTTAATTGTTCTTCATTTAAATATTCTACTATCTTTTTATCATCTTCTTAAGTCTCTTATAATAATTAATCACAAGTTTATTATAAAGACATTTATATATCTTCTGCCTTTCCTTCAATACTTCCTTAATATTCTACATATGATCCATCTGGAAAATGATATCCCTTAGCTGCAATCCATTTTAAACCAATCTTCTTTACAGCCATATCAATAAAATGACCAGCTGAATGAAGTTTTGCATAATTCTTTCTTTATTGTTCATTTACCAACTATATTATTTATTAGTTTTATTATTTTGCTTCCATTAGAAGATCAAATAATTATTCCTAATCTTCTAAACTCAATAAAACTTATTATTTAGCTTTATCATTTTTAAGCTATTTTATGTTTATTAAACTAAATATATATTGTTTTATACTTATCATTTAACTTTATCTATCCTTCATCATCTGGTTAACCACCTCCTTAAGGATGAAATATATTCTCTTTCAAAAGTAATTATATGTAATTAGTATTTTATTGATTTTATTCATTCATTGGTACACGTTTAACATCAAGAATAGTACTAGGATATTAAGTTAAGTATGAATCTTCCAAATATTTCTGTATCTATTTTTATTCTTATTCCATTTTCTTGAAAAATATTCTAAATATTCTTTTATTTAATTACATCATATTATTTTTAAAATCATCATCTCAACTTATATTAATTTTTGTTTACATACCATAAATCACTAACTTTTTGCTAGTAAAGTACCATACTTGATATAATTCATTAAATATTAAAGAGGATTATGTGTAATTTAATTTCTATAATTATAATTATATAATGTTATATGAAAATTTATATGAGTAATTACAAGAATGCTTGCCAGAATATTAAAGATAGTTCGTTATACAAAACTATTAAAATTTCTTAGAGGTTTCAAAAGAAAAAGATCCTGTTTATTAATAGTTTGTATCCCTAATTGATAAATTTTAATCAGCATCATCTTAAATAGAAGTAAGAATTTAAATTGAGTGAAAGATTATTTCAAAAGATATTGAAAATCTAAAAAATGCTAAAGACAGATGTTAATAGATGCTTGAGGAATAAGTTACAAAAGAATTCGATATTGTCGAGGATATCTAAGCTGAAGATTAATTGACAGAAATGCTTGATAATTTATCAATGTTTACTTTTGAAAAAAATTATGAATAAGCCATAGAAAGCTTTAAACTACTCAATGAAACAGTTCAATTAAAGAAATATATTAAATTAATAAAGAAGCCAGAAATCAAGAGATAATTAGATGAAGCATTTAAAAGTCTTTGTTAATCGATATATAATGATTATGTTAGTTAAAATGCTTAATTTGATTCTTCTTAATTAATACAATATTTGATGATTTTAAATTAAGTTGAAATGTTAACGAAAGGTTATTTGCAAATTTAATAAAATAAATTTACTGATTGGATAGAATAATAAACATAATCTAATGAAAGGTAAGTTTAATAATTTATAGGAAATATAATAAAAATAAATCAATAATATGAATAAATATTTGGAGAGTATCTAAAAAAGAATCAATTTTTATTCTCTTTTATATCATTATGGAATCAGTAGATTATTCAAAGCTTTTTTGATAAAATTTAATAGTTCTTTTTCCAAGATATAGTTTCATTTGAAGATATTTTTACAAAGTCTAAAACACTATTGAATACATTTTAATAATATTAATCTAAAGGAATATCGATAGATTTTGAAATTTAAAAGGAATTAGCAATTTATATTGAAAATAAGATAAATGAATTATTTGGTATTTATGGTTAGAAAATAAATTAATATATGCATTTTAATGAAAAAAAATTGATAAAAATTGAATTTATGTCTAATCTATTAGAGAGTGATAAATTATTAGAATCAAAAGAAATTGAAATATCAAATAAGCCTCAAGAGATTAAATTAAAGGCCTCAGCTACTATTAAAAGTACATTTGATTCTTTGAGTCAAGGATTATCAATTAGTTCATGTTTTTTTTGGAATATTGTATTTAGATTAGGAGACTCTGCTTTAAATTTTTTTAATCCAGAATAATATTCATTATTATCAACAATGTTAAATTAATCTATTTCTAAATTATTAATTTTATTCATAAAAGATTATTAGAGTGCAATAAAAGCAAATAAAAAGGAAAATTAATCTTTGTTTGAAATAGGAAATTATTTTGGAAATTATAATTTAAATAATACTTTAATTAATTATTTATCAATTAGAGCATCAAATTTACCATTTTAAAGTAATAGTGAATGGAAAAAAGTGATTGAAGATTGGCTTGATGAGTTAAAATTATCAATGCATCAACATTTTAAAACAAATTTATTATAGATGTTGCCATATTTAATATGTGAACATGGGAAGATTTATACATAAAAGTAATTGACTGTATAAAAGCCATCTTAATTATTTTTAATGATAGGATATTCAATAATGGAATTGAAGAATTAGTTTATATCAAAAATACCTTAAGCACCTACACTTTATTATTTAGGATCATTATGGGATTATACGAAATATTTATTAGAATATTCATTTTATTGGTCTTATCATAATTAAGGTAAAAATAATGAAGTGTTTTTTTTGGATGTGAAATCGAGAAATGAATTAAAATTAGATATGAATTAAATAAACTTATAATTTTAACAAAGTTCAATAAAAATTCAATAAATATCATTAGATGGTTTAAAATAAATAATATTGGATATTTAATTTATTTTTGATCTTTTTAATCGTTTCATAGGATAGTTGCAATAGAATGATTAATTTTTAAAAAAATTAGTGACATTATATTGTAAAGAGAAGAAATGTGAATAACCATAGATGTAAAGTTAATCTTTTGATGAATATTTTGCCTAAAATTTTTAATAAGATATGATACAAGCAAAAAGTTTAATCGAATAACAAAGAAAGAGTATTGTGACATGAAATTATTAATTTAAATTTATAATTAATTGAATGGGTATATGTGGTAGTAAAGTTCGATCTAAACATGCCAAGTTGTCTGAAATTAGAAAATTTTCAAAATTAAACATTCATTAATTCTATCGTTTCTCATAAATATTGGGAAGCGGTAGTTTTGGAACAGTTAAACTAGCGTTTAGTATGGAATAAGAAAAGAACGGTTTAGAGACAAAAAGTTATGCAGTAAAATCAATAGATAAGGTATTAAAATAAAATGAATTTAGCATCGTATAGGGAATAGATTGCATTTAATCTAAAGAGAATTAGAAATATTAATTTAATTAGATCATCCAAATATAATAAGAGTATATGAGACATTTGAAGATTTAAGATATTATCATTTTGTAATGGAGTATTGTAGAGGAGGAGAATTATTTGAGAGAATAGTAAAGAAAGGTGTATTTTCAGAGAGAAGATGTTGTATAATAATGAAATAGTTATTTTCAGCAGTTCATTATATGCATTAATAGGGAGTAACTCATAGAGATTTGAAACCTGAAAATTTAATGCTTGTTTCACCAGATGATGATTTTGATATAAGAATAATAGATTTTGGATTAAGTAAGAAATATCCTCCACCATAATCAACAAATTAAGGTAGATCTTAAGTTAGATAATAAACTAAAGTTGGAACTCCTATTTATGTTGCACCTGAAGTTTTATTAGGTAAATATTCATAAACATGTGATGAATGGTCTTTAGGATGTATAATGTATGTTTTATTGTGTGGAGAACCTCCTTTTTTTAGTAATAACATTAAAATATTGGAAGATAAAATTTAAAATAAAGAAGTTTAATTTAATGAAAAAGTTTGGGGATAAATATCTAATGATGCTAAATAACTCTTAATTAAGTTACTTGATAAAAATCCAAAAAAACGTATCACTTGTGCTTAAGCATTATAATCTTAATGGATTTATTATAATACAACTTAGATATCTCTTAGGATGGAATCTATTCCTAATAATAATGAACATGAAAATGAAAAAACTATTCGTCTTTTAAAAACTTATGCAAATATATCAAAATTAAAAAAAGGAACACTTAATATTTTATTAAATTAATTAAATGAATCATAAATTTAATCTTTAAGATTAAAATTTGAAGAATTTGATAGAGATAATAATGGAACTATTTCTGTTAAAGAAATGACAAAAATTATCAAACAATTAGGATTAACTGATACTGAAAAAGAAATATAGGAATTAATTTAAAAATTTCATATATTAAAAAAATCTAATTCTTCAATTGATGATCTTTCTATTCATTATTCGGAATTTATGATGGCTTTATTAAATTAATAATAATATTTAAATGAAGAAAGAATATGGGGACTTTTTAAATAATTTGATATTGAAAATAAAAACTATATAACAACTACTGATGTAAAAAGAGCATTTGAAAGAAGAGGTAAATCATTATCTACTATTAAAATTGATATGATGTTTAAAGAAATTAGTTTGAATAGTTAAGATTAAATAGATTTTCAAAGATTTTAAGATATAATGTTAGCAGATTCTCTTAAAACTTAAGATGATGATCTAGATATGAATAATATTTATAAGGCTCCTACTAATAACTCATAAAATTTAATACATCTTAATTAACCAAAAGGAGATTTCAATTTCGGTTTTTGAGTCTATTATAATTTATTTTTGTTAATATTTTATTTTCTATTATTCATATTTATTATTTTCATAATACAAGATTATATATAATAAGTAAAATAATGGACATTAGAGTTCCACATTAACTTGAATGGAAAGAAACATAAGTATCTATATATTTTATATATAGTTTGCAATGAACTCACACAAATAATTAATCTAAGTCAAAGAACCATTCATAATCAAAAAATATGGTTTGGGATTTATTGATTAAGATTAAAAATATGAAGGAAAAATAACTATAGATAATAAAAAAGATCATGATTTCTAAAATGAACTAAAAAAAATGACTGATCTTAATTCTTCTAAAAATCAATTAAAAATTTAAAGTTAAAAGGATAGGAAAGATACAAGTATTACATAAATAAGTGAATCTAATATTTAGTCACTTATATTACCCAGAGAAATCAAATAAAATAAATTGTAAATATAGAACTTTGGAGATAAAAAACTTTATTTAATTATTAAAGGAGAAGGATTCTCAGAATTTAGAATACGCTCAATTTAAATTAAATTAAGTTGTATATCTTGTAAAGAGTTCCTTCCAGCAAATCATAATAAATTTAATTCTGATATCTTATAATTTTAAACTGATTGTAAAAAATGTTCATAATAAATGTCTATTGATTTTTATAAAAATATTCAATAAAATCCTGAAAATCCAAGTATATGGTAAATAGGCTCTATTAAAACTTATAAAAATGTTGAATTTTAAGTGAATTTCATAGAAGTATTAACAATATGTAAATGTTTATCTTAAAGTTCTCGAATACCATATTTATTAATTTCATTTGAAAAGAAAACTTCCTAAAATTAACGTTTAAAATGCTTACTAACAGATTAAATTAGATAACTTTGTCATGGATGCGTTTAAGAATTAAAGTTCCAGCCTGAATGGCTAATAATTAAGTAATGAATCATGTTTATTAAATACAAAATTTTAATATCATTTTCAGATTGGAGATATCCCTTCAAGTTTTTATATATTTTTTAAAATTATATCACTATTTTAAAATCAATGAAATACTTTCTTAATAATTAATTTTTTTATATTGCCTTTATAGTTTTACTAAACCCATCTGTGTATTACTTTTCTAGTAGTTTTTCTTACAATTTCATACTTTATTAGTAAAGATTATCTACATTAAATTCATACATAGAATTTAATGATTCATCATCTGTCCTAGAATCTAATGATGCACTTTTCTTTAGGTTCCTCAATTTATGATTCTTAAATGATTATTCTAATTTTCTTTAAGGAATTTTAATATTTCTATTTGATGATAATCCTCCAGCATCAAGAATATCTTTTTAGATTTATTCCTAAACATCTTTGTCTTTATATGGATCATATTTTGGATAGTTAGTTATGTATTTTATTAATTCTAAATCATTATTGATTAATTGATTTTTAACAATTTAATTTCCTTTTATACCCTTTTTTATAAAAGGATAAATTTGTTTAATATTATTTTATTCACTTTAATCAAATGTTTATGGTGTATTAGATTTAGTAGATTTGGGAATAATGTTTTTCTTGAATTGATAATTAACATAAATCTACTTTTTTGATTTTTCATTTTCAATATAATCTTTAATAAGTAATTCTTCCATATATTATTTAGCCTTTTTATTTACTAAATGACGTATTACATATTTTTCTTATGGTGCTTCATATTTAACTTTATTAGGATTTTAATGATTTCTTGAATTTAATAATTAATATGGATTTTAATGTTAAATAATATTAACTGAATTACCTTTAAATAATAATTTTTTGTTTGTATTTATATCTTTTTGTTCAAATTTCATTTATAAATTTTGAATATACTGATCACTTATATCATACATTTATTTGATCATTCCAACATTCTTTAATTCTCTGCTTCTCTTTACAAGATCTTCTTTTTCTCTTTTATCTATTTTTTCTTCTATAAGATCTCTTATTATATCAAATCTATCTAATGCTTGTTGTTTTTTAATCATTTCTTCATTTTTTTCATCTAATAATTATAAAAAAGCTATGTCATGATTACCTTCATCTGTTACAGCAGATCTTCTATATGTTCTAATAGTATTGATATATATTGATACACATTAATTTTGGGTCTTTTTTATTTCTTTTTAACTGCTGGAATTAATTTATCAAGTTTTTATGATTAATTTTTTCTAATCACAAATTCTTCTGCAGAAATTTCCCCCAATATATATTTTGTGAAATTACTTCTTATTGATGGACTTATTGTCATTGCATTATGTATTTTTAAAGGAACTTCATGTAAGTATGCTCTATCAATTGCAGTCTCTGTATTTCTTTTTAATTATGTCTATTTTCTCCTTAATAATGCTTCAGATAAAAAATCTCCAAACACATCATTCCAATTTTTTAATCTTGTATCTTTTGGAATTGAAATCCCTTCACTCTCTTCTGTTTTTATTATTATTCTTGGCACATCTTAATTGGTTGACTGAGCATTGAAGAAATAATATATACAGTAACTGATCGAGTTGTTTATAACTAGGATTCAGTAACAGTCTCAGGACACTAAAAAAGCTTTCTTCTTTTTGGAAAAAATATTTTATTCATTAATTATAATTATTTTCAAATTAATAACTAATTTTTTTTTATTTCTTAATTATATTAAATATTCCATACAATTTTTTTAAATTAATCATATTATCTAATCATATTTCAATTCATAGTCTATACTTTTCTTATTTATTTTTCATTCAAAATAAATTTCAATAAATTATATAAAATAATTAACTAAATATATAATTAATCTTAAAATAAATTCAAAATAATTTTTTTAATCAATAGATATAAACGAAACGAAGAACTGTCTTAAAAAAAAATATATTAAATTTTAAATTAAAAAAAATTGTCCTCTACCAAATTATTAAATATAAACAAATTCTAATTTAGCTTTTACATAACTGTTATATCCTATTAATTAATATTAGAAATTATTATTTTATCATCTGTCTTAATCCTATAGATTATTCTAAACATTTAAATATTTAATAATAAATTACATTTCTATTATTATACTACTATCAAATGAAAACAATTTATTATATATAGTAGCTGTTAAGCTATTCTTTTAAGATTCTTCAAATGTTTAAATTTTTGATAATTTTTATTAATATTAATATTAATCTTAAAGTAAATTAAGATAACACCTGCCTCATAAAACCCTAATTCTAATCCAATACTAAGAAGGAATCATATTTCAATAGAAGAGAGGACTTATAAAAATTTAACGTTCCATTATTAAATCATATGATAACTACAAGATATATTAATTTACATATTTTAAATTATTAAAATTTATAATTCGAAATAGAAAATATTAAATTAATAATGCATAAAAGATTTTTTAAATCTACATAAATTAATGAATGAAATGAATATATAAAAATATAAATAATAATATAATAATGTTTAGAAAAAGAAGAAATGATCCTTTAAAGTTATTATGAGATTATGTGATTCACAATAAATAAATAAAGTTAAGTAGCAAAAATACTGATCATAGATTACTTTTTGATAATACTATTGAATTTAAATGTTCGACTTTACTAGATAAAAAATAATTAAAAGGATTCATCATTGATATCAAAATCAGGGTAAAAAAATACTCTTAGAGCTTCATGTTGTATTTTAGATTGTCATTTTTAAGGATCGGAATAAGAAAATTATCAAAAGAAAGCATTAGATCTAAATTTTAAATAAGTATTTAATGCAAATAATTAAGCTAATTAAAACATAATTGAATATTTTACTGGTAAAGTAGATATACGGATTATATAAATATAGATAAGCAGCCATCTTTATATAAGAATAAACAAGTCTAAAATAAGGATGATATTAAATAGGCAAGTTTATAGAAAATTAACCTGATTAAGAGAAAGTAGTAATTTTAGAAATTAAATTAGCCATTAAATGATAAAGAATTCAATTTAAAAGTATTTGATGAAATATTGAGATTTGAAAAATCAATAACTACTAGAAATAGATTCTTCAGAGTTTAGGATAGAATATTGAATGATAATTTGAAAACAGCATAAAAAGTAGATATTATTAAATTATTTAGAATTTTTGGGTTAATATGTTGGAGTGGTAGGTGATGAAGTAGAATTATAATAATTTTTAGATACTAGAATATAGGATGTGAATAAAGCTAAACAACTATCAAGTACAAAATTATCTTATTCGGTCTTAAACGAATTCATAAAATCTTAAGAAAAAACGATGAATGAGGAAAAAATTGTTTAAGAAATGTTTAATTAATTTTAGATAAAGGATAATATATAATATTAAACATTATTTCTAAATCTAGATCCGAATGGGTTGAAATTTACCAATAAAGTTGTTGAGATTAACAGATCTGTAATTAGTTTTTATTTATGTTATTTTTAGGGAATAATAGTTTTTAATATTGGTATAGTCAAAATAAAATACAGTAACAAATTAGAAAAGAGTGGTTGCTGTATTTTTAAGAGTATCTACTTATGAATTAAAATAGTTTCCTGATTAAAATCTAAATCAATTATTTTTAAAAAGTATTATTAATTATGTTATAAAATATAGGATTAGAGATTATCATCAAAAGTTTGAAGAAGAAAAAGTTAAAGACTTGATCAAACAATAGAATGTAAAGATTTTAGATTTACACAGAATCAAAAAGATACCAAGATATTAATGTAGTGACTGGATTTTGAGAAGACTTAAAAGCATTTCTTTTGAGACCTGCTAAGTAATCAGAATAATAATGAGTATTTTGAATTTTTTAATATTTGTTTGTATTTGTATATTTTCAATGCTTTTATTAAAACACTTCTGTTGCATTTTGATATTTAGATACAAATCTATCATTTTCAACATCATAAGTTGGCAATACTAGTATTCTGTTCTTGTGTAATTCTTATTATATTTTATAATTAAGTGCATACTAAAATATTTATATATTGGATTACTTATTTTCTTCGATTGACACATTCCAAGAAATCTAGTCCTTCAATAGCACACATTTTATTGGGTAGATTTTCTTTATTGATGCATGCTTGCATTCTCTCATAAAATGTGATGCAAGGGTTGATCCCACCAGATGTATTAATTCCTATGTATGACATTAAATTAAATATTATTATTATTATTTGATATATGAACATTTAATAACAATAAGATTTGATATAATATTTTATTAGATAATGTTTGAGATATTATATACATTAATATTTTCACTTCATTAAAATGCAGGATTATGAGCATTTCCACAACACATTATAATGCAATTTTTACAAGAACATTTTAACTTCTATTCTTCATTTTTAATAGATTATTATTATCTTGTATTAAATTAATAAATAAATACAATTATTTCTAACTTTTAGATTTTGTATTATTTGAATTGAAATTCTCAGATTATTTATACTTCTCAAAAGTTGTTCTATTTGTAAATAAAGTTATTATTTATCCATAAAGTAAATGAGATACTGCAATAAGGAATAGAACACTTAAAAATAAAATAATTGATTAAACAACTGTTTTAATTAAAAATAAAGTTTAAGATTAGGATATTATCAAATTATTAAACCAAGAATAAATTTAATTANTGTATTTTTAAGAGTATCTACTTATGAATTAAAATAGTTTCCTGATTAAAATCTAAATCAATTATTTTTAAAAAGTATTATTAATTATGTTATAAAATATAGGATTAGAGATTATCATCAAAAGTTTGAAGAAGAAAAAGTTAAAGACTTGATCAAACAATAGAATGTAAAGATTTTAGATTTACACAGAATCAAAAAGATACCAAGATATTAATGTAGTGACTGGATTTTGAGAAGACTTAAAAGCATTTCTTTTGAGACCTGCTAAGTAATCAGAATAATAATGAGTATTTTGAATTTTTTAATATTTGTTTGTATTTGTATATTTTCAATGCTTTTATTAAAACACTTCTGTTGCATTTTGATATTTAGATACAAATCTATCATTTTCAACATCATAAGTTGGCAATACTAGTATTCTGTTCTTGTGTAATTCTTATTATATTTTATAATTAAGTGCATACTAAAATATTTATATATTGGATTACTTATTTTCTTCGATTGACACATTCCAAGAAATCTAGTCCTTCAATAGCACACATTTTATTGGGTAGATTTTCTTTATTGATGCATGCTTGCATTCTCTCATAAAATGTGATGCAAGGGTTGATCCCACCAGATGTATTAATTCCTATGTATGACATTAAATTAAATATTATTATTATTATTTGATATATGAACATTTAATAACAATAAGATTTGATATAATATTTTATTAGATAATGTTTGAGATATTATATACATTAATATTTTCACTTCATTAAAATGCAGGATTATGAGCATTTCCACAACACATTATAATGCAATTTTTACAAGAACATTTTAACTTCTATTCTTCATTTTTAATAGATTATTATTATCTTGTATTAAATTAATAAATAAATACAATTATTTCTAACTTTTAGATTTTGTATTATTTGAATTGAAATTCTCAGATTATTTATACTTCTCAAAAGTTGTTCTATTTGTAAATAAAGTTATTATTTATCCATAAAGTAAATGAGATACTGCAATAAGGAATAGAACACTTAAAAATAAAATAATTGATTAAACAACTGTTTTAATTAAAAATAAAGTTTAAGATTAGGATATTATCAAATTATTAAACCAAGAATAAATTTAATTACTTTTTGTATATTCTTATCCTATAAATATACTGTTTACTATTAAAATATGAATTAAATTGATCCAAATCATAGAAATAAAAAAAAAGTATATAAAATAATTATTTGCTCCAATCTAATTTAATTAATACAATACTTACACAATTATTAACCCATGGACAATGATGATCATAAACAACAATACATTATTTACAAAATTCACAATGTCTAGATCTTTCTGGTTTTTTTATAAGACATTCTGAACATATTTCCCAAGGTTCATAATCATTTAATAGTTTAAATAATTGATATTGATCAGTATTTTTTTATATATATCCAGGACGTAAAAACATAGTTAAGAAATAGAGTATGATTCCAAGTAGAAAAGAAAAGACTGATAAAATTTATAACCATTCTTTATTATCTTCAGTATAAAATGGATAAACAAATAAAATAGTTCCAATCATACAATAAAAATAGATAATAAAGAAAGCTATTATTTAAATCCAACTTATGGATGGAGGTTTAATACTATTATTAATTTTTAATAATTATACCTAGTTTTAATATTTAAAAATTCTAATAACCAATTATTGGACATTAAAATTTCATATACTGCATTTTATTAATTTTCTTATGCAGTTTCAGCAGGTGTTTAATTTTTAATATCTCTAATATTCTTATTAGCTCCTTTTTATAATAATTTCTTTGCTATTCTACAATTTCCAGTTACAGCAGCTAAGTGTAAAGGAGTCATTCCCTCTCCATCTTTCAAATTTATATAATAACTATAATTAGGTAGTTTTGATATCCAAGATAATAAAAATTGAATTGAAAAAAGACTATCAAAATATGTTGCCCAATGTAATGGCGTTCCTCCTTACGAATCTTATTCAACTATTGATTATCCTTATAAATATAACCATACCATTGCTTATACTTAATCACCTTAACATGCTACTGATAATGCATTTTATCCTTATTAATTTTTTATATTCAAATCTGCTCCTGCTTTTTACAACATCTCCAAAATCATTATTGATCCAACATATGCTGCAAAATGAATAGATCCAAATTTATCTTAATTTACTCTATTTATCCATTCTTCAAATTCATTTTATGTACAATTTTATTTCACTGTTTCTAATAATCTTTCAACTATCTATGGTAAATTTTTAAAACAAGCAATATGAAGAAGAGTTTATTTTTTATGATCCAATAAATCATTCAATCTTAATTTCTCCTTTCTATTTTTCAAATCATCCAAAATTACTATAAATTCTTCCACTTCTCCCTCTTATGTTGCCTTCATAAGTAAATTTAATGCCTTTAAATTATTAATCAATGGTAACACTCTTTTCAACTCTTCAATTGATTACTATTGATATCTCAATAAATATTACAAATTCAGAAAAAGATTTCTCTGTATTTTCATTTATTTGAGAACTCAGTAAATCCTAATTTATTTAATAAATCGACGAACTTCTAATTACAATCTAACTATTTTTTTAATTATTCTCCTTTCTTATTATTAAAGGACTATTAAAGCTATTTTTTTTATCTAACTCTATTTCCGTATTCATTAAAATTAAATAATTAATTACTAATTTTCTTATTATTCTTAACTTTTTTCCTAATTTCATTCTCTAACAAATTAAATTCTAAAATAAACAACTACAAACTATTAAAATATTAATAAAAATTAAACAATAATTACTTCAACTTAAATTTTTTGTAAATTTATCTCTCTTCAATTCTATTCATTTAATTTTTACATTTACATAATACATATTTTTTAAAATAAATAAAATCTTCTATTCTATAAAATACAATAGTAAATCTTTTGTAAAATTTATTCATCCAATTTATCATGAATAAATATATTGATAATTTATAAATTATCTCAATATTTCAAATATTAATTAATGAATACATATAGCTCTGTTAAGTAAAAAAATGTTATTAAAGCTAAGATCGATTGAGTCTTAAATCTTTGGAAGAAGAATCCAAGAACCAAATGTAGCTGTTATGCATAGCAAACATTAACCTAATCCAAAGCATCATTCTCCAGAATCATTTTTAGATCAATATGTCAATTTGAAATTAGTTGAGCCTTAAAAAATATTATAAAAGTAGAAACCTATTTAAGGATTGTAAGGAAAAGGAACTGTAAATAATGTTCAGTTTTTAAAACCTGCATAAAGTTCTAACTCAGTAAAAAAATAAACTAAGAGAACAATTTCTCCAAAAAAAAAGAAAACATAAACAGTTGATACTGTATAAATGACTAAACCTAAGTCTTAATAATAGAGAAGAGAATAGATGGGATTAGGTGAATTAAATGAAAAGTAAATTAAACAACGAATAAGTAATTTGAAATTTAATTTTAGAAAAAATAAAATCAAAAGAAAAAAATGTAGAGTAACTATCACTGAAGAAAAAGCCATATGAACCTAATATTAGACTATAAAATTACATCACATAAAAGAAAACAATAATTAACAATAATTACATTTAATAGTAATTAATGTTTGAAATGGAAAAATAAAGAAAGTAACGAAATGCAATAAACAAGATTGGAGAATTTAGCCTAGTTAAATTAATCCGTTAAAGATATATTTAAAAAGTGCAAGACATAAGAGAATTGTAATATGCAACCATAAAAAGCATTTATTAAGAAAAAGAAAGTCGATATTTAAAAAGAGAATTCCCAATAAAATTCAAGACAAGTGAGAAATTAAAATAAATCAAAAAAGTTGTAATAAAAATTTGATGATATATCTCAAAGATATTAATAAATTTAAAATGTCAGAAATAATGATTATCAAAATATAGATCAATGTATTTTTGAGATGGATGAGGAAGATGATAAATATTCTGCAGTTAGTGAAAATTAAATGATTTAATAAGCACTTTAAACACTTCAAATAATAAAACCAACTAAATACTTAATAAATTAGGTTAAATAAATAATTGAGAATTAAGATAACATTGATCTAGATTTAATAACAGAGTAAGATTATTAAGTAATTCAGTATCATTTTATGAATCAAGCTGCAACTAAATTATAAAGTTTATGGAGAGGAGTAAATACTCGAAAATAAATTCTAAGTGAATTATAATAAATGATGGATGATGAATATTAGAATAGATCAGATGAAGATCCTTCATAGATATATTAAAAACGTCATTTTTAAAAAGAATTTATTGGAGATATTACTAATTCTGTTCCTAAAGGTAGTTTTGAATTAAATGCGTCCTTCTCAAATAAAATTGACAATTAATCTATTTAAGAATTGAATTTAAATTAAGATGAATATTCTATAAATGAATAATCAAAACAAAACTTATATTTTAAAGAAGAATAAATATTTGATAACAAATTATCAGATTAAATCTCTGAACCTATCATGATTCAATAACCTAATAGTCCAATTGAACAATTTTAATAATTTTCTATATAATTTGGTTAAAGTGATGAAAAAAAGAATTTAGAATTAATCGAAACTTTTGTTTAAAATGAAGATGAAAAAACAAATTCATTATCTTAATCTGTGATATAATAAATATAATAAGAATTAGAATCATGGAATAGTTAAATTGATTCTATATTTTAATAGAGTAATGACAATGATTGTAAAGTTATTTCTAAAGTTAAATAATAAATCTCTTAAACAGTAATCAAAATAGTTAATTCTCATTTGAAAAAATCAAGAGAAGTTAAATATTTAAATGAAAGTTCAAATGAAGAAAAAATTAGAAATTTATATGAAGCCAATAATGAAAAACATTTTAATGATACTATTAAAAGATTAAAATAATCCAAAGAATTAAGTGCTGAACAATTACTTTATTCATCAAGAGAATTTGATTAAAAAAGACATATTTTGACATTAGAATCATAATTAAAATTGAAAGAAACTGAATTATTAAATATGAGAGAAGAAGCAATTAATTTAAGATATTTTAGTGAATTAAAGAAAATTAAGTCAGATATCAATAAAAAATAAGAATTAGATTAATGGCTTGAAAAAGAAAAAGAAGATTTAAGAAGCACAAAATAATTAATTGAAATTAGTAGAATTAGAGAAGCTTAAACAATATAAAAGATTTAAAGAGATCTACAAATAGCATCTATAATTGACGAAAACAATCCAAAGATATAAAACTTCAAAAAGTTTATTGATGAGCAATTTTTAGAAAATAGTTCTATAATTAATGAAACAAAAATTATTCAAAATTAGATTCAATAATAAGAAAATGAGGATAAAGATAAAAATCTTGAAAATCAAGATATTGAAGAGGTTTTAAATTTTAATGAAAATTAAATTTAAACCTATCATCATACAAATTTTATTACAACTTGTATTTTAGATCAATTAATTAATAATTTAAGTTAAGGTAATTATTAATGATTAAAATTTAGAACTTTTTCGTAATTAGACTGAATTTTAAATAGTTATGATAAATTTAACTAAATAATATTCTAATTCTTAGTCTATAACATCAATTTAATATATTAAAGAGTACATTTAAAATCTTTTTGATTTTATTATGGTAAATTATAGTGATGATTTGATAAAAAATCTTACTATTCCATTTGGATTTAGATCATTAAAGAGAATATAATTAATACATGGATATGATGTTGAAAATGAAAATTAGGATTAATAAATTAGTGAAATAGCTTTTCCAATTGATTAAGTTATTTTTGCTAAATTTGAATAATATAGAGTAGAATTGAATAATAAAGAAAATTACTAATAAATAAATCAAGGTTATTAATTTGAAAATATCCATAATAAAGCTATATTTGATGCTTGCAATGAAGCTTTAAATTACTAAAGACCATATTATTTAAGTAAATAATTTATTATCTATTTTTTTAGATTAAGGATAACCTTACCCTTGGGAGAAATTAGAAAATTAAGTAATTATAAAAAAAGATTTTTTACCTAAAATTTTTAGTAATACAGAAAATAAAATAATAAAATGGTCAAAAACCTTAGGAGGATTTCTACCAATCGATAATTTAAATCAAATATCAATAGAAAAATAAGAAATATTAGAGGAAAAGAATTCATAGCTAATGATAAATTACTTGAATCGTGAAAAGAAAATAGTTTTAGATATATAATAGTAAGAATAGATTCAAGAAAATATTATTAGTATAAGAGATGAAAGAATTTACAAACTTTTAATTTAAGATGTAAATTATAATATAGATTAAATAGATAAAAGAAAGTGAATTTAAATGGTATCTTATTGAAGATGATAGAACAGAGTTACTAATGGAATTAAGTGATTCAATTTTCGAATTTTTAGTAGAGGAAATAGTCTCAGAATAACTCGAATAATGAATATATTTTATTATAAATAATTAAAATAATTGTAATAAGAAATGATTAGTGATACTGTATTGCTTGTGGCAATAATAGGTGCAGCAGCTATTTTAGTATTGATTGGTATATTCTGTATATGGAGAAAACTAAAGATTAGAACAATTAATAATTTGAATAATAAGCCAATGCCTAAAGCATACGTAGAAATTCCAGACAAAACTGATAGGTAAGCTAGGCCTCCAACAAATCCATAATAATGTTCTCCAAAAGGGGATGAAGATAGTATTGCAATAAAACGAAAAGTCAAGAATTTTTCATCTGCTGTGGTAAACAAGAAGAAAAATCTCACAATAAAAATTCCAACTAAAGAAGAAAGTTGAATGAGCTCTATTTTATATATATAATAATTTTTTTGGTTTTAGGAATTTGTTATTTTTTTAATTATCATCAAAATAATAAAATTAATCTAATATGATCTTGCTACTATTAATTGATTTAGTTTACTGTGTTCAATTTGGTTATGAAGTTGAAAGAGGATAATAAATTTGTTTTGAAGATTACTTTTCTTAAGATGATGTATTTGATTTAAGAGTAAGATCAAATTCTTCAAATTATGCAATTAAATTAGAAGAATCAGAGTCAAAAAAATATGTAATAATATATGAAAAAAGTGGATCTTGGGAACATAATTACTAGCACTAATCAAATCACAAAGCTTCTCATATGAGATATTGTTTTACAAATTTGGAAAATGAAATTCTGTTATTTAATATCACATACAAAACAGGATCTGAATTAGCAGATATGTAAAAAGTAGCAAAAATATCAGATTTAAATTAAATGGATAGTCATATGAAGAAATTAAATGGTTTGCTAGATGATATTAAAAGAGAGAGATCATTCTTAATAGCGAAATATGATTTTATGTCTAATTTGCAAGGATCAATATCAAAGAAACAAATAGTTTTTGGTCTAATATGTTTAGCTTTGTCTTTGATTATTACAGGAATAACTGTGAATTTAATTAAGAGAATTTTATAACAAAAAAAATCTTAATGAATGTAGATTAATATAATTTATATATTAAATTAATGTATGCATATATATATTAATTATTTAAAATAATAAAGAATCATTCTATTTCTGACTATTATTGATCTTGCCCCTCCTAATTTTCATCTTAATCACCTTATTCATCTTATTAATTATATTAATTATCTTAGTCATCACTTTCATTTATTTAGATTTCGATTTCTGTTTTACATAAAGGACATTGCTTATTATTCTACAGCCAGTTTTTTATACAATTAGAATGATAAATGTGTTTACAAGGCAACTCTCTAACCTTCTCTTCTTCTTTAAATTCGAATAAACATACTGAACATCTATATATAATCATATAATTCTTACTTATCTTCAGGTATATTATCTTAATTTAAGATTCTTTTTGGTAATTACTTAATTTATTATTTGGTTAATCCTTTTGGTACATTACTAATTTAATCAGTAATTCTACCCAATTTATTCTTCCAATTCTAAAAGTTATTCATAAGTCATAGCATCTGGATCTATTTCTTAATCTTAGTATTCATGAAAGTTTTCCATTTATTACTAGTCTCCTTAGTATAAGTATTGCATTAATTAATACAATTGCTATCTTGTTAGAGGAATATGATTTTGTTATTATTATTATTCACCCTTAACTATTATAAATGCTTACCTCTTAATTCATATCTTAATTAGAATGATTTTGATATTTCTCTTACATTTCATCCAATTCTTATTAGAGTTAATCAATCTGTTCTTTTAATTATTTCTTTTTTGACTTCTGTTTTTTTATTTTCTCTTCCAATTGATGTATTTACAATTCATAAGCTTAATTAGTTTCCTGTAATTTATTTATCTACTCCATATTTAATTCATTTATCTTTTTGCAATTATTTAAATACTTTATATTATTATTGAAGTCTAGTGCTAAGAATTTTATTCTTCTTAATTAATTACATATTTAATTAATTCAATTGATGATCATTATTTAATTTCAATTAGAATATATTATCCTATAAAGTACTTTATAACCTATTACTTATTATTTTATATCAAATTAGTTTTGCTTTTGTATTCTCCTCTCAAATTGATTATGTATACTTCTAATTAAATAGTTATTTATCATTACAGTTCTTATTCTTCTTATTGTTTTATTTTTAAATGTTAAGGTTAATCACTTAATAAGCTTTAATTACGATTGTTTGCTTATTTTAATTATCAACACTTTACCTGCTATCTAAACCTAGTTTCCTTTTAATAAAGGAGAACCTTTTGTTATTTATGGTCTTCTAACTTAAAACTATTTCACTTATTGCAAATTCAGGATACTAGGATTTTACATTTAATTAATTAATAAAAAAAAACAAAATAAGCATATTTTATAATTCTAATAACGCCATTTTGTTTATTCAAATAACAAAGAAAACTTTTAATATATTCTATTTATGTGGTTATTAAAATATAATCAATAAAATATTCAATTTATTCAATATCAATAAATAATTTTTGTATCAATTACTCTATAAATAATAGACTCTGCAGATTCTAAGACCTCAATAACAAAATCATGTGCCTAATCATCTTCAAAAATCAATTTTTCCATTAACTAAAGTAATTTATAAAATATAAAAATTACTTTCTCATATTCATTTTACATATATTCAATATTATCCCAAACTAAAGTAAATGGAAAGAATGAAGAATTATCAAAAATTAAAAGTTAAATTATATTATTTGTACCTTCGAGTGAAGCATCTCTTAAATTGATTTATATTTGTAACGTTTTTTAAAGTCCAGAAACTTATAAATTATTTTCTTTAACCTCTTTATAAGAAAAAGATTTAAATTTATTGTAAAATATGAAAGCTTCTTCTATCTAAGTAGGTTATATGCTTTAAATTTATCCTTAAACTACTACGATGTTCTCTTGAACTTATTTTTTTATTAAATTTATCAAAGGAACATATTATAAATTTTCGTATTTTTTCTTAATTTATGTAACTAAATAATATTTTAATTGATATTTACTTGATCCTATTGTTATTTATTGATAATTTTCCTTTTAAAAATCTACTTTTGGAAAATTTTAAATAATATCAGAAAAATTTTAAACATCTTAACAAAAATTAGGTAACATCATTATATTAGATTTATCAGTAATTAATATTTCATTTTAATTGGAACTAATATTAATGAAGAAGGAAATTACATTTATATATTTCTTATCTTAATGACTGCACCTTATTGAATTTCTAAATCAACTAATCCTTAACATAATAATGTATATTGATTATTTTTGGAATCGTTTAATATAACAATATTATCTTCTTTTAATTCATAAATTTAAAATAATCCATCAAATATTGGATTAGTAGTTCCGTACCAATATAAGTTAAGCACTACATAGAATATTATTATTCTTACAGCTATTAGAGGATAAATATTCTTAACTATATTTAGATAGTTTTAATAAATATTCTAATTCTTCATTTGAAAGTTCTTGACTATCATTAGGATTGAATTTTAATTGCTAAGTATTGGCATCAAATAATAAAAAATATGATGTTTTAAAACTATTTCTTCTACCTTGAGGTTCTCCATTAAATAATTAATACTGATATCTTTTGAGAAAGACAATATCTCCTATAGTATCTAGAGGAGCAGCATCAGAAAGAGATTTGAAAAAGTAAAATAATGTTAGGTATCCATTATATGAATCATCCATAACTTTAATCATTTACATGTAATCCCCTTAACCTTGAAGTCTTTTTGGTTTAGAAGCATCTACAATGAAAGCAAATAATTTTTTTTTTCTTAGTTACTTTTCTGCTTCATCAGTTTAGAGTGCTTCAAGGATGTTTTAAATGGTAACAATTTCTTTTAAACTCATTTAATTTTAAATTATAAAATAAAGCGCATTTTAATAGAGTATTAATTTCATGCATCACATAATGCAATGTCATTTATTGCAAATTTCCCAGAAGTCTCTTTAGAAACTCTAAGCAGTTTTTGAATTTTCTTTATAAATATACATAAGATACCTTTCTACATAAGTAACAATTAGGTGATTTCTTTAGACATTTTTAAAGACAATCATCACAGATACCACCATGTTAACAAGGGAGCATTACAATTTAAGGTTCATTATCAAAACAAACTTAACATTTTTCTTCATTTTTTACAAGTCCTGATTCTCTCTCTACTGGTGAATTAATTTATTCAGTTTTGGCCATAAATTCAAAAGCTTTGAGTCTAGCTTTTTGATTTACAACACTGAAATTACTATTTGAAACATGTTATTATTATTTAAATTGTTTATTTTACTCTAAAGAGAAATCAAAGTAAGTTGAAGATATTTATATTAATTTTTATGGTAAGGATATTTTAAGAAAATGATAAGGTAATTTTTCCTCTTGGACAACTGGCTCTTAAGGAATTTCAATATCAAATCCCATATCTTTAATAAATTACCTAAATTTAGAATGATAATAGTTTTTTACGTAAGTTAAGCTTTACATACTGCAGTAATCACTAGAAGAGAAAGATTATAAGAAATAATCAATATGCATAATAGAGTTGCTTAATCAGATGTTGGAAAATTCTTTGCCTCTTGGTTTTAACATAATATATAACAAAACCACATAGGAATTCCGCTAAATCCACATAAATAAAAAGTTAACCAAATGCCACCTACTAATTATGTTTTAGTTGTTTTCTTTTTATAATAATCTATTAATGTTTCACCTATTGAAAGTAAAAATACAAAATGAACAATAAAACATATAACTAATAAACCCCATGCAACACTAAATGTTGTATACCAACTCCAATAAATTGTACATTTCCATCTCATGGTTATTAACATCAATTAAAGTACTAATAAGATTTTTACACCTTAAACAAGCTAAGATATAATGAATATCATTATACAAAAGAGTATTATGTTATATTTTCATTGATTGCAATTTTCCTAATATTGATTACCACAGATCTTATGAAATAATAGGCCATAATAACATAACTAAAATATTGGATATCTAGTTCAGAGTATGTAAAGTTTATCAGAATTGTGGTTTTAAAAATAGCTGCCAAAAATGTATCAATCAAAAGATTACCTACTGTAATTTTATACCTATTATATTTATTAAATAATAACTTGATTTTCAAAATTGACAGTGTTAAAATCACTATTATGTCAATAATCCAATAGAATACTATCAGTACAATTAGCTCATAATCTAGCATCAAATAAGTTGTGTAAATTAATATATATGCATTTGTAAATATTAAAAGTATTATAAGTTATGATAATCTAGTGGCTGGGTCAATTATTATTGTTGCCAATTCATTCTAATTTTATATATTAGGTTATGGTCTAAATAGTTTATTAAATAAAATATTATAAACCTCGTTTAATTGCTGAAAATAAAATTATTCATTAATTATTTTAATCATCTCAAGTTATTATATATATAGATCTTAATAAGTATATAAAATATCATTCAGTTAAAAATAATATATTAAATAATTTATATTAGTTAACTATCATTAAATGATAGAGATATCAATTTCATAAATCAGTTTAAAATAAGCTTTAGGCAATTGTTAAATCAACATTGGAGTGAAATGCGGTACATTTCTTATATATAATCAGGTGAAAAAAAAGAAATATTGTATTAATAGTTTTCATCGACTTAAAAAATAATCAAATATTCCTAGCCTCATCAATATGTATTTGATATACAAAATACTAAATTTGTAAAATTTAAGTTTTATTCATTATTAGTTATAATTTTATATCGAAACTCCAGATGAATAGGGCTATATTAAACTTTTAGGAAGTTCAAAATTACTTATTAATGATGTTTAAGGAAGAGAAGTTTCTCATAAAATTGAACTTGAACACGGAAATATTATGAATATAGTTTTACGATGTATTACAGAAGTACGTAATTCTACTAAACAAATACCTGTATTGAACAATCGGACTGATAATTATCATATGATGGCTGCAAACAAATCAGAACCAATAATTCCAATTAATAACAAAAAACGTTATGGAAGTCCTTAACCTAATAAAAATCAACCTTCTCGTTCCCCTTAACATAAGAAATTACCACCATAACCATAACCTTAACCTGTAATGATGTAACAATAACAACAATTTTTATAATAACAACCTTAATAATAGTTATTGTAACCTACTAGCAGCAATCTTAGTAAAAGTAGTGCTTCAAGCATAAAACAATAAAAAATATTAGAAGACTATAAATAAGTTATGCAAAACAGTGTTTTAGATGAAAGTGAAGAATTTTAAAGTAGTCCAGATCATAGAATGGATCCACCTTAACCAATTATGGAATTCAAAAATAATAATAGCATTACTCCTAGACAAAGCTCTAGATAAATTGATGAAATATAATTAGCATAATACAAATAAATGGTTAAGGAATTATCTTTACTTCTTGATGTCTAATAAGACTGTGATTCAATTGTTTATGCTGTTTAATAATTACTTTAAAAATTTAGAGGTTAAAATGAATAGATAATGAAGATTTAATGCGATAATTAAATTCTTTTCAGTCAATATAGTAGTTTACAATAATAGAAAACACTTATTGAATCCAAATCAGATGAATTTAGAAATTAAATTAAATCTAAATTAAAAACATACAAACATTTATTTGATGAAAATGTTTAACTTAAAAATTAACTCAAAGAAGACCTATAAAAAATAGTTGATCTTAACATTTAGATCCGAGAATTAAAAGGAGATCAATAAGAAAAATAGCTTATAGATTCAGAAATTCAAAATTTAAAGTAGTAAATAGATAAAGTTGCTTTAAATGTTGATCAAAAATAATATGATTATGCCAGATTAACTGAGGAAATTAACTTAATTCAATATAATGTTTGATTTATAATATTCATAACATAACTTATAAAATAGAGTTTTGATTTTTTCATTATTTCTAATTTAATTACAATTTTATGTTAATTTTTCTGTTATAAAATGGTCTCAAAATCCTTCTTAAAAGAATATTTCAAACACTCTATAAGATTTAATTTAGCTAATCATATTTATATTATGAGATTTAATTTGAACATAAAGATAAACGCACAATCATTTGAATTGGGGTCTTATTTTTCTGGGATTTTAAAATATTTTCTTTCTAAAATCGTGCTTTTCTTTTATAATGTCACTGTGAGTGAGATATGGTATTTTTACATAAGGTAATTATCCAATACTTGGTTTTAATTTAGTTTCTTCAATAACTGACTTTAAATATTCACTCATTTTAGATTATTTATGCAATTTTGCAGAAGATTTGTAATTATACATCCATTCTATATTAGTAGGCTAAGCCAAAAGTCGTTTATTATTTAATATTTATGACATTTTTATATCAGAACTTGTTTTTATTCTGAATTCTTAAGGTTTATCTATTATTAAATCATCTAATCTTAATTTAGTATAATTCGAATCGTTAGCCTATTTCTTGTTTGTTTATTCATCTGAATGTTCAGATTATAAAACACTTGTTTTATAGGGCATAGATAGAGTGTGAAACTTTGTTCGCATAATTATTATTATTAGGTATATTAATTATATATAATACTCAATTAAGATCTAAATATTTATTGATGTATGAATCACTATAATTACTGTCTTCTTAATCATATTCTTCCATTATATTACGGATAAGAGGCTTATTTTAAAATATCTTTAATCCTGATCCATGATGTTCTAACTATTGTTAATACTTTATATAACTATCTTGAGTATCAGATAACATTTCAGCACTTTATTCTTACTATTGTTTGTATTCAGCTTTTATATTATTATTTTATACCAAATTTTAGGGTCAGTTGATCATGCTAAATTTATTTTAACTCATTATGCAATTTTGGATTTACTTAATGTATCTCATGCATTAAATTCAATCTCTTAATTTTGTGAATATTCTAATAAATTTTTTATTCCTAATCAAAACGGAGTTTGTGTATTGATTTTACTATTGGAATTTTTTGAGTCATTGACTCCAAACTATGTCGAAATGATTTTTTATGGCTGTAGTTCAAGTGTTGCAAAGGTGGGCAATTTTCTTTTATTTCAAGCAAACACTGCGAAAATACTCCTCCTGGGATCATTAATTTTAATTAATATTCGTTAAAAATACTTTAATTAATACACATCAATGTTTTCTTTTTTTCTAATAGATTTCTATTGTTCCGAATTCATTATCGAAGTTAGATATAAACTTTAAAATAAATTCATTAAACTCAGAATATATTATTTCAACAAATTTTCCTTGAAACTCCAATTTATTATTGAACATTAAATTAATTTAACATACACTTATTATATTATTATTATATTACAATTTGTTATTTCTTGTTTATTATTCTAATTCTATTTTTCTAATTAAATGTTATCCCTTGATATATTCGAAAAACAATTAAATTAACTCAGCTTAGATTTTAAAATAATTGAAATAAATATTATAAATATTTTAGATGAAACCCTTATTATATAAAATATTCTATATTTACTTCTTATTTTTTATTTTAAATTAAGTGGATCTTCTCAATATTTAAGCTATTGTAAATATGTTTTCAATACTATGAGTATGATGAATAATTATTTATATTAAAATTCATAACTCTAATAATTTTTAATATAATATTTCTAAATGTAAAATAATCATTACAATTAAACATTGAACAAAGTTTCAACCAAATTTTCTAATTTCTCTTGCAAATTCTTAACTTCATTATCTTTATAAAATTTTTCTAAATATATTACTAATATTTTACTCATGAAATATATTTTATCCTCTTCCTCATAGCCATACTTTTCGAAGATTATGTCATCAATCAAAGTATTTAGTAGTACTGGAACAGCTTCTTAAACATCTTCCATTTCCTAAATATATTAGTTTAAAAATTACATTAAACAATTATAAAATTTCACCAAAATATTCATGTTTTGTATAATTTTCTATAACATTTATCTGGTATTTCATCAACTCAAGTCCTTATTGTTTTCTTAACGAAACCTTGATCTAAGGAATATCTTTCATATTTTATTAAACAAAAGTTAATTATTCTACGAATTCTTTTCCATACTCCTCATGTTGTGAATAAAATACAAAAGAGCTTTAAAATGATTCCTCATTTATATTTAAACTCTATGCAATAAAATTAAATCCATCCTGTATTATCCTAAATTACTCCTCAGCCATCTATAAAACAATTGATATGTAATCATTAAACTTTTTTTAGCTTAATAAATTTCTTCTATTTTTTCTCACATTTTCTAAATAATTTACATACTCATCAGCAATTATTTCTTTGCATCCATCTAAAATTAGATGCATAGTCTCTAATTCTAAAATATTTTCATTTCCAGGATCTGTTCTATATAAAACTGGTATATTTTTATGAATTAAGTTTTTTCTACTATTAAAGGTTAAATCTAAATATCCAGGTAAGACTTTCTACTTTTAATCAATTTCAGCTAAAAATGAAGAATCATCTTTAACTTCTTAGGAAAATTCATTTTAGAGAGCATTTGAGATAGAATTTTTTGGTTATACTTTATCAATAGGACTTGGAGCGTCAACTTTAAAACTAAAATTTTAAATTGAAACAGGATCGTGAAGTAAAGATGTTTATTATGGGGCTGGAATGAATTCAGTACTATCGTTTTAGACTTAAATAATTTCTTCTTTTTAAATAATTTCTACATCATTATCAATATCTTATTATAATAATTATTAAGTGTTTTAATTTTCTTAATTTTCAACTGGTTTAACATTATTAACATTGACTTCTTCCTCATTTTCTAATTATGGTTAATAAGAATCTTAAATAACGATTTGTTCTTCTTATAATTATTATTATAAATCTTCTTAATTTTCAACTGGTTTAACATTATTAACAATGACTTCTTCCTCGTTTTCTAANTACTATGAGTATGATGAATAATTATTTATATTAAAATTCATAACTCTAATAATTTTTAATATAATATTTCTAAATGTAAAATAATCATTACAATTAAACATTGAACAAAGTTTCAACCAAATTTTCTAATTTCTCTTGCAAATTCTTAACTTCATTATCTTTATAAAATTTTTCTAAATATATTACTAATATTTTACTCATGAAATATATTTTATCCTCTTCCTCATAGCCATACTTTTCGAAGATTATGTCATCAATCAAAGTATTTAGTAGTACTGGAACAGCTTCTTAAACATCTTCCATTTCCTAAATATATTAGTTTAAAAATTACATTAAACAATTATAAAATTTCACCAAAATATTCATGTTTTGTATAATTTTCTATAACATTTATCTGGTATTTCATCAACTCAAGTCCTTATTGTTTTCTTAACGAAACCTTGATCTAAGGAATATCTTTCATATTTTATTAAACAAAAGTTAATTATTCTACGAATTCTTTTCCATACTCCTCATGTTGTGAATAAAATACAAAAGAGCTTTAAAATGATTCCTCATTTATATTTAAACTCTATGCAATAAAATTAAATCCATCCTGTATTATCCTAAATTACTCCTCAGCCATCTATAAAACAATTGATATGTAATCATTAAACTTTTTTTAGCTTAATAAATTTCTTCTATTTTTTCTCACATTTTCTAAATAATTTACATACTCATCAGCAATTATTTCTTTGCATCCATCTAAAATTAGATGCATAGTCTCTAATTCTAAAATATTTTCATTTCCAGGATCTGTTCTATATAAAACTGGTATATTTTTATGAATTAAGTTTTTTCTACTATTAAAGGTTAAATCTAAATATCCAGGTAAGACTTTCTACTTTTAATCAATTTCAGCTAAAAATGAAGAATCATCTTTAACTTCTTAGGAAAATTCATTTTAGAGAGCATTTGAGATAGAATTTTTTGGTTATACTTTATCAATAGGACTTGGAGCGTCAACTTTAAAACTAAAATTTTAAATTGAAACAGGATCGTGAAGTAAAGATGTTTATTATGGGGCTGGAATGAATTCAGTACTATCGTTTTAGACTTAAATAATTTCTTCTTTTTAAATAATTTCTACATCATTATCAATATCTTATTATAATAATTATTAAGTGTTTTAATTTTCTTAATTTTCAACTGGTTTAACATTATTAACATTGACTTCTTCCTCATTTTCTAATTATGGTTAATAAGAATCTTAAATAACGATTTGTTCTTCTTATAATTATTATTATAAATCTTCTTAATTTTCAACTGGTTTAACATTATTAACAATGACTTCTTCCTCGTTTTCTAATTATGCTTAATAAGAATCTTAAATAACGATTTGTTCTTCTTATAATTATTATTATTAATCTTCTTAATTTTCAACTGGTTTAACATTATTAACATTGACTTCTTCCTCATTTTCTAATTATGGTTAATAAGAATCTTAAATAACGATTTGTTCTTCTTATAATTATTATTATTAATCTTCTTAATTTTCAACTGGTTTAACATTATTAACATTGACTTCTTCCTCATTTTCTAATTATGGTTAATAAGAATCTTAAATAACGATTTGTTCTTCTTATAATTATTATTATTAATCTTCTTAATTTTCAACTGGTTTAACATTATTAACATTGACTTCTTCCTCATTTTCTAATTATGGTTAATAAGAATCTTAAATAACGATTTGTTCTTCTTATAATTATTATTATTAATCTTCTTAATTTTCAACTGGTTTAACATTATTAACATTGACTTCTTCCTCATTTTCTAATTATGGTTAATAAGAATCTTAAATAACGATTTGTTCTTCTTATAATTATTATTATTAATCTTCTTAATTTTCAACTGGTTTAACATTATTAACATTGACTTCTTCCTCATTTTCTAATTATGGTTAATAAGAATCTTAAATAACGATTTGTTCTTCTTATAATTATTATTATTAATCTTCTTAATTTTCAACTGGTTTAACATTATTAACATTGACTTCTTCCTCATTTTCTAATTATGGTTAATAAGAATCTTAAATAACGATTTGTTCTTCTTATAATTATTATTATTAATCTTCTTAATTTTCAACTGGTTTAACATTATTAACATTGACTTCTTCCTCATTTTCTAATTATGGTTAATAAGAATCTTAAATAACTATTTGTTCTTCTTATAATTATTATTATTAATCTTCTTAATTTTCAACTGGTTTAACATTATTAACATTGACTTCTTCCTCATTTTCTAATTATGGTTAATAAGAATCTTAAATAACTATTTGTTCTTCTTATAATTATTATTATTAATCTTCTTAATTTTCAACTGGTTTAACATTATTAACATTGACTTCTTCCTCATTTTCTAATTATGGTTAATAAGAATCTTAAATAACTATTTGTTCTTCTTATAATTATTATTATTAATCTTCTTAATTTTCAACTGGTTTAACATTATTAACATTGACTTCTTCCTCATTTTCTAATTATGGTTAATAAGAATCTTAAATAACTATTTGTTCTTCTTATAATTATTATTATTAATCTTCTTAATTTTCAACTGGTTTAACATTATTAACATTGACTTCTTCCTCATTTTCTAATTATGGTTAATAAGAATCTTAAATAACTATTTGTTCTTCTTATAATTATTATTATTAATCTTCTTAATTTTCAACTGGTTTAACATTATTAACATTGACTTCTTCCTCATTTTCTAATTATGGTTAATAAGAATCTTAAATAACTATTTGTTCTTCTTATAATTATTATTATTAATCTTCTTAATTTTCAACTGGTTTAACATTATTAACATTGACTTCTTCCTCATTTTCTAATTATGGTTAATAAGAATCTTAAATAACTATTTGTTCTTCTTATAATTATTATTATTAATCTTCTTAATTTTCAACTGGTTTAACATTATTAACATTGACTTCTTCCTCATTTTCTAATTATGGTTAATAAGAATCTTAAATAACTATTTGTTCTTCTTATAATTATTATTATTAATCTTCTTAATTTTCAACTGGTTTAACATTATTAACATTGACTTCTTCCTCATTTTCTAATTATGGTTAATAAGAATCTTAAATAACGATTTGTTCTTCTTATAATTATTATTATTAATCTTCTTAAATTTCAACTGGTTTAACATCATTAACATTGACTTCTTCCTCGTTTTCTAATTATGCTTAATAAGAATCTTAAATTACTATTTGCTCTACTTTTTATTATTATTTTTAATCTTCTTAATTTACAATTAGTTTTTCCTCATTAATATTTTTTATTTATTTTTCTTTCTAAAACTATTCTTTAGATGCTATTTATTATTCTTATAATTATTATTATATAGATTAATTATTATTTTCATCTTTTAAGATATTCATTATAGTTACTTAATCATCTTATTCGTTATTCTGTACATTCTGATCAATGTTACCACTTTAAAGCTCTATCTATTCTTCTAGATTAGCACTTTAAAAATTAAATTATGGCTCATAAATAATATCCTATAATATATTTGTTTCCTATTCATTATTCATTTATAAACTTATTTCTTATTTTTTTTTGTCATCTTAATTTTGAATTTTATTCTCATTTAGTTCATTATCTATTTTCGTGTTCATTTATTCTTTATTTTTTTGTACATATAGTTCATTAGATGAGGATTATATTGTTTGTTTTTAAACACTTTATTAATTTTGTTGTTGGGGTTATTTGATTTCATATAAATCTCTTTGTTAGCGATATTATTATTTTTAGGTTCTTTTTTACTTTTAATTCAATTTTTAATTTTATTCAAAGGCATCTTCATTTTGAGGGGTATTGCAAACTTTTTCCTTTTAGACAACTTCTGGTTACTACATTTTAGGTTCATAAAGAGGTTTTTCCTAAAATCTTACTTAAAGTTTTTTTGAATTTGAGCTTTCAATTTTCTAATCTTGAATTTCTGATTTGTTTTATATTGTTGTTTCTTTTATTACATTTTTTTACTTATCCAAAGTTTTTTGTTCTAATTTTTGTGAACTTTAGTTATCATTAATATTTACTGACTTTTCCTTGTTTTGTTTTTCATTTAAATTTATAATTGTTTATTAGAGCTCTTATTAATTATTTTATTTTTCTTAAAATTCATAATCTTTAACTTAATAAATTTCCTTTTATTTTTAGTCAGATTATTTTTTTTCTAATATTGGTCTTCTGTATCTCTTAACTCTTCCAAAAAGATCTTTCCCAATTGTGTTAACAGTTAGAATAACTTAAGTTGAGAAGAAAGATTTAGAAGGGTCTTTATTTGTTTCAAAGGTTATAGGGGGATCAGTAAATAATTTCTACTCCTTATTTTCTTATGGGATTGGTTTAGAGAAATTAATTTTTGATTTAAATGTTGTTTTTTTAATTTCTGATTATTTAACATTTTAGAAGGCAAGAGGTTCTGATTTTTCCACAAAAACTTCATTTGAGCCAGCTACTCTAGTTTTTGGCATTTTAGCTTAGACTAATTAATCTATCTCTTCCCTTTTCAAAAACTTTGGCTAAACTTCAGGCATTTTATATTCTATTTTTGGAGGAGCAGCAACATATTAAGTTTTAAACAATTAATCAGCATTTTTAACTTCATATTAAGTTAGTTTTGAGATTACCTTTGCTCTATGAATCTCTTCTATTTATTGTATTCTTATAGAATAAGCTTCTTCTATTTTTTTAGCTTCTTCTTTTAATTATTAATATTCTTCCTTTGTAAATAAACCCTTTTTTCTTTATTATTTATTTTCTTGTGCTTCTTATTAATTTGAATCATCTTCTTTTTATCTAAATATTAAACTCAATTATTACATAATTTTAACTTATTTTGGTTCCACAGATATCCATCCTTCTTCTTCTTCATTTTATTCTTCCTCAATCTTTTTTTTTTATTTTTTTTGTAATTTACTTTAAAGCTTACTATTTTCATTAGAAGTTTAGGTTGTTTCTTGATTAGTCATTTTTTGATTTTATTAATTTTAAACTTAATTTTGAATCTTTTGTTAAACTTAGACTATTGGTTAAGTTTAAGATTATTTTGCTTGTTAATCCTTTAAGGTAGAACTTTATATTGGTTGTGATGATTTTTATGGTACATTGTGTTAAGATGGCTATTATTGCTATTTTTAAGGTTGAACTATTGGTTATTCTTTTACAGCTTATTGTTTAATTTCATCTTATTTTAAATCTATGTTCATCATTATAATTACCTGATGTTTATTTTTTTTCTCCTGCTTTTTCTGGTTATGCTTTTTATTACTACTATGTAACGGGCTTTTTCTTACTTCCAACTTCAACCCATTCTTCATCATTCTCATCTTCTTCAATTTCTACTCTAAATTTTTACTTTTCTTATTTTTATTTCTTTCTTTTGTCTTAGTTAGTTTGAATTTCAGGGTTCTATAATAATAAGTAAAATATACTGTCTTTTCTTTTGAAGGCTTTTCCTTTTATTGTTATTAACTTTAAGTTATCAAATCTTCTTTTTATGATACCTATTTTTATTTTTCTACTTCTATTTTTTTTTGCTTTGATTATTTAGCACTTTATTCAGATTACAACAATTTTTGCTTTTCTAACTCTGCTTATTTTTATAATTCAATTTGCTTAAATTCTTCCTCTTAAGAATCTTCTTCTGATGATTAATGAGAATCTGATTCAACTTATTGTTGTTATTCAGATTATCTCAATTGTTGCTTTTATTGGTGCTGTTATTTTATCGATTAATCATTTTTGTATTATGACTTCTTTTTTTGTTATTACTTTTAGTTAAGCTTCTTTGGCTATTATAGTTAGATGTTAACTTCGTCTTGAATAAATTTTTGATACTATTGTTAGTATTAAACATTATACCATCGATAATAATATTGCTTTAGAGCTGTACATAAATACTCTAAAACAATAAATTTAAATTTTTACCCTAATCCTGAAAAAATGGCCGCAAAACCTAGGAATTTCATATATGCATCCGACTTTTTTCTAGTGATGAGGATAATTATTCCTATTAGTCTAAAAAAAATTAAATAAGAGCATACATGGCAAATGAAGGCAAAAGGATTTATATTCTTTTCATATTTAAATTAAATATTAATTTTTTGATAAAATTCTTTACAGATTTAAATAAATGAAATACTTTAATCAAATAAGAAAAATCTAGAATAAATCCCTCCATCAAAGCATAAAAATTTAAAAAGCACGAAAATCAACTCGAATTAGATTAATGTTTTTTTAATTTTAGACATAGAGTCGATAAATTTATAGAATAATACTTAAATCGAATCTTTAACAATTGCTAAAAATTCTATACTAAAATTTTCATGTTTTTATGCATATATGAATCTTATTATGTCTAAAATTATTAATAAATGATAAGATTTGTATTTTTTTAATGAAATATAAGTTTTTCTTATAAAATACAATATTTTAATGGTTTTTTTTTTTAAATTACTCTCCCCAACTTCTTAACAATTATTTTCTTTAAATCTATTGAAATTTTAGATGAAAACAATTAATGTTAAAATTTAATTTATTTCAGTTTTTCTCATTTTTTCAATGTTTCAAAAGCATAATATGTCTGAATTTTAATAAAAGCCATATCCTAATTAATTGAATTACCTTTATTATAAAATCTAATTTTAGAAACAATTTGATCGTCAAATTTTGAAGTTACTACTGATCTACCCTAGCCATCAAATATCATTGTCTCACTATTTTCGTCTTCGTTGAAAATAACTACTTATAACGTCTGGATTCTCTTATCTAAATCCCATATCCAAAATCTTATTCTATTAATTTCATATGATTATAGAAATTATATAAGAAGACTTTAACCTATGGATTTTACTCTTAAGTGCCTAATATTGTTGATTAAAGCCCATTTATAATAAAATGAACTTCTTAAAGGACTTGCTTCTAGGTTACCTCCTACAAAGGTATGTATTCGAGCAGATTCGATATAAGCCCCACTTTATTCTATAATTACATCCTTTTCTATTCAAAAGAGATTTGAAATTTTACAAGGAAGATAATCAATATTTTATGAACTAGTAAAAATGAGCAATATTAAAAATAAATATATGTAAGAATTACGTAAAAATAAATTTTTGTTTAGATAGATAATAGATAAGTACAAAAGAATAAAAAATTTTAACAAAAAAAAAATTATAATTTTTTCTATAAGTTGATAATGCATTTATTGGATATCTTATGAGGAATCTAATATTTTTTTAAATAAAAATTCTTATTTAATACTTATTATTTGTAATTGTGCTCAAATTTATTAATTTAATTAATATAATGCATCAATAATTGCCGCCAGAATAATTAGATCGACTTATTTGTTTAGAAGCTAGAATACACAAAAAATCGAAGGAGGAAATCATTTAGGAACATAATTTATAGATGGAAAGTGAGAAATAAACAGATGAAAATGATCGTAATAAGCAGAATATGGATTCTAATAAAAAGTCTGATGATCTAAAATGTTCTTAGAATAGTGAAAACTCCCCTTAGAAATTATTTACATCATAAAATTTGAGTCCTGTGTAAAAGAAAAGCATAATTGTTAAGAAGCATTCGTAGTCAAAAAAAAAGAAAAAGACTAAAGAGGGACAATAAAAAGATGTATAATGATTGAAAAAATTCATAGATTACATAATATTTGTAGTATTAAAAAAAGCAATAAAAAGCAAAGAAGTGTGAATAAAAATTAATAGAGTATTCAATCTAAGATTCTCCATTTAAAAATAAAAGTCCATTACATAATGATTTAGGATTGGAAAAATAACTGAAAGAAAAATAAAATTAGATAGCAATATCTGAAATAAAAATAAAAGAATTAGAAACTCATAATTCTGAACTTCGTGAAACAATATCAGTAAGTATATGAAAAATATATTTTTAGTCATTAACTGAGTAATAATTAAAGATGTAGGATGTAGTTAAATAATTTACGATAGAGAATGAGAAACTTAAAAAATAATAATTATAAATTTAATTATAAACAAATAGAGTTAGATTAGGGGAATATGTAGTATAAAGAGAGAAAACAGCTTTAGTAGACGTTTGGATTGATGGAGAGGATTTAAGATAAGCAAAAGAGTAAACAAAAAAGTTGGAGAATTTAAAGACAGAATATGAAAATAAAAAGAAAAACTCAAAAAATAAAGAGGAATAAGAGATGAGAACTATAAATGTGAAACTAAACTTTTTAATAAAAGAAGAATAACAATTATAAGAAACAGTTGATAGATTAGAAACAGAAAAAAATTTACATATAAAACAATTAAAGCGAGTTTATGAAGAAGAACATGCAAGATTTACAAAAAATAATGATTATCCATTAATAGGTGAAAGATATCAAGTATTAAGCTTATTAGGGAAAGGTGGATTTAGTGAAGTTTATAAAGTAATTAAATATAAAAATTAGGCCTATGATCTTTAAGAATTAAGAGAAGTGGCATGTAAAATTCATCAATTAAATTCTAATTGGTCAGATCATGCAAAACAAAACTATATTAGACACGCAATTAGAGAAAATAGAGTACATAAAGAATTAAATCATCCTCATATAGTAAAATTATATGATTCTGTTGAAATAGACAAATCTTCATTTTGCACTGTTTTAGAATTATGTGATGGTCCAGATCTTGCTTATTATATTAAAAAATATAAATGCTTTCCAGAAAAGGAAGCTAAATTATTAATTGGATAAATAATTTCAGCGATTAAATACTTAAATAATCATAAGAATAAAATTATTCATTATGATTTAAAACCATAAAATATTTTATTCCATTTAAACGAACTAAAAATATCAGATTTTGGGTTATGTAAAGTTCTAGAAGATGATAATTCAAAATTATAACTTACCTCTTAAGGTGTAGGAACATATTGGTATTTACCTCCAGAATGTTTTCATATGGGTGATTAACCTCCAAATATTTCTAGTAAAGTTGATATATGGAGTATTGGAGTAATATTTTTTGAGATGCTTTTTGGCTAGAAACCATTTGGTTAAGGAGTGAGCCAAGAAAAGATATTAAAAGAATAAGTAAATAATTTATTTCATTTTTAGATTATAGTAAAATCACAATCAGTGACTTTTCCTTAGAAACCTATAATCTCTAATGAATGTAAAGAATTTATCAGAGCTTGTCTAGCTTATAATCAAGTAGATCGTTTGGATGTGCATCAAGCATCCAATCATTCATACTTCTAAAAAAAATTAAATTGATTATATTTAAATTATAAGAAATTTCATTTAGCACATTTAATCTTAGCATTAACTAATCTTTAATTGATGATATCTGTAAGAGTCTCTTTAGGCATTTTTCTCATCTAATTATAAATTAAAATAGAATACTTATTCGAAATATCTTTAATCATTAAATCTAATATTAACATCACTTAAATTTTTATCAAAAAATTCGTTAATTTAACTAGTTTCTAATAAATCAATAAGCCCAATTAATTATTTTTATTATTAATCTTCAGTTAGATTTACTTATCTTTCTCTACTTTCTTCTATATAACTAATTAATAAAGATGTGTAAAGTTTCAAATTAGTAAATTATGGAGACATTAATTCATTTCTAATTTAAGTAGTTAAATCATTTTATTGCATATGTCTAATTACTTTTTAAGCTTCATTTTTAAAAGATTCTATATTCATTAATAATTATTCGCTTTCTCTTTAAAAAGTAGAATTAAATTATTTATATTCATTACTTCCTTAGAACTCTTCCCATCTATTTTCTCTCCTATGATCTTAGTCTAATTGTTTTTTAATGATTTCAGTTTAATTTTGAGCTAATTTCATCAAAAAGTAAGCAATAATAGCTGTTTTTTAAGAGAATGACAAATTGCCATGAAGTTAAACTGCAGAAACTGTATTTTATTCTAATAAAAATGATACCATTTAAGCCAAGAATATAATTTTACTTCTTTCTCTTAAAAGAACTCTTAAATTCTAGAAATCTTATTATTATTATTGTAATGGTTAATTATTAGTAATATTTGTTCTATCTTATAGTACTTAATTAGTTGATGCTTATTTTTTAAGCATTTAAGGTAAATTTTAAATAGGATTAGTATTATTATTACTAGTAATTTATTTAGTAACATTGGATTCTTCATAAAATGTAATTTGCATTAATTATTACCAATCAACTCTTTTACGTGGATCTACTTATAACATTGAACGAATAAGTTCTTCACATTTTCTAGATAATTGATTAACATGTTTTGGGAATGTAATTTCTTTATTATCAATTTACATAATTAATCTAGCTATTGATTTATCTTCAAATGGACAAAATCCAAATAAACATTCATATAATACTACTCCCAATGACCATACATCAGCTTTACAATTATATGAACAACCTTTTAATACCTCTGGAGCCATATATATTGGTGATCCTACCATTGTTTAGGTTAAATCATTATTGTGAAGTAAACTTTTACAAAAACCAAAATCAGCTACTTTTACAATTTAATCATGGAACAATATGTTTGATGGCTTTAAATCTCGATGAAGTATGTTTTCACGTACCAAAGATCTTATTTATTATATTTTTAATTTATTACCTAAATGCATTTAGAATCTAAGCAAAAATCTTCATTGTCTCTGGTTCTGTTAAAAATTTTCTCTTTTATAATAATGCTTCTAATGTATCACCATTACAAAAATCATAAATCAAGTACATATTGTTTTATGTTTTAAGCATTTCAATAAATTTAACTATATTCTGATTGTCTATTTTTGACAATGTTTATATCTCATTAATAGTAAATTCATGTAATTTTGGTACCTCTCTAAACTTTTCCAATTTCACTACTTTTATTGCAACAATTTAATCATTTTTCATATTTTTAGCTCTATAAACTTTACCATATTGACCACTTCCTATTACATCTTGAAGAACATAATTTTCAATCACTTTGCTCATTTCAGTTAATTAATAATTTAAAATAAAAACCAACAACTAAATATTAATACATATTAAATTTATCAATATTTGTTAAATTTATACATTCTACTTAAATTCCTATTATATTATACATATCTTTAATGATTACATTAATTTATTAAGTGGAAATTCAATTAAATAAGGAATAATTAAAATACTAAACTCAGAGAGAATAAGTTGTAGATTATGGTTTAATTGTAATAATATAATATTAATTAATATATTTTATGCAATCATTTTGAAATGTATAGGATTTATAAAATTCAATAAGAAAAACATTATGATGAAATTAATTCCGATCGCATTAGCAATCAATAAGAAAATTTTTGTTTACTTTTAATCTTATTTTTTTTATCCTTTTTGTATTACTAACTGCTTTCTAACTTTTATTATTAAAGACTTGTTCAGTGTTCAATTAATGCAAACTAGGTAATACTATTAATCAAAAAAATTTATTTTTGAATGTTGATTTAATTAAATAAGTTTTATTAAATTAAAACAAAAGTTACCAAAATTGCATTTCAAATACTATATAAAATATAATAATTTTTATTATGTTATAATTTCAATAAAACTATTCTTCTGACATATAAAATTGTTGACTAGTGAATCTACTTTTAGCTAAATTTTAATGAGTATTAGTCATTTTAGATTGTGTCGTCATATCATCAGTAGTATTAAAAGGTTTTATGACAGAAGTACTAGTTTTTAATTACTAGATATATTAAATGTATATATTACTTGTCTTTTAGAAAATATTGTACAAGTGTAGCCTAATCTCATAATAAATCTTTAAAGATGGTTACACATCATATCTTATCCACACATTTTATGAATAGCAGCAAGTCTTTAATAGAAAGCTTTGAACTCATAATAAGTTATGTTTTCATGCTTTCCTTTTTTATAGTATTTTCTGAGTAAATCTTAAACATTCTCTACACCTTTAGTTTTTTTGTTTTAAATTTGATTAAATAAAGTTCTTAAAAAAGTTTCTTATTTAAGTTCATTAGGTTTAAATATTTGTAATTACTTACCATCATTTTCTTAATCTTAAATTGATTTAACCATTTCTTCATAAGGCATCTAATCAACTTAATCTATATTCAAATCAGCAGCCATACTAAATATCTATTAGGCTTCTTCCTAATCAAATTATTCTTAAGGATCTATTGGTTATCGAGAAGGTTATCTTTACATAGTAGATTCTTTTTTTTATTTATCATAAAGAAATTAAGTTGATTTTTTATTCAAAGTTTAATTTTAGATTCTTTAAGTATCCATTTATTTTTAAGAACCCTATTTAGATCCCATCTAAAATTAATCATCATCAGTTTCATGTTTAAGAAGTGATTCTTAGGATTATTTAGAACTATGATTTTTAGTTTAATTAGAACTAACTCTTTCAGTATCAAAACCATATTTTTAAACAACATTTTTAAAAGACTATTGTTATTTGAGAAAGTTATTTGAATCTTCAGATAATGAATTTAGGTTTTTTTATTAAATGGTAAGTGGAATGGCTTCAATAAGTCTTTATTTAATATCATTAGGTAATGCCATATTGAAAATAAAGTGTTGTATAAAATTGGTTAATAATTCTATGTCTGTTTATTGCTCTTAATCGAGAGTTCTTTATTTCCATGATGCAACATATTCAGCTGCATTTTCATCATTAACTTTAATAGCCATTCTAATAGGTTATTATTATATGGTAGTACTAGATCTTCGTATGTGAGATTAAGAAGACTATTATGAAGATAGACGAGATTTTGAATGTCTACTTACTTCATCTTCTTCTTTAATTAGAGGTATTCTTGTTTTGTTATTTTCTATTATTCTAGCTGAACCTCTATTAGAATTAGTTGCAGATTATTAATCTTCTTGAATATCTCTCATAGCATCAGTAGATTTTCTAGCAAATTTATTTTTAGTTTTATTAGCTAATAATGTTTCAGACTTTTTCTATCCTCTAATTTATTTATTTTATTAAGGAGTATTTGAAATTGGTACATTCTATGTAATTTATCCTTATTGAAATTATGTCTAATCAGTATATTCAGTTTATATTCTTCTATCTGAAGGACTTTAATCATTTTTTTTTTCAGTCAAAGTTAACATTCTACCTGATGTTGTTCTCTATGTATCTTAAATAGTTTAAGCTTATGTCACATCAATATCAGGAATAGTAGAATCACCTATCTTCATTTAATTTACAGTTGATTTTCTTACAATTGAGGAAGATAATTGTTAATCAGATTTTGATATTGAACTCATTTTTCGTAATAATTAACCATTTTCATTATTTGGGGATACACTTTTTCTGACTTATTATTATTATTATTACAAAAGTAAACCACTTTTTTGCATTTATTCTTCATCTAATTCTTATATCGATTTCTATTCAAGTGTTGTTTATTTATTAGGCTATTTTTATGGATGAAATTCAGTAAAAGAATGTTGATATCCTCTCTTGTTTTATTAACTCTCTGATATATGACTATTGTTTTTAGATACTCTTTAATCTTTTTAAGATTGTACATGTTAAGTCAAATTCATTCTATATCCAACATCCGTACTTTATCTTTTAGTGTAATCACTATATTAAATCTATCGATTTGATTCTCCACGATATCCTATAGATATATTATCTTCATCTTATGGAAATTCAAATTACGATTTCATTTTACTAGTAGCTCTAGGTGAATCTTTATTGGATTGATCCTAACTATTACCAAAATCTATTTAAAGACTTCTTTAATCAGCAGGAATGGATTTTTTTTTATTCAATTCTCCAGTTAATTAATAGAGTCTTTATTACAATTCTTAATTCTCTTTTTATAATTTTGATATTTATTATTATAATGTTTGATCTGAGACCTAAACTGCCTAATCTTAAAATGTTTTATTTGCTATGATTGAAAATTATTTTTCTAATTTTTATTTGTCATATAATAATTAAGTTCTTTCCTATTCAATTGCTTTTTCAGCAATTTTAGTAGATTCGATTTCTATGTTTAATTACATTATTTGATTTTCCATCTATCTCACTTTATTCCATAATTCTGCATTTTCCATAAACTTTTTATCCAACTCAACATTTTTATTTGATAATTCTTTCTATAATTATTCAGTGTTATCAGCTCTTCTTAAAGGAGGAGCCTTTCTATCTTTAGTAGAACTAGACAATAATTATTAAGAATTTTATTATGGTAACTTTTTCTCTGAATCTTATTTAACTCTTCGAATAATAAATCCAGAAACAAATTTCATTAGAACTTTGTAAGTTTCATGTTAAACATTCTAATAACTCTCATTTACATATTCTAAAAATTCATTTAAAATATTAGGTATCATATCCTATTAAGTTTATTATTTTTATGTATCTAAAATAACAGTTTCAATATCCATAGTTTTTTAAATCATTTATTTATGAACTCCCTTTAATTTATCTGTAACTTACTAAGTTTAGAGTGCATATCGATGATCAATTCTTTCATTAAGGAATTTTTATAATTCCATACTATGTTTATCACTATCTTAAACAATCTCTTATAATTTGCTTTCATGATATTCCTACATAATTAAAGATAATATAATACCTTTTTGAAATTCCTCATAACTTCTAAGATATCAAGATTTGTATCAGTTCCTTATGATATACATAATTTAATTTTAGGATCATATCGTTTCATAACAATTTATACATTTAATTTATTACTTTATTTCAAGACTTCATTTAAGATGCATTTCTAATGATCATCTAATTCATATTGCATTCTGGATGAATTATTAAGAGTTCTATCAGTCTATTATTCAAATGAATTTAATCTAATAGATGGAAGTATATTAGAGTTCTTACTACTTAATTAACGATTCTTAATTCTTTCATTTTCTGTTAATGGTGATTGAAATGCTCCAACTCTAGCTCCACCTAAACTACCAGTTTATCCTCCTTCCATAAATCTCTTCTTCATTCGTTACATTAAATCTGCTCTAGAAAGTGGTTCTAAATCATGTTCACCTTCAGTATGCATTTAATTGTTATTCTAAATAGATTTCAATACATCCTTCCAAACTTACGTATATTTATTAATAGCATGACTATAATCATTTTGATCTCTAGCTTGAAGCATGTAACATAGTTCATTAGAAGTATGCTCCAAATCTTATAGAAATTTAGCTAAACTAATAGAACTTCCCTATTTAAGCACATTCTTGCTTAAACCCACCAGAAATTCGCATATCTTTTCTAAAGTTGTTTTCTCTTATTAAGAAGCTGGAGTAAAAATCATTGAGTGTATAATATATATATAAAATATAACTAATTTCACATCAATTCTGAATAAGTTTCTTCTATTATATTTTATTATTATTAATTCGTTCCTTATCCTGGTTTCTTTTAAAATACTCCACTCTAAACAACTTATGATTAAGCATCTTCTCCTGTTTAAAATATCTTCCCTCCTTAATAATCTTCATGTAATTTTGATCTGTATTATAATCCTCCTACTTAGGAATAATTTACTGAACTATTATAAACATCCCAAACATTATCAAATTTCAATGCTGGCTCTGTATTTAAAGATACAACTGCATTTTCTTATAATCTTTTTATTTCTTCTCTTCTTCTCATTCTATTTTCATCTAATTCATTATTTATTTACTTCATTTTATTAGAATGATCTTAAAAATTATATTACATTAATTATGAATCTGCTATATTACCTTTAAATAATGCTGACTATATATCAAAATTAGGAGAATGATTCTCTTTAACTTATAAATCTTTAATTAATAATTCTTAAGCTTCCACCTTTTTCTAATATTGCTCAATCTCCTTTTATAACTTTTTTATCTATTCTTATTATAATACTTTATGATCATTCAACATTCCATCTTTATGATTTATTGTTGTTTTATATAGAGTCATTTCTTCTTCCTTTAATCTTATATCAGTCTCATATTTTCTACATAATTCTTAATCTCTTCTTTAAGCATCACTAACAGCTCTTAAATTTTCTTTCATTTATTCATATTCATATTCCATTTCTTTTCTTCTTTTTTTTACTTCCCTCACTTATTCTACATATTTTTTATTTTCTTCAACCAATTATTCATTTTCTCTTTATAATGTTTTTATTGTATTTTTTAAATTATCCATATTTCTAAGATCACCTTCTAATTATTTTAATTTATTTCTTATTTATTCTCTCTCCTCATAAAATTCTGTCTCTGCTGTAGCTTTTGCTGCATGAATTTATGCTTCATATTTCCTTCTTATTACATCCTCATTACCATTTGCTTCTGCTAATTTCTTAGATAAATCTCTTTCCATAACATCTAATTTAGCTTTCTAAAATTTTAAACTCTCCTCATTTGCTATTCTCTATTTCTCTATTTCCTATTCTTTTAATTTAATCATCTCATGTTCTTTCAATATCTTTTATCTATATTAATAATTTAATGATTCCAATTCTTTTGTCTTCTATGCAGACATCTTTAATGTGTCATTCTCTCTCTCTCTTAATACATTCAATTTCTCTTAAAAGTTCTTCTCTAATTCCTCTCTATAATCTTATAATTTCTATCTATATTTATCTGCTTCCTCCAAACGAATATGTTAAACTTCAAATTCTCTTATTCTTGCTGTCTCTGTTGCAATCTCTGTTTTTAAACGTTAATCATATTCTCTCTTCATTTTTTAAATACGTTCCTCCATATCATACTAAGGTTTCATTAATTCATTCTCTATCTTACTCTTGTACATATTATCTACCATACTTAATTTCTATTCCAAATTTATTACAGCATCTCCATAAAATGTTTAAGTAGCTGCATTCGATTTTAAAGCCTCCTTTGGTTTTAATAATAATATATCACTAAACATTTATTACAAAATTGATCCTTATTAATTATCCATTCTCAAAAGTATTTTCAATTCTTCCTTATTTAGCAAAGCTGCTCCAAATGTTGTTTCTGGTACAAAAACAGATCTAAAATACAATCAAAATCTACAAAGAATAATCCATTTTTGCCTCTCTCAAATAATCTGCTACTGCACTTGCTAAAACTCTTTTTAACAACATCTCACTCTCTGATACTTTATCAGTAGTAGGAATTCTTTTTTATTACATTTATAATCTCTCCAATAACTTATATCTAAGCTATGTTTTCATATTCTCTACCATACCTTCCTTCTAAAGTTCCTATTATAATTGAAATTTTAAATCGTTAAATGATTAATCCATTTTTTAAATATTAATATTATTTTATATTTGTATTTTTAAACTCCTCTTGCTAATTATTTTAAAACACCAAACTAAACTTAAATATTTTTTATCCCTTTTAGTAAAGAAAAAAGATATTATCTTAAATAATAATGCTTATTTATCCTCTGTTAATTCATCATGAAATTGATAATATTATTTTTTATTTTTACTATGAACTAAGACTTTGATGTTTTTTATCAATTTTCTGGTTAGTCATCTAATAATAATTAGAACTTTTAATTTCCATCCACAGAAATCATGAATTCAGAATATAATAAGATAAGGTTTTAGTGCAATTTAAAATTACTCTAAAAAAAAATTATCATGTTGTTTGGTTTTCCATCAATAAAGGTTGAAAGTTAAAGAATACATTTATATTTGAAAGGAATATTAAACCTAAGTCAATCTGAACAATTAAAAAAAATTAGAAATTTAATTAGTTTTATGGGAGAAGTTACATGTATAAATAATTGGGATGAAAGAATTCTCATAATTAAATCAAGAGTTTAATAATTTCTAAATATTCATGGATTAGAAATTAAGTGGGGCGAAGAGCAATGGTAAAATGAAATTGATTCCATAGTAACAGTTAGAATCAACAATTATTATTATGATACGATACAAAATAAAACTTTTTCTTATGTTAATTTATTTAATACTCTTTAAATCAAATTACCAAAAGAATTAAAAGATCTAAATCATCATTCATTTAATTCAATATAAACTTCAAATCTCTTAAACGATTTTCATTTCTTATGTGACTTAGATGAATTTTATACAGTTAGAAATACAAGAAATTTTATATAAAATATTTCTAATAAACTTAGTGACTTTATGAATTTATTGATTGATATGGAGATAAAATCAAATTAAGTTGAATAATATATCAGAAATCGCTACTAAACCTTATGTGAATAATTATTAGATATCAAAAGGAATTTTACTTTTTTAATATCTTATTCGGATCATTAAAAAATTAATAAAAAATAAAATTTAAATATTGATAAATAATAATTAGAAACCTAAACTTTAACCACTTCTAAAACAACAATCATTTAAGGTGATTTTTATTCAAAAACCAAAAAATAAATAAAAAAAAAAAAACTAGAAAAGCATTCAAATTAGAGATCATCAAATACTTATTCAATATCTAAGGGTAATATTAAATCTGAATTAAATCTTAAGAATTAGTGCTTAGATTAATCTCAAGTTTTCGCTACTGCAGATGATAAAGACTTAATTTTGTAGTTATAAAATTAATTGTAAAATAATAATTTAATGGGCCTTGATTTTTCTTAAATCTTCGAATACTCTTTGGAAAGAATTAAATAAAAGATTTTATATTACGAGTATATTCAATACTAAATTGATCAATTAGGATATCCATGCATTAATTTGGAGAAGAATAAACTCCTCTTAATTCTTGAGAATTATAAAATATAAAATTCGGATTATAAAAATTTAATTGTTAAACTATTTAATATTTTATCCGAATCTTTTATTAGTAAAAATGGTTCCATAGACATTTTCTAGTAATTATAAGATAATGCATTAAATTATTTATAATAAATATCAATAGATTTTCCAATTTAAGAATTAAATTCAATATAGAAAGAGTAATGCATTTTAAAGTCAAATATGTCAATATATGGTAATTTAAGAAGTAAAAAGTTCTCTTATTAATTATTATCTTAGATAATCAATAGAAAATTTCCAGATGTAATATATAAAATACAATGTTCCTCAACAAAAATTATTTTTTAACATTGGGATATTCAACCATTGCTTGATATTTTTAATTTTTAAGACTTAAAAAATATTAGGGTAACATAATATTATATTAATTAAATTTATACATGTTTGTAAGTTTTAATTAATTTTAAAGAATCATTATAAAACCATTATGATTAAGAATTAGTATAGGATTTTATAAAAATAGAAAAATAATTTATTGATATAATAAATTAACCTTTGAATTTTCATGTTGATTCAAATTAATACACTAAGTCACTAGAAAAATTGAGTTAGTTTAAAGATATATTTTGGAATAAATAGTATGAAAATATCTAAGTTTGGGAGTTTGATATGGTAAAAGATTTACCTAAATTATCAACTTTTGAGAATGAATAAATTTATGGATAATTGTAGGAAAATTAAAAAGAAAATTTAGATTATCAAATTAGAGAAGTTTATTTTGATATTTTTAGCCCACTTTATGAATTAGATTCACCCATATTTCGCTTTATAAATAAGTCAGAATAATAGTTTCCAGATCAATAATAGAATTTGGAGGATGAGAGTTATTCGATTTATTTTAGTAAGTGAAAGAATTTGATTTAAATTGTGTTGTAATCATTTATTAAAAATTAATGAGAAATACGTAAATTTTAAGTTATAATTTAAAATTATATTAAGTAAATCAACGTTATAGAAATTGAGCCTTTGATTTTTTTGCAGAATCACTTCTTTTTAAAAGAAATCCTTTCTAAAAATAAGTTAATATAGATTTTACATTATTTTAGCGATTAAGACTAGCTAATTAGGTAGCAATTTATTAAGCAAGTTGTTTAGATGAATCATCTGGGGGTAATGTACTTATTTATGTACGATATCTCATTTAAGCAGTTTTAAGACTATTGGTTTAATTTTTCAGATTAGCTTAACTAGTTTTTCTTGAATTAGAAAGAGATCTACTTAAAGGTAAAGTTGTTTTAATTTATGAAGTCATAATAGGATTAGAAGTCTTTAAATTTTCATATACTTTATTTGCTACTTAATACTTTTATTTTAAGATAGTAATTGGTGTATGTTTTTATTTTAATTTTTCTTGAGTTAATTTTGCTTATTAATTGAGAATTTAATTCATAAGAATTTCTACTCTTTATCTTACATCAGTTGAATTAATAAAATTATTTTATTTGATAATTGATTTTTATTATTATTATGGAGATTTATCTTATTCATCTTGTAAAGTATCTAGTTTTTTGTCTGTATCAGGTTGAGTAAAAATATGTTTTTGAGGTAAAAGTATTTATTTTTTAGCTAATATTGTTTGTTAGATCTTTTGAAAAGTAGTTTGAGTATTTTAAGATTATTTAGTTTCTGTATCTTTAGATTATTTATTAAGATTAGGTACTTTGATAATAATGACAACTTTATTAGAGAGAGCAGATTTATTATTATAAGGATGTGGTTTGAGTAATTTGGTTTAATATTCTATTTCCTCATCTTCTGGCTAAATTATTTCATTAATAGATTACAATAGATTATTTATCAACTCCATATAATTTTTGATAAACTTAATAAATCTAATTAAATATGGCACTTGAATGTGGTACATAAGTATAGAATATCTCTACAGCCTTTCCCAACCAGATTTCAACTGTTAATTTATTAGATAAATTATTAATAAATCTAAGTTCTGTTGATATGCTATAGAAACTTAATCCTGTTAACATAATCTAATAAATAAATTATAAGATTTACTAATTCCAAAATGACTTCTTCAGCCATAACCATTTCATAACTGTTGATTGGAAATAGTTCTTCTAAATCTACATAAGTTAATTACATCAACCCTAATATTTACATTTATAACATAGGGTGAGTATCATCTATTATAGAAAATAATTTATTTTGTTAATTGTTTTATGGTTGAAATACATAATCAGAAGTAAATAATGATTAACTTCTATTCTAATAACTTCGAATCAATAAATTTTATGAACTCTAAACATCATATGATTTATCATCATTTGGTAACATAGATTTTATAGAACTTAAAATTTCTTTAAAAACCACTTCTACAATTTGTGGATAAGATAAAATTTAAGACATTTATTAAGGTAAAGTAGTTGATTAAGATTATTAAATTTTTTACAAAGGAGAATTAATTTCTGAATTAGCTCTTTATTTTTTATTGATTGTTTATAATATTGTAATTTACTGACATAATTTGATTGTATTCTAAATAATACTTCTTAAAATTCTTAAAGTATTTTTAGCCATTTCTAAAGCCTGTTTATTTCTGATATATATTATAGACATTACTTTTTAGTTTCTGAAAAGAGAAGAGTAATTTAAAACATGAGTCTTAGTCTTAATAATTTGTTTTAGATTATTTTTGCTAAACTTAAGCTTTCCAATGGTGCTTTTTTTAGAGTTTTGCCTTTAATTTTAAGAATTTAATCAGAATCTAACAATATTTCTAATGCTTCATTTTAGGCAGCATATTTCTTTAATATAATGGCATAATTAATTTTAGAGAATAAAACTGACGTATATTACACTTGAATTCTAAAATAATAATTAAGATTACTAATTCTACGTATAATATTCTAACAGTTTAGCTGCTCGAATATGATATTCCAAAGCTTAATATTCATTGATATCTTCTTATATAGCCATATTAGTAAGTTCTGTCATTATAAGATCTGGAACATCTGGTTTTATATAGATAATTTCTTATTGTTCTTCAGTCTTGAACTTAATACAAATTGAGTTTTACTTAAACTAAATAATTCTATTCTGTATTTAACAATTCTCTTTTAAAAATGATTTTTTTCTATCTTATTATATCTATTGGAGATTTATTTGATATTTATGCTGGTGTCATAATATTTTTATGATTAAAGGTATGAGCCTCTAATTTAATCATTTAATTATTAATTTATATATATAATATTTGATGGTTATCAAAATGTTCTCTTAACCATTATATTATAAAAATCTTCTCTTGTAATATCTCTTCCATTTGAAGCGGCTCTCTCTAACATTTCTGCTAATTCTTCTGCTGTCATTGTTTCACCTAATTCTTTGGCTACCTAAAATAAAATCAATTTTATTTATATTACTCTTTTCAAGTTATTCAAATTAATGGAATTGCTACCATCATCATCAAATAAATCAAATATTTTATTTATTCCTTCTCTATTTTCTCTATTTCCCAATTTTGATGTTATAGCATCCAAAAATTAGTCAAAATCAATGTCAGTACTAATTCTAACTTAATTAAATACCCTTCACTTTCTAACTCAGCAATCATATTAAAAATAGTTGGGTTTTTTTAATCAAATCCCAAACTTTACATAGCTGCTTTTAATTCTCTAGGATCTACTCTCCCTGTACCTTCTGTATCAAATAAATTAAATGCTTCTCTTATTTCATCAATCTCATCGTCAGTCAATCCTGGTCTTCACATTTCAAATATTATTTATTACCTTTCTTGTGGCTTTCGCACATTTCCTTATTTTTAAGGTTATTATTTTTAAGTTACAGGTACTTAGGCCTATGGCTTACCTCTCATATCTTGAATTTAAATATAAATATATATATATAATTTATGTGCAATACATTGAATGGATATATATATTATATTTATTTATAAATCCATAATGATGAAACTTCAACAACCAGGAAATAAGGTTCTCTTAATAAAGAACCATCAGTAGATTGAATTCTATTTATTGCAATTTATATTTATAAGATCCATGATCAAAATTTTTCTATAAAAGTGAAAACTAATCCCAAAATCAATAAATAAAATATCTAAAAGATGCTTAAATTAATTATGCTATAGTATATCAATTGAAAAATATCATTCAAGCGAAAAAAATCTACTGAGCCTTTTTTTTAAATATTTATAATACTTAATTAAATTATTTTATTCTGTATACTAAGCACATTTGTTTATGCAATTAATTTCATTTTTCAAAGTCTCATCTATTTATATTTAGAATATCAAACTGGATTTAATTATAATAAATGTAGACCAATACAAAAATTGTTAATTAGATTGTTAGCAAAAGAATTTCAGTATTTTAATGATATTCTGATAAATATCTCTATCTTTAAAATTAATATTTGTAATTTATACCATTAATTTGTAAGCTTTATACATACTCAAACAGTTCCCTATTTTCTAATTTAATGGATGAAAAACCAAAACATGAATTAATTAAGTATAAATTTGAAAATAGATCTTAAACGGTTTTTTGTTTCATATCAAGATTAACCTAAATAAGCATACAAAATTTTGGAACAACTACAGAGTTATTGAAAATGCGTATGGAACAATTTATGTTAGTAAAAATAGTAATAAACTTCAAAATTTTTAATGAAAATTGAATTTAATAATGACTCCTGGTTGTCTTAATTATTGAAATATTAAGTAGAGGAAGAGATAAGAATTTAAGCTTATAAAATTATATATAAATAAATAAAAATAATATTTTTAATTAAATGAATGAATATAAATGCATAAAATTTAATATTATAATAATAAGTATTTGTAATAATATTTAAGTTCAGCTTATTCTAATCAACTTCATTTGAATCAATTAGTTCTTTTCTTGTTCACTAACAATGAATGGAGAGCCATTTTCATCTAATAAGCATAATCCCATATCACTATCAATCAAATGTTTCTCTGAATTGTAAGAACATGTTAATACTCTATCATTTTTACCTAGATAGAGTAATCCTATTAAAATAATTCAATTATGATATACTTCTCTTTATTGCTTTTGTTAAGGCATTAATCATAGGTAATGGTGCTGATTTACCTCTACTTTTACATGATACTTGACCACTATGATCATCATTTAAAATTTTGTTATAATTCTATATTTAAGATTTTTTAAAGGGATTTCTAGGAGGACTTTAGAATTCTCCTATCTAAGGGGTTTTTTATGTCTTACTAAAACCACATGTTTCATTTATTTCAAAACTTTCATTTGAATCTAATAATGAATTTTCATTGAAATCTGCAAAATCATCCAAACTAATTTCATTTTTCTTTTTAACAATACTTAATTGTTTTTTTGACTTCTAATTTGCTACAGCTGTAGAAGTAGAAAAAAAACTATTTTATTTTGCTTATGGAGACAATTATAAAGTCAATTAAGAATTAGTATTTTTCAATTTAGTTATTTCAGATTAAAATTAAGTAACCAAAAATTATTATTAAGTTAATTATTTACTTAAATCTTGATTTTCTTTTTCGATCTATTTATTCTTCTACTTTAATTATGTAATAGTTTTTATAGATTATTATTATAATTACTAAAATTTGCTATTCAAATTCATAAAATTCTAATTCAATTATTTACTTTCTTATTTATGATTATTGTTTTCTTAATCTCGTTCATTTATTGTATCATACATATTTTATAATTTTTAATTAACTTACTATGTTAAATGTAATAAAGTATTTTGTATTTAATTTTTGATTGATTATAATTCATCACTCTTTTCATTATTTATTTTATTTAATAATTAATGAGCTTATTATAATTGTAATTAGTATTAATTTTGTAATTAAGTAATTTATACTTAAATAGTTTATTCTACTTTTTATCTATCTGCTTTAGAATTGAGTTTATTATTTAAATTTTCGATTTCTTATTTAAAATGTTATTCATCTTCATTCAATCTTAAAGATGTATTAGAAGATAAGTTTTTAACTAAATGTTCACTTTATTTAGTTTTGATATCAAAATTTTCTTAGAGTTCTTTAATCTATTCATTAAGATTGTTCTATAGATTTGTGACTTTCCTATCAATTTCTAACATAAATTATTAAGTATAATCATTCTATGTAATATTAAGATCAATATTGGTTAATTTATGTCTGAGATCTTCCTAAAACTTTCTGAATTCAACATTAAATCTTTCTTACAATTATTAATGTTGATGAACTTTCTCAGATAATTAAGTTTATAGTTGTTAAATTTATTCATTTTATTGTTTAATAATGTTTGACTGATTATTATCATCTTACTAAGACATATTATTGAATTAAGTTTAAGATTATACTTTATTAAGTTCTTAAATTAAGGATGCTTTGTTTAATTATTCAGTTTTTAAGGGTACACTTTATTAGTATTATTATTATTAATAAAAGGCGACAGTCTCTTATAATGATTTTCTGATTGGTGGACTTGAACCTCTAAAAATAAAAATTAATAGATTAGAATACCTTTACTATTATGGATATTAAATATATTAAATAGGTTGATAAGGTAATTTTTATTCTTAAGAAACACATCTCATAATTTATCTTGGTTCCAATGTTTATTAAATTGAAGAAGGTCTTAATTGACGCTATTCAATAGGTTGTTAATAAACTGCATTACCAAATGCTCTAACAGGTATACGTGAGGGTTTCATATGTAAATTTGTTTTAACGATTAAATAATAATTAAATGAAATTCGCTGTATTCTTATTAAATCATATTATACCAGAATGGGCATTAATGTATTTGAACTATAAGGCCATTAAAGCATATTTTTCAACTTCAGGAGCACTTAAAGATTTCTTACTCTATGCCAAAAAAACTAAGACACCTTAAGAATACAAAGAAATAAAGAAAATTGTTATGGAAAAAACTTATATCATGTCAAAAATTGTTGTTGATTAAAAAGAATTTATTAAAAAGTTTAATTTAGAATTGTTTAAAATCAAGTCATTTGTAAATGCCAAATATAATGATTTGAAAGGTAAGACTTATAAAATATAATTATAATTAATGTCAATGAATAGATATTAAAAATAATTAGAAAGAAGCAAAAAGATTTCATCCAGTAGATCTAATTCTTAAGTATCTGAAGAATTAACTGAGTAGTTAACTACTTAATAAATCAAAGTTAGACAATCTGAATTTAATTAAAATTCTAAAAAATTAAAAGAATTATGTTTTCAATTATATAATGAAGGTGTCAATTTTGAAAAATATTTAAAAGTCAATCAAGAAGCTATTAGAAAAATATTAAAAAAATAAAATAAAAAATCTATTAAAATTAACTCAGAAGAAATCAATATAGATGAATGCAAAAAGATGGTCTAAGAAATCAATTTTAACCTTAAACATAATAAAGTGAAATAATTATTATTTCAAGTTGAAAAGTATCTTTTAAAACACTTCTATCAAACTAAATAAAAAAATTGTAAAGAATAACTACGTAAATATTAATTTCAAGATGTTAAAAACAATAAAGCATGGTTTTAATTTGGATTATTCACAGGTTTTTCATTTATGTTAATGTCTTTCATCATATTTTTAGCAACTTAAAAATAATTAAATATTTTAAACAATAATATTATTTATGAATCATTTCCTATTTACAGAGGTGCTTTATTATTTATACTTTATTATTGGTCTTTAACAATAGTCATTCATTTATGGAATTTATCCAAAATTAATTATAAATTATATTTTAACTTTAATCATCATTTCTCAACAATTAATGAATAATTAAAAAGGGTTATGACATTAACTTCAATATTTTTATTAGTTAGTCTTTTTTATATATGTGATGTTTCAAAATTAGGCATAATATTTGAAAATCTCTAAGGAGAAGAATATTTTCCATTGGTAATTTGGGCTTCTCTTTTAGTTATTATTGCATTTCCATCAAAAGTTTTTATTAATGGAAAAGGTAGAATGTGGCTCTATCGTAATTTATTACAATCTTTAAATGCAAAATTAATAGAGCAACGCCATTTTTTCATAATTAGTCAATTTACTTCATTAATTATTCCATTTTCTGATCTCACATATACTCTATGTGAGTATTCAAAAGGAGTATTTTATTTATTTATACTAGATTTAAAATTAAGAAGAGAATGATATCAATTAGTATGATGAATGCTTTTTTATTTCAAGATATTTTACTTTAGTTTTAGTATTATTCCCATATCTTATTCTAATAATTTAAATCATTTTTTTGACTTAAAAATAATAAAATTCAAATTTATATTTATTTGAATTCATAAGAAATGTATTATCCATGACTCTAATAGTTTTTGCAACATTATCTTATGAAAAAGAAACCTTTTTTTTTTATTGGTTTGGAATAGCTATTCTTATAGGCTTTTTTAATATTCTGTTTGCTTTTAAAAAATGGAGTTATTTGGACTTAAAAGATAAGAAAAAAAAAAAACAATTGTTAACAAATAAGCAAAAATTATTAATTATATATATTCCTTTTGCAATTTTATAACCATTATCTATATCTACTTCAATCTTTGGTTGTTTTGATAAAACTGAATAACACAGTCTTCTAATATTATATATTGGAATTGCTGAATTGATAAGAAGTAAATTTAAAATATAATTAATATTTAGGAATGATAATTAATTATTATATTGTTGATGCTGAACACTTTAAAAATAAACAAAGATATTAAACAGTTGGTCAGTATGAATTTCCATTTGAAGAATGTTGTACAAAGATACAAAAACAATAGCTTTTGTAAGATAAACTTTAATTTATTTAAGATAATATGAATCTGATGATAGTGATAATGAAACGAATGATAAAAATCAAAGAAAAATTGATATTGATGTTATCCTTACTCAAAATGAACCTTAATAATAAAATAGAACAGATTTTGGACTTTTTATATAGGGTCAATCAACATTTAATTAATTTAAAACATTTTAGGAACCAACAGAGAAATAAGTTAATTAATTAAAAATATCTGAATTAATAGTAAAGGAATCAGAGAAAGCTTTAGGGGATAGTTTTTTAAATTATGATATAAACAATTTTAAACCAGATGAATTAAATTAATTAATTCATTATTAATAGATACCAGAAGGTGATTTATAGAGTTTACATATCAATAATAAGAATTCCAAAGAGGAAATAAATAAATTGTATGAAGAATTTGGAATAAAAATAAAATAATGAATAACTATATATAAGTATGAATTGTAATATATATATATATATATAAATCAAAAAAATAATTAACGTTTATAAAATGAGTTAACGAGATCTAAGTAATTTGATTACTATAAATCTAAATGATCCTTAATAATATCAAGACTTATTAGCTTATTATAGATCAAAATTAGGAGAATTTGAGAAGGAAAGATTTGAATGGTTAACAAAATTAGAGGAAATAAAAATATAGTATGAAGATAAACATTAATAAGAATGGGAATTATTGAAAAGAAAATAAGAGATTAAAGAATTGTAATAAACAGTAGGAGAAGCAAAGGTAAATCTAAAATAAAAGAATTAGTTAATGTTATTTGAGGAAAGATAAGCAAGATTAAAATTATAAAAAGAGAATGATGCTTTAAAAGTTAGAGAATTGGAAGATAAAAAAAAGATTGCTGAATTAATGGCAATGATTGAGCCAATTGAAGAATAAGTAGTATTATAAAAAGATTTAAGACCTGAAGTAACTACAAAATATACAGGTGATACTATGGCAGTAAGAGAAAAATAAGGAAAGTATAAATTATAATTTAAATATATAGTGTTAAAATGCATAATATTAATTAAGGAAGAAGTATTTTAAAAACAGTTTATATGCCAAATGAATAATTAAATGCTTATTAATTAGAAAATGAAAATTTGAAAAAATAAGTTGAAAATGCAGAAACTATATTAACTTAATAATTTGCAGCTTTGAGAGAAGAATTAAGAGCTAAAGAAGTTGAAAATAATTTAAGAATAAAAGAAGATTAATAAAAATTAGATTAATTGGTTTAAAAAGTATAAAAATTAGAAAAATAAAATGTTGAACTTGTAAAAGGTATAATTTATAAATATATTAATAAATAGATAGTTATTTGTAAAAATAGAAATTTTAGAATAAAGAGAAATAAATGTAGGAAGATTTAGAAGTATCTAAATTAAAAAATTAAAAATTGAAAATGGAATTGGATTAAATTTAAAAGAAATACAATATAGAGAATAAAACAGCTTTAGAATTACTAGAGAAAAAATCAGATGAATATAATAAAAAATTTAGAAGTCAAATAAGATCAAAAGATGAGCAATTATCAATAATAAAAGAATAATATGAATAAGTTTAGAATATTTATATAAGTAAAATTTAATAATTAGAGGAGAATCTATCAAAATTAATAGAGAAGTATTATTTTATTAAATGTAGATATTAATAATTGGAGAAGAGGAGATCTTTAGAAATTGAAGGATTTAAGAATGATATAAAAATTTTGACAAAGAAAGTAAAAGATTATGAGAAATAATCACAAAATGGTGATAAATAAAATGAGAACAAATCTCCTGAAGATTTAGCTAAATATTAAGAAGAAGCATAATAACTTAAATAATAATTAGCAAAAGAGACTGGTATAATATATTCTTCTGGAAAAAAAAGTAATACAAATAATTAGCAATAAACTATAAAAGTTAAAAGCAGTCAATAAAGAGGTGCATCAAAAACGATGAAATAAAGTAATAAATAAAATAAGAAAGTAGAAAATAATTAAAGTATGATATAATAATTAATTTATAGATTAGACAGATTAGAAAGAAGATGACAATGCATCTGAATCTGTACCAATGCATGAATTGGAAGATATTCAAAGATAATTAGAAGAACTTTAATATTAAATGGATAAAGCTAAGAAAGAATGAAAATATAATATATTAATTTTATATACTATTTGTATTTTATCAGATACTTACTTCTAATTATAAATTTAATTTGTTAATACGTTGGATGCAAATTCATAATTCATCTGCTCATAATTTAACTAAGTGCGAATCATTCTCGCATTTATCTCCATAAGCCTAAGAAGCTCTTTAAAGTTTAAAAAAAATAAAGAATTTTGGATGTGAAAAAACAAATGATCTCTTAGACGTTAAAAAAAGCACTTCTGATAATATTAATAATCTATTAAACATCCCTGGAACTAAAGTAGATTAAGTTTCAAAACATCTACCATAAAATGAATTTATAGGAACTCAAAATTTCTCTTTTCTTTAGAAGTATTCAATTGATAATTAACTTTAAATAGTTCTAAATAATTATTAGCTTTTAAGAGTTCCAAAGTTTTAGATGATCTTACACCTGATTTTTCAGATGCTCTTTCAAGTGAAAGAAAATAAATAAGTGAAACTGAATAAAATCAACAATTCTTTCAAAAATAGTTAAAATTAATTTAAAACTTACAGATTAAACAATCCTAAAATACAAATACTATTAATAAAGGTTTTATAAGAAAATCTTATTAAGAAAAGGAGAATAAGTTAAATCTAAATTAGAAAAAAAATTATTAATAAAATAGATTAAGTGATTTAATATCAAAAGAAATTAATAAAAACACCATTACAGAATCAAAAAATAATCTTCGAAAAAATTCATATACAAGTTAAAATACTCATAATTCATCATAAACTAAATGCAATTTATCTATCTAATAAGATTATTTATATTAGAAAGCAATATTTTAATAAGAAAAATTGAAGACTTATATAGAGAAAGGCTAAATAATGAATAATATAAAAGAGATGAAAGAGTGTACATTTAATCCTAGGATTAATTAAAAATCTAAAATAGATAATACTAGCACTTTTTTTGAAAGATAAAACATTTGGATGAGAAAAAAAAATGATAAAATATCTGAGTAAGTAGAAATATAAAAAGAGAAAGCAATTAGAGAAGTAAATATTAAAATTTCATATTAGTGTACATTTAGTCCAAATTAAAAAGATAATAGTAATACAAGAGTTAATAGTTGTGATGTTTATTATAGAAATTTGTAATGGCAGAATAAATTAAATAGAAAAAAATAACAGTTAAGAAATTCGATGATTGATTTAAAAAATAATGATAGAAAGACAACTAAAATATAAATGCAACGATCTAATTCTACATAATTAATTAATCAATAAACTGATTTAAGATAATTGCTAGAAATTCAATTTAAACTTGATGCTCCAAAATTTATGAAAAGTATTACTACTACAAATTAAGGTAGTGAAACTACTATAACTCCAAATTCTTAATGTGGATATTCTGAACTTGGTAAAAGAAAAAATAGCATTGAATAAATTGAGCAAAAATATAAATTACTTTATGATTTGGTGCACAATGTAACTAAAAATCCATCTAAAAAAAAAAAATGAATGGCATATCCATATTTCTACTTTAAAAAAAATAAATTTAATTAATTATAGTAAAGAAATCAAAATTCCCATTATTCTTCTTTTTAAGGAGGAGATGCAGAATAAGAAAATCCTTAATATGGACTGTGCAATTATTCTTCTGTTGATAATGAATTAGGCTATGAGAAGATAGGTTCTTTGATGAAACACTATATTATAAATAAATTGTTATACATCATCAAAATATTAAACATCATCATCACTATTTAATTATGGAACAAATACTGGAGGTACTTATTTATTTAATATCATATTCCAATCTATATTTTTAAACCATGGATGTTTTTTAATCTATTATATTTAATTCCATTTATACTTCATTTGCTGAATTAATTCTAGAATTTGGATCTTTTTGCAATAATTTTGATAATAAATCTTTTAATTGAGAAGAAACACCAATTTTTTTGTAATTAATTTCATGATGAAGAATTTAATTAAATAATTCTTCTTTAGTTTCTGCATAAAATGCTGGTTAACCAATTACCATTTCATAAATCAAAGTTCCAAATGTCCACCAATCAGCTGCTTTTCCATGATTTCCTGCTAATAATTCTGGAGCCAAATACTCAGCTGTTCCACATTTCGAATGTGCTCCAAAATTACCTTGAATTCCTTATTTAGAGAATCCGAAATCTGTTAATTTTATATAACCTTCTGAATCAATCAAAATATTTTCTGGTTTTAAACTTATTTCTTTAATAAATATATTTACTCTCTATAAATTATATCTTATTCATGTAAGTATTAGAAGGCTAGGATAATTTGAGATGCATAAAACTTAGCTCTTTTATTATTAATAATTTATTTACTGTTCTTCAGTTAATTTGTTTTTTTAAACTAATAAATTGTATAGTTCTCCACCTGGACAATATTGTAAACAAAAGTATAACTTAGTTTCATTTTAGAATGCATATTCTAATTTTATTATGAATGGATGCTGACAGTTTTACTAAAAATATAAATTCTATTATAATTACAAGAATGTTTCTCTCTGCATAGATTTATTTCACTTAATGATTTTATACCAATTAGGTTTTTTTGATCACCTTAAGAGCATATGTTTTTTGGTTGTCCTTTTTTCTTACAAGAACAACCTTACCTATTGAACCTTTTCCTATTACACTTAAAAGATGGAATTAATCAAGAGATACTTTCTTTCTATCTGATGATAAACTATTTTTTGAATCCCTATAAATACTTATGTTATTGTATCAAATACACTACATTTAGACCTATATTTTTATCTTAGTTATTTTTCATGACTTTTATTTATGTTTTTTTTCTAATTTAAAAACGAAATTAATAAAATAAAAGTAAAGAAAAATTATTGCAAAAAAAAACTGATTAAAAATTGTTAATCAATTTAAAAATCTTCATTCTTTGGTTTAATTCATCTTATATTTGTTTTTATTAAAATTATACCCTTATTAGAAGTTTCTTAACTTTTTTGTAATTAAAAATAAAGAAAATATTAAAATATCATATAAAACATAAAAGAAACTAAAGTATTGTAGTATTTAATCTATTTACTTTTATAAAGATTCATTAATGAGATGAATTTATTTTATTTTTAAATTTGTTCTGAATTGAATCGTTTAAAAATAATACATTTATTATTTATTTATGATATAGAATTAAATAACAATAAAAATATTTTCATAGAGTCTTTTTATCTTCGTTTTAATTTCTCTAATTTGGCTAAGTTCGAATAGGTTGCTAAATTAAAAGATAGTGTTATTACTCTTAAAATTATAAAAATCAAAATTAATCCAATGCAACTTATAAAAAAGTAAATCTAAATAATTTCTTGTATTGCATGAATTTCTTATAAAGAATCGCTGTTTGGCAATTTATTTAAAAATAGTCCATAAAAACACATTTCTATCAAGCTGATTATCCATTAAATGTTTATACAATATAAAATTCCAAATTCTGGCAATTAATATGGAATAATAGAAAATATTTATGTTCCTATTCCTAAACAATAGCCTAATTATAAGAGAATTAAAGCCCAGATTGAATCTGAAAATCCTAAAAATGCTAAAGCAATGCAAATGAGGGATTATCCAATTAAAGTTATAATTTTTTTTCTTTTAATAAAATGATAAAATATCATTTATAACAAAATTACAAACAATCCAGATCCAAAAGAACAATAATAATATTTATCAAAACTACTTTTATAAGATTTATTCATAGGTGTAAAAAGGAATGAAAAAATTAAGGTTTCTCCAGTAAATTATGTAAGCACAATTAATAGACAACATTTAAAATACTTTTTTAAATACGGTTTCGAAATAAGATATTCAGATTGATTTGCTTAAAGATTGCCTTTCAAAGTTTGTTACTAAAATCCAAAGTAGGTTTAAATGTTATCATTATCATTATGAATTTCTTAATATATCATTTTCGATCTTCTTTAATCTTTAAGAGTATAAAGATAGTATTATGGAGTTTCAATTTATAAAAATTAAAGTAATACCATTCTAATAAAACAAATAAAGTTGAGTATTAAAACAATTTTCAGCGAAGTTGTGAATTCATCTTTTATAATTTTAAAAGTAAATATTCCTAAAAATTAACCAATAAGGAGTTGAAGTGGAAATAGCTTAAAGAAAAATTAGCTTTCTTTTTTAGAACACATTTATTTGACATAAATGATTGATTTGGCATAATTTATGCCATTAGCAATTCCAACAAATATTCTTAAAATCAGATATATTTAAACAAAGACATTTTAAGGTTTGAAAATATTATGTTTATCATCTTATGAGGAAGTTTGATCTGAATTAGATTAATCATCAATAGAAATTTGCAATAAAAGAATAGTGCAATTAGCTAAGAAATAAATTACATCAGAGAGGAGAAAAACAAATTTACTGGATTAATTTGCTAATAATCTAAAGATTAATTAGTAAATAATACTTGTAAATTTCTGATCCTAAAACACAACCAAAAATATAGATTCCATTTTATAATACTAAAGTTTCTGTAGCTTATTTTGAATTATCTTATGAATAGACAAAGGAATCTAAATTATGAATAGGTAGAGATTATTAGAGTGACAATTGAAAAATGTTTAAAGTTCCTATGAGTGGGAAAATAAATTTTTTAAGTTTAGGTATTTGTAGCATAAAATGTAGAAATAATTATTATTATTTATAATAAAAATATATATAGTGATTAGAATAAGATATGAAGTTCTTGAATGTATGAATAGATAGAAATATCAATATTTATTTTATTTGACAATTCTTGAGATTCTTTCTCTTGGATATTTTGGAATGATTTTAGAAAATGTACCTGGTACATACATAGTTTTAGGTAATTTAGTAACAGAATTAGATAAAGGATTTGAATTTGGTTCAGTAAGAATATGGGAAGGTATTTAAGGAATAGTTTATGTTAATTAGATTTATGGTAATTTAGTAGTATTAGGTGTAATAATAGTGGAAGAAGGTTCATTAATTATTAATTCATCATAATGATCTGAGAGAATTGAAATAGTTCCATTTAGTTTTTATAAGATAGATGAATTTAATGATTAGATACTTTAATCTCCATTAATAGATAAAGGATTATTTTGAGGATTTGATTAGTAATTGGATGATTTAATTTAATTTTCAGTTAGATTTAATTTTTTATTATTAAGATTAGACTATACTGGTTGATTTGTAATGATTGAATATTCTTCTTTAGTCATTTTTAAATGTATTTAAGATAGAGTTTTTTATAAATCTCTAGGATCTTTGATTTCAATTAAAGAATGTTAACGATCATTTCTTTTTTCATTTGTACCTTCAATGAAAGCAACTCCTTTTTGTAATTAAATAATATCAATTTAGGATGTGCTAAAACGATTAGATAAAGTAGAAGGATTACATTATTCAATGGTTTTCTTTTTATAATTATTAATGGATTCTAATTATTTTTTATGATTAGGAAAGAGGTCTTTAACTTCAAGTAATACTCTTTTTTCTTGGATATCTTTATAAGTTTTTGGATAACGTTCAACATCAGGTGGTTTCTAAACAAGGACTCTTCCTTCAAAATCGTAAGTGTATTTGGCTAAGTAAGTTGATTAATACATTTAGAATCAACATTTAATCTTTTAAGTTATCTATTCATTTCTTGGTATTCTTATTTCTTAATAAGATCTTATGTCTGTTTTTATTATTAATTAAATATCTATCTTGCTTTAGCTTATCTCATAGATTCAATCTCAGTATCGAAATCAAGATCATCATCTAAATCTCCCATTTTTACTGGTTAAGTATCAAATCTCTCTATTTCTACTCTAGGAATCATTGTAGTTTATAATTTTGATTCTCTTCTAAAAGATCTATTTTCAATTAATATTCTTTTAGAATTTAAAACTTAACCAATCATTCTTCTCCAATGTTCTATTCGACATGGTTAAGGTTCAATTTCATCTTCATTAAAATCAATCTAATTAATATCTTCTATTTAATCTATAATAATCATATTAATAAATTATTCTGTCCAATTACATCCAAATGGTATCAATTAATTCATTATATTATTCTCTTAAATAATTCTATTTGCTTTTTATATTATTTATCCACAAATAAATTTACTCACTATAATACTTTCTGTTAACATTTAACCCAATTATTCATCTTCATAATTTTAACATAATAGTTCCAAATTTGGAAAATCTTAAAATTATATAGATAATATACCATGTATACTCATTTAAGATAATTTACGTTTAGGAGATCCTGGTTAACTTGATACTTCAATACTCCTTCTTTTCATTTATAAAATAATAATTATTAATTCATTAAAATTAAATGATAAATTATCTTTCATCAATCATTTATACTAATTTAAAACTTGATTCATCTATAAATTCATTTGTAATCTACAATTCAAATATTTTTGATACACCTTCTGATCTTTCTGATATTATTTTACATAATATATATGTTTATTAATAATAATAAATGTTCATTCAATAGCTGCTGCTAATACTGATACTTATATCAAAGGATTACTATCACCTTTATTTCCTATTACTATTACTAAAAAATTCATAAATGAAGAACTATAATTCATTATTTCCAAATCCATAATCAGTTTAAATTAAATAACATAACATTGAGCTAATTTATTTGGATTAAAAAAATATTCAAATATAGATTACTAAAATTGAAAAAAAGATATGATTTTGTTTTTATAATAAAACATTCCTCTTATATTTATTTTGTTCTTTTATAGTAATAAAATATCTTAAATAATGTCATAATAATAATTTTTGTAGTTTTTTTTTTCAAAATTTGATATTTTATTATAAATCCTTTACAAATTATTGGATTTGAGTAAAGTTTTAATTAAATGATATGATATCTAGATAATAAACATCGATTTATTCTATTCTTTTCAATTTAACTTCAATTAATTGTTCATTGTTAAGTTTAAATGTGATTGAGTAATTTTCATAAAAAATAATTGTGAAATGCATTTTCAAATAATTATGAATTATATTGATAAATAATTAGGGATGTTTTTTGGTTATAAATGATAAATGATAAGGACCAGTATGTTATTCTATTCCCCTAATATTGATTGGTTATCTGGGAGAATTTCTTAAACTATTTAATCCAGAAGTAAATCTTTAAAGAATATTTTAAGTGGACCAAGATTCATCTATTTTAAGAGTAGTTTAAAATTTAATTTTTTCTGAATCGTTAATATTTTTAGTTTGAGAATAAGAGTTTTTAGTATAAGTTTTATTAGGATTAGAATGGTTTATAATTTTAAGATTTTTATTTTCATGAATGTTTTAAACAATTTTTGAGAATTATATTTATTTCATGAGTGCAGAATATTATTTTGAAGGCTATTTTTTATGTTTATTATAAGAAAAATAATGATTGGATGGTTTAGAAAAGATATTTAATTAATTATTAGTATTTGTATTATGAGTTTTTGGATTATGAGTGTTAGAAGATTCATGTAATGATTTTGAAGGTGCTTATTTCATTTTAATTTTATCATAGACCTATTTATAAGTACTATTTGATAATTTAGATGTAGTTGATATAGTATTTGATGACTTAGTAGGTGGCGATTTGGCTACAGGTGATTTAGCATTTCTTGGAGAATTTTTAGGTAAATTTGGTATATCTTAATTATAAGGACTATTTGGTAGAAATTAACAAGGTATGGTTAAACATCTGGATTTGAATACTGACATAGAAGAATTCTAATAATATCGATATATTAGACATCTCTTTTCCATAATTGCCACCATTTATGACTTTTGATTTATTGTATAGAATATCTTTTTAATGGATTAACAATTAAAATTCTCTTAATAAGATCTTTGGCTTCAATAGATATGTGTTTAGGAAAAGAATACTCAGCATTTATGATCTTTTAATATAGATTTTGAGTATTTAGATCATCAAATGGTAAATAACCACAAATCATTGCAAATAAAATAATGCCACAACTCCATATATCTGTTAATTATCCATTATATGGTTCTCCTTGTATCATTTCTGGAGCTGCATAACAAGGACTACCACAACAAGTCTTTAATATATCTTTTTAAATATTGCTTAATCCAAAATCAGCAATTAGAACATCTCTGTCACCAGTCAATAATATATTTTCTGGTTTTAAATCTCTATGAATCACTTTTTGACTATGCATATATTCTAATCCAGAAATGATCTAATGAAACAATTTGCAGGCTTCGTATTCTGTTACTCTATTCATTTAAAATGAATTATCTTACTATTTCACTCTATCAATATAATCAAATAGTTCTCCACCATTCGCATACTCCATGAATAAATAGATATGGTTTTCTGTCTCTATTACCTATTCATTATTCTATGCTAAATTTTAACCTCGTAAAGTTTCACAATCTAAGGATGATGAAGCAATTTCAATATTTGAATTTCTCTTCTCACTCGCTCTATATCTCCTTCTTATATTATATGTCTCTTCTCAATAACCTTTACTGCTGCTTCCTTCCCTAATACTTTATTTATTGCTTGACAAACCTTACTAAATGTACCTTATCCTATTGTCTTCCCTATTATTTAATATTTATACTTCAACTACCTATTATATAATTACCGATCTCACTCATATCAAAATATGATTGTTGAAAATATTTTCTATTTTTTTTATTATGAATTAAATATAAACTCATGTTATCCATCAAATATTCTAATAGGCACATTTCTAAAATGATTAACTATACCCTTTTCAAGATTTTATATCTTATCTAAATTCATTGGTAATAAATTTTATAACTTTTAGATAAATCAACAATTCCCCTTTGAAATAATTGAACCAATCCTTCAAGATGAGAATCCTACATAACTTAATCTACTTTCTATTCATGATTTTGCCAATATTATTCTCTAAGAATTTCAATCCTAAATCTAAATCAAATAAAATGCTTTAGATCAAATCTAAATATACAAAAATGAATATTCCAAATTATTAGATGAATTCAAGGTAGCTAAATAAGAAGAAAGTTTGAATTAATACTAAATTGATATTGATAGCACTCTATTCATTACTGTTTCTCATGCAGAATGTTTGAAATCAAATCAATATTTTGTCACAATAACACTTTTTAATGAATCAAAGAATACTCAGATATCAAATAATACTAATCATCCTATTTGGTAAGAAGAATTCAAAATGTAAAAAATTATAAAACTATGTAGAATAGTCATGTAACTTCGCCACATGGTTAAATTATTATTGAATTATTCAATTAATCTCAAGTTCTAATTGGTTAATTAAAATTACCATTATATCAATTTAAAGATCAGTAGAGTTCAAATTTGGATTATTTACTTGAAGATCAACATGGTGTACTTATAAATACTAAATTGAAACTTAATTTAACAATATGGTGGATTCATAGCAAAGTTGCTTTACTATAAGATTAAATTATATTTGTTGATGAATATAAAAAAGAAATCAATGAATAATAATAGATAATCTAAAAATGCAATAATTTTATTGATACTTGTGTTTTAGCATTCGATGAATCAAGAATTATAAAAATAAAATAACATCCTTAAGAAGTATGTCAAGAACCTGATTCATAGGAATAATGGACTAATAAATTCTAAACTAAAATGTATTAAATTGCAAAATAATTTAAAAGTATAAACTATATTATTTTAATAAAGATGAACATTAAGACAGTCTTGAAGAATGGTAATAAATAGTATTAATACTGAATGGATTTGTAACTATTTTTACACTTGTCTTAATTTCTTTGGCTAGACCATATTTTTAACAATTATCAATCTCCTTGTTTATTGGTATGTTAATATTGACCTATGATTCTGAACATATAAAAACATCAAAGATTTTACCATAAATATCTTTGATTTTATTAATCTAATGCATTTTTGATGGTTTTTGGTTGATTGTTAATTATGTATAATTTATATAATAGATATAAGAGAGTTTGGTGGAGTTGTACATTAATTTTCGAATAACAATTATTTGGTAGTAATATTATGAATTATATTTCCTATTATTGTACGATTATTATTTTACCCATCAATTTAATTTTGACAGCTTGTTCATTCAACTTATCCTTAAAATATTTAGCATAAAATAATATAGAATTATGATAATAATTAGATTTATAATAATAATTAGATAATTTTTAACAATTTTTTTGATTTTTTTTCAATAAATAATTTAAATATTAAATTAAAAATGATAGTTTTAGTTCGACATGGTGAAAGAGCAGACAATTGTTTAATTGAATCTAAAAATATTTTAAATCTACATGATCCTCATCTTACTCCAAAAGGTTGTGAATAAGCTTAATAAGCAGGAAAGTTAATATTGAAGGAAATTGAAAAATTTAATAAAGTTGATATTCAATCTTCTCCTTTTTTAAGATGTATAATGACTGCTAAAAATATTGCTAATTAAATAAAAAAAGATGAAGTTTCTTTATATACAGAAATTTGTGAAACTTTGTATTCTAATTTTTTCTCGAGTAATCCATTACCTAGATTAATTATTAATAATAATCCAGATTTAAACTATTTTTCTGGAATATCTTTAATTGATTAACAAAGTGAATCAGAAGATATTTATCCAGAAACACTTGAAGATGTGAATTATAGAATTTTAACTTACATCTAAAAAGTAATAGAAACAATTTAAGATGATTAATGTATAATTTTAGTAACTCATCAAAGACCTTTAAAAACAATTTTAGAATAATTTAATTAATTAACAGAAGAAGTAGGTTATTGTAAGGTAATTTCTTTAAGAAAAGGGGACTCTATACAATTAGAAGAATGTCAACTTAGCATTTATTGATTTATGTCTTTTTTTTATTTTTTACATAATATATACAGCACTTAACAATAAAACTTTTTATAATTGATTAAATCAATCATTTTTTGGATCTGCATTTAATTATTTACTCTTTTTTAGATCTGATAGTTCTCCTTAAAAGTTAGCTGGTTTGTTGCCATTTTAATGAACTTTGTTTTCATCATCTTCTCCTGAATCGGAATCACTATAATCAATATTTGGTAATTATTTTCTTTTTTTATTATCCAATTCATGTTATTCTCTTTATTATCTTATGCTATCGTCATACATCTTGAAGTCTTTTTCTTTTTCACGTTAATGTTTATTTTTTTCATATTTTTTAGCTAAAATAATATCAGCCTTTCTTTAATTATAATTATAAATCAGAAATGGCTTAACATAATTCTCATCAAAATTTTTAAAAAACTTTTCACTTTTATGTTCAATTCTTTTATAATTAGTTACGTCTTCTTAAATGAAAGTTTGTCTTATGGCTTATGATTATGTTGATTAAACTCTTGACATATAAACTGAAGTATCCTTATCCATTTATTTATAAGCCCATTCACAAACATATTTTAATGTTCCTCCAATAATTAAGGTAGTAAATACAACCATATATAAAGTAGTGGTTTAAATAATTTTATAATAATCTCCTCCACCAATTACTTATTCACAAATTAATGCATAAGCAACAACTCCTTTAATTAATCCAGAATAGAAAAGTATGAAAAACTCATACTTATTAATTCTCCAGGGTCCTTTTGTTTTCAGTCTCAATCTAATTAAGAATAATAATTGAAATTACATAATTGCAAAACCATGTGCTAAAAGCATAGATGCTAATTTAGCTATTGGAGAAAAAAAAAAGTATTAAACAAGAAAAAATGTGTAGACTTAAGATTTCACATTTACAGCATCATTATCATTAGGTTGAACAATTGCATTTTCAGTAACCATATATCCAATATAAAAGTAAATAATCGTTTCACTTATATAAGCAAGCGCTTTTATTGTTATTTTAGAGGAAGCAGAAGAAATTTTGGGTAAATTGTAGGTTTAATAATGAGATAACATTATACCACAAATTAAAACAGCTAAAACACCACAAAAGTCTATAGCTTCACAAATACAAAATGAAAAGTAAGCAATATAAATAGTAAAGGCAGTAACAACAGAAGAATGTTCAGATAAAAATCTAGATTCTTTAGTAATCCAAGTTGCTATAGAGCCCACTACGAAACCTACAATTAAACCAACTAAAATATTTGCTAGAATCCATCCAATAAATATGAATACATTATACCATTTTTCATCTTATCCTGCCTTTCCGTCATGAAATTTCTCAACAGTTTTACTTATAGCAAATACAACAACATCATTTAAGATTTGTTCTCCAAAAATTATACTATGTAATTTAGGAGCATGTTCAAATTCCAATACACTTAAAGAAACAGCACTATCTTTTGATGTAATACAAGATGAATAGAAAGCTTATGCATATAGGGAATTATTCATTGAGTCATTTAAACTACTGTTTGAAGGTTAAACCCAAAATATATCTAGAATCTAAGGTTAATTTTACTTGTGTTTGTGAGAGAGTAATTTAATGATGCCAAAATCACAAAATTGAAAATTGTTCCAAATATACCATATAATATTACATAAAAGAAGTTTTTCATAAAATGCTGTTTATTTAAATTGTACCCTTCCTTAAACACTATTATTGGAAGCAAAACAAAAAAAAATATTTTCGAAGAATTGTCATATTGAATTTTCTATAATAATGGGAATTCGGTAAAAAGACCTATTAATACTCCTATTATTATAGCCACTGAGGCCTCTCTCAATAAATTATATTTTTTATGTTCACAAAAAGTTTAAAGCAATGCGATTATCCCTAAAATGGTTGTAATTACAATGAAAATTCCTCCTGTAATTAGAGAATTTTTATCTATGTTAGATGTTTAAATAAATGGATTCAAGTCCATTTTGTTTATCTATAAATATAGAATTTATTATTAATGATTAATTTACATGTTGTAATCATCATATTATATAAATTAATTGATTTATTTTATAATAAATTTTTGAACTTAATTTTAAGTAATCACACAAATTCAATTTCTATAAGACTTTAGACTAATTAAATTAACTAAATTACTAAAATGAACAGATAAGAAATAATGAATATGAAGCCAGAGAAAAAGATATCTAATTATAGTTTCAGCCTCAAGGCAATATTGGGTAAAGGTTCTTATGGAACAGTTTATTTTGGAAGAGAAATGAATAGCTGTATTTTATAATATAATATAAATTAGAATTACCTGTTGCTCTTAAGGTCATTGATCATTCAAAAGCTTAAAACTATGGATAATTATACACTTCACTTCATAAAGAAATAGAAATTATGAAAAGATTAAAACATCCTAACATAGTTTAATTATATGATGTATATTCTACATAAAATAATACTTATTTGGTCTAAGAATATTGTAATGGACCAGATTTAAAATAATATTTGGCTGCCAAAAAGAATTTGGAAGAAGATGAAGCTATAAAAATGATAAAGTAAATTGCAAATGGACTAAAAGAAATAGTCAGCAACAATTTTATTCATAGAGATCTTAAACCAGCCAATATACTTATTAATGATGGATAATGTAAAATAGCTGATTTTGGTTTCTCAAGACCATTACCATCAGAATGTGTAATGGAATCCTTAGTAGGTACACCACTTTATATGGCACCCTAAATTCTAACAAAATAATAATACACTTCAAAATGTGATGTTTGGTCATTAGGATTAATATTTTATGAAATGCTATTTGGTACTCTTCCTTGGATTGTCACAAATTATATGGAGTTAGTTTATAAAATTAATAACTGCAAATTAACTTTTCCAAAAAATACTAAGATTTCTAAAGAATCTATGTCTTTTATTCAAGGATGCTTACATAAAGATGAACTTTAAAGATTAAGTTGGAATGAAGTCTTTCTTCATCCATTAATTAAACCATAAATGAAAATATCTATAGATCCAGGAATTAATGAAATATTTAGTCCAAAATTTTCAACTCATAGATAAAATTAATCTAATGATAAATCATCACTTCCAAGTGTTAGAGAAAGAAGTTGTTCAGGAAAGAATCTTTAAAATAAAATGACAGAATATAAAAGTGAAATTAAAATAGAATAAAAATAAGAACCAATACCTGCAAGTTCAAGTTAATAATCTACTGAAGGAGAAGAAAACATTAAAGTTGCAAATTATTTTCTTCCTAAATAGTAAGATAAATTAAGAAGAACAAGATCATAATTTGAAAATATTAAACCTAATTTAACTGAAATCAATTCTAAAAGATAAATCTAATAACCTTTACCTTCAAATGGAAATCTTATCAGATAAGCATTTCCAAGTAAAAGAAAAAATTTATATGAATAATTTTCAAAAAACAACCCTTGCAAATTTAAATAAAATTTTGAAATTCTCCTATAATTGCTTGATCTAATAGCATCATTAGAAAAAGATATAAAAAATTAAGATGCTGATTTGGAAGCCTTTTTAAATAAAGAAAAAATTGCTATTTTAAATGGACATTAGAATTAAGGCATTAGAATCAAAAGAGCTTAATAATATCTTGAAAAACTTGAAGGTCGAAAGAAATAAAAATTAGAAACCTTTATTAATTTATTACAAAAAGATCGTGAGTCTTATGAAAATAATCTAAATTAACCTAAATAATATACTATAGCGGTACCACTATAGCTTTAATCCTGAATTTTGATTTTAATTAACTGCATTTTATAATATTATGTACTTCTCTGATACAGAATATTATTCCGTTGTCGAGTCAATAAAAGATCTAAACAATTTTACTGCCTTACAATAACAATCTCTGACTGAGAATACAAAAACTTTGCTGTCTTTAAATAATTCTTATTAAAATAATGCCCAATCCATTCTTAAATTGCTTCTCTAAGGAATTGGATAAAAATCAAATGAAAGAAATGAAAAAAATTTAGAATCTGACTTAAGAGACTGTCCTGATATTGTAAAATATTATTTTTATCAGAGTAGCTTGAAACACACTTTAAAAATACTTTAAACTAAATTTAAATCAAAAATTAGGAAATAATTGAAAAATTATTAATTTGCCAATAGAAAATAGAATTTAAAGCAAAAAGATAAAAATCTTTGTAAAAAAATGCTTCATGGGAACTGGCTCTAAAAGATGAAATAGATATATTAAAGAAAAAGGTTCATCAACTTAATGAAGCTTTATAATAAGTAGAAATTTAAATTTAAAATTTTTGAATAGCATTCCATAAAAATTTAACATGAAGAAAGAACAAATTTAGTAGTAGCAAGAGAATAACATGAAAATTTTGAGCAAGAATCCTTAAATTTATTAAAAAGTTTAAAAGATGATTACTTAAAATAATTGAAATAATTGTAATAGAGTTAAAAAGTGATTAGGCATTTTAATGAAGCTTTAGAATGAACAATTATTATATTCTTTTTTTATAATTAATATAATATATTTTAAATTTGAAATGGCGCTTGTTGAAGTAACAAACATAATTTTTGAAAATGAATTGGCTTTATTCTAAACTCCAATCTCATTACAAATAACATTTGAAGTTCTAAATGATTTAAGTGATGAAATAGAATGGAAGTAAAATAATTAATATTAAATTAGTTTAATTTATATTGGATCTCCTTTAAGTGAGAAATTTGATTAAGTTTTAGACAATTTTAGCATGGGTCCATTATAAAGAGGAGTAATGTAGTTTACAATTACGAGTCAACCTCCTAATTACTAATTGATTCCAACAAAAGAAGATTTGTTTAGTGTATCCGCCTTAATATTGACCGCCAAATATAGGTAAAAGGAATTTTTTAGAGTTGGTTATTATGTTTACAATAATTACACAGAAGCAGAGTTAATTGAAAATGAACCATAAGTAGTATTAATTGATAGAGTTTATCGACAAATAATGGGAAGTAATCCAAGAATTACAAAATTTCCAATTGATTGGGAAGGATAATTAACATAACTTTATGTTCTTCCAACAAATTAATAGTTTATGTTTGAGTCTATGATTCAACAATAATAGAATAATATTGGAATGCAAACTGAACAAAATGAACAAGTCTAATAGGGATAATAGAGTAATAGTACATTCACTCAAAATTTATTTTGAATGTTTAATTATTTATATAATAAAAAAAATATTGAGATAATCAATTAATAATGATAGCTGGATATTTGTAAAATAAATTAATAGCATAATCGACCATTTAGGAAGTGCATGGAACTGATATGTTAGCGACTTTAGGTATCATAAAGATTAATAATTAAATATAGATAGAAGAACTTCAAAATTTAATATGGGTGGATAATCTCAGTAATAATAGAATCCATTAGATTTGGTTTAAATTAGTAGTGCATTACCTTAAATTACATTTTCGTAGTAAACTGATTAAAGATTGTAAAATCTTTTAAATATAAACTACTAATAATTAATATCACAATAAGCAAGTCCTCCAAACATTGATTTGATTAATTAAATTAAGGTTTATGAAAATAAATATAATATTTTAGGAATAAGCAAGAGTTGTTAGGATTCATTATTAAACTTGATTAAATTATGATATATTATAATATATTAATTATATAAAAATTTAAAATCATTATACAAAATGGAATCTGAACAACCTGAAAGTTATATTAAAGATGAGATAGTTTGGGCTAAAATAAGAGGATGTACGTGGTATAAATTAATTTAGACCCTTGGTGGCCTGGAATTGTAGCTGAAGTGATAAAAGATAAATAGTCATCAGAACCTACAAAATACCTTGTAAATTTCATAGGAGATAATTCACAGTATGATTAACCTTTGAATAGAAGTTCCACATTACCTTTTTAAAGTCTTGCCAAATATTAGGAAAAGTATGATGAAATAGTACCAAAAATCAAAACAAAGATACATAAAGATTCAGTCACTGCAGCAGATTAAATTTTGAAAGGACAGTCAACATATGAAAGTATTTAAATTCTGATAATAGTTGAATCAAAAAAACTTTCTAAAAAAAAGAATAAACGAAAGAGAACAAGGTCATCCTCAAGCGAAGAACATAGTGGTATATATGGATCATCTAGAAAATCAAAGATGGATTCAGAGGATATTACAAAACCGGACAATTTTAGTTCTGAAATTTAAGAATTATTAAAATTGATAAGTGAGACAAAATTAAACCCCATTTAAATCGAAACAAAAATATCAAGTGTATAATAAATATTATAATCATAGCTGATGCAAATTGTTGATTTAGATAGACCAGATATAATGGAGATTTTATAAGGTCCAAATGGAAAATTGTTAATGTAAATACAGGCAAGATTAACTGATAAAAAGATTCTTTCTCGAGCATAAGGAGATTTTACATAACTACTTGAGAAATTGAAATCAATTGTATTAAGAACGGTAATAGAGAAATGAAAAACCTAGTTTTTTACAGTATTTTGACCCAACCGAAATCATCCAGTAACTTCATTAAGTCTCAGGTTAGAAGAAGATCACTTAAAAATTGTTGGAGAAGTTGTCAAATTAACCAAACTTTATTTTAGATTGTAATGTTAGATACCAATTTAAAAGCTGAAGATGATAGTGAGGAATCTGATTCAGAAGAGAGTGATGGTGAGAGTGAAGAGGAAGAATCTAGTGAAGTATCAGTGAAGAAAGGAAAATATTAAAGATAGGTTCCAATAGCTAAACCAGTTATTAGAAAAAAATATACATAAACTCAATCACCTAAAAAACCAAGAAAATAAAGTTAAGATGTTCCTAATCCTTTATAAAAAAACAGAGTAGTTTAGAAAATATCTGAGACTATATCTGAATATACAGATTAAAGTATTCCAAAAAGAATAAGTGAAGATATAGAAAGTAGAATTAGATCATGCGATTCAAATATGGGATTTGTATATAAGAAAAAATATCGTACAATTCTCGATAATATTAAAGTATAAATATTTATAGATTTTAGAAATCATCAAAACTTGAACTTATCAACTTATTGGGAGGAAGTTCTAACTCAGAATAGTTATGGAGTAAATATAATTTATATTTAGATTATCTGAATGGTCACATTCAAAGTATGAATTAAAGTGGAAACAAATAAAATGATTATGAATAATAATAATATTGATGAATATGTTAAACTAATATTATTCAAAAATATACATTGTCTGATAATTAATTTAAATTCAAATATTATTATCGAAACTTCATGGATATTTATTAACTATTAAGTTTTGATGGATTCAACAACACTTTGGAGATCCTACTTAACAAAATGGCATGTTAAAAATTGCAATAGATCTAAAATAATCTAAATATTATATGCATAATCGGATCTCAAAAATCTGGTAAAAGTTGGTTACTGAATAAATTGTTTATGCAAGGTTAAGGTTTTCAATCTAGTACTAAAGTATCAATCATAATAAACTCAAGGGATTTTATTTTACATATGATGGTTAATTGATAATAGATACAGAAGGATTGGGATGTGGTGATCAAAGAAAAGACATTCAAATTATATTACTTGCTTCTCTGTTATCTAGCGTTGTAATTTATTGCGGTAATTTTACAATTAATTTCCTTAGGTTATTCAGTTGAAGATTTTGAACTCATGATTAATCTTGAAGATTATGAGGACATTCTCCCTCCTTTTATTTGGGTTTTAAGAGATATTTAAAATAAAGATGCTCTTTAACCTAAAGATCTACTTGAAAGATAATTCAAATCATAAAATAGAGTGAAAAAACATTTATTAAAACTTTTCTCAGATTGTGTCACTATTCCATCTTCTAGTGAAAGTATAGAATTTATTGATTCCATGGCTTTATTAAGAAGAAAAGTACTTAATTATGCAAAACCTAAAAAAATCTATTAGAATATTTATCTTAATGGTCTTCTATTAGTTGACATGATTTAAATGGTTGTTGCAAAATTCAATAGTAATCAACCTGTTGATTTAAGATAAATTACTGAAACTATTGTAGATAAATAATCTACTGTCTTATTGAATGAAGCCTTTAAAAAATATGAATTATAAATTACATAGCTCAAATTACCAACATGTTCATTTGAAGAATTAAAAAATCATCATAAAGATTCTGAACTCAAAGCTTTAGAATATTTAAAATCTAAAATCAATGATAAAGATTTAAATGATGATTTACATCAAATGTGCAAAGATACATTTAAAGAAATCTGCAAAAGAAATGAATAAGAAGCTACTAATTTATGCAATTCATTCATAAACTAAGAATTTTAAACATTATAAAAACGATTATCAGAATATCGCAGTATTTTAGAATTTGAAAGAGATATCAAACTGTTCTATTAATTCTTATTAGAACATGGACCAAAAACTGTGTTAAAGTAATAAGTTTATTAAGAATTTTATAATAAAATGATGACAGAAGGTACTAACATGTTTATTAAATAATAAAATTAGTAATAATAATAGTAACAATAACCACTTTAAATAAAAAATGAAAATATTTCTACAGAAAAGGATAAAACTATAAATGAACTTATATGCAAAGTTAAAGAATAGGAAAATAAAATTTATTCACAATAATCATCAATCAAATTATTAGAAGAATAATTATTTTCTTCAGAAAAATAATTAGAAATTCTTCAAACTGAATTAATTAAATAAAAAGAATTACATCAATAACAATTCAAATAATTTGAAAGAAATCTTTATTTAAAAGAATCAGAATTTAATAAGATGAAAGCACTTAATGAATAAAAAATCCAACATCTAACAAAATAATTAGAATAGAGTTAACGTAAAGAAACCTAAATGGATTCTTCATTTCTAAATACTAAATCAGAATACACAATATAAATTAGAGATGTTTAATCTAAATATGAATAAATGATTACTTAGTTATAAGAAAGGCTTTTAGCATAAACTGATAAAACCTAATAACTTTAAGATTAATTAAATAATCTTGAACAATAAAATACTTAAGCTTAATTTAAATTGTAGAGTAAAGAGAGCAAGATATATGAATAATAACAATAAATTTAGTTATTGAAGAATTCTGTCGTATAATTACCATAAATTGATAATTCAAACAATGAAGAAAATGAAAAATAAATAGCTAGATTGAAAGAAATTATTGAATCTTAAGAAGTATAATTAAAAGAAAAGACATCTTAATTAATACAATACAAATCAAATTTAGAAAGAGAACAAGCATTGATAGCTTAAGAGAAATAATTCCTTGAAATTTAACTTAAAGATATTTCTGAATAATTAAAACTTGAAAAAAAGAACCATGAATAAACATTAAGTTTATTTGAAAGTTAAAATGATGTAAATAAAAGTTAAGTGTTTTCGAAGTAATATATGGAAATGAAAGATATGCATTTAAATGAAATGAAATAATTAGAATAGGAATTTGAAATCTAAAGAAGAAAAATGTAATAATAGATAGAATATTTAAATTCAGAATTAAATAAAACTGAAAGTCAGTTATTATATTAATAAAATGATTTTAGTAGAGAACTGTAATAAGCACAAAATTCGATTCTTAATTATGAAGATAATATTTAAAGATTGAATAAAGAATTTATGTTATTAGAATAATAAAAGGCAAGAATTTAAAGAGAATTGGAAGAGAAGTTAATTTTAAAAACAAAGAGTCATTAATAAGAAATTGAGGAATTGAAAAAATAGAATATAAATGAATATCGATTATTATAAAATAAAAACGAAGAATAAATTTCATAATTAAGATAAATGTATGATATAGAGAGACAAAAGATTGAATAAAAATTTATGGAAGATAGAAAGATTATGGAAGTAAAGTATAATTAAATGGTGGAAGAGTTGGAAAGTTAATTTGACAATAATTAAGATGAAGAAATTTAGAAGCTTTAAAAAAAACTTAAATAAAACGATTTATAATTGCAATAATTATAATAACATTTGTAAAATGAAAATGATTTGAAATAAAAATAGATTTTAACTTTGGAATAAGTAAATAGTTCATTGAAAATATCCATTCAATAATATTAGGAAGATTAATTAAATTTATAAAAGCAAATACAAGATTTACATTAAATTAATTAAATCAAGGAAGAAGAACTTAATATTTTAAAATAATAAGGATAATATGAATCATTGAATAATAATAAATAAGATCAAATTGAAAAAATTAAATAGAGTAATTAATTAGAAAAGCAAAAATTCAATGAATAAATTATTGAATTGAGGAAATAACTTGATGATGCTTAAGATGAAAATATTAAGATAAAAGTTGAATATGAAAAACAATTGGCATTAATCACATAAGAAAATGAATTTAATTCACATAAATTAGAATAACTATAAGTTTAAATAAAAAATTATGAATCTAAGAATTTTACACAATTAATTAAGATTGAAAGTAATGTTTCTTAGTTAACTCTCGAAACTGATCTTAAAGAATAGCAATAAAAATATGAAAAATTAAGATAATAATATAAGGAATAAGAAATAAATAATAATAAAATTGTTGTTGATTTACAATAATAAATAGAATAATTAAAAATTTAATTATAAGATGAATAAAATAGTTAATAAAAAAAAAATGTAAATATACCAGTCTAATAAAATGTTATTCATTCAAATACTTAAGTTATAAGTTAATTAAAACAATAAAATGAAAATTTGTAAAATGAAATATAAGAAATGAAATCATTACATGAAAGAGATGCATTACTATGGGAAGGTAAATTTAAATTCTTACAATAATAAAAAGATTAATCTAAATAAGATTTATAGGAGGCAATGAAAAAGTTTGAATTTACTATAAATCATCTCTAAAAAGCTAGATAATAGGATTTAGAGGAAGAAAGTAACTCAATTTCTGAGATGTTAGTAACTTTAGAGAAAAAGTATTAATTATAAGTTTTAGATCTTACAGAGCATCATTAAGCAATAGTTAATGAATATGTAATGAAGATTGAATAATTATAAAAAGAATTAAATTTGAACAATGTATCAAATTAAAATTATCATAATGGAAGAGGTGATTTTAGTGACATTTCTTTACTTTATGAAAATCAAATTGAATAATTAAAATTATAATATGAAACAAAAATAGAAGAATTATACTTAAATCATACTGAAGAGAGATAGATTTGGAGAGCTAAATTAAGTGAAGTAGAAGAGAAATTAAAAGAAGCTGAAATTAGAAGATCAAATATGGTATTTGAACATGAGAAGGAAAGAGCAAAATGGAATATTGAAAAAGATGAGTTAAAATATTAGAAAAGTGAACTTTAAGAATAATGTTCTAATTTAGAATAATAAAAGAATAAATCTGATAAAAAAAATAAAAAAGTTGGTACTATAAGAACAAGATTAAGTCCAAACAAATCTCCTGGTAATGTTTATTTAATATATTAGGAACATTTTCAAATGCATCTAAATTAGGATAATCTTTTGATACTTTCTAATAAGCAAGTATGGAACTTCCAGAAGAAAATAAATCGATTCATTTAAATCCTGGAGAATCATTCGAAGCTTATTATTTAGCATAAAAAAAGTATGATTGATAATTAATATATAAATTTATTATTAATGTTATTTGTAAAACAATAAGATTATAATCCAATTGAATAATATCAACCTACTTCACTGAATTATGGTTCAGGTATTTATACACCATAAAAACCTAAAATTGTATATAATAATGGGATTATTAATCAATAACCAAGAACTAGATCTGAGAGAGTACTTTAATGTATAATAATAGGAATATTAAAAAGATATGGATATAAGATCTGTTGGTCCTAGAGTGTAATAGATCTGTAAATATTTTAATTAAAATTTAGATTAAAAAAAAGATGATATGAAAAGTCTTCTGCACAATGCAATGCCTGATTCGACACTTTTTCAGGCAGGTATGTTTATTATTTGAAAAGCCAGAACGAGATAGATTTGCATAAGATTTTGCTGCGGAAGATAAAAAATAAAGAGAACTACAATATAAACTTAAATAATTATCTTATGAATCAAGAAGATTAGCTAATCTTTAAAGAGATGGAATATTATGGTAGCGAAATGAAGAGTATATTATTAAAGTACTTTATCAAATTATAAAAGGATGAATAACGCAGATAATATCACTCTGAATAATTTACAAGAGGTAAAAGAAACACTAATGGACTGGCTTACAATCCTATTACTTTGGAGTATGCTTAAAATGAAGCTGGTTAAAAATTGAAAAGATATGATGAATAACATCAAGTACGAAAATTTGTTAGGGCAAAAAATTTAGATTTTAGAGCTAATAGTGGTTATAATGTCTTAAGTGGTAAATTAAAATAAAAGAGATTAATAGGTTAGGAAAGATAAGGAGTTGATTAAATAGTCCCAGATGAATTAAGATCAGATTATTAATAAAGGGTTAAAAATTTATAAAATTAATTAAATTTAAAACATTATGCCTTCTAATAATAAATATTTTAATGAAAAATTATTATTTATTTAATATCGAATATAAAATATATTTTAAATATCTACTGATTTTACTTTTATAATAGTTTTCTGCTTTTTATATTTAAAAGAAGTGGCATATCATTTGCTTTAAATTATTATTTAAAACTTGAATCTTATTTAGTAAATATTAAATTAAATTCTTTAAACAAAAAAGAAATGCTATAAGAAAAATGTAATATATAATTGTTTCTATTTATTATAATTTAAATGCTAAAGATCTTATGAAAGATATTTCTTTCTTAAAGCGTCTAAATAAGGTATTATTTATAAATCTCAATTAATATTATTTAGATGATTTTAGAAAATATTTAGAAGGAATAGGATTTATAGGATAATGATATGGTATAAAAAATTTTGGAAGCCTTTTAAGCCTGTATAAAAAGGATCTAATGGAAGAAATAAAAGTTTCAAGAGTTAAAAGATCAAATGAGGAAGAAAAATCTTAAAATTAAATTGTTTGAAAATGGTAATAATTTCATCAATAAATAATATTATAGATCATGATAAAGAACATTAAAGAAGTAAAAGAAATTATCAAATATAGAAACGTAAAATAAAGAAATATGAATGTAAGATATGTAAAAACACTTATGATCAATATAAATATAAATAACTCGGAAGACATAAAAGAAAAGGATATCCATGGGTTTAATATTCAGCTCTTAGTTTTTATGAGCAAAAACTATGAGATTTATCCAAAATTATATATAGATTTAAAAATTTCAATTCAAAACAATGTTTATAATCTCTAATTTTAGATGAGCTTCCTAATTTTTTAAAGGTTTTATTGAAAAATAAATATAAAGGATTAATTTTTCTTTAAGTTAATTCAAAATAAAAATTTTGGAAGATCAAATTAATTTTGAAATATTGTTCTACAATGTTTACTAAAAAATAAAGAAAAAGTTTGTTAAAATGTGATATTTACTAATAAATATTATGTTCTTTAAGTAAAAAAGGATGATTATACAAAAAGTTTTATTGTTGAATAATGATTTATTTTATATAAAATGTCTAATTAAATTATATAAATATTCTAAATTCATGAATTTAATATTATTATCTAATTATAGTTAAGATAAAATCAAAAAAGTATTTTTATATTAATTAATATAATGGATTAATTACAAGAAGGTGATTATGTGACAATATTGAAAGATCCAATAAAAAATGAAAAAGGATTCATTAAATATGTTGGAGAATTAGAGGGTAGATCTGGTACATTTTATGGAATTCATTTGGATGTAATTTGAATTAAATAATTATAGAATAAACTTGGTACTCATAATGGTACATTATAAGGAAAGGAATATTTCAATTGTCCAGATGGTCATGGATTGTTCATTACAGGAAATCATTTAAAAAAAGCGAGTATTGTGAGAGATGCAAATAAGTAATTAAATTAATAATAATAATTAGAAAAACTACAAAAGTGACAAAGGATGAGCCTAAATAATAAAAATTAAAGACAAGTGCTAGTACTGCTGCAGTTGTTTAAAAATCATAAACATAAGCATAAACTTAATAAGGAGGGAATTAAACTACAAAGTAAACAACTCTTAAAAGAAATGAGTCAAAAAAGGAGACTGTAGTAAAAAGAACAGTTGAAGAATAAATAGAAGAGAGATTGCCAACTATAGAAGCAGAAGATATTTAGGATGTAAAAAAAATAAAAAATTTTAGCCACAATAATTAATTAAGCAATAATAAGAACCTGAACCTTAATTTTTAGATCATTAATAAGAATTAGATAGTGTTAAATAGTAATTAAATGCTTTAAAAATTGTTGCAAATGATTACAAGTTAGAAAATAAATCATTGAAAAAGAAAGTAGACTAATTAGAATAAGAAATAACAGAATAATTGGAAGATTTAGATTCTTATGAAAAATTAATTATGGAATGTGAATAGTTAAAATCTGATAAAGATATTCTAACTTTAAAATTTTAAGAGTAAGAAGCCACAATATAATAATTACAATAATAGGTAAGTTAATTACAATTTGAAAAAGAATTAGCAGATTTAGAAATTGAAGAAGCATTAGTTACTTGTGGAGCTAATCTTTAAGTAGGTACTTAAGAATCAAGTGAAGTTGCACTTAAAAATACATAATTGTAAAAAGCTTTGGGTTAATTGAAATAAGAATATGATGATTATAAACAATAGAAAATAATTGAAATTTAATAATATTAAATTAGATTGGAAGCAATACCATCATTAAATGAAAAGGCTATGAAATGTACAAAATTAGAAAGTTAAGTAAAAAAGTTAACAGAAGAGAATTAAGAATTATGTTAAAGAGTTGATGAAGGATAGGCATTATAAGATATGATAGAGAAAATGACAGAAACATTGATGAAAAAAGATGATATTATTGAAGAATTAAGAAATTAAGTTAAAACAATAAATGATGAAAAAAAATTAGATTAAGAATTAATTTAAACTTTATTAGATGAAAGTAGTTCTTTAGAAAAAACATTGAATGATATGTAATTTAAATTAGATTAAGCTAATGCTTAAATTAATAATAATTCAAATGATATATAAGAGAAAGATTTACAAATATAAAGATTAAAAGCAAAAGTAGCTCAATTAAATAAATAATTTGATCAATAAAGATTAGAAGAGGATACTAATTAAAATGAGAACTTAAAAAAAACATTAGTAGATGAAATAAATCTTAAAAATTAGGAGTTGTTATTATAATAAAGAGATACCTATAAAAAGTATATGAAAGTTGCATTAAATAATATTGAAATAAGAAATCAAATAGCATTAAAAGGAATTATTATTTATAAATCATTACCATAAGATTATTGTACAAAACTAAAATTCAACCTCTTAGAGCCTATTATTTTAGTAAGAAAATTAAGTGAAAAGTCAATGTTAGTAGCAGATGAATTTTTATAACAATTAGAAAATCGAAGTGATAAATTAATAAGAGAAGAATTGTAAGATTTAGGATTTTGGATGTTAAATGCTCATAAATCACTTTCTTAATTGAGTGATTTATGTAATATATTTACAATATATTTATAAAATTAAACAGACAGAGAATCATTAGAGAAAGTTGCTAGAAATGGAATACTTTTGAATTAATTTAAAATTGCTGATACTTTAGTTGATATGATTATATAATGTGTGCAAAATGAAAAAATTAGCACATAACTTTCATTATCAGAATTACAATTTGCAATTTAAAGAATCAATGATGATTTAAGTAATCTTGAGATTCAAGAAGGAGCAGTAATTGAATCCTTACTAAATCAAATAGTATAAAAATATAGTTATTCAATCTTTAATTTTAAAGTAATCATTAATTAATAAACTACTTCAATTCTTCAACAGATAACTGTTGATTAATTAATTGATACTTTAATATAGAGATGTAAGGAACTATCAAAATAACTACGTTATGGTAGATAATGTTGGGGAGGATATTTTAGCAGAAAAAATGATAGATTCACAGAGTTAATAAATTATTTATAATAGTTATTATAGTAAGATTTGAATAAGTTAGAATTAGATTAATATAAATCATATATATCATGTTAAGGAGAATCTGTATCATAATCCTATAGAGATAGATGTGTATCTATTGTCCATTTATTAAATTAAATTAATTAATAATTTGATGAATAGAATATAAACGAAGAATTTTTATCAAATAAGCCTACTTAACATTCTTATGCATAAACATCTCTTTGGGCTTAATGGTAAAAGGAACTAAAATCTTAATTATCTGATATTTCATATACAATTGAATCTGAAAAGAGACTGAAAGATGAGTTATAGAAGTTATAATAAGAGAAATCTCAAATGTATTCTGATTGTGTTGCATTACGTAAAAATAAAGAAGCTTTAGAAAATAGAGTTGTAGATTTATAAATCAAAGCTGATAGAGTACAAGTTCTTGAAAATGAAAAACAAAGACATTTGGAGAAAATTAGAGGATTTAATGAAGCATCAGAATTAACAAGGAAAGAAATTGATAATTTAGAAAACAAATTGAAAGAAAGTGAAGAGATAAAGAAATAATTAGAAGAACAAATTACTTTATATTAATAGTAATAACCTAAAAACACTTTCTTAGATTAACTTCAAGGTCGAAATTATAGAAAAAGTGGTACTATGATGTTAATTTAATCATCAAATAACCTAGATTCAGAGAATAATTTTAATAATCTATAAGAATTGACAATCAATAAAGGAATTGAGGCAGTTTTACTGAAAGAGAATCAACAATTAAAACTATATAAACTAAGAGATGAAATAATTTCAATAACTTCATCAAATGAATAATCTTAAATAGATGAGAAGTTATTATAAATTAGAAAATTAAAAATGAAATAATTAAGAAGTATGGCATTGAATGAAAAATTTGATGCTAGAAACTAAGCAACAAGATTTTATGTCAAGTAAAGTGGAATTAAAATTACAAATACAGTCTTGATGGATACTTTATAGGCAATTATTGCAGTTTGAAAATTATGAGTTGAAATAAAAATATAATAATATATAAAAAGTCATTATAATCTTCTATTATTAGTTCTCTTTAATATAGATTTTTTATTTGATAAATTTTAAGCATTTTCTAAGTCAAGAGATGGATTCATCCATTCAATATTTTTGAGTCCTTAACATTTCAACACTTATTTTTTAATTTAAGTGACTTCTTTGTCTGGATGATAGTTAAGTACAATAAGAAGGTCATTAAATTTGATTTCCTTACAATTTTCATCTAGAAGCAAAGGGTCTTCATCTATCAGTTCATCTTTTTGTAAGGGATTCAAAGGCGTAGGCATTGAAATTTTTTATATTGGTGAAAAGGAATTCATAAAAATACAATTTATTATAATAACCAAAAAAGATATTGAGTTGATGTTTATAATGTGAATTTTATTCTTGATGATTCATATTTAATCATATAATTTAACAAATTAAGATATTTCTAATGATATTTAATATATATAATTAAGTGTATATATTTAATATTAATTATAAATTTAATCAATAAATAAATAGTAAATAATAAAGGAATTAGTTGAATAAAGAATAGGAATATGAAAATGTTCTTGAGTTACTTAAACATTTGCAAAAAAATATTAAAATTTAGTTAGGAATGCAATAGAAACTTCAATTAATTGGGAGTTTACTGAAAACTATTTTTAGTGATTTATTTCTTGCAGGCTTTTATGAAGTTTTAGATGGTATGATGTATAAGATGAAAAATTAGATAAATATTTGGAAATAGATCAATATTAAAGTACAATATCTACAACATCTAGAATTGAGAAAGGTAATGATAATGTAGTTAATGAGGGTTGAGGAAAAGTTCAGATTCAAGAAGATATGAAAATTTGATTAGAAATAGAGATAATAGGAAAAATAGAATGAAATAGTAATTCCTATAATAAAGAATGGGATTGTGTATTATGTTTTATATATTGATTCTGAACACTTGTCACGATTTAATGAAGTGGATTCTAAGTATTTATAAATAATTTTTGAGTATTTAATTTGATAAAATATTAATTAATGACACTTAGCTTTGAGTTATTGAATTTGAGACCTACATTTATGAGATTTGACATATGGCCATTCGTCATTGGTTATATTGCTTTGTATTCTTGGTGGAGTACTTTAGATGAAGAAGCCCCTATAGAAACAAATCCATTAATGGAAAAAATAAATAAAGCTACATTCTAAGGAGCTGAAAGTATATTTTAAAGTTATATATAGTTTATAATGATGAAGTATATTATGAATCAATGGAAAATATTTATGCAAGATTAACATTCATTGGTTTAGTGTTTTTTCATTCATTAGTATACATGAGTTCATATTGGTCAGTTTAAATGAAATCTAAAATTAGATATTATTCAGGAGGGAATAAACTTATTTTAAATAATATTAGAAATTACAAATATTGCAAAGTCTTATTTATTAAACAATAAAAATCTTATAGTGATATAGTATTAATCCATTCAGATTAAACAAATAAATTTTGGATTTACTTTATGGAAAACAAATATTTTTATGATGAAACTAAAGAATTATTTGTCAGATTAAAACCAAATGTAAAATTTAATCTTGAGAATTTGGAAAGATAATAAAAAACAGAAGAATATGAAAAGAATTCTTTATTAATTCCAATGAAGAAGTTTAATGAAGTTTTAAAAGAATAATTAATGGAACCCTTTTCATTCTTTTAAATTTTTAGTGTTTCCTTATGGTTATTAGATGAAAGTAGGATTTATGCTTTATTTACTTTATCTATGCTTTTTGTTACATCATGTACTGTAGTAATTTAAAGAATGAAAACAATGCTAACTCTTAGATAGATGAAATTGAATCCATAATTGATCACAGTTTATAGAAAGAATTAATGGACAAAGATTTCTTCAGAACTATTGATTCCTGGGGATATTGTGATATTATAAACAGCTGAATAAATAAAACCTGCTGTTAAAGATAATAATAGTAATGATGATGAGTAATTCTTAAGAGAATAGATTCCATTTTCTAAACATTTACCACCTAAATTATTTTAAGTTGAAACTATGAATGTTGATTCCTATAAATCTGTTCCATGTGATATTTTATTATTAAATGGTTAAGTAGTAGTAAATGAATCAATGTTAACTGGGGAGAGTGTACCATAAGTTAAAGAAGGAATCAATAAACATTAAAATGAACATTTAGATATTAAAAATAAACATAAATCGAATGTTATCTTTTGTGGAACTGAAATCATACAATTATAAGGTAATACTTAGTATCCATAATTTATCAATAATGATTAAAATTAATCTCATTGTTTAGGTTTAGTATTGAGAACAGGATTTGATACTGCAAAAGGAAAATTGATTAAAACTGTATTTTATAATAATGAAAATGCAAATGTTAAATAAACAGATGGATTATTTATAGTTGTTGTTTTATTAATCTTTGCATTAAGTGCTAGTGCTTATGTTTTAATGAATGGACTTTAAGAAGAATCTAGAAATAAAAATAAATTATTTATAAGATGTATTCTAATTGTAACTACTGTTGTCCCTCCTGAACTTCCTATGATTTTATCTATCGCTGTAAATTAATCCTTAGCTTTATTACAATTAAGAAAAATATTTTGTACTGAACCTTTCAGAATACCATTGGCTGGTAAAGTAGAAGTCTTGGCTTTTGATAAAACTGGAACATTAACTAATGATACTTTATTATTTACAGGAATTGTAGATAATTGTGTCCATAGGAGTGTAAAATCTAAAAGTGATTGTTCTTTATATTGCTAACAAATTTTAGCTGGTTGCCATTAATTAATCTATGCAGATAATAAATTACAAGGTGATCCTATTGAATTACTATTTTTATAATAAAACAATTAATGGAGTTATTAAACTTAATAAAAGTATGCCTAAAATAGAGATTTAGGACTATCACTTTATTAAAAATAAGTATTTTCATTCAAAAGTGATTTAAAAAGAATGAGTACTGTTGTCTAAGTTGATTAAAAAGGAGATAGACATTATAGATTATTAGTTAAAGGAGCACCAGAAGCATTATAATCACTATTTTAAGAAGTTCCAGATGAATATGAATATTGTTATTAACATTATTCAAATTTAGGATACAGAGTATTATGTTTGGCTGATAGAGAAATTAAAGAATTTGATAATCAAGAGAGAGAGGAATTAGAAAAGAATTTAATATTTCGTGGATTTCTAATTTGTGAATCCCCTCTAAAAACAGATACTTAATAATGGATTAAAAAATTCAAGTCTAGTTATTTCTAACCAATTATTATTACAGGAGATAATTTGCTTACTGCTATTGCTGTTGGTAAATAATTATAATTACATGATAATAAAAAGACTTATATTTTAGATTATTAAGATAATAATTATGTATTAATAGAACATGGAACTAAAAATACTAAAATTTTGAATAATTTAGAATAGGAAATCAAATAATCGGAAGGAATGTTATGTATTTCATCATAGATTATGGAAAAATTAGAAGATTCTCATTTATTAAAACTTATTATTAATTTTTGTATTTTTGCAAGAATGTCACCTAAATAGAAAGAAACAATTATTATATAATTTAAAAAATAAGGTAAAGGAGTTTTAATGTGTGGAGATGGAACAAATGATGTTGGTGCTTTAAAAAAGGCAGATGTAGGAATTGCCTTGGTTACAAATTAAGGAGAAGAATAAAAAGAAGATGAAGAAGAGGAAGAGAGAATTGCTAATTTATCATTTACAGAATAATTAAAATAAGTTAAAATATAATAAGAAGAATTAAGAAAGAAAATGAATGAGGCTAAAGGAGATAAAGAAAAAATGAAGAATATTGCTAATTAACATATGTAATAATAAGCAGCAGGATTATTTGATATGGGACCTAGTTATAAATTTGGTGATGCTTGCATTGCAGCTCCTTTTACATCTAAAATGTCTACTAGCATACGATGTGTTCATACTATTTTAAAATAAGGAGTTTGCACATTAGTAACTACAATATAAACTTATAAAATTATGGCTTTATAAAGTGTATTAAATGCATATTCTTTAAGTGCTTTGCATATGTAATCTTTAAAAATGAGTGAAACATAAATGACTTTAATGGGTATATTGGGAGCAGCCTATTATTTTTGTTATTCTTCTGCTAAACCTTAAAAGACTTTATCTAAAATTAAACCAAGCTTTTCTATTTTTGAATTTTCATTTTTCATTTCATTAACACTCTAAGTTATCTTACATATCTGGTCTATGCATTATGCTATTCATCATATTGCTATGCCAAATATGACTGATATTGAAAAGGAAATTAAAAATGACACTGAATTCAAACCAACTTTCTTAAATACAACTGTCTTTTTATTACAATTACTATAATAAAGTTGTATATTTTTATTTAATCATCCTGGAGAACCACATATGTAGAAAATTGATGTGAATTCTAAATTTTTCAAAAGCTTAGTAAAAATTTATATTAATTTATTTAGTTTATTCCTCTTGTTTTGTGTATAATATCAGCATTTAATTATAGTGAAATGTTGAATTCTTATCTTGAATTAACATTCCCTTCAAGTGAAGAACCAAGTGTACAATTAACTATGTTATGTTTGTTTGTAACCATAACTAATTGGTTAATAGAGAAAGGAACAAAAACTTTAAAATATAAAAAATGGTATGGATTTATTTGATAATGAGTTTATAAAGATGTTTGATTTAACAAAATATACCGAATCATATAATAATAATAATATAAAATATAAACAAAATTTGTGTTTTGAATAGAAAAAATTAATAAAAGAATTTAGTTGTTTTAATTAATGGATAATTTAGCTTAACTTGAAGCTTTAGATAGTTCCACAGTCAATACTCAATCTGATTAGACTACAGCAAATAATACAATGAACACAGTATTTGGAAACGAATTAGTCCGCTCTAATTCAAGTCCTAAAGTTTAACATTTAAGCGGAAAACCATTTAAAATAGGAGTAATCTATATAATAATCATTTAGATTTGTGGTGGTCACTCTTCAGGAAAAGCTTTACTAACTGAAAAACTTATGAATGAACTATAATCTTTAGGGTTTTTAGTAAGTGTGGTTAAACAAGATAACTTTGATGTAGATAGCGATGATTTCGATCATTAGTATTAATTTATTAATTTTTCTAGTAAACAAAATTCTGATACACTCAATAATGTACCTTATGTTAATAATTAAGATTATTAGAAGTTTTTGGTATTAATCATACTAATTCCTAGACAACAGCCATCAATACACTATTGACTACAAGAGACAAGAATGTTATCATAATTGAAGGAACCTTGATTTTGTATGATAGATAATTAAGAGATTTGCTTGATTTGAAGATATTCTTACATCATGATTAAGATGTGAGATTATCTAGAAAAAGTATTAAAATTTTATTAAGTTTTAAGTTTATAAGGAAGTATACACTAAACATAAAGATGTAGAGAAAGTAATCCATAATTACTTGAATAGATTAAAACCTCTTTATGAATCAATAATAAAGCCTACTGAATAATATGCAGATATTATTATACCTAAATTTGGAGGAGAGTTCTCCTTAAAATCAGAAGAATATTTAGGAACATAAATACAAGCAGGTTTTGATAAAGTTAATCCTAATATTCTAAGTTTGCTTGTAAAGATTGCAAAAGCCAATATTCTTGGTGGTGAAAAACTTGATAAAGCTTAAATTCCAACAAAATGATTTATATGTATATTATTATAAATTTTATCTGAAATTCTTAGAAATTATAAATGTTATCAGAAATGATGTAACGATAGACGATAAAAATTATGATTTATTAAGTTATATAAAATTAAATGATAAACAATTATTATAAACAATCTAGGCAACAATCATATTAATCATCTCAAAAAAGAGCTTAAGAACTTAATCGCAAATCAAAACCATAATCAAAATCTCCCACTTAAACTAAATCTAAGGCTCAATAAATGTACTCTAATAAAAAACATACACTACAATATACTTTGCCAAAAGGAGAATCAAAATATTATCAAGAATGTTTTCCTTAAGAATATACTATATTCTCATTAAATAATGAAATATACTTTGAAAAAGATATTATTAAATGCAAATAAAAAGATTCTCAACCTAATACTACTTTCGAAGAGTCATCTGATGAGGATCAAATTCAGCCATAAGATTTTACTCTTTTAGCATCATTTAATCCTATACCTAATACATAGCCTGCAAATAGCTCTCGCTTTGTCTATTCCAATAGAGAAAGAATATTCTAAGAAAGAAGAACTTCTTTAAGTAATATTTAAAGCATTACATAGGTCCATTATAGAGAAGTTTATACTTAAAGAATAACAATCAATTGCAAAGTAGTAAAAAGAAAATATTTGATTGATTATTAATATATTGCTAATACTGCTATTATATTAGATTTTATTAGAGTTTCATATTATTTACTTAATATTTCAAATAACTAATATAATTATTGTAATTATGCATGAAATACTTACACTAGAAAATATTTATGAAGCATTATTTTATTTTTTCAGCAATTTTTTTATAGTTATTTTAATCTTCTTTAGATTGAGATCTTGAATCATTAGATAATTTTCTTAAAAGTTGAGATCTACTTGAGGTGGTTTAACTGTAATCGATAAATATTAATCTTTAATAAGCATTTAAAGAGATAAATTAATTTTATTTGTTATTTATTTTATCTCTCAATTTTAGAGATAATTCTCTTTTCTGACATATTCATAAATCATTTTAATATTGAAAAGGTAATTATATATTAGACCTCGAAATTTTATTAAAAGGTGGTAATTTGGAATCATTAGAAAATTAGGAATATTTGAAATAGTAAATTACTCTGATCCAAAAGTGAATTACTAAGCTTTTTCTTGAATTCTATTTAAGCTCATTTAATATTTATTTATATAATTATAATAACATCATTTGGTTTTGCTTTATTTAAATAATTTTTTAGCAATTCTTTTTCTAATTTTTACGATTTAAGATTTTGATTCTGAGTGACATTATGATTTACTTTTTTGTTCAAATTTCAAATTTAATGGAACAGTTCGTTTATAAAGAACTTTGAACTTACATGTTTGTTAACGAGTTGATTTTATTTCAGTATCACTAAAAGAAACTGGCTACATAGTTCTAAGAGGATTGGGCTTGAATTAATTATTTTAATTTTCAAATTCATCTTCTAAAAATTGTGTTTTATGTAGACGTTATTAAAGAGATTCAACTTCTAATCTATCTTAGTAGTAGTTATCTTAATCCATAATATTTAATCAAAATTAATTAAAAAAAATATTAAAAATTTACATCATTAATTAAAATGATCACGATATCTTTTAACCATTTTTTTTATTTCATTTTTGCTTGCTTGCTTTGTCATAACAGGTTTTAATTTCAATTTCATATTGCATTCAGAATAAGTTGTAATCGTTATTTTATTTTCTTCAATTTATTTTATTTGATTTCCACTTAATAATAGCAATGCTCTAGTACATTGTTTAGTAGATGCTTCTCTACATATATAAAATAAATAATTTACTAAGGTTAGAAATGATCTATGTTAATGGATTTTGAAATATCTATGCAATCATCTCCCTTTCTATCAGTATATTTTATGTATAAAAAGTCACGTGGGTCCATAAACATAATCTTTTTATATCTTAAATAATTAATCTATAAATTGTTATCTTCATAGTGTTTCTCAAAAGCATCAATACTATTATCCATTTGCTTATGTAATTGTAAATTCTTCATGAATTCTATGTAGGATTCTATTGAGGTATTCAAAGTATAAGTATATTTCATTATTCCAATCTAATATTTTTCAGGAGTCTCAACATATTTTATCCAAAAATTAAAGTCATGATCTTCTTCCAGCAATTCAAATCCATCCATTTTATCTATCACTCCAGAAAAAGCTACAATAGCTCTTTCTCCTATTTCCTTCATTAATTCAGATTATGAAAATGAGATATGAGGAATATCATCTATAAATTATCTAATTGCTTCCTCATCAATAATCTATTCACAATCTTAAAAATTTGCTTTATTTTCAAACTCTTCTATTTTGTTTTCAGGATTTTAAATGAATGAATCCTCATGAGCTCCTAAATACAATTTTTAATTATACTTACTTAACTCAGCATTCATATTATTTTCAATGTCTCTATTCACACTCTCCATCTAATAACCTTACTCAACATTTTCTATTCTTGTGTATTTGAATATATTTAAACATCTAATCAATAATTGCCTAATACATACGTATATTGTTAACATAATAAAATTTAATGAAATATAACATCATACTATTATTTTTGAAACGAGAACATCTTATACTTTTAACTAAGATATCCTTATTAAATCAACAAGACTCAACATGCGAATCAAAAATTAACTCCATTGAATTAGAAATTCAAAGATAAGAAAAGTTACTCCTTAAATCAAAATGGACTCCATCTGAATTAGATTTTATCAAGTAGTAAATTCTCTAAATAGCCAATCTTACCTTCTCTTATTATAAATTACATTTCCCAATCAATTCTTCTGTCTCTATCAAAGAACATATCAAATTTATTCAAATAATAAAACATTTAAACTATAACGGGACAATCTTGAATGACATTTTTAAATAATAAAGAGTATATAACAATCCATTATATAGTGTAGATTACAATTTGAAAGAATGAAATTACTTAAATCTCAAAAATTAATTGACGAACCTATTCATCCTAAAATTGCCAATTATAAAATAGACTATGCTTATGTCTAATACTTATTCAACAGATATTATAATCCAAAAACTCTAGATTATAAATAGCCATATCAAATACTTAATTTATTGGTGAAAAAAAAAATGTATAGAATAAATAATCGTGTTTGCATGAGTATTACTAGTCTAGAAGATGTTCCTCAATTATAATTAATCAATACTAATCTTATTTAACCAATATTAAATTATGATTAATTCAACAGTACTTTTGAAAAAAGAATGAATAAATTGATGAATCGAAACTCCCAAATATAACAGTCTATACTTTAATATAATCATCTCTATTATAATTAGAGATCTTCTTTTTAAAATTGCAAAACTTCTGACGATCTTCCAATTTTGTAAAGATAAAAATTAAATCAAAATTTTGAATCTGATATCTTAATTCTTCCTGATCATAGAACACAACGAACTAATTATAGATTTGCAAAATTATTAGAAAAGTAAGAAAATAAAAATTTAAAATCTATTAATATCAAAGATTAGATGGAGTTTGTATTAATGTAAAAAATAAAACGTCATCATACATCTTCTGAAAGAGAAGATTCTAAATAAATTAGTAGATCTTAATTTTTAAGAAGTGTAAAATCAGAACATTTATTGATTGAATAAGAAATTTTCTTTAAAAAAATTTTATAGCCAATAAAAGAATAAAAATTTAAAATAAAACAAAACAAATGATAATACTAGTGTTATATAAAAATCATTTAAAGTTAGGAGCGAATTTTTTTATTAATTATACAATCCCTTTTATTTTTTGAGTTTTAGGGTTAATTTCATTCAATATTTATTCTAAATTATTTTTCATGTTTTCAGCTAACCTTAATTCTATTCTATTGATTAAATCATACTCTATTTTGAAACCTGATTAAATAAGCACTTTTGCAAATTTCTCTTTGTTTAAAGTTATTGGTTTTTCTTTTTAATATTTTGATATTTCTTTATTAATAGTGCTTTCAATCTAAATAAATTATATTTTACTACTTTTAGAAGTAAAAACTCTAGGCTTTCTAATAGAGCCAAAAGTGATTCAATACAATTGTTAATATTTGGTTTTTCCTTCTGAAACCAATTTGTTAATGTTTATCGATCTACCTCTAGCTTCTGCTTGCTAACTTAAGAACACAAAAATTCAAAATATTCTTTAGGATTCTTAGGGATATATTATACCCATAATTAGCAACACTCAAATATTTAAGCCAATAAGGAAATTATCAAATTGAAATGCTTAATCTTTTCATAATTCCAAATTAATGTTTAATTATTTTATTAGTTATTTAATGACAAAAACTCATTTTCTCCTATTTGAATTTATATTTCTAAATCCAGTTTTGTTTATTTTGGATTATCTAAATTGATGTCTTCCAAACCATGAAAAACAATATGAACTTATGGTTTAAATGGAACACTTTCTTTTTACTAAATTTAATCATGGCTTAATTATTTTTATTCTTCTAATTTTAACTCTATTGATTCATAAAAATATTTTAATATAGATTCTTCCAAAATAATTTTCATAACTTTAAATCCTCTTGAAATATTATTGAAACTAAAAGCAATCTTTTAAACTCCTTCGTTTTTAAATGAATGCTAGGTTATGCTAAATAATTCATTGAAATTGATTAAACTAAACATTATGAAAAAATAATCATTACTTTTGTGTAACATCAATAAGAATAGATTAAAATTTCCATATCTATGTGTGAAATGAAGATGTCTATTAACTAATATTTAATATTTTTGGGAGCAATTGAGTTTAATATTAATAATTTTTTTCTGTAAAATCAATAAATTGTTTGTATTTGAGAGTATTTATCAATATTTAAAAGGATGAATACAACAAAATGTATTGTTTATAAGGTAATTGAAACATGTTTATTTAGGAAATCAATATGAGAGGGTTGTTACTCGATAAATTTTAATCGATATAGAAATTTAATTATTTGTGAAGCTTATTATAAATTTTCGAATCCTCTTCATTAGATATTTATTTTGTGAATAACTTCAAACAACAAATAAAGATTTTGTATTATGTCGCATCATTCTTGTTCTAATTACCATCCTATTCATTTGCCATACTTTCATAGGATTCCATTAAATTATTAATATTTAAGGTCTTGCTAATTTAACATTCTTGCTATTTCAAGAACTAATACATAATGATTGACTCCTAGAACTATTTTTTGTGTTTGCAAATAAAACTTATTAATTGTTAGATTTCATTGAACATTAAATAATTGTAGAGGATAGAGATTTTATCAAATATATCTTCTTAACCTTAAATTCTCAATTAATCAATAGATTGATTTTTAATAATTTGCAAGATCTCATATAATTCCATTAGTTTACTATTATCATGAGAATTTCCAAAAATATTTTAAGCTTTCATTTGATAAAAAATAATTAATTATATTCATTTAATATTCAAAAGTTATTTGTATTAATATCCCTATTTACGATATCTTACAAATTATTTTACGTCAATAAATCTAGCTAGCTTTGGTGGATGTAAATCATTTGGAGTTGGATTTTTGATAATTTCGATTAAGGTTTTTAAGTTTATACTCTCATACTCTTAATTTGTAGAGGGTTTACGCATTTGCAAGTTCTTATAACTATCTTTGTAAATATAAATTTTATCCCAACCTTATTTAAAGGAGAATATAATTAACTAAGTAAACAATGGTCCAAAATATCAGGACACAATTTTTTTTTAATGTTTATTTGATTTAAATTTGAGCTTTCTCAAAATTGTATAACATTATTTGTTAAAAAATATTTTTCTTTGAAGCCTACCGTAAAACTTTTATTAATTATCTTTAATCTTCAATTTCAACAGCTATAAAATTCCATTACATTAATTTATTTAACAACTACACACTATGGTTAAGTAAATAAAATAAGTTAGATCAAGCTCATTCAATAATAATTATAAACCATATGATCGTCTATAGTCATAACCATTAAACTAGACATTCGAGCAAAAGCCAAAAAAGTGTCACAAATCAAATTAAATCAACTGGTTAAGATCTAATTGAAATTGATAAATAAAGCCAAATGCTTTTTTGGAATAATAAATAAATATTAATTAGTATCTGGAGCTACAAGTTAACACATAACAAAAATAATTGCTAAAATAATAGAAAGTAATTTGTATTATTAATCTTAAAAAAGATTATAGAGCAATCAAGTCAAATATTTCATGTTTTAGAATAATTAAATGTTTATAAAGATATAGTAGAATAATTAAAATTCAGACTAAGAGACATTTTTAAGGAAAATGAAGATTTAATTCAACTTAATTAAAAATAACAACAAAAAATATATTATTTAGAGGATATTAATTTATGTAAAGATTAATTAGTAAGTTAAAGATATAATGTCACTAGATGTTTCAAGAAAGATGAAAAAATTAATCGAAGAAAACGCTATTCTTAAACAAAACAATAAATAAATGGAGGACGAACTAAATGAGTTAAGAAAGAATTTAGAATAGTTCAACGAATCAATCGAAACATTTCATTTACACAACAAAACTTAAGATTATAATCATATCGCAGAATTAGAAAATTAAATTTAATATCTTTAAGAAATGTAACAAATCGATTAATTAAAAATGGAAGCTTTAGGAAAAATTAAATTTATTATAAAAAGAAAATTATAGTTTATAAGATAATCTCAAATCAAAAAGAAAATTATATTTATCATGATTTTTATTGATATAAATCAAATTTTTTATTAGAATTTGTAGTAGAATTTAACTCAACTTAAATTAATTATCCTTTTAAAAAAAATTAATCATTTGATTTTTGAGTTTATTTAGTTTTTGGTGTATTTCCTTTAATATTTTCAACTAAAATCTCAGCATTATGCAAAATGCAATCATTTTCAAAAGGGTTATTAAATTTTTTTTACATAGTTGATAAATATTTTGTATTTCTACTAATAGGTGGTGAAATTGGTCTTTGAACTAATTAAGTTTTATTCAAATTATTTTTTGCTTTTTGAGAGTTTTTAAAGAATAATTTTGTTGTGTGTTACTTAATTTCAAAATCAGATAATCTATAACTTTTTTTCCTTTAAGATTTATTTTTATCTGTCTAATTAAACTAATCTCGATTAGTGACTGTTGGTAAGAAGTCTTATTTACTATCAAAAACAATGGATTTCTCATCCTCCAAGGTTGAATCAAATAGGATTTTTCTTTTTGGAAAATTATTTGGCTTGTGATTCGAAAATAAATTGTATTATTTCTTATAATTCTCAACTTCAATCTAAAGATATTTCACGATTTCATTAGCATATTCTATTTTTGCAAAGTTGCTTTAGATTTATTCTTTTAAATCTTCATTTTCTTTTTCTAGTTTTTTGATCAAATCTAAATCATCTTACCTGCTTGGACGATTATTAAATTAGATTTGTAAATCATTAATTTATTAAGCTAATTATTCTGAATTAATTTTAAATTATTCCTCTTATTTGTTTAGTTATTTAGTTATATCAAATATTTTATTATTTCCCACGGTCAATTAAAGATTAAGATCTTTAATAACATTATTATAATTCTCTATTTCCTTTTCTTAAAATTTGATTGTTTCATCTTTTTTTTTAATCTTTTAATCTGAAATAATTTAAAGGGTCTAAAATTCTTACTTTAAATTTGAAATTTAATTGTTCAGCTAAATAGATTGATTTTCTAGTTTATTTTCATATTCTACCATTTAATCTTAAAGTTAATTTTTACTATATTCCTTTAGTCTTTATAATTCTCTACTTTTAAGCTCAAAATCTTCACTATATTTGTCGTTCAAAAACAAAGATTCTTTTAATTAGATCTATATTGATATTATTAATATACTTCTAAATCATTTATAATTTTATTTAAAGATTGTATCTTTGTTTATTACAGCTCAATTTATTTAGAAAGAGTTGAATCAATATTTTTGATTTGCTATATTTAAATTATTTATTATTTTGGTTCTTTTTCTTCATTAACACTTAATCTTTTCTTTTGAGCAGTTTAAGTTGATTTATTTTCTACAAGGATTTATGTTTAAGTATGAATATCTAATGTGTCTATATAACCTAAATATCCTTATTTTATTTCCTCCACTATTTGATCAAGATTATCATGAAGTAGAAATTTTGATAAATACTTTTTTCTATCTGTTTACGTTTGAGCATCAGATCGAAGGTCGTCATTTAATTAAGTTTACTCATCTTATTTTACATTATATAAACTTGGAGTTAATGTCATTCTTAATGAATTTTTCCATTAAAATGATTAATTTTATTCTTAAGTATTTTATTCTGGTTCTTATATATCAAATTGTTTTAAGCTTTTAATATCATCTATTTAGGTATTTAATCTATCCATTTAATAAAATTTATTTTCATAATTTTTATTTTATTTCTAATCTTATTCTATATCAGATGATTCCTCTTGGGTTATTAACAAAAATAAAGGTCTATTTTAATCATTTTCGGTTATTTAATTTAAAGTAGTATATTCCTTATGAAAATCGATTGAAATATGTTTCTGAATAGATTTTATAATTTTCTTATCAGTCTAAGCTAGGTAAACTATTTCATTTATAAGTTTTCTATATTTTATTTCAAACTCTTATTAAGAAATCATTTAATCTTATAAGGAAGAATTTTTTTATTGAAACATTTCATTTTAAAAAATCAATTAAGCTTATTCTTCTTACAATTGAAGTTTATTATCTTGCAATTTTAAGACTTGATCATTAAGTTGCTTTCTATCTTATTAACTAACTTGGCTTTCCTACTTTATCAATTTAATTAATTCAAAAATCTAAGATTTTACTGATGATTATTTCATTATCCCTATTTAAATTGTACCTATTGCACTCAACTCTAAAAGTACTTAATTTTATATTTCGTTTTATAAATCGATTTCTTTTGTTTTTAAAAACAGTTCCTGTTAAATTATTCCTATTTCATCATTTAATTAAACATTTTTTTATTTTAAATCTTAAATAATTTATTCTAATTATTTTGAATTATCGTGAAGCTGATTATTCAATAAGGACAAAGCTAAATTTTCAGCTTATTATTTTTTAATAAGTTCTTGCTATTCTGTTTATTGATTCAGAATATTTTCATAATCTAATTGCAATTCTTAGTTAAATTTTTCATAGGCTAATATCTTCTTTTCCAATTCAGCTCGAATTTGATCTAATTATGTATTATTATAATTATACCTTTTTCATTGATATCTTTTGCTTAGTTTTTTAGTTTGGTTTAGTATTCTTCAAAATTTGATTATTGTACTTTATGTATACGAATAGTAAATGCCTTTTCTAATTCTGATAATTATTATTTTCCTCTGCAGATAATCATCTATAGCTCATTTTTTTCAATTTCATGTTACTTCTTTATTTTTTGGATTTCATTTTATAGACTTTTAATTTACAATTCATTTGTTGTTTTTTCTTGAGCTAGGAGATTCATTGAGTTTCTATATATTTCACTATTTTAACTAGACAGTGCTAAATTATCTTAAAGTTCCTTTAAAGCTTTAGAATATTATTCTGCTAAGGTAATTTCAACATTGTTTATTTGCTGTTAAAATTTATCCTTCTACTCAAGTAATAATTCTTTTAACTCGATACTTTAGTTTTTGAGCTGCTTAATCTCGTGTTAAAGAGTATTCATATTCATTTAATAAAATTCTGCATCTTCTTTTACAAATAATAAAGCTTAAGTAATATCACACAACTCCATATTTAGATATCTGTTTGGAACATCTCTTAGATATGTTTTCAATTCCTTTACTCTGTTATTTAAAAAATGGTGGAATGCCAAAATATCCTCTTTTAATAAATGATTTTCTTTTGTTAAACTGATTACTTGCCTTTATAAATAATCAATTTAATTTTCAGACATAAAATTAATGGAATATAATGAAATAAAGTAACAGGTAACTAAATTATTAATTTTCAGATCGTTTCCAACATAAAGGAAAACAAATAAAAAATTAAGGAGCTCTAAGTATTCTTGAAAACTTAACATACCGAATACAGTGAAGCCTAAAATAAGTTAGAAGAAGAAAAATAAAGAAGGAGGAAAGCAAAGAGCTCAAAAAACAAATTCTCTAGCTTTGAAAATGCAATCAATAGGCCTCCATTTTTTAGTGCTACTCATGCAGAATAAACGTTTCATGAATAAACATTCATTGATAATGAAGTACCAGCACTGACAGCAACTTAAAAAGAATAACTAATAATGCCATCAAGAAACAAAAGTCCAAAGATAAGTATGAATTAGAAATGATTTTCAGCTACATTCAAAATTTAACATCCATTATCAAAATTACAAAGTGACTTTCCTATCTTGAAACAGAATTAAATGAGTGATAAAGAAATTAAAAGATTAGAAAAATGGTAAACTATCACAAATGAAAGAACAAAGTTATAAATAGAGGAGGTACCTTATTTTGGATAATTAGCAAAATAAAAATTTTATCGGGAGTTTGAAGAAAAAAGAACTGGAATAAAAAGAGACCTAAGTATTTTAATTAGCAAATACTAATTTACGCCTTTTAGATCCTCAACCATCTTTGATTTCAGAAAATCCATTAACTCCAAGAAGATTATAAAAACTAATAACTTTACCAAGATTATATGAAAAAAAAGTATGGATGCCTAACAATAATTATTTTTGATACATTTTTCATATTACCTTATTAAAAAATTAATACAGTCTATTTTGTTTATAAAAATTATTAAAAATAATCTAATCCTTTGAATTTCTATATTTTCGTTATAAGACATCAGCAAAAAGATGATGATTCTGATAAAGATTTTCTAAATAATCATTCATTTACAGAACTTAATTGGAATGAAGAACAACTTAAAAAAAATGTCAATATTAGATTTTCTTGTCCTAATTGTAGAAATTTTTAAATAGTTTGTTTATTATGTAAGCCAAAAGGTACTTATCCTCCTGAAAATAAATAAAAAGAGGAAATTATTGCATACAAATGATCCTCTTGAAGATTATTTGAAAAAAATAAATAATAAATCCACTATTTCAAGACGTTATACTGCTAATTGTA